AGCACCGAGCTCGTAACCTTGCAATTTTCCATGGGTCAAGGTGGGTGATTGAGGTCATGTTATGGAGGATAGGCTGAGAGTCTTGCAGTCAGGCAAGCGGACATCTGTTTGTGTGTAGAAATACGAACCCCGCATATGGCTTATATCTCTCTTATTGATTGGTAGTTTTCATAATCCCCGCCGGGCTATGTGCAGTATCGTGTTGATTGGCTAGGATGTTTGTAGATTAGCTTCATCTAGTTAAGCGGAGGGACTCCAATAGATTATTGGCACAAAGCTCATACGGTCTTATATCGAGTATTCTGGACCTGAACTTGTATTGCTATTCATCCTTTCTACTTTCTTTACCTTTGCATCTTCCTCTACAGTATGATTTCCGAATGTTGTCCCCCTGGTCTAGTGCCATACTGAATTGAAATATTACCGAGATAGCCTCTTCTATCTTGTCTAGTTAATATGGCTTTGTCATGGGTAAATCACAAATTGTCCTGTTTTTCTGCAATAAATTCTAACATTGTGACTACGTGCCCGGCCTATGCGAATATCGTAGTGAGCTTCAATTGTGGGGTAACCTTCAATGGCATAAGACGATTGCTACTCGGTATAGTGTATATTGTAGCGGGTTCTGAGGCCAGCCTCTAGCTCCTACCATGGCGCACATAAATGTTTCAGACATACTGCTCAATGAATCCATAACATACGAAGTTCGTTTGTCTAATGCTAAGTTACCAAAACGCAATACCCAAGACCTAGACCTCACATCCGCGAATAAATTGACCCAGAAGCATTTCAAGACCACGACATAAGACTTTCCCTGCATCCTGTGACCTCCAGCTAACGATCATCGTGGGCAAAGAGCGGGCTCAGCGTGTGGCAATTTCTGACTCTCAAGCCTCGCCTTACCAATCTCCTCTAGCAAGATTTCCTGAGCATCTGCGCCTGCATATTGACCGTCGAAATGTTCTCCGCGAGGCTTTATGGCATACTCGACTGCAAATACACCTGGACTGTCTCTGTTATCTGTTCTTGTCAATATGGCTTTTCCTTGGTTCACAGCATCTTCGTACTCGCAGAACCGGTGTTCCACAGCTGGATCGAGTTCAACCTGAACAAACCAGAACTCCGGAATGTTGCGGTGGATTACCATTCCACGGGAGCTGGAATGTCTTCTTCGGGGGTTGTTTGCCATGATAATGGATGGGTTGATTTTAGGTCTCCTAGTTCTGGGAAAGGAAAAGACAAGGAAAGAAGAGGGAGAATGAATGTCTCTCAATATCTCTGTAGAGGCCTTTCTATGTTGGATTGCAACATGATAGCATCGAGGCAGGCTCAATCGACATATTTATGTTCGACAGTATTTGCCGTTGGAAAGAACCGATGTTGCGATATACGACATTACTTTGAAATCATCAACCTTTAACTCAAATCCTTAGGATATATTCCGGTAGTGGCCCGGAAGGGTTGCTCCTTATCTCATAGAATGTCTGCTTATTACATTACTCTACTACGGGGACTAAGTATATTGTGTCTTAAAGATATGGAAACTTCCTGTCGGGCATTGTGTGTTCCTTTTTTGAACACCCAACAGCTTCTGTATATTCCCTGAGACGATAGTAAACTGCACAAAGAGCAAGCTGGATTGGACTGTGCCAAACTACATAACTCTGTATTATTTCTTTCAACCGTTTCTTTGTCGGCTGTGACAGGCAAGAAGTGCATTGTCTACCTTGTTGTCCTTGTATTGGTAACAATGACAAATCTTGAATTAGAAAACTTCGGCATTCTCAGTAAGCCGAGATGACGAGTTTGTCATTATTTCTAAGAGCATGCATATTCCAAAGAAAGAGCTCTCGCTTTCACTGCCTGCTGTCCTACTTGGCTCTTTCAACATGAATACAGCAAACCCTGCATCATGACAAGAAGTAGGAGTGCTTTATACATTCCCGAATCCCATCCTCACGCATTTCGTGTCCAATATCTCGTACCTTCCTCATAATGCCCTAAATGTCCACCATATACACCTCTTGAACGCACCCACATCAGCCTACCAAGCGGATCCCATCTCACACAAGCACGAACCGATCAATAAACTACCCGGATCTAGTCATGTGGTTCGCAGAGGCCAAACTCGACTCTGGCTTTGGCAACAGACAAATGCTCCTGCAGAGACGTAGAACCATGGCTGAATTCGGATACATAAAACTCACGAGGATATGTCGTTGCGATTATCTGAGCATCTACTCCGCTTTCGTCTTTTGTCTCCCTAGAGGAGTAGAGCCGGACTTACACCATGCCAGGGCTTTGTTACGCAGAGCTATTGTTGATGAGATGGATTTGCCGTATACGTTTCCTGCGCTTGGGTGGCGCTAGCTTGCCTTTCTTGGTTTCTTTGGGATGACTATCATCGTGTAAACATAAGGTTATGTATGATTGCATGAGCATGTGTAAGGGTGGGAAGTTTGATTTTATATTGGGTGTAAGACATGAACACTGCATTAGATAACAGGCTCATGATAGCTTCAGGATATGCTTACGACTGTTCTTTTTATGGGCTGACCGTAGTTGTCCCTCCGCAAGCGAATAGTGCTCTCTAGATCTATGCTGCTACAGAATACCTAATGATCATGCAGGAAAATGCGGGTGTCCTTGTCTTCACAAAAGGCTTGGAGAGGACTGAAATTGGTGGAAATAGAATAACTAACAAGCCTACCGCGCTGTGACTACACTATATTTACGAGTCCAGGGACAAATCCTCCACGGCATTGTGGAAATTGTCCAGCAACGGGTGCTCGATCGCGGGTGAATAGCGCCCGACCCTCCAAGCTGGGAGGAAGAATTAAAAATAGATCGTCGGCATTATGGACAGTTTCATGAACCAATTATTGGTGTTGATATCGACTGTGAAGAGCCCATCCACTTTGTGAGGTTCAAAGGTCGGAGTATTGTACAATTTGTAGGTTAACAAATTCCCACTCTATCAAAACGATCCCTGGTAATTCCTTTGGCCTTGTACTATGCGATACGGCATGCCGTACACCAACAGAACCAGTGGTAATTAGTATGGTTTGGGATGGTTGAGGAAAAGCCCCCTATCTCGAATGCTTTTAGCACTCTATTTATGTCTCGATTACTCTTCTGACAGACTTCTCCTGGTGAATAGAAACGAAAACAGGATTCCTCTGAAAGCCACTAATTATGTGGGGCTAATTGGTTAGATAGCCTAAAACTGATGATAAATATGAAATTTTAAGTTTCTTACTTTTGAGTTTATCGGTGATTTCAATCCTCCGATCTCAGTGAGGTTTATATCTGCAATAGTGCATTTTCCGACTATAATACCACGGATTTATGGGAAAGACATACGTAGAGGAGCACGATGTAAAACCTGAATTTTGGGTGACCCTTTTTACTAAAGTCCTTGGTGTAACTGCATTCATTGAGATCTCCTAGGCTTTCGGGCCCTAACGTGGAGAGGCAGACATTGCTCTACATAGTCAGGTCACAGTACCTCAGGCTATCTCTACCCCACGATTAGGTTTGGGACAATATAGTACTGTACAATACAGAGTATACTAAAGTTGGACAAATATGAAGTTTAAGGGTCTTGAACTTCAGCATCGTCCGGGTCAATCCGCTCGGGCCAGAACAGGCCGTTGCCGTTTCAGGGAATCCGAACCCTGAAAATAGTTCGACAGTTTGAATGCATCAAGCCTAGACAGCACTCCAGAAAGCTGAATGTCACCTCGTAGAGCTGTTTCAAAAGTTATAAAAAAAGGGTTCGTTTGTTTCAAGATCTCCGCCTTGATATACCGAGAATCCGACTTACCCGAACCCGACTTGGCAATCACATGTACCGGGCCAATGATCTGCTAAAACTACCAACGAACCTCAAACTTGATACGCAGGGAGGTTTGAGAACTACTTACACAGTACAGTTCAGGAAACTATCATGCCATAGGCTAGGAGCCAAATAAGCCATCAGTCGAGGGATTTGGTGTGATTGGCTCATGGTCGCAAAGGCTACCCCAATTGATCCCAAATTCGTTTAGGGCTCCACACCAGATGCAACCCTACGGTTGCTATTTTTATACTAACCAGCATAGTTTTTGTGGCCCCTTTACTGGTTACGGTATAGTATATCATCGCTCGAGTCTAGTGGGAACTCTCTAAGCTGCCTTGAAACGAGGTGAAGCAGTGAGTCGATCGCTAAAAAACTCTATCAGTAGAGAACTCTCCCCCAGGTCTTTCTACAGGAGGTTGCTAGCTAGTGAGCCACAGGTGGATAGGGGGATGAAAAAGGCACTCAATAGTGATAGTGGTTGTACTTAGAAATTGCGTTTGAGGGTTAAACCCAGAGGTCTCAAGATAGTAGTCATGAGAGGGACATCTCCTTCTGAAAATGGTAATAGATAGCCACACTCAAGCTCATGTAGCTGTTGATAAGGCAAAGACAAACTACAGTTCCTCAGAAGTTTAATCATGCTCCACTGTAGCCCTGCAATTTATCAATAGATCGCTCGGGAGCCCAGTCTCAGTCCCAAACAATGTCAATGCATGGTCTTCCCCATGATTCGCTCAGTTCACTTCGGTTCCTGAAACACGTGGAGTCACCGACGATCATCTACCAGATACCTTACTCAAGTCTAGGGTCTTCACTCCGATCCTTGCAACTCTACTACTGCCCGAAAACTCAATTGCTCAGGGTCTACACTGTTTGTCGGCAGGCCCCCTAGCCATAACGCGGATAGATGTTTGACAACACCTTCACATGGTTGCATTCGATGTGTCATTGACAAACTTTTGGACCAAACTGTGGATATTAGTGGACGACAATAGCTCAAGGATAGGCAGGAACAGAGATAGGAGATGCGCGCATTTGAGATATTTAAGGCATCATGAGTCCTGTGATAGTCAGTCTGAAGCAGCACACAATCCGAAGCATCTTCGTCTCAAGCGCATCTTAACTATCGAAACTTAACTCTTAATTACTAATATCCAAGATGTTGTTCATCAAGGCCATCACTCTGACGGGACTCGCCGTGAGCCAGGTTGCAGCTCATGGTCTCATCACTCGTGTCAAAGGCCACAATGGCATTGACATGCCTGGACTGACGAGTAGGTTCTTACAGGGAAAGCTGTATCATGACGAAGAAGCTAATTTGTGATTTTAGTTCAGGATGGAATACCCCGGGATTGCCCATCTGCTGCATGCGGCGCCCAGAAAGACACGGCCATCATCCGAGATGCTGAGTTTGGCAGTGTCAAGGCCTCCCCCTTGGGTCGTACTCTTGGTGGAGGTCCTGTGAACCCTGCCATTGTTATCAACAACTTCGTCGGTGCTGGAAAGCAGAAGCGCTCTCGTCTTCCAGCCAGTCACAGACGTAAGATATTGTTCTCTGTTCCGGTATGATTAAGCTAACAGCGCCAAAGGTCGTCAGCTAATCAACGATGCTGCAAGCATTGTTACCAATGCTGGTGGTACTGTCCTCAATGGTATTTAATGTTCACCCCAACATTGTTAAGCATATATTAACATTTCATAGGTATCCAGGACCTTGCGGACGCAACACCCTTTGGTGGAACCATCAAGAGTATGAGCGCCTTTTCACTGTCTAAAAACTCCCTGTTAACCAGAATAACCAGGTATCCAATCCACAATTGACGATGCCATGGCCATCCTTCCCGGAACCCAGTCCGGTACAGTGACAGGCAAAGGTGCCAAGGAGAACGGCATGCAGCTGTATTCTGGAAAAGGTGCCAGCACCGGCCTCCCTACTGCTTCTCCGGAAGGTGTAGTGACCATGATCTACCACCAGGTAAGCCGATATAGCATGCCTTAAGCATACCAAGGTTGACACATTACTCCAGGTTAACCAGGATGGTGCGGGTCCTCTTTCTGCTGAAATCGACCCTTCCAGCGGAGGCACCGATGCAAAGGCCTTCAAGAGCGCCCGTGTCATTCAGAACATCCCTGGCGTTGCGGGCTTCTCCACCTCTAGCACCATGGATTATGCTGTCAAGGTCCAGGTCCCTCAGGGAATGAAGTGCACTGGAACCGTTGGAGCTGCTAAGAATGTCTGCATTGTGCGGGTACGTAATAATGCTATTTCGGGTCCATTCGGAGGCTCTGCTGCTTTTACGCAGTAGAACGTTGAAGGAGTTGTATACCTAATTAGTCGTATTGTGATTGTGTGATTGTGTGATTTTGTCTCATAGCTTTGGTTTTTTATCTTCTCTTTACAGACCCTTTTACTAATCATTGCTCTTTGTTTGCAACACACACAATCGTGTCTACTTAATTTTATACATAATACTATAGATAATGTATACTAGTGTGTATAGTGAAAAGGAATTCTAGCCGCGAGCCCATCTGGCACAACATGGACAGAAGACTACCAATGTCTCTCATCAAACTACATCACGTAAAATTTAGATTGTATTAAGAGGACGATAATTGAGCATACTCAACGTTAAGATATGTCAGAAGAGACTGCTATCTAATCAATGCATGTATGTGTATACGTATCATCATGGCAGCAGGGTCTTCATTAAGCTTATCACCTTCAACTTCATCCCCATAAAATATTAAGCCTCTTCCACCCTTTAGCGTTTTTGATCGGTACATTATCTGGATCATTCCGAGCTTCCTCCAGCGCTTGATGAACCGGCACCTCAGTCAAGGGAATTATCTTCGTCCCGCGAATATATTTGTAGAGCCCATATGCACCTAGGACGAGTGGGATATCTCTGTGATCGTTGTTAGCTCGTTTCTCTTATCCAGGGAAATAGTGAACCAGTAACACGTACAGATAGGACGACACGAAAGAGGCGGGGTCCCAATTCCCGGCGGTAAAGACGGCAAATCCACCAGTGAATAGGATTAGTATACAGGAGATAAAGGCGAACCAAGAAGAAACGTCTAGAGAGTAGTGGTCAGATCAGTATCAGCTCAAGACGTTCAGATGAACACGGACATACATGTTATCCGATTGTGCCATGGTAATTCCGTTGCCGGAATCCCTTGTGCCTTTAAAGCCTGCAACAAGCGAATATGGTTGAATGCGATCGCAATCCATGATACCAGCACACCAGCCGCGGTTAGATCGAGGAGCCAATAGAAGACAGTCAAGGCGCTATTTGAGACACACATGTAGGCCAGGAAAGAGACGGCCGTCTGGGCGGCGACGCACATATATGGTACACCCCACCCGGATGTTTTCAAGAAGATCTTGGGCGCATGTCCCTTGACGGCAAGACCGTACAGTGTTCGGGTGCCTGCCAACATGCTTTGGTTGGAGGCTGACCATGCTGAAGTAATACAGATCGCATTGACGACTGAAGGTATCGCTTTAATGCCGGCGTCGCTGGCAGCGATGACAAAGGGACTTTGTGCGGCGGTACCCGAGTCATCTTGGAGTCTCGGGTCTGAGCTTGAGACCAACATGCCCACGACTAGCACTGCAGCTAGATAGAATACAGTCACACGCACAAACACTCTTCGACACGCTTTGGGGATGTTGTGGCGTGGGTTCTTCGTCTCTGCTGCGGCCATCGCCAAGGATTCAACGCCTGAGAAGCTGTAGACGGCGTTCGTCATCACAGCCCAGAAACCGAGAAAGCGACCCCATGCGCCGCTGGCAATGTACTCAACAAAGAGGCCTTCTTTCCAGTGATGAAAGCCTAGTCGTGGCTTGCCAGGTATTCCGCCAAGATCGATGACGAGACCGAGAATAACGACGAAGACCACCAAAAGAAGCTTCAACAGGGCAAAAATGAACTCGATTTCACCATACACACGCACAAGCGTCACGGCGACGGTGGCAGACACAATGATGAGAATAGTCACCCACACCGCGGCATTGATGTCGGTCCAGTACTGGATCATCACGACAGCCGCAGAAATCTCGCTCGGCACGGCCAAGAAGGAGCCATACACAACGTTCCAACCGATCGCAAAAGCCAATGCAGGGTCAACCAGTAGTTCTGCGTGTCGCACAAATGAACCGGTCACCGGCATCAACGCGGAGACCTCGCCCAAGGCATATTGAATGCAGCATACAATCAGCCCGACGAAAATGTAGCCGAGCAGAGCACCAAGCGGCCCGCCTGTCGCAATTGAACCGCCGAGGCCTAGGAAAAGTCCCGTTCCCTAGAAACTCGAACGCGTCATTTAATGGACAATTCTGGATAATGTGGTACAGGTTCACATACAATGGCGCCCGCGATAGCGATCATCTGCACATGTCGTTGGGACAATCCGCGAAGCAGATTCTGGCGTTCCTCTTGGGAAACAATATATTGTTGTTGTTGTTGTTGTGGCTCATTATCGTCGATTGCTGGAGCATTACCTCCTGGCTGTCGACTTGGCGATATCTCACAATCATCTTGCGTTGGGCCCTTGAAGGGTATTGCCATTGTATTGCTAATTTATGGTTTTCCTCCCCTTTGGAGGTTCAGGAAAGGAATGTGATTTGGTTATCAGCGCATCCCTTGGGGAATATTCTTCCGCCCTAGATAAGTAAGCACGCCATCTCACTGGTTGGTGAGGAATGCTTCTTGCATGTTAATTATGTGGGGTTTGGCTCTTTAGTCGGTGTATGAAGTAATGAATTAATATATTTCTATGCTATAAAGGGTCATATTATAGGGCATGAAAAAAAAAAAAAGATATTTGCGATTAGGGCAAAGAGCATGCATGCACCACAGAATGAATTACCAACCTAAAGGAACATAAACATAAAAGACCTCACCGTCCCCACTTATAACCGGATTCAATCCGATCTCTTCGCAGTTAATGTCTTGAAAAAGATTAATTAGCTTTCAGAAAAACATACAGCCAAGCAAGCGATAAGTATTAAGTATTATTTCTTCCACGGAATGCCTATCTAGTAGTAATAAAAACCTCAATGGCAATCATCTCAAATATATACTGACAAACGAAAAATCATCCCATTCGACCACCTAAAGATGTCCGGACACCATAGGCGTCTCTATGGGGTAATTTATAGCGTATTCTCAGGTTGACATATACTTATATTTAGTAGCCCTAGAGAAGTCATCCATAAGCAGCAAACTTCGGCAATATCAGAAGTAACCATTCTCGCCATATTGACAAATATTAATGCGGTTAAAGCTCAGGCAGCCTCAGCCTCGGCGATCTCCTGCTCAAAGTTGCTCTTGACATCAGCAAAGAATCCATCGTCGAACAGACAATCCCAGCCGAGGAAGGCTACTCCCTTTCCTGTAGTGACGGCCTGCTTCAGTGCCTCATCCGTTCCGGCGACCGCTGCAAATCTCACATCATGAGGGAACACCGTCCCAAGGATTCCTCGCCGCGTGAAAGCTTCAACCCTTAAATTCCAACCACAGATTGGATGATCATGCGAGCACTAGATACAGGCGCACACGCGATTCTTGTGCCTGTCCTGGAAATAGTGCAAGATGCAATCAGCATGTCCCCCAGTCGGCACCCGAGGCTTTGAGCCTCGTCTAGCAGTCGAGAAGTTCATTGAGCAGCATCCCGAGGGTGGTGGAATTAAGGAGCCCACCGGTAGGGAGAATTTGGCACATGCAAATGACTCGATGGTCATCGCTGTCCAGATTGAAACCAAATCGGCCTTGGAGATTGTCGAAGAGATTGCTGCTGGTCCAGGCACTGATGTCCTATTCTGGGTACCTCTTGTGATATCTACTGTGACAGTGGCGAGGATGCGATGGAATGGGATAGAAAGGGGTTCCGCATGCACAGTGTGTGCACTGACATGATTGCGCTGCGACAGATTATTGGGCGTCAGTTCAATTCTACCAACTAAACAAATAGAACAAAGTTCAATGCATCATAGGATAAGATGACCTAAAGGAATCATCTTCCTAACAACGATAGCCTTTGTTCGGAAATAGTCGCTTAGCGGGGGCTATCCACTTGGTAGAACTCAGTATGAAACGGACCAAGAAAGATGTGTTCACGAACTCGTGTTTGTTGGTGCGGAAACTCACCGAGGTCAGTTTTCCCATCATAGACTGTTGAAAATGTTGAACTCAAAAGGTCCATAGACTTATAATGCTATGGACAAGCCCCGAGAAAGCCGAACATCTCGTGAGTATCCTGTGCCGTACCGATCCGAGCCGAGATCTCAGTCAGTGCCGAAGGGCATGCGGCGACTTGTCCACTAAGAAGAGTGCCATATCACGACGACGAATTGAGAAGCCTGATTGAAAACTCAAAGCCCCGCATTATTTTCCAAAAATCCGGGGACCCAATAATCTGGGGTTGACAGGGGTTTCATTGGACACCAAGTCTTTCTGCTCGTTGCGGAAATGGATACGCATGGCGGGTTGTTTATAAAGAGAGAAGGATCGTTTGGAATCGTTGTCTCACACGCGACCAATTGACCACTTCTGAAGTTTCATTTCCCTTTCCAATGAGTTCTAAAATAAACCTCTCGACAGGAGAGCATCTGGAGTCTGTGGACGACAAAAATATGGATTCCAAAGAGAATGATCATGACAAATCCTCCCTGAAGGAGGATTTCAATGAAGGGCATACCTCTGGGACCATTGGGGGTTTGCATCGTCGACTTGGAATTCGACACATTCAACTCGTCGCCATTGGCGGCTCTATTGGCACAGGCCTTTTCATTGCCATAGGAACTGGCCTTTATAAGGGGGGTCCAGCAAGTCTTCTCCTTGCCTTTATTGTTGAATGCCTGATGGTCAGCATGCTCAATAATTGCCTCGCTGAAATGTCCACTTACATGGCTGTACCTGGCGGCTTCATTGGCCTGGCGGGCAAATGGTGCGATGATGCATTGGGGTTCATGGCAGGATGGAACTTTTTTATTTACATGGCTCTGACTGTGCCTTTTGAGATATCTGCTGTCAGTGTGTTGCTTGAATATTGGCGAGACGACATTCCCCACATTGCCGTGATCCTTGTTTGCATGGCGTTCTATGCGTAAGGCATCAGACCTCCTATTACAGCAATATAAAGAATGTGATGCTGACAAAGTTTCTGTAATACAGGACCATCAATTTACTCGCGGTTGGAACATACGGAGAAGCCGAGTTTTGGCTCAGCGGTGGCAAAGTGGTCTTGATATTCATCCTCTTCGCTTTTACTTTCATCACAATGGTAGGGGGTAATCCAGCGCATGACACCTTTGGATTTCGATCTTGGAATACCGGTGATGCTTTTGCCGAATACTCTTCGAATGGATCGCTGGGCCGCTTCGAAGGCTTCCTTGGAGCCTTGTGGATCGCCGTCTTTACCTGCGTAGGCCCCGAATATATTGCAATGATCTCGGCCGAGGCGAAACATCCACGGATATACGTTAAAAAAGCCTTTCAAACGGTCTACTGGCGCTTCTGTGTCTTTTTCATTGGTGGCGCTCTCTGTGTCGGTATCCTGGTCGCTCACAACGATCCCACTCTTGTCGAAGCTATCTCAAGTGGCAAGTCCGGCTCCGCTGCTTCGCCGTACGTGATCGCGATGAAGAATATGGGCATCAAAGTCTTACCCGATCTGGTCACTGCCCTCATGATCACGTCAGTCTTCTCAGCGGGTAACACCTATACCTATGCGGCGACTCGAGCATTGCATAGCTTGGCAGTAGCAGGTCGTGCTCCCCGGTTCTTCGCAAAAACAACTAAGAAGGGTATACCCATTTACAGCTTCCTTGTTGTGATGGCTTTTGCGTGTCTTGCCTTCCTCCAGCTCTCTGGTAGTGCAATGCAAGTTTTGAACTGGCTCATTAGTCTAACAACCGCGAACATTCTCATCGACTATATTATTATCACACTTACATATATCAACTTCTACCATGCCTGCAAAGCGCAGAACTTCGACCGGTCCAAGTTGCCTTATTACGGTCGCTTTCAGCCATATTGCGGCTATATCGCTCTTGCATGGATGGTAACGATCGCCGGTTGTTTTGGCTACGAGAGCTTCAGGCCTTGGAGCACCTCAAATTTCTTCCTCAACTATACTATGATTCTGCTGGCACCAATCGTCTTTATTTCCTGGAAAGTCTACAAAAGGACAAGATGGCTACGACCGCACGAGGTGGATTTGATATGGGAGGCGGAGCGCATCGCAACATACGAGGCACATGAATCAGAACAGCCCATTGGCTTCTGGAGAGAGTGCGTCACTATGTTCAACTTCAAGAAACATTATCGTCGGAAAGTTGCAGGTGAGGCGGCTTGACGGCGACAAGTGACACATCAGGGTCATTTATAGTCGTAGCTGTGAATATTTGATGTATGACGGTATCTACCAAAATGAATAGATCGAGCTCTTGAGATTTGAAATTTAGTGATGTATATTATACGAAGGAATCCGTATCGGCTGGGGTCCTGTCCCCAGTTTATCAATTTCCAAACCATATATCACGCGATAAGTATGCGTTTTCTCCAGCAACAGTGGTCGAATAGAAAGACCACGAAGGTATACCATGCTTTTCATGCAAGTTGAGACTTTCCCCTTCGGTATGGCCTCTCACGATGTGCGATGCCAGAGATGCGAGAATGATGCCAACAGGGCGCTGGGGAAATCCGTATCGAAGGCCAATGACCTCTTACGATCGCACAGGCAACGGGGCACTGACAAAGGCCAACACGCAGACTCCCCATTGATCCACAAACATCATCAGGCCGAACATCGTGAGGGAGGGTGAGTATGTGTCCTAGTTGGCTGCAGAGCTGCAGAGCTGCAGCTAGCCGACTCCCATGGCCCGGACGATAGGGCCGACGGCTTTCGGTCTTCGTAGGTAGGATTTCCACTGCATGTTGGCCCAATTCAGACATAAGTTTGCACCAACGTGGCACATTCGATTCTCAATAATGGATTTTCGTTCGGAGTCCCAATAGCTGAGAATGGGGCAGCGGCCAATCCGACCGCTTGAGCAAGATGCTCGAAGCCACACAGCGATAATTCTATTATCGATACTCCAAAACTTAACAGATGCGTCGGTGTTTGAGGATTTTATTGAGGACTTTCTTCAACACTGTGGAAAATGGCCAGGCCTTAAGTCTGTTCTGGTGATGGATCATGCTTTTTTTTCTATCCTTCTGAATATATAGACTATGTTTCGATACGGAGAAATAACTCATGTGTTCGTCTCCTGATTTATCCGACTCGAGTCCTATTCATATATTTTTCTCCAGACGCAGATTCCTTAATCGGAGGCATTAGATATATTACAGAGACAACATAAATCGGCCTTTAAGAATTTTCTGGAGTAGTTATTGACCGGGTTGGTGTAAGAGAGCAAAGTACGAGGGGATACTAGAAATGTACAGGTATCTATTGTGATAATATATTAAACTTGAGAAGGACACACTCTCAGCTTCTAGGGGTATTCAATAGATTAAAGTAAAGAGAAAGTGTCTAGTACTCATGAGGAGCAATGATTACTCAATCGGTGAATGGTCCAATTAGTCCTTATGAGTACTATCCGTTGTCTTGAGAACTATCTGCAGGTCCTTGTTTAGAAGGTCAAAATCTAGGGGTTTTTTTCTTTCCGTGTTTCGCTTCATCACAGCGTCGACTGTAGATACTCGGGCTATTGTCACGAGAATTGATTAGTATCCTAGCTACATCATAACCCATTTCAGCAGTACAATCAATCCTCGACACTGTGCTCTCCTAACTTGAAATGATTTGTGATAAGTCTGCAAAAAAGAATTCTTAGTTTTTGTCTTATTATTTTGTGATCTGATGTTCTGACCCGGTTTGATGAAAAATTAGGTACATAAATATGATCATGGGCTCAGAATCAGTCGCGCAGGAAGCTCTCTTCGAATGGATAGTGAGTCAGTAGCTCATAGCCGGTCTCGGTCACGAGTAGTTGGTTCTCTAGCTTGACACCATCCTTGCCGCCAACCTCACCGACATACGCTTCAACGGATAACACCATGCCCGGTTGCAGCTCTCCTTCGTAGCCGTATGATTCCAAGTCTTCCGGGTAGCGAATACTCGGGTACTCGTCGCATAAGCCTACCCCATGGAACATCACGGCATAGCGCTGAGCGCGGCAGCTTTCAGGCAGGCGATGGCCGTTGCGCGTCAATTCCGTAAAGCGGACTCCGGGCTTGACCATCTCGATGTTGGTGGTGATATGTTCGTGGGCGATGCGATACAGGCGTTTCTGTTCGGCTGTCGGCTCGAGATCGCCGCAGATCCAGCTGCGCGACATGTCCACGCACATACCGTATACGCCGATGAGGTCGGTGTCGAAGGATACCAGGTCTCCGTCGCGAAGGACCCGCGGCCCGCATTCCTGATACCAAGGGTTGGTGCGCGGTCCGGAACTAAGAATGCGAGTTTCAATCCATTCGCCACCACGGCGAATATTGCCCGCGTGCAGAGCAGCCCAGACATCGTTTTCTGTGGCGCCGGCGCGCATGGCCTGGCGCATCTCGCCGATCGCGGCTTCGCAAGATGCGACTGCACAGCGTATAGCTCGGATTTCGTCTGGGCCCTTAATCTTTCGAGCGTGCTCGGTGACCGCTTGCCCGTCACAGACTTCCACTCCCAGAGCTTCGAGGGCACGCAAGCCGGCAACTTCAATGCGGTCCACAGCGAGCCGGCGGTTGTTACCGGCATGCTGTCGGAGCAATTCGTCAACTTGTGCGCAGAAGCGTATGGCGTGTTCACTGGTACGGTCGCCGGTTTCAAAGTAGAAGAATGAGGCGCCACTGCGCAGTTCTTTGATCAGTGGCAGGTGCGCGGTAAGATGGTCGCAACCATGGAAATCCCACAGCACCAGATAACCACTCGCCGCAACGAAGCAGGCGCGGGCGGGATTGTGCGCGGACCACACCTGCATATTGGTGGAGTCCGTGGCGTAGCGAATGTTTAGTGGATCGAACAGCAGGATGCCACCTAGACCGCGGTCAATCAGTTGATCGCAAATGCGTTGCAGGCGAAACGCGCGCATGGTGGGTAGGTGAGGCGGCTGCAAGCCCAGCTGCTCCCACTCGGCGAACGCCAGCGGAGTTGGTCCAATTTCTACACGGTCGTTGTCGTCGACCGAGCCATCAGGTTTTAACGTAGCGGTGCGCGCCCGGGTGGGGTCGATACGGCGAGAGGAAGGAGGGATGGAGCACGGCGAGTTCATTTTGACTGGTTGTTCGTTCACCGTGAACGGAACTTGTTCATGGCTTGCGATGCAGTAGGTCGACATAGCTGTGCACGTGCTGATCGAGCGTGCCTTTCTTCTCGGTCGCCCAGATAATTAATGGTGATTGAGAAAGACTTGACTTTGTGCATCGAGGCTCTTCTTATAAACAGCAGTTGGGCTCTGGGACATGGTGTCCTGAAGGCACCCGGTCACGTTGTCGGGGAATGGCTGCACGTGCTGTATTTCCCAGATTTAAGAGAGACTCAGTACGAGTCGGGTTCCTTTCCCGCACCCAAATGCAGCCAAGGGTCATCGTGTGATTCTCAATATCCTAGTGAAGAAGCTCACAGCCCTAAACAAGACTTTTCCTCACCATATACATATGTAATAGTCATAATATCATTGGCTCTAGAAAGTTTCATCACTCGACTCGTTTTAAAAAATAGATCTTAACCTAGAATCAAAGGCAATCATTAGTTTTGTCTCCTATACTGACTTGACAAATGTGATTCTTTCTCCTAATGAATCCAATTTTCTTCTGTATTTTTCTTTCTATAGAGGTTACAGAACAGGTACATTTGAGATTATTATTGACTTGCATTATAGTTAGTCTAGAGCACCTTTTGACCTCAAATGGTCATAGGGTGGATGTACAAGGTCAGGGTGACGTTCATATTGCGGGGGAAGCTCGAGGCTGTTGACCGTGGAAGAGATAAAGCTCTCCCGTTCCGAGCCGAGCCGACGACAGACTCAACGACCAAACAATGAGCATTTAGTAGCCTAGCCAGGAGAACAGAGTGTGGTTAATACGGTACTACCTTTGCTTTATGCCACATCACGGTAACAAATCCAGCGGCGGGGAGCCTCCACTCTTTTCGTTGGTTCCAGTGTCCAATGATTCGAGGTTTAATAAGCATTTTTCCGGGGTTGTCGGGTAGTAATGCTGTTACAGTGGGGGTCCAACAGTATGTGCACTCCCTATACTTAAAGGTACCTAGCGTCTCGTACCAGACAGATAGAGCCACTGGGTACCTTTATGTATAGGGGGTCACTTCCTTTTGGACCCCCACTGTAGCTGCGGGGAGGTCGGGATTTAGTGTCTGGGGTGTCAGATCCACCCTGACTGGGTCAGTTTAAACTACGTATTAATTTCAAGTTATACATAGATATTTTTATTTTATAGAAATATTGTAATTTTTTTTTTTCTTTTTTTTTTTTAAAAAAAAAAGAGTCTTTCGCTTTGCTTCGCAGAGTAAGCCTACCCCAGCGAATTCATTCTCAAGGACTCGTCGTCTGGGATCAACCTCCCAAGATACTTGCGTGAGACTAGGCTAGATTTCACAATTGCGTTAAATGAGTCACGCAAATTTCGATTCATAATGGGATTATGTTTAGTGTATAATGAAGAACTCGCTTCTCTAATTTTAAATCATCGCTCTTAGCAGCAACATATTGTGCAAGTGAGTGTCCCTGATCTAGACGAGCTTCTTACTCATCGAATGCCATTCCTACCGACTTTTGCAAGGGGAACCGAGTTATAAGGGGGAACCAAAACAAAATTTGGCGCTACCGGCTATTGAGGCGTCCTCAGGTTTCTGGAAGGAACACTTGACAAAAACGGAGCTGATCGGTCCATCCTCCCACCTCTCACATCCACCCGAAAAACCCGAGCACGAGTAACCGAAGATCCTATGGCCAATACGAGTCTGGAGATCTTGATGGGAGTCTCACCCCTGATAATCTTGGCTCACCAGGTCTTCCGGAATTGGCAAGATTAGTATCGGAGACTCGGACCATGCATCGAAGATCAAGTGCTAGCTTAACATAGGGCTCTTTGCTACCATTTCCATTTGACGTCGTTCCTTGCCCATCACCACAGAAAGTACCACGCGCGCGGCTTCCTCGGCTGAGTTTATCGTGCACAGATTTCAGGCTCTCTTCTTGGAGGATAATGGCTAAGTGTTTCTTGTTCTGAAAGGTGGAGGCACTTCTTGTCCATAAGGACCCAGGGAAAGCCATACATATAAGTGTCCACATTCCACACATTGGATATTGTTGTTTATCAACTTGCTAGAGTCTTCTGTTATTACCACAATAATTGCAAACGATCACCAGATATGCCTTCTATTGCCGACTCACGTGCAGCACTACCCACGGTGATCGACCTGACCACTAAGAAGGCGACTCGACTAACTAATATCCTGCCCCGGTCTCTTAACTTATCGAGGGGGCTTACGTAGAAAAGGAGGACTTTGAGCCTAGTATTTATTTGGTTTTCCAGCCACCAGACAAACTAACAGCGATGAGGTCCTCGAGGAGCGACTTCGCTTGAAGATGAAAGAGGGGCAGAACCCGGTATGCACCAAGCGTCTCGTCCACATTGCTGATATGACCGCAATTTTTGAATGGACAAATTTCTTTTAAGCCAGCTACGGTTGCTGATTTGGCCCCTGTCGAGGGAATGAAATACACTGATATACGATGTTTATGTATCCTTTAACTGGTCATACAATAATGATCACTCTAATTCAGCTTCGACGTTATTGCGAACGCTCGCATCTCCATGAAGTACATTTACCAAGGACGTAGGCCATGATGATAATCAACAAGTGACATAGACAGCGGAATTATCATATTATTCCTATCGGCGTACTCGGCTGTGATACTTGTGGCCCTCGAAACTTGGCGGTCTAGTTTTAGCTATGGACAAAAGCCTCCAGCCATTATTAGCCTAGTGAGTCTGCTGAGGAAAATCTAACGATTGCTGGCTGTCAGACTGATTCAGCCTCCGACCATACAGGTTGAAACAGCGGTAGAATTGGCGCGCAGTTCGTTCTTGGGAGAGGGAACTTTGCCGCCTAGTGGTGTCTGTCATCGCGTCATCGCTCAGCCCGTTATCGTCTTCATAGTTCTACATATGGTAGACTCTTCCATTTAAAACATCATACCGCTACGCGAAAGTCAGATTAACCATGCCTAATCTTCCGGCCTACCGCTTGAGAAATGGTTGGTCACCGAGCACTTCTTTGCTCCCCGGTTTCTCCTCAAATTTCGAGGCGCTGATCCAGACTCCACAATCTAGGATGTAGACTATATCGAACGCGAAAAGTAAAATGTGATGAGACCAAACCTTATTGTCACTATTGCTCGTCCTTGGGATTTCGCTGTGAATAGGGACAGACGATTAGCGGCGAAGAGCTCTCTATCCCAAAGCTTCGCCGAGTGTCGAAAGGAAGACGTCCTGCGCGGTCTGCCGGCCTGACCAAGCATGTAAAGACACCTGTCGCTGCAAGCCACGAAGTGGAATTGCCTTCACGACTCGGGACACATGCTCAGAAATTCAATAGTATACTATCGACATCCGCGTCAAGGGGTTTCCGAAGATATACACGTTAACCTCGTCCCTTATCGCAATCTTACTGTTTCTCCCCAGGCAGATATTCAATATCTCGATTTATTCCCAAGAATGTCCCTTGTACAATCTCATCCCAAGCCCTGTCAGTGGAGAGTTTTCTCGTACTTGCTCTCCGAGGCGAGAAATGAACCGCTGACTCTGCAAATGATGCTCGACCTGTCGGTCAGTGAAGGATGCGATAGAGGTCGTTTACCCCCAAGCCAAAGTGTCGAGACCCTTGGCGGGAAATATTACACTAATGGACTCCGCTATATGGTTATGCTCTGAGGCGAGGGATGCATGTCCGTGTAATATTCCCCAAATGAGCATGAAACCCTTCTCACGGCTCTTTATTTGATGATCAAATAAGAACAGCGGTTTGGGGGCTCGTCTGATAATATTCAGCTGCATCTGAAAGGAGCAGAGTCGCTGATGAGACACACTGAAACATCATTAGTATTGAGTGCCGTGTCTGCACAGATATTATATTACTGTGGGTATTGTATCCACCAAGTGACTGTTTCACAACCCCCGGCCCACACATAGCATTGTAGAAAGATTAACCCGTTCTTCTAGTTATATTGACAGTGCAATGACATGACAACCTGTACATCTGCACCTCTGGCTCGCACCTTTATGCAGCCTTCCTCAGGGGTGCTAAACATTGATGCTCTACATCGCTAGACTCGTCTTGCCTGTCAATTTGCATTGGAGATCCCTATCTAAATGACGCTATGATTGATGATGTAGAGAACTTTCGTCCACTGTAGTTAATCCATGTGGCTGAGCTACTACGATGGAAAGTTTGGTAAGTATCGCTTCGGGTAATGCGGTGGCGTTCACAGGACGTACGATCTGAGCCTGGAATACTCTAGAGCGAAATCAAGCAACGTCTAGATGTATGTTGCAACTAATTCTCTCCATATTTGGAATCAAGTATTCTAGCAATAACAATATGTCTAAAACAGCAATATCAAAATCATCTCATGACAGCTCGTACGACAGTCCACATCGCGCACAAAGCAGAGCCTCGTGTGCTTACAACCATTTCTTGGGCTGTTGCAGGTCTCTTGGTTGTGATCATTTATTATCATCGCAATTCCTGCATGGCCACCTCAACCCCTTCCAACTAGCCCACCCTCCCGTGTTTGGCCTTTGGCTGATGGGTGTTGTACCAATTCCCCCTCAGAAACAATGTCTTCCTCAAATTCACCCGTCTCTTCGGCATCCTCAAATATCATACCATACTCTGGTCCCTTTCAATCGACGATCTACAATAATGGTCTCCGGGACATTGCCATTGCTTACCGACAGAACGATATCGGAAGGGACCTGCTCTCAATGCTGCAATGGCCGATCATGCTCGCAGTCCTTGAAACAAAGCATTCAATCTACCATGATTGGCTCTAAGATTGACTGAAAGAGCATCGTCACGCAAGTCTAGAATGCTAATAGGCACATATATCAGCAAGTCGCTAACCTGACAAGCATCAATCGGGATGAATGAACCAAATAAGCTATAGTAGAGTTTGGTCTAGAAACCCCACTTTCACCTCTTTCACCTTGAATATCATAATATCTCCATCTTATTCCAAAGCTGTCTTGATGGGAATTCTGTCAGAGATTCCTTACTCCCCTGAAGACGAAGATCAGTGTGACTCTATACACACAAGCAGAGCAAGGGAATAAAATGAGTACTCGTAGGTTGGTAGATAGACAAAACACGTCTAGAAGAGCAGCTCGCAGGGCATGTAGAGAAGGTAGCGCTAAGCGCTGGTGATAGAATAATTTACAACTCGCACAAGAACTCGAACGAAGTGTTATTGTATGGTCATGGAGCAATATATGTTTAACCGCAGCTGCGGGATTGAGTTCATGCTTTTCAAATACCCACGCTGATTTCAAAGTTGCACGTTATGTTCACCCCTTTCTCAGTAGCATTATCCTCAATCAATGTATCCCATTCATGGATACTCAGCTACGAACCTTGCGACCTTACGCAGACAACTGCAACTTGATATTTGTAGGCCCCTTGTGCCCAATGGTCTGGTTGATTGTCCTGACGGTCCAATTCCTCTGAATATTGGATTGGATTAAGGAATTCTCATACTAAACAATGGGACAAATTGAAAAAGCTTGGTCTATGATCAACCTGAAGGCCCGCTTTTGAACGACGGAATCCACGGCCATTCTTCCAGATATACAATTAAAAATTCTTTAATGGATTCTAATAGGGCTGCACGAAAACACTCCTTCACTTAACTTCTTAACAGAGAGTGGTACTACATTATTTAAGTGATCGAGGTCTCTGGCTGTCTCCCGTGCATCCTAGACCAATCGATGCTATCAGTGTCAATCCCGCCCGAGAAAATAGCGACAGATCAACACGACGCATCGCACGGACCAATGTCGCTAACTCTCTTGAGATTAGTTTCTACATTCAAGCAAGCCAAGCCTAATCCGGCAATACTAAATGGCCAATAGAGAATGACTAGGTAGTAGAATAATGGGTCAGCCATGTCGTGGAATGTAAGTATAAGGTACATATTCTAGGAAGCTCGTCCTGTTTTCCCGTATTCAACTAATATATGGCTGTGCTAGGGGCTGGATAAGAGCTCCGAAGACTTTAACGAGGGTTCTCGGCTTTGACGTTCGCAATCTAGGACAACGTTGCATGTATATAGCATCGGAGAGTCCTCTTGAACATTGACCAATTAGGGTTTCTCCATTACTGGACGGTCACATGGTCGACCAATCCAGAGCAGGAGTAGTGACGTCAACGCCGAAAAGAGTAAGTGATATCCTAAGATTAGCCCTCAATTGCTGACCCCTCACGCTCCACCTCAGCTTCGGTGACCTGACTTTAGTGACTTCCAGAGTTGACCCAGGTCAAGCAAGGTCCGCCGGAGCTGATGGTGGTAAAATATGAACAGGATCCCCAGAAGCAGGAACATTGTGCATGATATTTTCTCCCAAGGGTGCTCCAGTCGTCCATTCCCTAGACCACCAGTTCAAAAAAGCTTCACAATCCAGCAAATAGCTGGAATCAATTCGGCAAGACCGGTCCCACGTCCTTTAACCCCTCAGTTAAGAACCCATCGACCATCCAGAAGCGCAAACATGAGCAGTCGTGTGCCTATCGAACCGCAACGAGTCGACGCACCGTTGACACAATCCGCAACCTTCCTTGTCGTGTCAGTCAAAGACAGTTCCGAGGCCATTCAAACGGTCCGTTCGACTCTCGCCAGCGTCGATGACCTCTCCAAAAACGTTTCTATTCGCGACCTCGCCGCCCAATTCGCATGTACCGTCGGAATCGGCAGCAATGTCTGGGATCGTCTTACCGGTCTCCCTCGCCCGGTCGAGCTGCATCCATTCCGTGAGATAAAGGGCGAAAAGCATACAGCAGTGTCTACTCCCGGTGACCTGCTTTTCCACATCCGCTCAGATCGTCGTGATTTGTGCTTTGAATTCGAACGCCAATTGATGGACCTCCTCGGCGACTCCGTTACAGTCGTCGATCAGACGGTCGGGTTCCGGTACTTTGATGTGCGCGACTTGCTTGGGTTTGTGGACGGCACGGCCAACCCAGTCGGCCCATCAGTTTCCGATACAATCCTCGTCGCAGAAGAAGACAACTCCGCCACCGGAGGCAGCTACATCGTAGTGCAAAAATACGCACACGACCTCCAAGGCTGGAAATCACTCTCCTCCGAGAAGCAGGAAGCAATTATCGGCCGCACCAAGTGGGAAAATATCGAGTTGGATGATGCGGACGAAGGTAAACAACAATCACACAAATCGCTGGCGACGATCGAGGAGAATGGAGAGGAGCATGAAATTCTCCGCGACAATATGCCTTTCGGAAACCCTAGCTCAGGCGAGTTTGGAACATATTTTATTGGATACACTCGGCGGTTATGGGTTATTGAGAAGATGTTGGAACGCATGTTCATTGGAAACCCCCCTGGATTACATGATCGCTTGCTTGATTTCTCGAGGCCGCTCACTGGAGTGACCTTTTATGCACCGCCGGCTAGTGTTCTGGCTGGGTTGGAGGATGATTAATCTCTTGTAGAGTTGGTTGCAAGGCTCCATAGGTTTGTGGTTCTGATCTCGAGGAACTAGATGACTTCTCCGGTGTGTAGCGGTCTGAAACGCTTTTGTTCGCCCTTGTGAAATGGCAGCGAAGACTTGCATTGCAATAAACGTCGGCGAAAGTGAATAAAAAGATAGCTTTAGAAAAGAAGGCCCTTCCGGAGGTACTGTCTGCACGCTACTAGCCGGTGGCTTCACAATAACGCTTAAGGTCTTCACGTCCGTACCCTATCGAGACCCAATTTATGAGTTTTGTGTGCATCTACTACATACTCGTTATACCAATCTCACCTCCAAATAGTTTAATGTTTATCAATGTCCACTCCCCACACAAATAATTACGTGATAAACACACGATAGATGTTGCTAGGAAATAATATACGTTGTGCAAAATAGTACCTCCAGACCAAAGACGCGGCATGGGACGGTTGGGCCTGGCGTCAGGCAAACAAGCTTAATCCGCCGAGGAGAATGGGGCGATCATGTCACTGGCCACGCGTTCACGGGCTGCGTTTATCTGAACTGAGAGACGCTAGCTAGTATATCCAATAATATTCCTCGAGCTTATTTCCTCTGTATAGGTGATTAGGCTGAATTCACATTCCGAGGCCATGTTCCGTAATGATCAGCTTGCTCTCCCAAAGGGCTGTAGATGTAGGCATATACCCATAACACAGTTCCTCACGAGTCTAGACATTGGCCATTCTATGAAACAATGTCTCAGATGTCCAAGACTCCAATATAGGACTCGGAGCCTCCGACAAAGCTCCGAGGTGTCCGGAGCCTGTAGATCTCAGGTCCAAGACGTTAAATCCTTTACCACATGCTTAGCGTATTCATGTTCCCTGGACGATCTACGCTCTGGCTTCCATATATGACCTTTATATGAAGCGGCCCGAGAGAGCACGGCTTGATGAATTCTATGAACAACACGACTTTCCCGGGGATAGACCACTTCCGCCCCGGCGCTATGTTTCAGATTCATGATCGTTTCTGGTGGCCGGCCTATCACGACAACTTCAACTATCTCTTTGCCGTTCTTTAGGCACTGATGGCTGGGTTGGTCTCCATACTAGATGATCTGATTGTATCTAATCACCAGTAACGTGCGGAGGCAAGAGGGCGTGGTGTGGCTTCCGACGGGATGGATATATATTCGTTGGCGTAGGTGTCGACAGAGTGAGGGAATTTTTTCTCGCATTCGTAACTTCATCTGTTTCTCTCCGTTAGCCTTCGAACATATTCCGCCTTTAGTGTCAAACAGGATCGATAGAGATGGTAGCAATGACGCGATATTCATTTGGGATTGCCGTGGTAGCAACCATCCTGCCATCGGTGTGGTGTGCGATGGTTAATCTGCCAATTCACTTTCGCAATAGTTATGTATGTGGATAGCCTAATTCTCGTATACTAAATGTTAGCTAACATAACCAACGCCTTCAGGCATCCGTGGAAGTAGATATTGGGACACCTCCTCAAGCACATTTCCTTCATTTCGACACTGGTTCATCCTCCACATGGGTGGTTGACCAGAAGTGCGCGACAACTTGTCCGAACGGAAGCGGGTATGATGACGTCCATGGATAAGCATGAGTGTTTCGCAAGTCGAAAGGCTAACCAGACCAGGTATGTCCGCAAAGGTTACAACATCTCCGCCTCTTCGACTGGTACGCCTCTAGGGACTTATGGGAGCATTGATTATTTTGGGGGAAAGACTGCCGGCCCAGGTGTAGCCGACACTTTCAGCCTCCTGGCTGGAACTCAGGGGCATGCTGCGTTAACATGGAATCAAACATTCTTGGCTGCGAATGAGACCTCTTGGCGATTCATCTCTGCGGATGGGTTCTTGGGATTGGCCTTTAGCACGATTGCTGTCGCAAACACCACAACGGTGGTCGAGACGCTGATGCAGCAGGGTCACCTTGACGAGCCCCAATTTGCGATCTACTATGGTAAAGAGTTCGAGAATACCAGTACAAACCCGGAAGGTGTTTTTACCATCGGTGGCTCGAAGGAGGAGCAGTATGTCGACGGTGACTTGACCTACGTCCCACTAGCACAGGAAAAAGAGTATCAGGTATGGCGCGCCACTCTCTCATCAATAACTGGATCAACCAATGCAGGCAAGAAGCAAGCCACCAGTAAATTTGAAGGGGGTCGAGCAGTCTTCGATACCGGGGCCGGAGCACTCCAGGTACCGTCAAATGCCATTTCAGAGATTTACGCATCAATTGGCATGAACTGGACCGCCATTAGTCAAGGTGGACATATCCCCATGTGCTCAGACTTCAACTCCAGCTGGTCGGTTACTTTTAATTTCGGGGAGTCCGAAACAGACCCCAAGTTGACTTTAACCGGCGATCAACTCGCCCAGCCGGGGTTTGCTGACAGGAAGGATGCGTGCAATCCCCCCTTCGACGATAGTGGGAGCGAGGATTTCGCACTTCTTGGTACGCCATTACTTCAGCAGTTTTATACTGTGTGGGATTTTGGAGCTACGGAGGTGGCCGACTATCATCCTCGGATTGGATTTGGGAAGTTGAAAGCAGGAGTGCGACCGTGATTGAGGAAGTGTTACTACTAACCCACCGGTGATATGGGATTTATTTTTGACTGTGTTACAATTAGGAGTGACCAAAACCTATATCTACGGGGATGAGTGGGCATCAATGACTTGTTATATCCACTCGCTGTGTTGTGCGGTGTGTGCTTAGTGGTCACACCCTCTATTATTTATGATCTGTGCGTAAGCAAAAGGTCTAACCAATACCACACTGTCGAGGATTTGACTCTTTACTCCACTATGAATAAACGAAGGTATCCCTAGCAGGTCATCGGGGCACATACCCGGCCAGCGACAGCTCTAGCAAGCGATAAAACGTTGGTGGCGTTCCCACTAGTAACTGACCCAGACGCTGAGGAGAGAAAAGGTGGAATAGGAGAGAAGGAAAGGGGTATTTTTCAGCAGGATAATTCTGTTTTATTTCAATTTGGGGGTTTCTAAGCGAAGCAACTATCATTTTAGTGCCATGCAGGATCCTAAAAGCGTGTATCTTGGCCAACAGAGCCTCACAAAAAGGCCCACCGAAGTCAGGAACAAGTTACCAGTGAGATTCTAATTTGCACTGCTCTTGAATTAGTAGTTAATATGGGTATCGATGTCCAAAACTAATAATGGGACTACCAATGACTGTATACAAGCTCTTCTCGACGGGGTATGAACATCAGTGGCTGAGTTAAAGTGGTCACCAAAATAATGTGGAAAAGCCGGCACTAAAGAAGATCCACGTCGCTCTTGGTGGACCCTGAGAGAGGAGCTAAACGGCGAGGCCGATGGCGGTGAAATGGGGATCGGCAAAGCAGTTGAGAGCCGGCATAGGACTGCCGACACTGCCCCCAAACTAAGGTCTGGGGGCCAAATGAGCCTCATCCAGTTGATCATTGTTGAGAGCCTCGCTGGGCTGCGTACTTCAGTAATTGTGGATCAATAGGCTGGACGGGGAGAAGATAAATATGGCCATCTTCTTCTCGTGTTGAGGTCCTTCCTACCATCAAACACAACTGTCTTCTGCCTGCTCAAAACATCATTTTCTGGCTGCGAGCGTATTTGGTCTGGATATCAAGCTCAAACTTATCCATCACCAGCAAAAGGTCAACTTAAATGCAATCCTTCTGATTCTATACCACCCTCTACCATCCACCACAACACACCACAACACACCTCAATCATGACGAACAGCAAGTGTCCTGCAACCGTCCGTACACCTCCAATTGGTCTCTGGAACTCGACCGAGGTCGTGGCATTCCCAAATGATCACCAATACCTCCTCGACCATCAAGCCTGCTGCGGAGAGACAAACCAGATCAAACTCTATAAGAAGACATGCTTCCGCTTTTGCAGCACCTACGGCAATCAAAGCAATGTCACTTCATGTTTGGAAGAGCGCGGCGTGAAGCAGGTAGCCGAGTTTCACAACAACAAGGGCGGGCAGTCCATGGCCCCTCATCAACTTTCCAAACCTGCTCTCGGTCTCCTTTTTGTGGTGCTGATAGGATATGTCATGGGACCTCTCGGGGAGGCTCTCTTGGCTGCATAAATCTTTGGGGATCTGGAAGATTGGGGCGTTGGGGAAGTCCTATGAGTATATCGGGAGATGGTGTATCTGTGGATATCCTGTGTTTGATTCACTCTAGAGTATTACTGTATAGAATAATGAATAATGATCACATTTTTACTTGCCACACGCTACATTGTATCGCAAGATTTTCCGCGGGGGAAATCAGGGGTTCGGGGATTCGACGGAACAGCCTGGCTAACCGCTGGAAGGATTTGATGCGCCGGCTATCATTGATTTCAAATCACTGTTTTGGGGAGATTAGAAGGCACTAGCCATTCTTGTGCAGACCGCTTGATACAATCGCAGACGAAAAGGGTTAAAGCGCCCACTTTGAGTCGCTCTGCCGTGGGGGCCAAAGACCAGTCCGGTAGATCTTTTGACCTATTTCAGCCAGAAGGCAGTGTTATCCCGAGGTTATAAACAACCTCACGGTGAGATTAAATTCACTGGAATCCAACACTTTATATAGCTTTGGGGAAATTGCGCGGCTGTAAATAACGACCACCCTTCATAAGCTGTCCATATGTCAGTGGAGAGCACGGTAGTTCTGAGTTTTGGCATTTCCTCACTCACCAAGTACGCCGCGAGACTCTATCGAGTTGTAGACCGTTGCCCGTGAATTTGGCTTTTGCTCTATTCCCGGAATACCTGGCAAGAGAAAGGTCGTATCCATGATAGACTGATGGCTTAACCATGGCGTGTATCGCACACGTAGTAGTGGAGTTAAAGGCTCAGTTGGGTTGACGCACAGCCTGTTGGGGTCTAGGACGGCACGTCTGTCGACGACTGACAGCTCCTGTTGATTTTTGTTCGCTCTTTCAAGCCGTTTCTCTGGATTGCTCACTTATATATCTTTTTTTTTTGGTTTTTTTCTTTTCGCCAGGAAGGAATTAGGCAGCTGATTGTAGCGACCTGATATTATTCTGGCTATTAAATGCCAATCATTGTTAGAGCGAGGGCCATGCAAAGATAGCATTTTAATTACTCCATCGATGACCACTCCATGTCGAAAGGGTGCCTGTGGATAAATGTTAAGCAATTAAATGAAAAGATTTGTCTTCTCTGTATGGGCCTCGAGCTTTTCCCAGCCGCCTGCGGACGGGTTCTAAGACATTTATAACCTATGATGACTGTGTGCATGTATGTACAAGGGACGAAGGACACTGCCTGGTAGTAATTTATTCACTCACCAGCCGTGAATAGAGGAATAAGAAAACAATCGAAGGCCGACCTCTATCGTCATGATTTTGGAATGATCCACTTGAGCTTTCGGCAAGAACCCAGGCTGTCCATTGTTTTGTTAATCCTTTCAGCCATCCAGCCAGAGCCCATGCCAGCTTTGCTACTCCCTCGCCTGGCTACCTTGGAGGTCAAGCACTTTCCGGGCTCGTAGGAGTATTGATGACATTGGTGATCCTTCTGACATTGCGCTTGACAATCCTCCCGACTGCCAGTAGCTTCGATGCTCTCATCGGAGGAAGCATTGTCCCAGTCCTCCCTCATTTCCTGGATTTGTGGGCGGACGAACTCTTCGAATACATGAGCATGCAGAAGGGTCTGCTTTTGTCTCTAATAGCTTCTGAATAAGTACGGTTTACCCTGAGGTCCAGGACAGTGTAGACTTACATTCGCCCACCAACTCTGCTCAAACTCCCACGTTTCTCGAATATCATCCGGAGTCATATGATGGTAGGTTACCACCGGGGTACACCAATGATGGTCAGTATTGGGTCCATAGTGGGAGAATGTCCAGGGTGTGTCCCCTTGCAGCATTGGATTCGCGAAGAAAAGACCGACTCCAGCGTCCTTCAGCGCCTTTCCCAGGACACAATCGCCCGCCCAGTGTCCAGCGGTAAAGTCGTCATATTCCTTAACTCTAGACGCATGGTGATCGGAAACTTTATGCATAGCCGCCTGGGATAAGACGAGTCCTGATCCTCCATGACCAAAGACGATGTCCAAGATCTGTACCCCGGATCCCATATAGTATGGCTGGCTGGGATCAAACTTTTCCAGCCAAGCCAGAAGGTTTGGCCATACCACGTACGTGTCTGCCTCGATGAACACGTACCACTTTGCGTCGGCCCGAATGTTGAGCGTTTCATTGATCATAGGCAAGAATTTCCACTTGTCTAGGAGCCATCCCCGATTATCAGGTTTGCCCGATGGCGTGCTTGGATCGTCGTTGATGTCTTCCGCTGTTAGCCCGGCGCGCCCGGACTCACGTAGTCGGTTGTAAAGGTCGAACTCGGCGTTGGTCTGTTTAATATTCTCATCGACGCTGCGCAGGACGTCGTGTACTTGGATACCAGCTATTTCCTCTTCGAAGTCGGAGAAAAGGACAAAATTCGGAATACATTTCAGGGTAGTATTAAAGTGGACTGGCACTTTCTCCAATGCTTCGGTAGCTCCAGTTTTTAGGACCACGAGAACGTCGTGTATCCCTGGTAGGTCAGGGCAGTCGGATGGATTTGATGCGACTGGGTCAACGTTGGTATGATTCTGTGATTGGATAAATTCCTGCTCTGCACCGTGTGTGTCTTTCCTAAACCAAAAGAAATAGTTTAACAGTAGGAAAAGCAGTAAAGGGGCCACAAGTAGAGGGATATTTCGCCCACGGGAGGGAGACATTGCTGAGAGTGCGATGGTTGAGAAGGATTAATTGATCTGGTGGGAGTGGGAAAGACGGTCTCCACAGTTTTTAAAGTGACATTGACTTGACGTTACCTTATCTATTAGTATTACTATGGGGAGGGGGGGGGACCTTTTTTCACAGGCACCAGTCAGGTCTTTGTTTACTTGGTGAATGGACCCTGAACTCTATCTCGATGCTTTTCATAGGCCGAACTCGCATCCGGTAAGCGCTATCCAGAAACGGGGCCAATGGGAAGAACGGAACCCCTGCCTAGCTTCACTACATTAGCGCGCAATGCTTAATTGGGATCTTCTGCCGTGCTTCACTCGAGATATAATGTCAGATTAGGTAAGGAAGCATGGACTATACCACGGTTGTGATCGAAGAATTGCTCAAAGTCATGTATGACCTCGGTGAATGATGGTACCTTGATTGAAATACATATTTCGATTCTTTTCCTTACCTGGGATGTACATCTATAACCGACCTAAAGTCGCTCAATCGACCATTCTATGACAACATGCTCTTATGGTTGTGGGTTGCCCTCCTCTTCCTAGTTCATCATTCTCTCGCTGGATGTCCTGCAGTACTTCTTCCCCAGCCAGACATCTGGCCTGATGGCAAATTCTTCTATCCCAACGGAGCGCCCCAGTGCTTCACGCAAGGATCAATCATGAATATCAGCTGGGAGACAAAGTACAAGACGACCAATCTGTATCTAGTTCAGGGTGCCAACTACAATGATCCAGTCGCTCTTACATGTAAGTCCAGGTGGTACCCACACATTAGACTGATGATCTTGACAACAGCTACAGTGAACACAGCAGCTACCTGGCACGAATGGAGAGTTGGGTACCCGACTCGAGATGATACCAAGCCGTTTGTACTCCGACTAGTCAACGCACAGGGTTCGAGCGACGACATGGCAGTTGGGGGGATCTGGAGCGCCAGATTCTGGATCGGTTGGAATCAGGATGCTTCGTCTAGCTCTATCCTTACTCCTACGCCAACGCCCACGGGGGTTGCGACCGTGACAGATGAATCATATAGCACTACCACCATCTCTGCCTCGTCAACAAGTCCCTCGGAATCAAATAAAGAAACTTCATCGCATGGTAAAACCCTCGGGATAGGCATTGGTGTTGGCTTAGGTGTGCCTCTCTGTGGTGCTGTTATTGTGGTTGTGCTCTTCTTACGTAAAAGAAGAAATCAACCCAGGGCCGTCGTTCATGACGGGCCCTTTGCACCACCTGCTTCTAATACGAGTTGCACAAATCTAGCTGGCCCGGAGAATATGTTTCTCGAGGGTAAGCGGGCGTATGAACTCTCCGGCGAAAGTAGCAGAAAGGAAGCCGACAGTAGTCATGTTCGATATGAGCTAGCTTGATCGATGTTGATCGTATCACACCGTCCAGGAAACGGAGTTTGGAAGTGAATAAGGGCTATCACTAATAGTAGACTGCGCATAAGGAATCTCACATCTCCACCAAGTCCAATACAGACATTCTGTATACCCCTGTTCAGTTCCTCCCCAGTAATTCATTCAAGACTGAGTTGCCACGATACTCCAAACCGATCATTCACCCACGCAAATTGGCGGCTGAACCCATAGTTATCCAACGACATAAGTACCTCACCTCCTTCACCCAAAGCACCCACAATACGATCGATCGCATTTTCACCATGTTCATCGTTAAATTTAACAAACAACGACAGCGAAGGAGTGAACTTGAAGGCATGTTTCACGTAGCTGTCGATTGCCATCACCTCAAGGGAACCCCCAATGTTCGCTCTGGCCATGGAAACCTTCCCTTCAGTACCTGCTTCCCCGGGTCCATAGCGCGTAATGGAGATGATAGTGGATCCTGGGATTGTTTGGACGTAGAAGTTCAAGGCCGCTTCGGCGTCGCCTTCGAACATGAGGAAGGGGTTGACGGATGTTGTAATTGAACCCATTGTTGTTTGCGAGTGAGAGTAATATGGCCGTGTGCTATCGGCATGGATATCGTGCATTGAGTCGTTTAGAAAAGCGACGTATTTAAACTAGTTTAAGTCTCCAGGTAGTTTAACTTTGCAGTCTAGGCAGCACTAGGCAGAACACAATGTTTTGTGGGGATTTAATGGCTCTTGGCAAAGGGTCTATTCATCCCTTTGACTTTTTGAGTCCTCGATTGAGTTATAAATTCACTCACCTTAGATATATAATATAACGGTCCCTTGGTTGGAATTGGTTTTGGATAAAGTAATTTTAATTGATCATGTTCTTTGATCAGAGCCGCCTTGATCATAGAGCCACGATATATTACGAGACGGCCGTCTACTTCCAACAAGATCCACATACCTACGATAACTGATATACATAGGCTTAGCGTACAGCCAGAGTGGTTGGCTGGTCTTTAACAAGTTATATAACTACTGTAGGATACGATTTATCCCCAAGCACGATAGGCCACTTATTGAGGATATGAAAAACCTCTTCCTCGTAGAAAATTAAGGCATGGACACTTATTCCGAAACAGCTAAAGATAGTAGCGTACGTGCTTTTCTTTGTTAGTTTCACGTCTACCCACATCATAGTGCAGTAGGTATTAAAGTCAGTTCTTCTTTGCCGCCACTTGATTACAAGAACTGTTTAGCTAACCATGGGAGCTTTTGTATCGAAACCTAATGTGTAGATAATTATGCACTGTAATAGACAGAAGCCCACCCAGTTTATCACAAGCCTCGCCTAAACCAACACGAATAATTATAGAGTAATCTAGTAAGCATAGGCATTATGCGCTTACTATTTCCAGACGACTATAGGCTTTCCCTTCTATATCGCTCAGTACAAAGACTAATGTTCACGGGCCACGGAATGGACCCTTTACTAATTCCGCACTCGAACGGATACAACGGATGAATTAGGCATCCACTGGAACTTCATGGCAAATCAGCCATCTAGTCTTGACAGCTAAAACTTAGTCACGGGGCAAGCATCTGGTCCAGATTGGGGCCAAAAGGACCAGCCTTCTTCTCCTTTCGGAAACCCCGTCGCTAAGCATAGGGCCTTGAGTGGTCTCCTACTCGAACATTATATCCCTCTATCCGGTAATGCCGAGCTATATTTAGCCTTGAACATAGTAGGGTTACATCCGGTGTTGGGACCGCCAATTGGCATTGCATTTTAATATATTGTGGAGCAATTTTGCATACTAATTCTCTCTATTATGCCATTATAGCTGCGCCATTCAGGATTCATTGGGGCTAGAGTAGATTTAGGTTAGCGAGCATTCCCTAGACTCCAGCTAGGCTGTACGTGGGTTATAATTTACAAAATATGAAAGGAACGCCCGGCTTCTTCCCAAGGGCTTAGTCTCCCCGAACGCTGTTAGAAGTCTTCTCATTTTTATGATTTTTTTCTCTGGTTCATTGTTCTGTGAATGGGTAGAAACTGGAGTCATACGACTTGAAGTAATCACACTTAACCAGCAGTGAGTAAAATAATTATCTACTAAAGAAAATGAAGAAAAGGAAAAAGGGTAGCTACTATGCACCCTCGATCTGCTTCGGGCCCAAACTCAATCTACAAGACGTTGCAGCTCACACCACCTCTTTTTGGTCAATATCCGGGGTCAGATGATCAGTTGATGCAGGCACTAAAGACGCCCTTCCACTACAATGTCGCTTTCGAAGACTCTTCACAGCGAGTACAAAAGCAACAATCCCGACGGACAGTATTGTCAGCTGCCATACGTAAGGCTCAAGGAGAACTTCGGTGATAACAGCCTTCAGAGGGGAGGGCGGTCGTGCAGTCAGTCGGTGCAGAAACTCGCCATGATAATGATGGGCTCGCAACTCCGTAGCATCAGGCATTGTCAAGTGACCACTTTCGCGCGGACTGCTGTCGAGGTCGAGGGGATGATGGAATAGCGGAACTTGCAAATCGATACCGGGGATGGGCGGATGGTACTCTGAACTTTCAGTGATCTCATAATTCTTGTCTTTTTCTTCAAGCCATCGCTCATAGTCGGTCTTCGGCCGATTATGTTGTAAAGACTGTGATTTATCTGTGCGCACTGGACTCATTTTGTATTGTGTTGCCATAGATGCTTCCTCAGTCGTATTTTGCTGCAGACTCCAGAGTTAGCCCTTAGGTCGTTAGGTAACAGAACTTCATCAACGACTTACTTGTCCTAGGTAATTTAGCACCATTAGTAGTGTAGTTTGTCGCTCGCAGAGAACAAATGCAGACAATATAGAGTAATCTATTAAGCTCAGTCCAGCTCTTCAAGTAGCACACACGACGTTTAAGGCTCAAAGACGCTGGCTGTACAGGCGATTCATAGACAGGATATCAATGATGTTCTAAATCATCTCGGTCTGCCCTGCTGGTTGGAGCTTTTCAGAAGTAATCTTGAGAATAAGCCATTCGCAAGAAGGTGCGGCTACAAGTGTGAATTTAGCGCCGAGCGGTCTCTATGGAGGATTTGTTATGGGCCAGGATGTTACTTTGCTGCCACTAATACTAGGTGAATGGTAACGACGGATCCTATAATACTGTAGTATTAACTTGCATGAACAGGGGTTCCCCTGTTGTGATGACGTGGGAAGTTGCTGTAGATGGGACTTGTGAATTTTCCTCTTCCAGCATTGGTGATCCCCAACGCATTAGCCCAGCACGGCGCACTGGAATTAATAAGGGAATAAATAAATAAAGTGATTGAACATTCCGTCGGTCTTATGGTGGGACTAATGATAGGTAGTGGAAAAGCATATGTTAGGTTGTCGATTCCATCCATATTGAACCTCGGCTTGATGGCTATAATATTGCGCTCTTTAGGGCATAACCATGTGTGGGTACCGGAGAACCCCCTTTACATCCTTGTCTTGTTGCTTTTTGTAATTAAGCATTTTTGTTCTACCTAGTGTAGTTAACTGAATGTCACTCACGTGGATAATCAGAATGTGTCCAAAATATTACACAATAAGGGTATCGATCAGGCGACTTTATCAGGATATGACTTGTTTCTTCAGAAGGCTCTTGTTTGAGTAACCATGAACAGCCTACATCAAACGTCGCCTTTCCCAGAGGCCTTTGCTGTTTTTACAGGGGCAATACGAGAGAATACTAACAGTATGAAGCTGGAATTCAACAAAGAGGTACTTGGACGCAGAAATCGGCTCGTTGGGACACAGCAGCTGCCAGAGCTGAGTAGTTAACCTTCAGGGCAGCAGTGCTTTGGAAGTAATGCAACTGCGATATGTTTTATGTACAAAACGGCCTGGGTGACGGGTTTTATAACGAGGACCAAGGATTACTGATTATGATAAGGTCAATTCACTGTCCATCGCTAACACTTTTCAAACCCTTATTTGCATTCTACAAGTGATGATGGCGGATCGTCAGTGCAATCAACGAGCCCAAGATCGAGAAGACCAGACAGATTACTACCCATTTTTAATTAGCATAAACATACCTAGTCAAAATCGTGAAAAAGACTCACCGTAAGTATTCTTCAATCCAGCCACAAAGCAGCCCACCACAATCTCCCAAATCTTTCCCTCGAGTTTGGCTATATAATTCGTATCCGACGTTGCGCGACGAATAATCTACGGACTGTCAGTACACGAGCTTTCCAATCAATCTTCTCGAGCTCTATTACCTTATTCGCCCCCTTGCCGTGCAGGTTCTGTTCTAACTGATGCTTGAATCCTAATCCGAGAACCGTATTGGTCATGGTGATGCCAGTCGTCATGGCGAAACTGACTATGAGCATGTATCCACCGGTCGCCATGGCCATGTTCTGAGGCTCGAGTAGAGCTGTCATAGCGACGAAAGCAGACGCCGATGCGATGCCCGTACCTATACCTCCGGGAATGATATATAAGGATTCTCCAAAGTTCGTATGGCCGTTCCATCGGATGAGCATGAGAACATGAGTAATTGCAGCGACAAGTCCTCCAACGACTAACAATGCCTTGTAGCGGCCTGTTCGACGGATGAACGTGCCCGCTAATAAACCTCCGACCGTGTTTCCGACCACGGCTGGGACCAGATGGCCGCCTGCGACGGTCGCGGAAGCGCGTTGTGACACTTGGAAGTATAATGGGACAGAGAATAGCATGCCCAGCTGGCTGGTGATCTGAAGGAACCCAACCATATAGCTGGATGCCACGTTTGGTCGGGCAAGAATCCGAAGATCGAAGATGGGCTCGGCTGCGACACGTTCAGCCCAGACGAAGAGCACAAGTAATGCGATACCGATACCGCCCAACAGGAAGGAAGGGAGTGAGATCCATGCGAAGGCATGGCCGCCTCGATCGAGGAGCATGATGATCGCCACCACGGATGCTCCAAGTAGGCCCGCTCCCAGGAAATCAACGCGGCGAATAGAGGCTTTCGATGGGGCGTGGTATGTGATGTTCAGCTTGGAAATAACTAGAAGGCCACCGAGGACGATGAAGGGGATTTGTAGAAGAAACAACCTGGTACCATAACAAGACCCTATTGTTAATGAAATTCTTGAAAAGGATTTCACTCATAAGCGTACCAGCGCCATCCGATGGCGTCCGTCAGCCATCCACCAACAGGACCTCCGACACTTCGACCCAGAGTCATGGCGATATTGATATATGCTCTCCATGAGGCGACCTCACGTCGGGGAACGATATCTGCAAAGCAAGTCAGCCGCCAAGGTTCTATTCTGATTTGTGAAGAGCATACCAGTGATAATAACCGAACCAAGGGTCATAATGCCAGCACCTCCGATACCACTGACTGCTCGGCCTACTATGACCGTCCAAAGATCCCGACCGATGCCCCTGAATAACCACTCGTTAGCAGATGAGTGCACCACCACGCTATACTGAACCTACGAGACAGCACAGCCCAAGCCAAATAGTACGTATGCCGCAAGTAGAAGCGCTTTCCGTCCATATATATCGCTCAACTTTCCGTACATCGGTTGCGCGGCACAGACCCCCAGAGTATACCCCGTCGACAACCAGCTGGCATCCTGAAGCTGGTTGAATTCAGACGACACCTTTGCCGTCGCAGCCATAACTAATGTGCTATCGGCATTCGAGATAAATTCACCTATCGTAAGTCAGTCGCCTGGTATCCGCTCATCCAGCCAATACAATATCTAACCGAGTAGTAAGACAGCCACGATAGTGCTGATACTGGTCGACAGCTCTACTTTGCGTTCGTCATTTGCGGTCGGACTGGAAAGCAAGGGACTTTCCTCGTCATGGCCATGGCCATTTGGCTGTCTGTCGCTGTCCTCCGAGATAACCTGGTAAGAAGGCACTGTCCCGCCCCGTTCCTCCTGAGAGGAATCACGACGACCCACTGCATCTGTTTCGGTGACCATAGCTGCAGTACCTGAATGTTATCTATCCAAACATCATACTAACAAAGAACGAAGGGAAAATAAGTTATCTTATCATTGCGACAGCTTAAGCTAGCTCGATGGCGCAATTGCCGAAAGTCGTGCGTGCCTGGCCCTAAGCCTTTATCCGGCCATATAGAGGCTCCTTAACAATACTGGGGTCTACTCAGATAACGACTTTCACTTCTTCTTACTGGACAGTATCAAGGAGTTATTCAACAGGCGAGATTGAATCCCACCGATTTCACACGATGGGCACCAATCATTTGTGTGGAATTTGGTTGCTCATCGGATACCGGAAGCACGTCATATCGGATATGGATGACTGATCCACCGACTCCGATATCGAGCAGTATACTACTTTGACGTTGGAATAAAGTCAATAGAAGTTTCAGATTTTATCCACAAAGGAATTTAGCTACAGTGACATTGTGATTTGCACAATTAGTGGCATTTGTAGGGGTTGCGCCTTGTGGGGATTGGGACATTCTCCGGGACTACAGTGATTATATATTTCAGACTGCTCCGCTGGCGGCCATCTAACCGACAAGGCAAGAGATTTTACTCAAGGAATAACACAATAAAAAAGCAAAAATTTTTCTCTGGGTCAAAAGAAAAAAAGGCAAAAAAAAAAAAAAAAAAAAAACTATTTGTCATGGATTGGCCAAACGAAAAGGCCGAACAAATCATTCCATACGGTTGTGCGAGGACATACTCAGAGCACTTCAAGATTTTCAGTCGAAAAATTTGAATCTCCACAATAGGGCTGTCCACAACACATTTTCAATGCCCGAAACGCCGAGAAGTCTAGAGCTGAATAAACAATACCCACTTATGGCATCGTGAAAGGGAACTAAAGCCGAGTCTAAAGAATAGGATAGTTCTGGGTTCATCCGAACCATGGAAAGGATCCGGTCGAGGCTCAGATTCGATAGGTGCTCACCTAAGGTTCGACCATGTATCCCTTGAAGAGCGGTTGGAGAATACATGCCCCTTTCATTGTGAGTTTTGTTTTGTTTCAGTCTACATATGGATCGTAGCGGTCCGAGCTATTGATAAGCTTATACAAATGGAATGATATTTGCCTATCACTGGTGACTATTGAAAATCCAACCAATATATCGGCAAGTGGCCGACGATTTCCAACGCTCGGCACTTTCGGAGGTTTGTGGCAACACAAAAACTGGCGGAGATCAACCATGGATCACCGGTCAAATCAGGAAATGATATTCAGGACCCATCAGGTACAATGTCAGGAACAGGCAGAGGATTGAAGTCTGAAGTTTAAGCTCGGCATTAACGGCGGCTAATCGGGTGATGTATCACGAATGGGTCTCTTGTTTCAAAGAATGGGGCTTGCTCCATTCTTTGCATAGCAGGGATGTGACAGGGCCATCTGATCGATTCCAGAATGCCTGAGGGCATCTGCACCCCTGGTTCCTTGTTGCCTGCACACTTACGTGTTTCGCATCTCCCTTGGCTCCTGCATTAGTGGGGGTCTATTATTTGAAATTTTCCGGCGTTATAAGAAGCAGGGAGATGGCCATTGTTGCTGACCTATCTTGTACTATCTCTCTGTATCCCAATTCGAAAAATGTCTCCCTCACCCCGGTCGCTTTTGGCCCCCTTGCTCCTGGCGACATGCGTGTCCGCACAGAGTGCCGCTATCTCCCGAGCGGAAACCGCCCTCACCACGCTCCAGACATGGTATAACCCATCCACAGGCATGTGGAATACCTGCGGGTGGTGGAACGGTGCCAATTGCATGACAGTCTTGGCGGACCTGGCGCTTGTCGACGACTCTGAGTCGGTCAACAACACTGTGAAAGGTGTATTCGCAAACACCTTCAGTGTTGGGCCCGCGTCGAACCCGTATCCAGACCGGAACAATGATTCCTACTATTCAAGTGCCGTCCAGAGCAAACGGCGTACGGTAGACGCCACGCAATGGATCGATGGGTCCTATGATGACGATGCATGGTGGGGGCTAGCGTGGATCGCCGCCTACGATGTGACAGGAATCAATGATTACTTGGATCTGGCAGCCGGGATTTTTGAGCATCTGGTAAGGATTCCCTCTTTTGATTTGCTGGGTAAGCATTGTTGCTAACAAGGAGCCGTTCAGAGTCAAGCTTGGCCATCGAAGTGTGGTAATGGAGGAATCGACTCCGACTTTACACATGTTTACGTGAATGCCATTACGAACGAGCTTTTCTTCTCTCTCGCGGCACACCTGGCCAACCGTGCATCTGATCGCGACTATTATGTCGACTGGGCTCGCCGGCAATGGACGTGGTTCAAGAATAGCGGGATGATTAACTCGAACAACACCATCAACGACGGTTTATCGAGCGATTGTAAAAACAACGGGGGGGCGATGTAAGTCCCGACCATCCAATATTTCATGCAAACATGATTGGACAAGTAGACTAACAACACCCGAACAGATGGTCTTACAATCAAGCGGTCGTTCTAGGAGGTCTCGCCGAACTAGACCGGGCAGTCTCTAACGAATCGTACGTGGATGCCGCAGCGAAGCTTGCCAAAGCCTCGATTGCATATCTGGCGGACGACAACGACATCATTCATGAGTCGTGCGAACCGGACAGCTGTGACAGCAACGAAACCCAGTTCAAGGGTATCTTCATCCGAAACCTAAAGCTTCTGCACTCTGTCGCGCCAGACGACGCGTACACGAAGGTAATCAACGCGTCTGCCAACAGTATCTGGCAAAACGATCGGAATGCGCAGAACCAGCTGGGTGTGGACTGGGCGGGCCCCGTCTCTCAGGTGGATGCTTCGACACATAGCTCGGCCATGGATGCATTGGTTGCTGCGATTGGGATTTGATTTTGGAAAACTTTGAGCTTCATTGAGTCAAGGCGTTGAGGACATAGACAGTTAGATTTGCATATCTGCTCTGGAAAGCAGCATAAAAGACATTGACTTCTTTACATAGTTTTACATCATATTGCATAGCGCAAATACCAGAAGCATTTCAAAAAATTAAAATGGGAAAAAAGCGCATTTTTGTGGTCTGTTTGACTTGTTTGTCTGGAGCATATCATTTATCAGTCAAGCGGTAATGAGGGCGGTGGACACTTTGTGTCGGCAGTATAGAGGAATGTGTACATACTGTTGTGAATCGTGACATATTTGACGCGTCAGGATAAGTTGTTGTCCACCACTTGAACGTATTTAAACTCCGCCTTCAGTAAAGAATCTCTTGTGTCAGACTCTCTGAGATCCTCCATAGTCCCACTTAGTGTAACTTGCAATGGCACAGCCGCCCCGGGAATCCACCAGTACGACCCACCACGGAGATGGGATCAACGATCCATAAGCGAGCAGGCTAGTGATCACCTCGAATCCCAAGGCGCTAGATTCTGGCCCATTGGCCGATTTTCTCCTGTAAAATATGCGCCCAATTAACTATCTTTAACAGCCCATCGTTTCACGGCATGTATACGACACGCTTGGCAATGCACCGCCGCTCCCAAGCGATTTTCCCGACAGGATGATTAAACTGTATAGGCTCTAGTGGCAGAAGAACTGTTCGTACTTTGCGTAAGTGAGCCGACTGAGCACTGATGTCTGCAGAGCCCAAACTGCAGGAGTTAATCCAATACCATGGTCTTGAAGAGGATGCTGTGGCAGTTTGCAAGCACTTGGATTATGAAGCCTTGGAACACAACATTCTATGTTCGGAGGAAAATTTAACAACTGCAATTAAATTTAATTCAGCCGGGGCGGTAATCGTTTTGTGTATGCACCTCCGCGCGTTGACTGGGATGCGCTTGAGCGCAAGGTATCAACGTGGGAGCCCTCGCATGAAGAACACAAGCGAGCAAGTACAGCACCCCGCTAGCAATAAATATGATGTCAGACGCCCTCGATGGGCTCCCTTACTTTCTCAAGAGCCACTGAAACCTACAATACCCATTGAAGAGCTCACACACTCTCCCTCGGAAAATCGTCGTGCCGCAGATCTAGAACAGATGGACATAGGAGACCAGCCCACGTTGGGTTGGGCAACGGATTCTCAAGAGTTACCACATGTTCTGGTTGACAACTTGAAAGCACCTCAGATGCAAAAGGTAAACGAGGAGAAGAGGCGCCATGCCAATCTACAGTATTATTTAGATTATCTTAAGTGTTTGTTACGAGGAGAACCACGGTTGCGCTTGCCCTTGAGACAGGGAACCCTAGACGTTCCACGTGGCTACCACTGAGATAGTCCAGATTGTTATTATGGCTGAATATGTTGAAACTGATATAACCTATCCTTCAGACCCCTCTTGTGGAAACCTTTCCCCCCTTTTTTTTTATCGCTGGATATATATTGAGTTGAAGTGGACGTGATTGGGTAGTACGTGTTCTTGCTCCGAGTCAGGCTCACCTGATGATAATCGATATCACTATTTCAAATACCGACGGGACTTGTTCTACATATTAATCACGAAGGTTCATACTATTAATCTGCTATATTGGAGTGTGATCCGGCTCTTGACATGTTATATCTGTAAACCTCCCCGCACGCTAATTGTAGACGCTGGCGCAGACATGGTACGTACTCTGGAATCAAGGAGCACACACCCTCGCATTTCCCTTAAAGTTCTGACGAGTCGAAAGAGATCCACAAACATGCCTTTTGGCGAAGTTATTCATGAAGAAACCCCGGCTCATTTAGCGCGATTGATTGTGATGACGCCACGTAATTTAGTGGGGACTTGGGTTCAAACAAACTAGAGAGAGAAGGGGGGCATGAGATCATCCACCCACTCATAAGCGAGGTTCCTCTTCCGGAACACTTCGAGTCAGTCGAGAGAGGAGAGGATGAGTTGATTGTGTTCAGCCCTAGCTGCAGTCCAGCTCAACTAAGGTAAAGCTTAACATATGTGCTGTATTTTACCCCCCTTGACCCCCGCGCAGGAATCATAACCTGGTCTGGAAATGCCAGAAGCTCCTCCACGACGCAGGAAACGCGGAAGGCGGTCTATGACGGGATGCCGGACGTGCCGGTAAGAAAAAAGACCAAGACCGAACGCGTGGGTGAACCTCGGCTAATCTTTGGCGCAGCGCTCGCCGCATCAAATGCGATGAGGCTCCCACCAAATGCAACAACTGCACCGCTGCAGGACTGAAGTGTGAGGGATATGACTTGTGTCGGTTGCCAATTAAGAGGAAGAGCCCGCTGGGACGTATCCCAGAAGTGGAGCTGTGCTTGGGCTGGGTTCCGACCGCGGACGAGAGACGCTGCTTCTCCTATTTCCAATATCGTTCTATCCCAAGCCTGGCTGGATTCTTCGACTCCCAGTTATGGCAGCAACTAGCTTTACAGATGAGTCGCGCCGACCCGGCCGTTTACCATGCCGCCAATGCGCTAAGTGCCCTCCACGAAGACTCGGAGACGACCAAGCTGTTGCTGGTAGGCGAAAACCTCCGTCGGCCCTTACATCGGTTCGCCCTGGAACAGGCCAGCAGATCGTTTGCTCTTCTAAACCGACGATGTGCTTCGCAGGATCCTGAACGCCTTGAAATCGTGCTGCTATGCTGTCTGCTCTTTGTTCTTGCCGAGTTGCTATTGGGACAGTATACCAGAGCTTTGCAGCACTTGCGAGGTGGTCTCCGAATCCTAAAGGAAGCACCACACGCCCAGAAAAAGTGTATCCCGTCTTGTGTTATCCAGGCATTCCGACAGTTGGACGTTCAATCTGCGCATTTTGGGTCTGGCCCATTCTTATTTGGGAACGACGGGCTCAAGGAACTGTCCGACGAGGATTTTGTCCGGCCCCTGCACAGTCTAGAAGAGGTACGACACAATATAAACTCTCTACTCCATGCTGGTGTCCATTTTCTCGCCAATCGTTGGTCGCTTTCCAGCACCGAGGTCCAGGCCAATTACAGCAAGTTGTGCCTCAGGCAGCAGCGGATCCTGTCTCTATATACCCGTTTCCGGCGCCAATTCGAGATATTTTACGATCAGTATTATCCTACTCTGAGTTATAGGGGGCAGCAAAGCGCAGATATTGTTCGACTACAATATCGTAGTCAGCTGGTCGCTGTTAAAACCTGTCTTATGAAGAAACCCGTACCTAATGATTTGATCCCCGAATATGAGGATCTACTGTTAGCCCATGAGGCATACATGGCAAAGTTCACGGAACGTCCGACAATTACATTGGATTTGGGAATTATTCCAGGGCTTCACACGGTTGCTGTGAATTGCCCGCGATATGCCATCCGGCTGAGAGCAATCAAAGCTCTACTTTCCTGGCCTCATTATGAGGGTATCATTAGTTCGACGTTCGCGGCTTCAATAGCCATTGTTTCTCTCAAGGCTGAATTAGAAGCTAAAGACCAGCAAGGTACATCCCGTATTATTGGTGAAACCGAAGAGGAAATTGCTCGGTACCTGTTTGACACTGTGACATCTACGCAAAATATCCCTAATTGGACCACCGTACGCGCTTCTCGATTTTTGGAGCATTATAAAGAAGCAAAACCATCCCCTGTCCCAGAAAGTGACCAGAAATCCGAAACGTATCGGCAGAAGAGGCTAGTATATCGGTAGTAATGGACAAAGGCCGACAGCGCATCTGCTGAAAATAACATGCGTTGGGAGGGGTCTGTCTACAGCTTGGCCGTAACGCCTTCCTTCAGCTCTTTCTGAGCCTGCTCACGGAGCATCTTGCGCAGAATCTTCCCTGACGGGTTCCTGGGGATGATATCGATGAAAACCACCCCACCAGTGATCCGTTTGATCAGCGACACCTTGCCATCGATGAATTGCGCAATGTTCTTGGCCGAAGCGGCCTGGCCGGGCTTGAGCACAACGTAGGCCCGAGGCCGCTCGTCGTTGTCGCTACGTTCAAGTTAGGGCTCGCTGCAATGGCAGACAAGCCATCATGAAATAAGAAGGTCTTACGTGGCAATTCCGATCACGGCGGCATCTGCGACGGTTGGGTGTTCCAGCAGTAAGGCCTCGAGCTCAGCGGGGGGCAACCTGATTGCTCTTGACCTTGATCAGCTCCTGTGTCATATCTGTTAGTTAATGTTCTATATCAGTCAAACCCAGTGCTCACCTTCAGTCGGTCTACAATGTGGAACTTGCCATGGTCATCCACAAAAGCAACATCGCCTGCCTTGAGCCACCCATCTTCCGTTTTGGTTGCTTTGGTCGCCTCCGGATTTTGCCAGTACCCTTTTATGACATTCTGTCCGCGCACCCACAACTCCCCGCGTTGTTTACGCTCTAGGAGTTCAGTCACGCCGTCCTCAGCCATGATCTTAGCTTCACAGTTGGCGTTCAGCTTCCCCAACCGCAGCCGAAAACCCCTTCTCTCTGGGATCCCAATTCATCACCGAACAGGTGGTTCTGTTACGTCATTCATGAGCATATGCAACTGTATTGAAAATGGCGAAAGGAAACCTTACTAAGTCATCCCATAACCTTGCCTGATATTCACCTTTCCGGGAGGCCACAGGGCCTGCACCTGCTCACAGACTTCCCTGCTTAATGGCGCAGCGCCACACCCTATATCCTCAACACTACTCAGATCATACTGTTTGACCGCCGGGTGTTTGGCCAAGGCAACCACAATAGGTGGCACGACAACATTGTCAGTAATGCGGTATTTCTGCGTGTATTCGAGCATCCGGATGAAGTCAAATTTCGGCATGATATACACGGGCGTGTTCAGCGCTAAAGTCGCCGCAATCATAATCATCTGCGCCATAGCATGGTACAACGGCAAGAAGCATAGACAGCGTTTGCGAGCCCGCTTCGCCTCATAGTTTGGATGAAGACGCTCAATGTACGTGAACTGCAGCATGTTGGCGACGTAGTTCTTATGGGTAATCTCGACGCCTTTGGGTCGGCCCGTGGTACCGCTGGAGTAGTTCAGCGCGAGGGTTCGATCGGCTAGCTCGATTGTTGTCAACTCCTCCCAGGCAAATCCCTCGCCTTCTTCTGGGGATGCGACCAGCTCGCCCCAGTATCGACACCCATTTTTGCCGACACCTGGGCCATCGTATAGGGCGTTGTCGAAAACAAATACCCTGTCTCGACTCATGCCAACTAGCCTGGCTGCCTCGAGGCCCGTGTCTAGGCTAGCACGCGCACAGATCAAATACGTCGCATCGCTATCCTTTAGCTGATAGGCCAGCTCACGCGGCACGAACATCGGGTTCGCGCCCGTGAAAATACCTCCCACCATGATGATTCTAGCACAGGGAAGAACAGGTCGTTTCCAGAGAACATCAGCACGCGGTCGCCCGGACGCAGATCCGACTTTCGGAGTCCGGCCGCAAATCGTTGACTCCAGAGCCGGAAGTCATGAGTCGTGAAATAATGCGTGTCCGGGTGTTCGGCGTCCAAGAAACATCTATCGGTCTTGGATAGTGGTGCGGTGGGTGAGGTCAGTAGGATCGATACCAGGTGGGTGTCGGGGACATCGATCCGCCAGCGCGATTTGTACGGCATGGTTAAATTCAATTCAATATGGCAGAAACAGACAAGAGATGTATGGAGAAAGGAGGTTACTTTGGGAGAAGGTAGTTGTTTGAATACGTGTCCCTTATAGGGGTGTAATAGTTTCTTTGTCTTCTCTACAGGGGTGTGAGGTTGTTTTAATGCCGATGGCTGTCTATATTATACCCTATTAAGTAATAACTGCTGATACATGCGTGTCCAAGACGTGAAAGCCACAATTTGTACCAAGAATGTTAGATTCTAGCAGTTTATAGTCAATTTGACTAATCAGTGTCATAATGCTGGGTGAAGGGGTGGAGATTCGAGGAAGATGAATGTAGATCCCAACATGGTACAATTATAAGTCTCCCTAGGAGCTAGAAAAAAGAACAGTGTGACAAGATAGACGGCCAAGACACCCAACAAATACCTATTGCTTTGTTCTGTCGTAATTGGACTAAAGCTAGCACCATAGCCATAAGCACTAGTGACAGTTATGCGCGCTATGTCGCATATCCCTGTTTATTTTAATTAGCTTTCCAACAAACATAATCATTGACTGATTGCCCTTAGAACACATATAGACTAAGCCATGCTTAAATAAAGTACAATCATCAGAAGCTATAAGCGTTATCGGAGTCTAGAATTGTACCTAACATATCAGCATTATACCAACACACCGAAGGAGCGGTAGAAAAAGCTGCCACATCATCTGATCGTCCCACGATGGATCCGCTGAACCCTGAGAAATGCTCTCCCTGCTGCTCGTGTGCATTTGGCATACAATCAGATGCCTCCATGGACTGTGTTTGTAGGCTTTCCGGGCCATTCGTAAGATCGTCAGCCGAGGTATCCGTGATGATCGACGTGCGAGAAGCTTCCCCTGCAGGTTGGTCTTTGTCCGATAATGTGTGATGACCTTGGGCCCTTGATGCCTGTTCGGAGCGAGACGGTGTTTTGTCTATGAGGGGCTTGCACATCTCGATCAGTGTTATGCATAATTTACTAAGCCTGTCGATATATTTATTGGCCCCAATGACGGGGAGGAGGGCATCGCTTGTTCGTTGTATTAGGTGGAAGTCTTGAAGGTTGGCGGTACAGATAACGGTACAGAAGACGACGAAGATGGGGGTGAGGGGATAGAATACGATAGCCCTATCGATATGTTAGACTATTGAGGCAAGAAGACAGAGGGTAGGGACTTGGTCGCACCAAGAGAGAGCTGTGCAGAATCCCGTTGACCTGATAAACATGCTTCTATTTTGCAAAGGCACTCGAGAACTTGACGAGCGGAGTGAAGGCACACTTTCCGTCGTGCATTATCAGATGCCATGTTTGGGTCCATTATGATAATTGTTGTGAAGATTGAATAGTATGTAAACTCGAGAATGTACCAATGCAGTCGCACGTATATATCGGCTTAGTCGGTCAGGGATGCAAGGTGTTATCGATGGTTAAAACAGGATCTCGCAAATAGGTCGTGGTATAGACTCACACTAGTGATACTACTTTTGATGGCCTCCATGTGTCGGAGGATAGAGCCGATCTCCGTCCGACAAGTGTTGTGGTCATTCTGACCTCCTGCAAAGACCAAGTCAAGTGCTGCCTCCTGAGCTTGTGCGATACCCAGAGACAACTCCATAAATGGGGTCATGGGATTAGAAGCATCTGAAGGGATAAACGATGTCGCGGGTACGGAGAGCTTCGGTAGAGCCTGCGGTCGCATGAGCAGCATACTCGTATTCTTCTCAAACAAGTAGCACCAAGCAATGCAGGCATGAACCTCTTCTATATCCTCTGATTCGGATATAACGTTGACAGGGTTATGATACCCAAAAGCTACCAATGTTCGTGCTGCAGATATAGTCAACGCTGAGCGTCCCGGAATGTCCCCTAAGACTTCCATTACGGTTACTTACGGACAATAGTTACTCAAGGCCTCCTCTTTAGAAATCCCGAGGCGGAAATAGGAAATACTTACACCAATATCTTCGACAGTACCTGGAACAAAGCCCGGGAAGACTTTTGAATCCGAATGCTCTCTCGGGTTGTCAGTTCTCCGGACTAACCACGGCGGATCAGTTTGTGTCTCAGTATCAAATTAAGTGGGATGATAGATGGCGGAACTGGGGGGTAATTTGGGTATATATTGCATTCAATATTATTATGGCGACCGTGCTGTATTATATATTTGGAGTAAGGGGCTCGAAGGTCCAGCGGAAATGAGGCATAGGACGGTCAAATTGACTTCGAGGGTTTTGGTGAGGGCAAGTGCCTTATCTATATTATGGAGGCTATTGGTCGATATATATATCACCATCTGACCAACGCAACCTCCTTTCTTGTAAGAAGCCATTATTCTATAATAATCAAAGAGAAGTAATATCCGAAAGTGTACCAGCGCCAGAATTAACACCACAATGATTAAAGCCTACTGATCATCGGTGACACTTTCCTGATCGGGAAGGTCTAAAACAATACAGGTGTGCAGATATAATCAGGGTAGCCGGATGATCTGTGGCCCACTTATAGCTGGACAGTCAGTTTGGGAGCGATTCCTCAGTAGGTTTGGTAGGTGACGATGGATGTCTACTTGCTTTTACCAAGGATGTGATGAATTATGGTTCATGAACTGGTTTATGCGCAGTCTAGCTTCGGAGGGCCGGACTGCTCATACAATCGGTAGTGCCTTTTATTCCGAGCTGTTTCTATTCCATTACTTGGCCTCCCGAGCTCTATTACGATCGTACCTAACTGCAGCAATAGTCGGCCACATTTGTAAGAGCACAGCTCCTACCATTAAACTCCCAGCGAACACCTGTGCCCGAATGAAGTTCTTATGTTCAAGGTCGACCAAGGCTCCTGCAATGGGTGCCCCGGCCAACGCTCCAAAGGAACTAATGCCCCACATCATGCCCATCCGAGTGCCTAGGTAGTTCTTGTCTGGAGTGAAAACGGGGTGCGCGACGATAGAGGTCGGTGCGGTAACCAGAACCCCACTCAGGAAACCCCAGTAACAGGCCCAGACAATAAATCCAGCCGTATTGCTTGTTGCAATCCAAGTGTACATAGCGACTGCCGATGCCGCGGTACACGAAATCAGGACAAAGATTGTGTTGATACGAGATCCTAGCAGGTAAGGGACTGTTCGTCCGAATGCCGACGCTCCATTGATGATGGACACCAGGTAGAAAGAGAGGTTCGTTTCTGTGTTCAATTTGACCCGTGCGTAGGTGGCAACATAGAAAATCGGAACGTAGTAGGCGAGCATCACGCAGGTGAGCGATACCGATAGGAGCATGAATGTTGGCTGTTTCAGAGCTTTCCATTCAACTAAACTTCGGGCCTGAGTTTTCTTACCCGGATGGCGACAGAGGATCGAGCAACTGATGATAGCCATGAATAGATTGATGAACCCTATGCAGCGGACTGCCCAAGGAAATCCGATCAGAGGTTGCAGGCGACGGAACATGATTGGGAAGATGACGCTCCCAACACTAGACCCGATTGATGCGCAGCCAACCGCCACTGCTCGCTTCGTCGTAAAGGAGGAGGATAACACCACCATTGCGGGGATGTACGAGACTCCTCCGCCTAATCCCGTGCAGAAGGCTTGGGCAAGGAGTACCTAGGGACTAAGATTAAACCCCATGCAATATGGATGGGTGTATGGATACGGTCTTACTTGGTAGTATTCTGTCGCTAGACTTGTCATCATCATGCCAAATACGATGAGGAAACTACCACCCGAGATTAGTATGCGCAGATAGCCCGCGTCGACCAGTGGACCAGTGATCATTCCCACCATGGGGATCAGAGTGGCCTGAATGCTACCGATCCATGAGATAGCTGAGGAGGATTGGCCGCGCAGTAGTACCGTTCGATAGTACTCCTGGAACGCGCCGAATGTGGTAATTAATCCCCTTAGTGAGTGGGTCAGCATGCCTATACCATTATGTTTACTATAGAAGTCATCGACTGGAACGTACCAGGTATTCACAAAAACACAGAAGGCCGCCGCCACATTGAGCCACGATTGCAAACCGCCATTGGGAGGAGGCTTTTCTTGTTGTGCACCGTCGCGGGTGGATGTATCTCCGACTCCCGGTTGTTCGGGCTGTTCCAGGCGTTGATCGGGATACTGGGCATGATCATCGTTTCGGGAGGCTTGCCCGGAGAATTTCTCTTGCATTCCCATGTCTGTCATGCTTGGAAAATTTCCGATAAGAGCCCAAGAAAAAGCGTCGGACATTCATATTTATTTATTCGCGGGAATGGTTCCGTCTCCCCGCAGCGGAGGTTCCCGACTGTCATTTTTACCCCGTGGGGTCTTTGTCTTTCGTGTTTCTGGACTGCATTTACCGAATTCTCTCGCCGGCGCTCATCCTTCGGCACGCTTTATCCGAGAGCTCTGGCGCGTTCACGTGGGACCAGGTGACTAAACCTCTTTTCCGCCTGTTCATCCTTTAGCCGACTCGGAATCGTTCTATTAATCCACCTCTGTGATAAGATGGAAACTCAGTCAAAGCCTCAGAAGCTCTTTCGCCTCGTTCTAAACACCCAGTATGTTGTGTCTACTGCTGAGCGACACATTCAACAACAACTAAACTAAATCGACAGCAATGGCGAGCTCTGATGTGACGAACTCCGCTCATGACGCCATACACTGACAGGAGGAAGTTCCTTTCGATCGTCGTAGTATGATTTCAAGATCATTGAGAATTGTGGTGATACATTCGGCGCAAAAAGCATGTTCTTCCGAGGGAAGTCAAGTGGTCTCGAGTTCGGCTGAGATTTGCGTCTTGGCATCGATTGGTCTGATTTGAAATGCCGGAGGCCAAAGAACAGACTGGAAGACACGCTACCAGTTAACTCTCTACCATGCATTCGTGCAGAGGGCATCGACTATACTCGCCGGGCCATTCGCTGTGCTTTTCAGGTCAACCCTGTGTAGCACATAACGTGGACTATTGTCCCATTCGTCCTGTTTTAGATCAGTTCCAACATCAATACTGGATCCGATCGCGATTTGATTCACACGAGTGAGTACATTGAAGATTAGGCGAAGTGTTGTCCCCAGTCATGGCGCTGCATTTGGGGGTGCTTTGATATGCTGAAGCTCAACCTTAACCTCTTCCAAAACTCGAATCTCTCGTGCCCTGCTAGAGCCATCTTCTCGTTCGCCACCCGTGGTAACATCACTATGGTGATAATTCTCGGCGCCTGGCCGCACCCTCCACGGCCCATGAATCTCTTTGTACTGGGGCGCTCGAAGCCAACCTCTTTTACTTGAGCTCTGGCGTCTAGGGGTCAAACTCGAGAATCCCAGCGCTCGGGCGAAACTTCGACTGAAGATAATCTTTAAAATCACGCGCATGGTCGGGAGGCAGGTGCAGACAATTGCGAGGGAAACCTCGATAATGGACCACATGAATCCGCGCGCATAGTCGAATGTCACATCCCAGTTCCCAAGGACAAGCATCGACGAAAGGAGTCGCACGAGAGCCGCGCCACAATCACTAAGCAACATAACTATCAGTCATATTTGGTCCTAATTTAGCCACTCATGGGGTTGAAGGGTCCATACATAAGGCCGAGGACAAAGATGAGTGTTAAGGCAACCTTCTGTGCGGTCGGAAGCTGTAACTTCCACATGTTCGGGATCGGCATGAGCCACACTGCCAGGTCGGTGGTGATGTTGACGATGGCATAGCCGACGGCGAACTGCTTGAATGGGATGCATTTCCCCTGGCCGGTCCAGAACGCACTGATTGGTTTGCAGTTGAAGATGGCCAGAAAGGTCATGATAATCGCCCATACACTGACAATTGCGCCCACAGCGTACACAATCTTAAGGAACCGGGAGGACACGAAGATCCTACGATACAGCAGCAAAAGTGACAGCTTCACGGCTGGCGGTGCGAGGATATAGAAGATCTGGAAGTAATAGAGAAGCTCAAGAAACACAGCGATATCGGCTTCTTGGACGACTTCTCTGTGCTTTCCTAGCCCATGTCCTCTACCTGGATGATGCAAAGACTGTGAGTACAACCACCAATCCCTACGGCTGAGGAAGAATCCTTACATGCAATAAACAGGCCATACAGTACCCAGTCAAGCAGCTGGCCGACGTCAGTCAGTATCCTAAGCCAAACCGGGATCTGTATTTACCAATGCGACAAATATTGCCCAATCATCGGCGGCAAGGGCTAGGTTCTTCAGCTTTCTTGCCATGAATCTCGCGATAACTGCCAGAGTCGCCAGTCCGATGAATATACTGTTAACAACCCAAAGCAACGGGCCTCGGTCCTCATGGACTGAAGCGGTGCTAACCTGCATGTTAACGATGAAACGACCGAAGATCTTCCTCTAGTCGGAGGTTTCAGCAGAGCTTTTTGTTATGTTCGAACAGCCGGTAAAAGAGGGAAAGATAACTTTTGCTTATGCCGAGAAAGCTGTGCCTGATCTTATCAAGAAATTTCACAGAGCAGGACGATTTTTCTCCCAGTCCACAACAGCGTTGCACTCTGTACCCGGGTGCCTAGATAATGTGATGCATTAGCATAATCCTGGCCGAAGTTCAATACCCACACCTGTCACGTTGATTCGAGCGAAGGAGCACTACTATGAAACTATCCGGTGGATCCTGATCGTTCGGCCGCTTCACGTTCAGCTAAGCAGAGGGTCTGCATGAATTGGACAAGGATCATGATCCTGTGCCAAGACTACCATCCAGCCCTGAGACTTTAGATGACAGTGAAGATCGTTGTGCGATTAGCCATCTCAAACAAATACCCACCGAGCACGTTTGGGACAAAATGGCCTAACGTGAATAATTAAGTAAAGCCGTCCCGCCGCGGAATGGCGACGAGGGAGCGATGTAACATGGGTTATAAATACAGTATCTATAAATCCACGATACTGCACTCGTGGGTTCGCTTTACTAGACCGGGGTTCAGATCCTACCTTGAACAGCGCTTTATGTGTAAGCTTACGCGCAGACGCCAATAGCTTAAGTAGCCGCGACAAAGCGATCAGCGCTAGGCTCCGTTGCGAAAATGGAAACCCCCAACGAGAGGCCTTCCTGGCAAGAAATTGCTCAGGGGGTGCAGGCGACTCGCGATGCCTCTATTACACGTGTCGACCCCCCTATACCTTTGTTGCCTGCAACACTCCCTGACCGGGTGATCGATATTCCTCGACAACTCCTCTCCCCTTCGGAGGTATCCATCACAGAAACCCCTGCTGAGGATTTGGTAGCCTCTCTAGCTGCGGGGAAATTGACTGCGACAGCGGTCACAAAGGCTTTCCTGAGACGTGCAGGAATTGCCCAAAAGCTGGTGAGCAAATTGGCAACACTCCCGTAAAACACCTTGGCAGTCAACGCTAACGCCTTCTGCCGTATATAGACCAACTGCATCTATGAACTCCTTCCCGAGCGCGCTCTTGCCCGGGCAGAGCAACTGGACAATTACTGGGTCGAACACGGAAAGCCAGTGGGGCCATTGCACGGCTTACCGATCAGTGTCAAAGCCCATGTAGGAATTGCCGGACGAGACAATACAGCCGGCTTTGTCGGCTGGGTTGGCCGAAAGAATACGGAAGATGCGAAGATCGTGAAGATTCTCGTCGACGCGGGTGCCGTAGTGTATGCAAGAACGACGGAGCCACAGGGTTTGGTATGTATTTTATGCCCAGGCAGCAAGAGGCCCATGCCTAGGCTAACAACAGAGAAACATAGATGGCACTCGAAACCTGTAGTAACATCACAGGCAATACAGTGAATCCACACAATACGGCACTCTCTGCCGGCGGTTCTTCTGGGGGTGAGTCGGCGTTGCAAGCGCTTTATGGCAGCCCCCTCGGAATTGGGTCAGATATCGGTACGTCGCATAGTATTTCTCATGGATATCAACCTCAGATACTTGAAGCTAAGCTCTTTCGTAGGTGGCAGCATCCGATCTCCTGCTTCTAATTGCGGGCTCTATGGCCTCAAGCCCACCAATGGTCGCGTTCCATTGATCGGATGCGCCGCATATGTGATCGGCTGTGAAACAATTCTGGGCACCTTGGGGCCACTCTCGCCTACTCTTGGAGGAATTAAACTGTTTATGAAGACTATACTAGCAGCCAAACCTTGGACTGGTGACCCGTCATTGCATCAAATTCCATGGCGCGATAACGAATCCCACATCTACCGAGACGGAAAGAAAAGGCTTACTGTGGGAGTTATATGGGATGATGGTGTCGTGAAGCCTGCGCCACCGGTAGCAAGGGCCTTGCAAGAGACAGTCGAACGGTTGAAGGCCTTTTCTTCTGATGTCGAGGTCATTGAGTGGAAGCCTTACCAACAGAAAGAAGCATTAGAGATTCTTGTAAGTCTCCTCACGTAAACCCACGACTGTGGAGGGTTCTTCAACGCAAAACAAGGACTGCTTAACTAACGTCGCAATGAAGACGAGACTCTACGCTCCGGATGGCGGGAAGGCATTTGCTAAAAACCTTGCCCTTTCAGGAGAGCCTTATTTGCCACTTCTGGCATGGACGCTCCGCGATACTCCTGGCGTCGAAGAGCTCAATCTGCATGGTGTCTGGGAGTGGACCCTTAAGCGTGAAATGTTCCGCTATTCCTATTTTCAAGGTACGACGATTTTTTGGAGGATTAGTTGTAGACTGCCCGTGCTGACTTTATCAGAATGGAACTCGGTCGCTCCAGAGATGGACGTTATCCTCTGCCCGGCATATCCGACACCCGCGCCACTGCTTGACACCTCCCGTTATTGGGGTTACACATCAATCTGGAATCTGTTGGACTACCCAGCAATTGTCTTCCCTGTCACCAAAGTCGATCCCGCAAAGGATGCGAAGGACACGACGTACACGCCCCGAAACGATTTCGATAGTTGGTGTCATGAGCATTACGATGCGCAGAAACAACAGGAAGCACCGGTCTGTTTGCAGCTGGTAGCGAAGAGATTTGAGGACGAGAAAGTCGTCGAGGCGCTGGAGGCCATTAAGGAGAAGATTGGATTACCTTTCGTGGACTGCTTCGCATAATTTGGGCCATGTGTTCCACCGATGCGATTAGCACCAGGTCGATCAAAGCATGCCACGCATGATTCAGTTGTGGGTGTGGAAGATCATCTGCGCTAGTTTCGCAAGTCACGTCATTGGAGATCCTGTACTCAATGCAGACCAAGTTATTGAAGGATAAAACCCTATTTCATGTCTCGGAAAACTGTACAGGCTTCCTAGAATGGTATCCCTTTCGGATCTATCTGATCGAGAGCAAACTAGTAGCCGTGCATGTAAGGTTCCTTGCCGATCTTCATATGAGAACACGAACAGGGCCTATATCATATTCGATATGTCGCAAACTTCTTCCTCTTTAGTACACTCCACAATACGGGGGAACACAAAATGTTAAACCAAAATAAAAGCATAAAAATCATATAATTAAATATTATGAGCTTTTCTTCCTGCGCACACTTTTCGTCCCAACCTTCCTGTCGTCCTCGCCTCGACACCAGCACTGAATACATCAAACATGAACCTCCCTCAGCTGCTACCATTTGCCCTTCTAGGCACCACATTCGCCTTCGCAGTCGTCGAACTAGGTCTCACCGGTCACATAGTCTCATTCTTCACCCAGGGCAACAAGGAATATCGCTATGACCCCTCAAGAAACGGATACACATCCCAGACAGTGACAATCGTGGTTCCACCAATCCTCGCGTTCATTCTATTCAACTCAATATGGACAATGTTAGTTTCGGTTGCGACCGCGGTCATACCATGGGTCTTCCGGAGTAAAGCAACTGCGGGCACTGCTCTCAACAAATTGATCACAATCGGGCTTCTCGGACTTTATTTCGTGACCACGGTCTTCTGGTTAGCTTCTTTTGCTGCTATGGCCGCGCGGTCAACATATGGAGCTGGCAAGTCGGATTACGTGAATGCGATCATTGCTTTTGCGGTTTTGACATGGTTCGTTCTATCCTTTTGGGTCTGGTAGATTATGTAAAGATATACTGACACAGAGATGGCTTAATCAGGTTCCTCTTCTGTACTTTGACCCTCGCTGTCGTTCTCGGTATCTGTGGAGTCTTGCAATGCGATCTACCGGGCTATAGGCCTCTTGGAAAGCAGGACTGCCCTGCACCGGCACCGGCACCGCAGAACACACAAATGGATCAAGTGGCTACTTAGATCAGTCCAGAAGCTAAGCTGAGCGTGACTAGGCTAGTTGATACCCCCCCTTTTTTTTTTTTTCTGCGCGGTCGCTGCGGCGTCAGGTCTTGTATTATTGTTGGGTCCGCCAGATGCTGGCGATTATGGGAATATTGATTGATAATTTTGTTTACTTGGGCTCCTTAAATTCTAACTATTCTTCGTCTTGTCTGCACTGTTTTCCATTCAAGTATCATGGTCAGTATGTATTTCTGGCTGGTCCGAGTATCAGATGCTATTACAAATGACCTACAAGATGGTTTTGCTTTATTGAATTGATTAATGTTGCGGTCGGCTGAGAGTGATCCCAATATTACTCTACCCTGAATTAAGCTAAGAGCCCTATCGCACGGTCGCATATATCAACGGATGCCTTCAGATATTTACAAGCCCATGTCAAGCACACCATTGGCTATTTAAAGGCTGTAGCGGGACTTCAGATGGCGCCACCAGTCCCTGGCCATCCAAGCGTCAAACTCAGTGATCTTCATCGCGCTACCGGCCAGCATGATGAAGCTTGTCTGACCAGTCGGGGTCCAGTCATAGAAATCTAGAAATATTAGTGTCGTTGTCTCCTACAGCGAACGGAGAGTAACATACCATCCAGAGCGAAAGTGTGACCCATCTCATGCAGAAGAATATGGATATCCTCAAGTTCGAGGTTCTGCATGAAATACTCCTGTCCAATACGCTGACCCCAGTCACCACCGGCACCACCTTCGAAACCATCAGTAAGCCACAGGCTTTGGTCTATGTTGTCGTTAGTATTTTTATCCAATGTCATCATGTATAAGAAATGAGATCTCATACCATAGTGACGATCAGCCCCCGCAGCACAGGCACTGTAGTCGTTATCCTGGTGGAAGAAGCGTCCACAGCCCGGATCACACTGAGGAATACCCTCTTCATCGGTAGTAGTATACACCTCAACGCCCGAGGTATCGCCCTGTAACAGGGCCTTGTCCTTAACAGCCCATCCGACAACATTGACATCCACCGTGTCGTAGGGGAACCCGTCGAAGCCGGCAAGTTCACCTATCCACTTGTTGAACGACCGCCGGACGGCGGTTTCGACCTGTTCACGCTGTGCCTGGGTCACAGACTGGGTTGAGTCCCAGCGCACGCAGTAGTTGATTTTGCCCTTGCCATCGATGACTTGGTCGAATCCGTAGTTGCGGAATCCGAGAGGATCGCTGTAGGTGGACATCTCGTGTTCCCATACCTATGTATTTAGCCTGTGGTTAGTGCATTTCCGCTGTTGGAAGGGCATTAAGAGAAAGTGTTACCTCGTTGAGAGGAGTCACAAGTTCTGATGGAGGGTTCCATGAGCTGGTGTTTTGGCGCTTGACATTCTTGGTCAAGGAGCTGTCCTGCAGCGGGAGAGCCGTCACGTAGCTGGCCAGCAGCTGGAGGGCTGTGAGAGAAAGAACGGCTTTCATCTTGCCTTGAGAATTAACAGAAGGAAATTACAACAAATGAGCGGATTAAGATGCAGAAAAACAACAAAAGATGAATGAGAGAAATTCAAGCTCACAAACATCGTGACGAAGAACAATGCACATTTATATATAACCGACTCTGTTCGAGACTACCGACTAATCAACATACCCATAATCTGTCCGATACAACGGTTTCTAGGCAAAGCAGCGGAGTGTCGGAGAGTCGGCTCTAGAGCCCTATTCTCCATCAATCAAGCTCGTGGATAGGGCCATGCCTGCAGAACGTAGAGCCAAGAGATGGGGGTCGCCAAGCCATGTCAGGTTTCTCCGGACTCACTTTCAGACAGGAGTCGATGTGCCAAGAGTCCCTCGGCATATTAGACCCATGCTCCACCAATAACATGGCAATTGTGTTGCTTAACATAGTTGGTGAACGGACGGATTCTCCACTAAGGCGCCAATTGGGAATATTCTAGGGCATAGGGTCTCGTGTGCATGTACCGATGTTGCGCTTGGGACACCCTCTCTTGGGTCAGCGTGTATATGTCGTCGTTGAGATTTTATCCTGTGGATTCTTCGGGCGCGAAATTTAGTTAGAGCATTCGTGTTTATCCCAATCAAATCGTGTTTGGACAATCGCCATGCTAATCCTGTTGGTTCAGTAAGATAAGGAATCATTTTGAAATAAGAGTGTCGAAATCGAAAGGTGAATGAGCAACAACTCAGAGCTTGAGCTTTGCAACAGGGCTTGTGTTGTGATGAAACATTAGCGGCCTAGTTACCGTCGCCAGTGGATAAATGAGCCGATTCGGAACCCTAGATAGGCAGTGGAAAAGCTTGGCATCGCCTAGACTATGTCTTGCTATATAGACGTTGCCTTCACTGGGACTGTTATTATATGCCACTAAGGGATGGATTTGCCGTTGATTTCCCCATAGTTTAACCGACAATAGAGACATTGCATGACACACGCCCTACCTAGGCTAATTGTTCACCCAATGACCCCTATATCAAGTTCCCCCTCAGCGTAACTGAGGTCCTTCAAAATTATTCTCAATTTTACATGATCCTCAGTACTCAGTACACCCAAGAAAGGGTCATCTAGGGTAGGGCGCGTTGACATTGGTTCATTGCATGCTGGAGATAGGATCCTGTAGATATTGATGTAAAAGGCTTTCAGGGCAGTGGCTGCGGAGAAAAAGCTTCATGTCAGATAGCATCTTCGACAGTGAATTCATTGAATCAAAACTGCAATGTGTAACTCCCCAATTGTCAGGCTTCGTTTTTAAAGGTATCGCCCTGGGTCTCCCTAGTCGGGAAGGATAACGCTGAAAAGCCGTTTTGCAAGAGGAGTCTGGCCAGTCGCGAATTTTACTATTTTGAGAACTCTCCTGGGTAAAGATTTCATGGTCCAGAAAGTTGTGTAGTGTCAATAAAAGGGCGTGTCCAGTCACCGGAAGGGTCTAACAAAATATTTGCAAACAGGTCCTGGTCAGAATTTAGGTAGGAGGGTAGAGTTGGAATTGGCGCGGGAGGCTCTTGTCCACTTTCTACCAACAGGGGTGTACTTATGTCGCGCACTCCCTGAGAGGCTTCTACGTTACTCTCGAAGACCTTGGTTCTCTCTCCCGTGTTTGCCTCGCTGCTACTCTCTGTTTCCCTTTGTTGTCTCTGCAGTAGTAAAAGAATGTTTGCAGTCGGTATGTCGACTAGATCCAAGGTCTCCGAACCTGCTAGTCGCTGGATATTCTCCTCCAGGACCGTGAATACATCTCGTCGGACATCCAGGAGCTGAGTTGGATCCATCTTGATCTGTGTATAAAGCTGGCATAAAGTGAGATTTGTCCTGTACCATCCATTTGCGACTTTCCAGAATTTGCATGCCTGGCTTAGCCATGCAGATGCCCATGAGAACATAGTTGATGAAGTTTGAGGGTCGAGTCCGGGTGCCATGTAAGGCCATGTCTTCGCATAACAGAGAGTTGACGCAGCACTGAAAACGCAAAAGCATGTAAACGGGGTTTGAAATTGCGTGCCACCCTTATTGAGCTCCTGCATAATTTGAATGATATTTGACGCAGCTGCAAACAGTTCTTGCGCACTCTGATCCCACCATCCAAGAGGAGCCTCTTCTACCAACAAGGGAGGCTGTATTGGACCTTGTGGCCGGTTAATCAACTGAGGCACGAAAGGGATATATTCTCGGTGAAGCAGGATTAGATTCAAGTAAAAGAGAAGATTCGTGATAACGAAACGTTCCCCTTCGTTGCGTGAAATGTAAACTTGAAGGTTTATATTCGACGCGGAATATATTAACTGCGGAGATTGTGATGCACGCCAATCTTTTAGGGCGGCCATACTGCGAGACCAGAACGAGCAGCCTCGCCAAGGAGGCTCTCTTGATGACGGCGACTCACGTCTTCTTCCCCCAAGAGAAACCCAAGATGAAATAGTTTGCCAGATGTGGAAGCCTTGGACTATCAAAGCGAATGTTTGGTCATATCCCATTTTCTCTGGCGATGATGAACTCCGTAGGTGATAATCATTGGTTTCAAAATCCCACGCTTTCATGAATGTGGGTCTGGGGGACTGAATATTTCCAAAGGCGAAGTCATCCTCGCCCGAGGGCAGAGGAATATTACTTATACTCATCGAGAAATTGGAAGCCTGACATTTGCCACATCCAATCATGGAGTCAAGTAGAAAGCAAGCCCAGACAGTCCTGCATGCCTCTTCCAACTGAGAGTTTTTGAAAGAAGACATGTCAGTCTTAGCAGATTCCTTGACCTGTGCGTAAACCCCATGAACGATACGGGTCGCCATACCGTTATATACCCAAGCACGGGAACCATCGCCATTTCCCCAGTCATACAAACTTAACATGAGTAGCGTCTGGACTGTGTGGATATCCATGGCGGTCATGGTATGACCCATTATATTCTGACGAACATAATTCGCAAAATGTTCCGAAGCCTTTCCAGGACTGCCATGAAGACTGACCAGTTCCGGCATAAACCGGGAACTTAAGGCCAAGATGCCACAAAGCAGTAATGTTGGAATGCTTCTTTTCTCGAGAAGTATGCAGAACGTTGGCTGATGGAAAATCCCGAACTCAGGGAAATGACGGATAAAGACATAGAATGCATCTTTCAGTAGTTTGTCATCTAATCTCATCAAAGGATCCCTACGCCCGAGTCCCTGCGCTGGCTGTGTGCAGTTTTCACTCTTCCTTTCTATGTCGCCATTGAATGACGATTGCGTACTGATCCGGGTGGGTTGGTCCTTTGATGACTCGGTTAGAGAAAGGGAACGACCCGTTGCTGTTCGTAGTTCCTCGTAATCTTTAGTAGCTCCTGAAACTCGGCTTAGGGAATGCCTTTTGGGTCTAGATGAACTTTGATGTCGTTTCGATTGATGTTTCGGGGTACTCAAGATACATTGCCTTCCGGGGTTCACCGAGCAGGACCGACATGGTGGGGAGCCATCGTGATGGCATTTGATTTTCGCACTTCTATGTATTGATTTTCTTAGTTATCTGTTGCATTTCGCAAAGAAGGTTATGACTTCGTCTAGGTTTTTTTATGTTCTAAACGGTAGCTTTCGGGAACCAGGTGGAATATCCCCAAAAAGGAATCAAAAGCGGGAAGCTCACCGACACCATTGACAAGCGACGGTTGTCCTCATATTTGAGTGGATATGACTCGAGTAGGCGGGGAAGAGTTGAAGGGGCAGAGGAAAAAGAGGGAAGACGAAGCTTCATGAAATGGCAGTTCTCTGGTGTCACGTGTAGGATTTATATTGTTCGCCACAGAACCAGGACCAAAGTTGGCTCAATGCCCACGATACAGGAAACAGACGCAGTGGTTCATCTATGTTGACAGATCCTTGGGAACTTGGAAATACTTTTCTCACACTAAGTTGTTATATGGATATTCTTTCAGATGTACCGTACATCCAGTGAGTTATCAAACGCGAGATGCGAGAGCCGAAATCCTAGTGTGCCCCACACCTAGCAATCCGATTGGCGGCTCTGGCATCAAAGGGCAAGTGTCCCTCTAGAATTCAATCCAATATTGCATCACTTACACAATGCGGCATGCCGCATTCTAGCATTACTCATATATCAAAGTCGACAGCGTCATGTGGGGGCAACAGTGTAGTCCCCATGCCAGTAGTCTTCGCCTTTCGGCTTTGGACCTGGATGTACTTTGCTTACACTATCTTTCGATCCGCCAAAGCCTAGAATCCTATCATCTTGCAACACCTCGTCGCTTGCGTATCTATTCGTCCTCATTATAAATATCCTGGAATTCTCTCGTTTCCTTCTCATTATTACCGGCAATCCATCTTCTACAGCTTTTAAACGGTATTATCATAATCACAATGGCTGCGCCATACAAGATTTGGTTGACTCCAGACAATCATGGCGTGTTTTCGACCTCCGGGTTGAGCCATGCATCTGCTCGGAAAGTCAGTGAAGTTCTTCAGCATGATATGGAGAATCATCATGTCTATCTTAATGATCGCGGATTTCATAGTAGGCCCAGAATACCTATCCCTCTGGTGGGGAAAGAACAGCAGAGCATTGCTAATAATCTTTAGACCACGTCGTGCATTTCATGCTCACCATCTGGGCCCTGGGTGCGTCTCCCGAAACCATTCAACGTCAGTATGAGAGGGAACACCATCGTCAACGACCTTGCATGCCTAGGGATGAGTCTGTTATCTCATCTCTCAGCAACAAAGAGTCCTTCATGAGCCTCATGCACAAAGAAGAACATTATCCAAACTTCTTAGCCTTCTTCCAGCATGAACTGGCTACCAAAGGCACCCCGGACGTTCTGAATGAGTATCTCTTCAGTAGAGATAGGCTAGCAGAGACTATGCTGTCGGACATGTTCAGTGGCCTTCTCCATCCTATCATCCATCTAGGGTTCGCGATTGAATTCGAGCAGCCCGCCATCATCGCTCAGGCTCTGGCTCAGGCCGCTGTTCATGACGACTACCTGGGTCACCTGTTTCTCTTCCCCGCTGAAAACGCTGCTGGGGCAATTGGACAACATAGTACGCATAAGACTTTGGTCCAACTCATGGACGAAATGCAAGCAGACGAAACGTTGCGTGTTGCTGCACACCGCGGTGACGATGAAGTTTTCAGCAGTGGGATTTTGAAACGAGCCTCAGAGGTGCTCGTGAAGTATTCCAGCCAGTGGACAGTACCCGAGGACAAGATAAATGAGAAGCTTGCTGAGATGACCAATGCCGCTGGTAAGTTGATCACAGTGAGAGAACGTCAATCCATCAGAGCTAACGGCATCAAACTGCAATAGTTTATCTGACTGCTACTGCGCAACGCCCTGATAGGGAGATCAAATTCGACTTTTTCTTTCTTCATATAACCAACCTTTCAATCCTCATCAAACCGATCATAGATCTTCCCTACCTCAGCACTCGCAGCAAGGCGCGCCTTCTCGAGATGAAAGCGCGGATGGACCTTTTGATCTGGGCATCACGCAAGATGCCTGAACCCCGAATCAGCGATGTCGACAACTCTCCGATTCACATGGGCTGGCCAGAAATCATTGCTAGGAGCTATATGCATCCAAGCGACGACGGGCATCTGGCGAAATTTGTCCGTACAGTTGCGCACGCTCAGGAGCTTTGCCGTGTGTATGAGGCTGAAGCAGAGAAGCGAGGTCTAAGGATTACCGGCGATATGTGGCTGAGAATTGGCAATATGGGTAAGACAGCTCCTTTATGTCGTGAAGTAAGGGTTTCAAGCTGACTCTGGTTTCATTAGTTATTGGCTCTGTCAGAGAAGTGCCCAGCGACATGTGGGTGCGTGGATCTGGGTTCTCTGAGTCCTGGGAGAAGTTTGGCCCTCGGAAGTAGGTTTATAGATAAAATCCGGAAGGGCCTACCGTAATGGCTCTGCTCATTTTTATTTACAGTATGACATCTTTAAACAAATCATACTTCACCCTAAACCCATTCTTAATCACCTATTACAAGGTGTAGCGCAGAGTGTAGACTAGAGTTGACAACCGATTCATGTTTTACGACTCCACCATGAATATACTGATCGCTCGCTAATGGACACAGTCAGAATAATTTCACGTCAGTAACATCTTTATTCTGCACTCAATTCATCGGCTGGATTATCTCCGCAGTCGGAACTTGATCTTTGTTAGGGCTATGCATGAGATATTAGGATCGTCCTTTATGACTCCACGTGGGAGCTCCGTGGAGAATCTTGGCGTGTTGTTTCAATGATAAACCTATGATATTCCAGCTGGCAGAAGCCAAGACTACAAAACCCTCCACATATTCTCGCTAGACTGTACAAAAGATGGCATTTCTGCCGTCTTCACCATACTAGGTGGGGCTGGAGTAGCCGATGATGGTGTTTATCCAGTGGCTCGCCAGTGATATGACCCCCTTTCTCTATGAGAAGCTTCCCATATACGGTTTGAGATGTTGATCATCCACGGCAAATGCGAGTACCATGGTTGACTTGCTATCCTCGGCATTTAGACAAGGATAAAGTTGCCTTACCAGGAGACTACTGAAGTACCTGATCAGCACTAGGTGGTACCGTCAGATCGCCAGCGCAGTAGTTTAGATCTTGCGAGGGGAATTTAGGACGACGGGAGATCTTGATTCTTTCTTAAAAGGGTAAGATGTTCGATCGAAGGGTAAAGCTACTCTGTATATGGAGATTTGAGACATGTAGAGGCATTAATGTGCCCAGAATAAGAGTAAAACGCGGCAAAAACAGATTTGCACAGTAAAGTGGAGTTTCACTTAGATGTATCTCGGAGGGCAGCGGGATTGATGATTTTAAGAGCACAGATTGATAAAGACTATGATATCATACCGGAATACTCTCGGTCCATGTCCAGTTAGCGAGGTCCCGAGACTTTCCCGGAAGCTAAGCCTACAAAATAATTAATAAACTCCAGCTCTACCGAGATCCCAACGTACTCCGTACGTTTGCGCAATATGCAGTACGTTTCATATGTTCCTATATAGAATGAATTCCGGTCGATGGAAGATCCATAGCAGATCCTGACCTTATGCGAGAAGAGTCTAGCAAAAGAGGCGTCTTTAAACCAAGGTTTGCCTGCCAGAGTACACTTTTATTCCGACTTCCCCTGACCTAGGGGGCAAGCCACTGACTTAAAGGGGGAAATGGTCCGGTGGTAACTTCAACGCTAGAAGGGTGACCTCGTGATATTAAGCAACTGAAGTCCGCAAGGTACAGGTGTTCATGACTCGACGGTGTGATCCTTATTAATTAATATCCGTTCTTGACGCGGACTATCCGCGTCACTCGATGGGGTGAGGGAAACTGAGCGGGCGAAGGAAAGGGGCAAAAACAACCAAGAACAAAGACCAGCAAAGAGAAAAATACAGAAGGCGGCAAGTGGGAGGGCGATATGTAGAAAAATTGCTTTGGTCATAGAATCTTCTCTGCACGGACGAGACAAGGCAAAACCATGGAACCGATCAAGAGGATTCCAACCACGTGTGTGTACCGGACGGCAAGTGGAAGCCGTGACCAACAAATTGATATTCAAGGGACGAGCCAGGAAAATTAGACCGAGGATCAGGTTCGAGGGACCGGGCTCATCCCATTGGAGTGGGATCCATCAATCTGCAACCAAGATCTTGTCCCAAGTGGAGACCCGTGGACCAGAAAAAGTTTTCTTCAGCTCGCCTCACAGCATGCCAAGACTAGATTTAACGTCCTCATTGACTGGGTTTCACTGGGCCCGATTTTTTATTCGGAGAATCGATCGATCAGGGACTATCGTGAAGACTGCCTGTTCGCTTACAACGCTAAGACTCTAAGAGAAGAGCCAAAAGGTTCTGCACTGCTAGCGATCAAACCCTGAGTACCGAAAATTGGCAACCCAAATGTTGAGCCGCCGGTAGTATACATGCCACGAGGAAACCAAATGGCGACAAATAAGCTTAACCTGTCTAGTGTAGTCTGAAACTTCTTCTTCGGGGTCGCTTTCCCTGGTGGAGATGGCGAGCCCAGTTCTCCAAACTTCGCGAGAAAAAAAAAATAAAATCAAAAAAATGTATATTTATCAGCGGACAGCGGGCACCATTAATATCGAAGCGAGGCTGGCTGGCCCGTTGCCAATTTATTTTGTAATACCTACTCCATCTCCTAAATATGCTCTGCTAGGTCACTCGATTGAAGTGCCTCCATTATCAAAATGAAGGTCTACCAGATATTGCTCTCTCTATTGGCCTTGGGGGTTGGTTTGCATGCTGCAGACCCCAACCCGAATGAGTTTCCGTTGTCTGCCGTAAGTTCTCCGCCATACCTGGGCCATATCTGGGCCTTGACACTGGTCGCTGACTGTGTATGTTTGTTTGCACCAGATCTCGTGCATGCAGCAGCTGTTTCCCAGCTCGGAGTGGAATTCTACGGCATACCTCTGCGCCGATGACTCGCGGCAGACTGCCCTAGTGGACTGCGTAACCAACAATGGTACAACGAAGGAGGAATTTAGTAAGTCTCCAGAAGATCTAGTAGGCCATTTCATGAGGTTAACCATAGACAGTCACGCAACGATTGACAGAAGAATCATGCGACATCAAACCCCGTCAAGGGCCGCCGCTCATTGAGGGATCGACTTTGGCTCCCCTCATTTTGGCTACTTTTTTCTTCACCATTCGAATCTCTGCCAAAAGTTTCAACCTCGGTGGTGGCTGGGGGTGGGATGACCTGACCATCATCATCTCATATGTAAGACATTATTCTTATGCGCTGAGTAGCATCTGTACTAAACTCCTGCAGGTCATGGGTGTGGCCATGTTCGTGCTTAACGTCTATAGTAAGCTCAATCCCCGAAGTATGATAATTGTTAAAGCTAACAGACTAGTGATTAAATATGGCTTCGGCAAGAATATCTGGGATATCCCCTTCGATGACATCACCCAGTTTTACAAGGTTAGACATCGCTGCCATTCGACTGCCTTGGCCGAACCGTGCCGGTATTGACTTCTCTTTAGTATTTCCAAGGTTTCGCCGTGATGTACAAGATACAAATCTCCCTCGCCAAAATATCCGTCTGTCTGTTCCTGCTCCGGATCTTCCAATCCCGCATGTTCCGCACGCTCGCATATACGCTCATCGGGATCAACGCATCGATCGGAATCACATGGGCACTCGTGGATGGCTTGAGATGCAGTCCGGTCCATTTAGCTTGGGATGGTTGGGCGAACGAGGATCCCGGGACATGCATTGATTTTATTGATGCTATCTTGGGTAACTGCTTGGTGAATATTATTGTTGACGCCATCATGGTCTTAATGCCGGTATATGAAGTGAGCAAGCTGCAGCTGCCATTATACAAGAAGCTCACCGTCGGTCTGATGTTCGTGATGGGATCTGTGTATGGAATACCCTGTCTGTCTCCTTCGTTGTCTGCGGCTTTCGCTAATAGTGTATGTCGTCGTAGGTTGACTATCATCGGCATTATCCGAGTGGTCGTGTTCTGGAATAATCGCTGGGGCCAGAATCAGACTGGTACGTGGTTCTTGGATCTTTTGTCTTTTATTAATGGCTATCGCTAATCCCAATCAGCTGGTATCTATCCCCTGATTCACTGGTCTGTCATCGAATCGCAAGTTGCCATCATCTGCGCCTGTCTTCCGTCGTCCCGAGCTCTGCTCAACCACTTCTTCCCCGGCATTTTTAGCGGATCCACCAAACGAACGTATGCCACCGGGCCGAGCAACTGGTACGCCAAGGGCCAGTCGAATGGACAGAGCAAGATCAACAAATCCGTCAGCTACACGGTCCAGTACTCGTCATCGTCACAGAGAGATGATTCGAATGATTCGAATAGTGTGGTACAACTGGTTGACCTTGATCAGAAGCCACATGATTAGCGGGTAAAGAATGTGTTATAGAAATCTTTTAATCAAAATTCTTATATTATGCCATGAATGTCGCTCTCCCCACTTATTATCATGACTGTGTACTCTGTATAACGGAGTGACAGTCCTTCAGGCATTCTATCTGATACAGGAAAACAGTAATATACAAGGAGCTGCGGAACACGACAAACGCCAACAAACCCATGAAGCCCATAAAAATGCAACAAAGATGAAAAATTGGACGAAAATCTCACACAGCCTCCCAATCCATAGCATCGACAATGAAATCCCAATCGGCCATCGAATCGCCCGACAAGTCATTACCAGTGCTATTCTCGGCCCTGGCCAAATGCTCCCGAGCCAGTGCAAGTCCATCTTCTAAACCGACAAAGATTTCAGATAAAATATGGTCGAAGTCGTAGCTTTCGAGTGGCATCGCAGTCTCCTTCGGACGACGGAACGGATCTTTCTCCGCCTCTTCTTTCGACATGTCGGCTGTCTTCCATCGATTACGAAGTTCTTTCGCTTTCCTTAACTGCTCGCGCACATTTCCACTCCCGAGAACAGAATGCAATGGACAGCTCTCCTTCTCTAGCGTGTCCAGGACATTTGCGTGATACCGATGCGTAGCCGCTCGGGACCTATTCCTCCCAAGCCTCGGAGTCGATTGCGATCTAGTAACAGCACCAGTGACCGTCACGCCGAAGACGCCGAGTAAATGCACGATGGCGCGCTCCAGAAGCGCATAGTACTCGAAGAAATCGATCTTGAACATGATCTCCGCATGGGCGACATCAACGCTACTGTCAGCGGGGAGCGTCGCAAGGCGGTAACCCTCCGCCAGGAAGGGTAATTTCCACTTTAATCGCCCGACGATTTTCATGAAGCGGGCCAGTTCCTGCGAGGGAGGTGGGTGGTTGTGTCCTCGGGGAGTGGATGATGACCGTCTCGTCTTGAGCTCCTCTGGACCAGGGGCCCATCGTGAGTCGAGTAGACTAGACGTGGTCCTCGATGGCATTTCGATAACTTTTGGTGGGCTGGAACGTGATGTCAGAGTTGGTCTTTTGCGGTAGCCGGAGCGGAAAACAGCTTCAGGTTTCGGTTGTGATGATGGGTGGAACCATGGAACCACTCTTGGACTAACTCGCGATCGGTATAGTGGTTTCACATCGATCGCGAACCGGTCCTGCTTGGGAACATTTCTAGAAAACTAGAACCGGTTTTGGCGCTTTTTCAGATTGATCTAGATTTTCCCTCAGAGCTGTGCCTTTGGTTGTCTTATGTCCAGAATATATCTTGATGAGTCACTCGGAATGATCACAAATGCTATCAACTTTGGTTCCGCTGGAGACGGATATAATCGAGGCTCATCTATGGAATTTGTCAATTCAGGAGAAACCGGAAGGAAAGACATTCTGACTTTTAAAATAGCAGATGGGTCAGAACTGTACAGACTTAAAGAGTTAACAATGAACCCCTGAAGCATAAATTGGATAATGAGAAGGGGTAAGCGGTGAGGCTGTCTAGCGTTACTCATGTGATAATCCTTTTTCGAAACAAAGAAACAAAGTCAAATTTAGTGTGGAGACTCACCAGTAAGTGGATAAAATAACTAAAGTAAGGCAACACAGGGGGAAAACAAAGAAAGGAACCTACTTGCTGTGTACTTCCTATTCGGAGGGGGGATTCAAACCCACCGGAGTTCCTGAAAAACAGAAAAACTCCAGGTTACGGATTCGGAAAAGTCAGCTCAAAATCGGTCTCTACCTGATCTGGCTTAGCGTCAGCTAGCTATGTGCTCAAATAGCATCTATGAAAGAGCTTCACTACATAAGTCAATGTAGATCTGACTGGGTTCATTAACCATCGTTAACTTCAATTCTGATCCACCCTAAGTTCTGCTAGAATCTTGCACCATAACCTGTCCAAAACATTTTAAAACCTTAAGTAGCTAGTCTTACGCGGACCAAGAACACGCCTGGAAGTGTTGCAAAAATATATCTTGGAACTTATTCCATGATAGTAATTACCATGATGAATAAGATTTCCAAATGCTGTTCAACAGCCTGAGTATTCATTCTCTTTAATTGGACTAAACTATTATAAATAGAATGGGAATTTCCCTCTGCGTGCCATCTTGTGGTGCAACTAAGAAAATGATATAAAAATAGGTGACCGTATTAGAAGAACAGTATGATGAAGCTCTCTAGTACGGGTCTTCTTCATCCACATCGTCATCATCCGACCATTCAGCTGGTGCATTCTGCTCTACTGCTATGTTGAGTAGTAAATTATCCTCCCCTCTAGTCAATAAAGTTGCGTCCCCCATGTCCCAGTTCTTCCACAAATGCTCGGAGCATATTTTTGGCGATGTAACGGCCGGGTGTGCCCCAAAAGGGCTTTCCAAACTCGTCGGTGTGATAGAATACAGCTCTTTAGCCGGGGCCAAGTTTTCACGCGCGTCTTACCACCTGGAGACTATAGTGAAAATAGAGATAGCGCCCTGCGAGTCGGTAATTTCCCCTAAACTGCAAGACTCGGTTATCGAGCTTCCTCCAAGTAAGGCCATTCTTATTGATAGTCCTACCCAGCTGTACCCATGTAGTATCAATGATCCGGACTTTGTAGTCGCGGATCTACTACACTATCCAATTGTATGGCATAGCGTTGGTTGGTCTTTCGGGGAGATCAGGCACGATAATCATCACCTCCGCAGCGAAGTACTACTCAATGATCGCGTTTTATCGTTAGCCCGTCTTCACCAATTGCTCTGCTCCTGAGAGTCTTCGCCTTGGTCGGATGAAGGGCTTTATTAATTTTGACAATCTTCCAAAATTCTTCGTTAGGATCGTACGTGTCTGATTTGCGTGTCAAAACCACTTTTTTCTTAGGTGATCGTGTGTGTATAAATGTTCATAAGTACTACCACCCGTTTACAACCGTAAAACAACCTAATGCTGCCAACCCCCCATGGGCCACTATGTCAACTCCCAATCTGGATCCGATTATTCTTCCGAGTCTGTATCCGACGCTGCATCTTGGTTGAATGCTACCCACGGGCCCCACATATCCCTACATGGAATTTCAACATCATGGGGAGGGTCTGGAGCAAATGACACGGGAGTAAGCGCTCCCTTGCCCAGCAATTCGACCGGTGGAGGCTCATTCAGCTGATCGATCTGCTGCTTCATCCTCCTCACCTTTTGTACATATTCTTTATCCATTTTGTCCACCGGCAGCGTCACTAGTTGCATCCCCTCCAGTCCCTGACTCTGCACCGCATTACGCAACATCCTCTTCTTCCAGAACTCATTCTCTTCATCCTCATGAATGAAAGCATCGTCATCGTCAAGAACCGACGAAATGGCAGCAGCCCACATGCGCCGCCATCGACCACAATGCAGGATATGGTGCATGGCCACCTGGTCTCCTTCCCTCGGCCTCTCAAGGTGCGGCGCGTACGGACCGGTGGGCAATCTTGTAAACCCGGGGTAACTAGAACAAACCCAATCTGGGAGACAATAGGTGAAGTAATCGATGCGTGTTCGTACATCGAAATAGGGGAGATTCTTTTCCGGCTGCAAGAACGCATCCATACTCCGCCCAAACAACTCCCCATATATGATAATCTGGAAGGCCGCTCGATCTGCCTCCGTTTGGATGGTGTAGGGTTCGCTTACCCCGCCGTCCCAGAAGTTTGGCGTGGCGTACCACTGCCTGCCGGCCATCTTGTCGATCTTGTCCGAGAGCGGGTTAATGGTGGAGAACCGGGCTAGATGTGTTCTCCGGATGTCTTCTAGCGTTAGGCCTGCATGTTGAAGGCAGAATTCGTAGAGGCTGTCAATTCCACCTTGGAAGGCTTCGCGGAGGGCTAATGTACGTGTTTCATTTCCTAATGCCCAGTCACTGGCTTGTCGGGCCGTGGCAGCGACGAGGAAATGAGGGTGGGGAGAGAAGAATGTGGGGGCCGAGGCGGCGGCTAGCTGGAGGATTGTGTTGGGCTGTGCTGTGTACAGACAATCCCGGAGTCTGCGACATGATGCTGCTGCGTTGGTAAAGGTCTCGATGTTATCGATGTAGAGTGGGAGAAGACAGAGAATTTCATTAGGGAGTGCGTCGAGACCCATGGTGTGTGGTAGAAGCGAAGAGCAACTGACCACGAAATGGGATCACAGCACAGGAGTAAGCAGTCTTTAAATGATGATGTATGGTGGTGAGGCTGAATAATGCTCCACTAAAAGGTGCCTATCCGCTTGAATCATTTGCTGCTTTGACAAGGCTGAACGCTGAGCCTACCGCTGGCACTGTGGGTCTGAGATGTTGTCACTAAACCATAAACAGTCCCCGGACTCTAGTAGAGTAATTGAAGCAATGTTCTAGCATCAGGGCTATTTGGCAGGTGCATACATGCCCCGCTGTTGTCATAGTGGCGCCTCCGTGTCGGTGCTCAAGGTTGAGACACCCACCAAACATGTTAGTTAGACTTCCCGACTTGATGAGCCCAATCACCTCTGCAGATATCATAGAGGCCTAGCCGTATGGCGAATATCGCCTTATCTTCGGGTAGCGACTATTCTGCATTTCCAACACTATTCCAGGTCCTAGAACGCAATGATAATCATCAGTGAAAAGGTATACTAGCAAAAAGAAGATGAGACATTCCTACAGTCGCAGTAAAGGTGGGACATGGATGACAACATGGAATTTTCATTAGCTTAGCGTACCCTAGGAGTAGCGAAAGTGAATGATGATACGTAGGGAAAGAGGAATGTTGTGTATACCTAATTTTTCAGGTTTGAATGCCACGTTCGGAAGTCGATCGGGTCCTGACGTCAGAGGGTTTTCATCGCGCCGATCCAGTCAATGAAGTCAACGCGATCGCCAGGGGAAATCGCAATCCCCATGAAATCTTTCCTATATAATGAGAAGAATTCCCCCAGTCATTGGCCTTTCACGCGTCGCGTCCCTTTACTCCTTTACTCTCTCATCACGAGCTCAATCTACGCTGACCCATATAATCGCTCGCAAAATGCCACAAAAGCGCAAACCATCACAGAACGGTACCAGGGAAAATGGAACGAACAGCACCTCGCATACTAACAAGCGGGGCAAATCCGATCTATCATCACCGCATCCCAATTCGCGGCAAGCGGAAGAGTTCGGAATCGTCTTGCGACAGTTCTACCCACCCGAAATGAGCAACGAGCGGTGCCAAGCCTACAACGATGGAACGTTGGAACGGCCAATGGAGGCATTGAATCGGGTCTGTGAAGAAACAGTAGATGCCCGTCTATCGATCCGGCCAAATGCCGCTGTGGTCCATTGGTTCAAGTCCGACCTTCGATTGCACGACAATCGCGCTTTGCGGAAGGCATATGAGGTTGCGCACGAACATTCTATTCCTCTTATCGCACTCTACATTCTATCGCCCGAGGATCTCACGGCGCATTTGAGCAGTCCCGCGCGGGTAGATCTGACGTTGCGGACATTGGCGCAATTAAAGCGTGACTTGGGCGAGTTGGACATTCCTTTGTATATGGAAACGCAGGAGAGACGGAGGGATATTCCGCAGCGCATTACTGATTTATGTCAGGAGTGGGGAGCCAATCATCTTTTTGCAAACATCGAGTACGAAGTTGATGAGCTTCGTCGAGAGGCAAAGTTGGTCCGGCTGTGCGTCGAGAACGGCATTGCCTTTGACGTACTCCATGACACCTGCGTTGTTCCTCCGGGGTTACTCAGTAGCCAACAGGGAAAACAATATGCCGTGTACAGTCCGTGGTTTCGTGCGTGGCAGACGTTTCTTATGGATAATCCAGATTATCTGGAAGTGTCGGAAGAACCTGGCTCTAATCCCGGCAATGCTCGGAAAGTCTTCAAGGACCTTTTCGCAAGCGAGGTCCCCGGAGCATCGGATAACAAGCGATTGTCCGATGAAGAGAGGGAACGTTTTTGTCAACTATATCCAGCGGGAGAGCACGAGGGTTTGGATCGCCTAGAAAAGTTTCTCGAAGAGAAAGCCACGGCATACGATGATATGCGGAATTCACTATCTAAGCAAACCACATCTGTTTTGAGTCCGTACTTCGCGTCTGGATCGTTGAGTGCCAGAACTGCAGTGGCCAAAGCCAAGAAAGCAAACAAAAATCAATTGGACCGGAATGACCTTGGCTTTGTGTCTTGGATCAGCGAGGTGGCATGGAGGGACTTCTACAAACACGTATTGGTACATTGGCCATTTATATGGTAAGCAGGTGTCAATTTTGTATAGATGATGTCAGGTCGAGCTAATGGAGACAGCATGAATAAATGCTTCAAGCCTGAGTTTACAGACCTTGAATGGGAATATAACGAGGACGACTTTAACGCGTGGTGCGAGGGTCGGACCGGGTTCCCCATCGTCGACGCTGCTATGCGACAGATGAAAAATGCCGCCTGGATGCACAACCGGTCTCGCATGATCGTCGCATCTTTTCTCTCGAAGGATTTACTGATAGATTGGCGGCGGGGAGAAAGGTACTTCATGGAACACCTCGTCGATGGCGACTTCGCCTCCAATCACGGCGGCTGGGGGTTCGGCTCCAGCACTGGGGTCGATCCGCAACCGTACTTTCGTATCTTTAGCCCCTTGCGCCAGAGCGAGCGATTTGACCCCGACGGAGAATATATCCGACGCTGGGTACCGGAGCTGCGCGAAATCCAGGGATCGGCTATCCATGATCCCTATGAACGCGGCGCAGGCGATTTGGCTGAGAAGAACGGATATCCGAGACCCATCGTGGACCATGCGACGAGGCGGGCGCTCGCCTTAGATCGGTATAAGAGAGCAGCTGGTGGAAAGTCGAAATAGACCTCGTATTGAACGTGAAATAGCCCTGACTAACGACGGGGTGAGGATAGAGGAACGGCGTAGACGCTAGCCATATATTTCATGGTGGTATTTGTCAATGGCCATCCTACGAACGGACTATGCTCTATACAAGATATTATACTTGATGAGCAATAGTGCTCTTGGTCGACGGATGTACTACCTCCTAATTGTCGAATGAGCACACGTTGACATCAGCGCCGGTACCCTGGTGTACTACCTGCTTGACACCAAAGTGATGAGATGCGGTCATCAGGGAGGGAGCAGACATGGATGCTTCAACATGGATACTCCGATTGGGGCGAGCAAAGAGCCAGCGGTGTTGCCTGACGAGAAAATGACAGGCGCGTATAATAGGTGCAGGATGGCCTTGCCGATACGTGATTGACACGTTTGATACCTAATGAAAGCTTCGAAATATCGATTGTGAGAACGTATTATTCCTTATGTCTTTTGTCTATGTAGATCAAACTAAAGTGACATCTATCGGTGGAACAGCTGAAGCAATAACAGATTATATCATCCACCATGCGTTAGCCAGACCAACAGATCACACTAGGCCAAGACCAGAAAACCAAAGAAGAGAGGAGAGTATCCATAACGAACGAACGAACATCATTTAGGGTTGGAACGAAGTGAGTAGAGGAGAAGGAACAGTCAGGAATCGAGCTGATACCCAATGATGCTTACATCACTGCAGTTCCTGGATAACCTCTAAAAGACCGCCGCGAACACCGCATGGAAGAGGCCAGTCTTGAATACTGCCAAGGGCAACCTGTCTATTCGTGAAATACTAAAGCTCAATACTCTTGAGGGCCATACGCGCCTTTTTGGAATAGATGACATCAGCAGTATACTGAGGCTGGTGACGGAGAGCTTGAGTGAAGCGGGTTGCTGGTATTCCCCAAGGATGGACCTGAAAATCGTCGATATAGTCTACATGTTCAGGGAGCAGACCTTGGTGTCCTCGGGGCCATTCTGCTCGTGGTTTATCGAAGAAGGAAAGATCATTCGGAGGTGCAAGCTGAAATGTGTCAAGATAGGTCGCGCGCTTGAACAAGCCTTTCGTGGCCCAAACACCATATCTTTCGACGTGCCAGTGGTAGTATGCGGCGCGATACTCGAGGTCAATGGGCAGGGGGTCTATCACTGGAGCTGAAGGGAAGGGGTCCTCAGTATCAAATTCGAAGTCTACCAGCAAGGCATCTCCCGGAAGACTCGTACCATCATTTCCACTCTCATGTGCTCCTCGCTCCCGCTTGGCGCGTTGTTCCCGCTGGCGCCGCTGCTGCTCGTCTTCATGGGCCTGCAATGTATTGATCCTAGCAATAACGCCCCTTATAGCCTCTTTGAGCTTCTCGAATCGAGTGAAAATAGCATCGTTCACAAAACCGCCCTGCAAGTTAGGTTGTATTTCCTTAGCACACGGATTCACCATGCCAGTAACCCGGCCAAACGAGGATGGGTCAATCTCTCCACGGTCCTCAGCTGCTTGTTGCTCTCTATACCAAAGGCAGAGATGGTCGAGATCTTCATGGGTCAGGGGATGTTGGAATATCGAGTCGTTGCCCCGTCTGATCTGAGATAGCGCTAGTCGAACCTCCCAGAGCCTTCGTTCTTTGCGCCAAGAACGTAACAACAAGAGGAATCTATGGCGATAGGTGGTCAATTCGATTATGTGAGTCTGTATCATCTCTCTGATCTTGATTAGGCTCAGTTTCTCAGTGACAAATCTTGGGTCAAGGCAGTAGTCTGCGCTATTCAGAAGTCTACCGGTCCTGCTAGCAATGGTCCAAAAGGGGGGCTCAAGGGAAACGTGTAAGACTGCAACATCAAATGCCACACGAGCTCTGATACCAGCACTCTCATCCACATGATCTGGGACGTTCATCACCATGCCAACCGGAACTGTACCCAGTCTAGGTTCCTTGTAGGAAGGTATTTCGGGCGGGGACTCCGAGAAAGACAGAATATCGGTGGGTCGATAGGCGTGAGCTGCAAATCGCTCAGGGAGGAACCAGAAGAGCGGGTAGCCACGGTATCCAATGCTAACCGACTGATCCTGGTTCTGAGAGATGCCAGTTCCTCCATCAATGTCACTGTGCTTTTTCTGGTTCGCATGGTGTCTCTCCTTAGGGGTCTTCTCATCACCAGCGCGTTGCTTCGCCTCGGGAGTAGACTGCTTTTTGATCTCACCAAGACTGTCGACAGAGACGGTAGAGTGGGCAGGTTTCGCCTGGGACGGTTCAGCTGGCGGCTGTCCTATATTGGCACATGTAGAGATATCAGGCGTTTCAGTCCTTTGTCTCTTTGGCGAGGGATAACGAGGACAGCTTCCGCGTCGTAATCGGCGTGTTCCTCTCATTTCTTGCTTTGATGTGGTTGCGGGGTGGTATGGTTTGAATACCAGATCTTTCATCGAAGTTACGGGATCATGTCAAGAAGGGACGGCAAAGACAGGCGAAAGGTCAACGGTGTGAAGGTGGAAGAAGGGGAGATACGCAAGAAGGGTATTTCGTGTATTACGCGAGAGAAAGAACACAAATGCAACAGTGGATATCAGGAACAAAAGCACAAGAGTCCAGTGAATTAAACGCCACATGCGCCAAGATCAAACAAGTCACCAATAGGCGACAGATATAAAACAAGGTAGCTACAGGCACGGGAAAGGTAGGATGCGCTTTGACTCATGGCATTCAGTGAACAACAGTCATGGCAAAGCACACTCCCAGTGATTCCCCCCTACGTAAGTACTTCTCCGTGGGTACCTGTGTGATATTAATAACACAACTCACTTCTTCCAATGTTTAACAGTTTCACTAACCTGCAATGACTACGCTGGAAGGATATCCCAAGCTCTGGATTATCATCCACGTACTTTGTCCCCGTAATGGTCTCTGGGGCTACCCCGAGTTCCACCCAAGCGACCAACGCAGCCAGGATATTCTCATGTCTGTTAAACGGTGTCATTGTTGGAGCAGGGCTACCGCCCTGCCCAAATGCCCATGCTCCTGGGCCTGAGCTACAGTGGGACATGCCTGAGATGCGGAAAAAGCGGAAGAAATGGTCAAGCTCGGACGAAGACATGTTCATGGCGGTCGAAAGATGATTGTAAAATCGCTCCGTGTTGAAGCTGGTGATCTTACCATCCTGCTGTCCATGAAAGGTGATTATCTTTCCTCCTCTCTCTTCGTACTTTGACAGGTCGTTCGGCCAGGTCCTGATATCCTGGGGATTCAAGTCATCCGCGACCTTTGCGTCGTGGATATCAAACTCGGCTGGATTCCATGACGGATCATAGACCACATACTGAAACCATTCCTTATTGCCTTGCATCAGCACATGATATCATTGAGAACGATTCGAATCACATACTTTAGAATAACTGAATGGCTTTCCAGCATAAAGCTTGTCTGCGGCCTCTAGCTCGCTCCCTGGTTGCATTGATGGGAATATCAGTTGCCCATTTTCACCATACATCGGACTAAACACCTTCTGCACGATCTCTACCTGCTCAATGCTCAGACAGTTATTTATCTTTTCCTTCGTACATATTAATACTTCTGGACGAAAATGGCACAAAGTGGGATCCTCGATGATACCGTCATCGATACAGTCAAGTGTATCGCACTGTGCCAGTACTTCAGAGTGGATTAGGTTCTTCCATGTTGATACATTTATGAAGTTAGTGGAGTCAGCGGAACCTGTAATAGGAAAGAAGCTTGCTCTCCAAGAGACAAGATTGTTGAAGTCCAGTGCTGGTGAGCCGGCAACAATGCCGTCGAAGTCGTCGGGGAATTCCACTGCGGAATTCATACCCTGCCGTCCACCCAAAGAGCAACCCAGATAATATGATTTTGTATGAGATTGCCCATAGAATGCCTGAGTGACTTGTTTGCCTATCACTGTGCTAAGATGAAGTCTGCTAACCATCAGCTATCTTGAGCTGTGTCGACACACGCGCTGAAACATGACATACGCTCTCCAAGCGAAGTCCGCAAGGACATCCGAATTTTGATAAAAAGAGGCGGCGGTCGTGCCATTGTGCCCGTTGTTCGAGCCGACAACAGCGAATCCACTTGCGGCTCCGTACGCCAAATCCTCATATTTTATACCTGCTCGGTCACGGGCCATCAGTGCCCCTGAAAATAACACAGATCTCTATTTTGAAGAGGATGTCAACATACAACCATCGATACCACCATTTCCAGTCCCCAAGAACCTTCCCGTCCAATTTCGAGGTAGCCAGACTTCTGTGGTAACGCCCGATCTGATGGATGTCTCCACATACAATGCGACACGGCAAACGTCCACCGGGACAATCTGATACGGGCGAGCACATGTCGCATCATTGTACGGAAGACTGAGATTCGTCCCCGCGGGCACATATTCAATGAACTCACGATGTGCGTTCGCAGCCCTCGTATCGGGTGAAAAGGCTTGGCATGAGGCTGGGAAATCAATCCCTGCGGCTGAAACAAAGGATATGTTTACGCCGAGAAGGGTTAGCCACAATAAGGCCTTCATATTTATTTTGGTGTCGATGTGAATAGGTAGTCCTCTGGTTTCCCACTGCCCCTTGACTGTCGTGGTGCCTGACCGTGATTATCAAAAGCTACAAATCAAAAGAGAGAGCAAATGCGCAGAAAGAGTCCGTGCCTTGCGTTTGCGCTCAACCAATCACAGGTGCAATATGTGCTAGAGCGAGGCTGAGCGCCGCGCGCGCCTCCCAGCCTTCTTCAAACCCCAGCGGAATCACCAAAAACAACATCGTTCATAAAATATAACACCTGTAACGAAACAGGAGGAAAGAACCACCAAGTTACCCTTCATTTTACCGATATGACCATATACAGCAAGTGATGTGGCTCTTGAATGCTAGAACAGTCACTTTACAGTAGGTGATCACCTGGCGCCCGGTCCCACCTGCTGCCCGATTTCACCACCACCAGCGATATCGAATATGAAGCAATTTAACCACATATAATTACTATTATCGCGAGATCTTTTGGTGGATTAATATAGTCATTATTAGGACTCTATATACAGTTTTTAACTGTTTCGAAAGCGCTGTGGGAGCCGGATCTCGCGGCCTCGACAATTTACTGTTGGAGAGGCCTCAGGGACTTCTATAGGTATTGTTAGTCTGGTTTCTATAGATTTTTTCTGATATAAAGCTTTGGAGGCCTTCTTTGAAGACTTCTTTGTCTGCTGGAAGTTATTTTGAAACTGGTAATCTGTCTTCTTTACTAGGCGAGTATCCTCTTTTTATTGTTTCTTTTGCTCTGTCTCTAGTAGCTATAATTCTTGCTAGAATATCTGATTTCTCTTTTACTCTTTAAGTAAGTGTTCTTTCTTCTCTTTAGGAAACTGTCGACAGATCTTATCTTGCTCCTTTGAGATCTTAATAAGTTATATAGCTTTATTCTTCTATATTTAAAGATCACGAGTCTACTGAACCTTTTGAGAAGAGTAAAAAACTGTACTACTATTCTCAGGGACCACGAGCTTAAACTGTAAAGATTTTCTATATTGATACTTCTTCTTCTTATTCTAGAGGGCTGATTCGAGGCCTTAATAATATAGTTTAAGAATAATATTCTGTATAAAGAGATAATATATTATTGAGCTTAACTTCTTAGTATTTTTATTATATATATTAGTAATAACTCGATTCAGAAGCTTCTCAATCCTCCGCCAGTCCTCTGTCTGTAGGATTGAGCGTGAGAAATTACTTAAGAATAGTCTAGAGTCTTTCTACTTATTAAATCGAGCCAGAACTATTTCTGGATTCAGTAACTATATCCTCACAGCTTACCATGAAGAAAGGATATTATTTATCAATAAAACCTGTTCCCAGACTAGTTAAAAGAGACAAAAGAAGTCCTGTTTAGTAATATAACTAAGGTCTATTGATTTATGTAGAAAGTCCTCGAGCTTCTTACTATAAGCGGTAGAGAGAGGGCCGAAGATCCCAATATCAAGCGGCTGCAGCGAATAAGTTAAATAAGACAGATATATTATTAATAGGATCCTTTTAGTATTACAGGCTAGTCGGCGGTGCTGGCCTATGGGTTGTGTCACGCCGGGCGGGGGGCGCTTTATGGGCCCAGACTATGTTGGCTTGTGGAGGAAGGTCCGGCTCCAAGCCGAGCCAAGGAGATCTAGGCGCCCTGCAGTGGTCCAAGAACAAGCTGTGGATCTAGGATAGCATTCAGCATCCTTTTGAACTCGTTTTATTTGGGTCGTATGACAGAGCGTTTAAAGTTGCCAAGGGTAAAGTTTGTAGAGTCCCACATTGCAACTTTTGTTTAACCTTGTTTAACAAGGTGTTGATTTTGCCGTTTAGGGCCCACGTGTTTTCGTTGAATATTCTCTCTGTCTGAATCAGGGATGCGCTTTGCCGTAAAGGCTGGTCCAAAAAAGGTTATCCGACAACAAGCAAGGGAACGCAATCCTGAATGGCGAGATAAATACACGCATTTCATCTCAGATTTCTGCTCGTGCCACCTAGTTTATGTTGACAAGTCTGGATGGTCAAAGAGACAGTTTAACTTCCCTCGCGAATTCGTAGAATCGATCACTCGGTCGGTCCAATATTACTAATAAAGTTTTCAATTGTTACTAGTAAAGCTGTTACTTATTAGTAGTAAAATTGTTATTACTAAAGGTATTACTACTAAAACTATTAATCTTTATAAAACTACTAGTAAATTCTACCAAAGATAGTATTTAAAAAAAAAAGCAGTACACAGTGGAAAAATTTCCTAATTAGAAATTTTTAATTATTACCTGTTCGCGGAGCTGTTAAGTTTGAACTACTATATAAACTCAATAAAAATAGATAAAAATAAGCGGGTTGAAGATTTATAGATATAAGGTCCCGATCTATCTGATAATAAAGAGAGCAAGGTATTATAGTACTACTGGGTGGTGAAGATCTGCCCTGAATATGACCCTTATACACGAGTATTTACTCGGACTCGACCGAAAAGCAGAAGCACAAATTGTGAACCAGCAGTTAAAGCTGGCTACTACGACCAAAGAAAGAGCCAAAAGAAAAAAGATCAGAGATAATTGCATTCTTCTAATCTAGCTCTCGTCTGTGCTCAACAAAAGATTTGTCTTCAGCACGTATATAGAAGGACCCCGATGGGGAAGGCGTTGTCTGCTACACTGGCGATAGCGACAACCGATGTCCCGATCAAATCGTCATGTTTCTGTTGACAATATTGACCTTCCTCCTGTTTACATCTACTTCGACTTTTCTCATGGAAAGCAAGTATCCAGTCCAAAGATCATCACTCTGTCCACCCGTTGATCTTTCAACCCGCCCAATCACGACGAGCAATGATACCTTCCCTTTTCAGACGTGACGAAATCGAGAAAAGTGGACGAATATGAATGATATGGCTACTCCAAGGTTGATCAAGAAAAAGTGTGATCCCGCCGATCACATTCCCAAACTAGCAATAAACATCGAACGAGTGCTCGGTGATTAGGGAACTGACGATAACATGGTCCGACTTTATTGTCATTTGAGTTTTGGTAGAATCCAACTACACACAGGATTTTCGATTTTGGAATCATCGTCATCAGCACATTATCACTTCCGCATCTTTTCCGTATTTTCTTAGCACAAAAGTAAAGAATTTATCAGCCCTTAGTGACCTTTCCAATGCCTCATTAGTTCTCTTCAAACCCATAAATAAACAGCAATGATCGACATTCGCGGCGCTAACCGAGCATAGCTAGGCTGCTAGAGTAAATCATGTCTTTGGATTTAATCGTCTTACGCATCGATTCTGTTACCAGGATATCCAAACCACCGGACAATAGTTCCTTAGGAGGAAATGCACTACTATCCATGACAAGGGGTTCATCTACTAGTGAGCTTGTTGGACTAGTTCGCCGCACCCTAGTCTCTACATGCACTTTCTACTCTTATAAAAAGAGTAACCTCTATCTGATATCACTAATGATTTTTCTCTTATTTATTCTTAGTCAAGTTAGTACTATTTTTTTGAGTTAGAATCACCTTTTTTTTTTTTTTTTTTTTTTTCTTGTTTTGAGCTTTGGCAGATTATACAGATAATTACTACACTGTATACTAAAGACAGCATTGCTGAATAACGCGTAGTAATATAACATATGTAAACCATGTTATGGTAAATAACAACATGAATAGCTTGCATTCAGGCATTCTGTATTTTGATGAGACGGCCGGCTTTAAGAAGAGACAATAACTTTTGTATGAATGACAAATTTTCAAGCAATCAGAAAGACTAAAAGACATTGAATCTTGGGGACTCTCATCAGCACATTTCACAAGGCCTTTTGGTAGGAGTTCGATTATTTTCACGTTGGTGGTATTGCTGTAAGTTCTTCAGGGAATGGAGGGATAATGTTTTCATGTCGTAGGTTGCATTGTTGAAAATGTCGCTGACAAGCAGCAGACCATAATCTGATTGGATAACTCCTGTCGGAAAATTGTCTGCAACAATTCTGGCATCTTGTTTCTTCCTTCAGGCAGCGAGCTGCACATGCGCGCAGTCCAATTATACAGCCTTGTCCCTGTCTTTCCAGGCCCAATCGACACTCCCGGAGTTCTCTTTGATTTTCATAACAATGCAGGAGACAAGTCAAACCAATAAGACCGGGCTTGATGTCACACTTCGGGAAGCACGCCCCAAGCATCTCAGAGCATTTCCTAGTCGCCTGACAGTTCGATTGCGCGGTTAAGAACAAAAATACCAGTAAAACAATTCTAAGGTCCATGGCTCATGCGATAGATTATCTGCCTTAGCAGTTAAGTAATATGAGAGTATAACAACAAGAAAAAGTTCTGTCTGGCAAAGGAGTAACTCCTTGAATTTAACGTTGTCAGTCAGGATGGGAGGGTTTTCTTTCTTTCTTTCTTTCTTTTTTTTTTAGAAAAAAAAAAAAAAAAAAGATTGTGCCTGATGTGGTCTCGGATTACTTAGTGAAAGAAAATCAAGCTTTCTCAAGCTACAAGCCTGAGCAAATCTCAGTGTATAAATATATCTTCGGTATAATCAAAGATTAGTTGAGAATTGCTAGCGGAGGGTGAAAGTGAAATATTAATAATTGCTCCCTGGCTCGATGTCGTCACTGACTAGATGCTGAGGTCATCACCAAGGAAATAGAAAAACAAAATTCTGGAAAACTACGAAGCTGGATTTGTCTGAAATCTATAAAACCATAGTTATAGACAATCTAGAGCTTAGCCGTCTGAAGTTTATCAATTGAATATAAAGTATCACGAGACACGCAAAATCTAGAAGAATACCTTGAGGCGCGTCCCTTGGCTTAATCACCACCACACCATCTATTCTAGACCATCTAGGTTGCATGGTACATCATCCTACAGTACCACAGTTAAGTAAAGAATTTTCCAGACAGGGTTTCACTTGTTGTTTTCATTATTCTTACATATTGATCCGTCTAAACCTGTGCTGAACACGAGTTCGGTCTGTCATTTGATCTAAAATACCCAAGCCAGCCACAAAGTTTAATTAGGATAGGGTCAATTACCTCTCAGTGATTTGGTGCCAGGACTTAATCTATCTCAAAATTGCTGGACTCTGCTCTTTTCTTTCTTTCTTTCTTTCTTTCTTTTTTTTTTTTTTTCGGTTACAGTCCACCACCATGTTGATTATGATTCCTATCAACTGTGTTGTCGATTCCACTAACAGAGCAGAACCATTATCATTCAGAGTATACAAGCCGGTAGGTTGCTTCGAATATCGGTCCTCGGATAGCAATTGAAAAAATAGTTAACCGCAGAGAGCCACTCTAGATGGCTATGGCGGTTTCATGGTTTTCCACAGTCAGGACAAGGTCCTGGTCGATTTAATTGGAAGATGCATCCCATGCTTTTCGGCTTGTGCAGATTGACTAAGTAACTATTATTCTCTGGGTCAACTTGCTGTTCGATGTTCGCAGACAGGAGGAGCTGGTTCACGAAATCTGATGGTTCCAAGTCTGTTTCCAGTGAGACAATTAGAAACGCAGGATTAGGTGTATTATACGACCTGCAACCAAATAGTACAGATGCAATCTCTCGTAATTAGCCTCCATACAGGTGACTTGGAACGATATGGGTATATAAACTCGAAAGAAAAGAAGAATGGCTTCTCTAAGATCTAGTATAGACGCTGTGGGAGAGAAGAGTCCAAGCTGGAAAATCATCTGCTGCACCAGTCCTAGGAATAAGGCAAGACTCAGTACACATCACAAGCCCATATAACGATCATGATGTGGCTTTACTGGCAGGAGAGCCCGCATCTTTGAACACATAGTATAGTTGGCAACGGAGAAAGGGACGGGCAACGCATTTTCACCTGGATCCTTCATCTAATCTCATCACCGCAAAGAATGGATGACGGTCAAGCCTTCGCGCCTAGTCGGTCTGGACATCTTGGCATTCTTTTTTGGGTATCCGCTGGAACATGTAGTTATTGTACGTTTCAGTATGTAACGTAATCAGACAGCGGGCTGCGCAGGACACTGAGCTGTGTGGTGGTGGGCCCCACAGCTCAATTCTCGATGATGTCAAGCGCGTCGCAGTCTGGTTATATCGCTTAGCACGTCGGTGGAGGCCAGTATTCTCTTTGTTGGTATCATTCTCACCCAGCGGTGACTTAATCAATGGATCCACAAAAATTTATAGGGGCGCTGCCTTTGTCCTGCGGACTGCAGATCATCCTTCAGTCGACAGTCTACTACAAAACCCCGAAGTTTCTCGTTCAGAACGGCTAACAAATTCACAGTATCTGAGATTCTCTGCTGCTTAAACCTCTGCATAACCTTCTGGGCTGAGACATCGAGGGGTCTGGCGGTCAGCCTGCAGTGACGAAGAACGTTGAGCCGGATAAACATTCAAGATATTATCCTATTGGCCCGATATAAGGACATCTTTACAAGATTCCTTAGCGGCGTTTGTGCTCTGCCATAAGATGGCGCTTAATACTAGTGACTTGACGTCGAATACTTTGCTTGTCAACGCAGTAGAAATGCCATAGGTGTAGTAATCAGTGGTTTAGAGAAAGAATCTATCTTGACCGCTCTGTGGCATGCCCCTGAGTTAGGTCACGTGTCCGTAGGTCGCTCCGCTGAATATCTCGTTAGGTAGGTGAACTCACTGAGTCTACAGCTGAGCCGGCACCGCTAAAATTTCTCGCCAGCACCAGTAGCGCAGTTTTTGGTCATGTGATCCATAGCTGAGCCAGCATATCTTTATATCTCAATATAATTAATAATACTCTCTTCTCTCCCCGCTACCATACTATCTTTCCTTGCTAAAATAGTAAAAAAGTATTATTAAGATACTATTTTAATACAATATTCTTTTTTTTAGATAGGATCTAATTAGTTAAGTTAGAAAGCTAATATCAAGTTTGTTTCTTAGAAATTATACTTAGAGTGGCCACTATGATCCTCCGTACCTGAGCTTTGACTAGTCTCGTCCTTGGCGGCTGATCACTACGATATGGGGGTACGGTAATCTTAATAGCTGGTGATGCTCGCACACTTCGCGACCAAACAGAGCAGAATAGAATAAACGAGACATTGATTTGCAGGTTGTCATTCAGAGAGGCATCCAAATTCATTTGCACTTGGAGTCAAGGCAGAAATCATAGTGCTGCATACTTGGCAGACTTACAAATGCTTGGTAAGGAGCCTAATTGAGTACACCAGCTTCGAACAGAGAGTAAATGAAATTTTTATACGTACATATTACAAACCCAAGAGTTAGAGAATGTGAAAGGAGTATTAACTTGTTGGTAGACCGTGTGATAAGTTCGGGAAATTATTTCGCGCTGGAATTAACGGGGGTGCTGTACGGAGTACAACCCTCGCATCGCGGACCGGAGTGCGGGATAGATTAATAATTGAGCGTTGGTAATCCGGTATGCACGAAACCCTGCACAAAGTCCAATCGAGGCCTAGGATTCGGCAGAAGACATGCATATCTCCACCTACAAATTGATTAACGTACGTCGTCGAGGGAACAGCGTTAGAGATATAGAGAAATAGCTACCGGGGGTTACATACGCCAATTATAAGAACACTGGATTAGCCGCCATCTGCAGTACCAAGCAACATTCCCACATCAACCATGGTCCACAATATCCTCCTCACCGGTTCCTCAGGCTACCTTGGGGGTACCCTGCTGGCGCACTTCAACAGGGCAGATTTACCTCCGTACGGCAAGCTTTATGCTCTTGTTCGCTCTGAAAAGCAAGCCCGATGCGTGCAAGAATACGGCGCAGAGCCTTTGTTCTGCGATGTTGACGACCATGTTCAATTCACAGCCGCGATTGTTGACAGAGAAATTTCTGTCATATATTTCCTTATCGACGCATACAATCAGACACGTCAGGAAATGATGATTAGGGCCCTTGGAAAGGTTAAAGAACGCACGGGAAAAACTGTGCACTTCGTACATACCACCGGCGCCAAACAATTCAGTCGTCATGGCGGTGTTCAAGATGACAGACCTTTACTTGACACCGACCCGACGCTCTACGACATACAAAAAAGCGCTGCCCCGCCGTATAAGTGGTTTGCCCAGGTATGACCGCCCTAGTTCGGCCTATAAACGACGGTTGCTAAGCGAACTCACATCTTGAACAGGGTCTTAGGACAAATGCCGTAGTTATTGACACCGCAGAGGAGAACGGAGTGCGAGCTTATATACTTGCTCCCTGCATAGTATATGGAGAGGGGGAGGGGTTTGGCAAGCGCATTTCTATTCAGGACGTTGCAGTGGTGAAAGCTGCGAAGAAGACTGGTCGAGTCTATAAGGTCGATTCCGATGATCCTGTAAGTTACACGTGTATCATCACGGGCTTTCTGTAATGACACTAACATGCTCGCCAGACCTGGCCTGTTTGCCACGTTAGTGACACTGCTGCCCTCTACTTGCAGATCCTACGGCAAATCTTGGTCGGTAACGATATCGGATATAACAAGAACGGGTTTTTCCTTGCTGCCTCTGGAAGTATAGCCTGGAAGGACATATATGAGGCCTTTGCTAAAGCTCTCGCAACACGTGGTGTGGTTGATGATAGTACGGTAGAACTGGCAGACGAAACAGCCTTAAAGAAAATGGGTGAAGCACTAGGGGTGGACCCATCTATTGTGCTTTTTTCAGTGGGCGGGAAGTATGTGACTCGCTATCCTCAGTACTATCTTCGAATATATGCTAACGTACACCAGGTGTACCTTTACTGCAGTCCATGGCAAGCAGATCGGCTGGCAACCGCAGTACCCACCCGAGCATATACTCGAAGTGGCTGATATCGAGACTGAACTGATTCTGAAGAGTTTGGAGCCTAATGTTTGAAGGGCAACTATTCGGTGATTCCACAGTTAACTATAGAAGTACATTGATAGACTTTTAATATTACATGACTAGATTCAATAGAAGAATTACGACTACTGTATTGACTCGTTTCAGGAACTGTAATTACATTCATGCTATTTTGATGCTAAAACCCTCGAGATAGACATTACATCAAACCGATGCTAGAGCCATAAGATATACCATTGTGATCAAGGGTGCTTTATATACAGAGCTAAAAGGCCCTCAAATTCATAATCCCTACTGCGCTTACCTACAGGTCATGCACAATCCGTCAAGAACACTACATATACTTACAAAGGATAAGCTTTGCGCTTTCAGGTAAGCGAGTCTCATGGCTTTAATTAACATCTCAAGTTCAAACACCTTAAGTGAATGTCAAGTCGTAACCTATGCTATTACCCAGATGCACCTGAGCTACAAGTGACGCCGAGGTTAGAAGGAGTGTTGCCGCACAGGATCTTGGCATCCCCTGATGGAGCTTTCACCTCAAACCCACTGATAGTGACATCGCAGGTGCCCTTGGACCCGCAGTTCAGATTAGCTACCACAGGGTCCTCCTTGTCACTAGTGGTACCCGTGAAGCCCTTAACGACAATGCCTTCCAACACTGCGTTGCCAGGGTTTTCTTCACAGTATGTGTCATCTTCGCCATAACAACTTTGGATCTGGAAGGCATAATCACAGCCATCGACGATGAAATCCTCGAATGTGGCATTCTTTACTGTCGATAGGCCATGGTCTCCACCACTAGGGTAGGTTTTGATGCCTGCTGCCTTGCTCGAGTTGATCATTGTTATGTTGCGGGCGTAAACATTCTGGACGGTATCGTCGCCAGACTTTCCAAGCGAACCCACCGAAATGCCGTGGGATCCTGTGCAAGACACATTCTCAACGGTAACATAGTTTGCTCCCGGTTTGAACGCCACGCAGTCATCGTCGTTGGTGATGGTGACCGATGAGATGGTCACGTAGGTGCTAGCACCTATGTCAAAGGCGTCTGTATTCTTCGGAAGATTGTCCGACGAGGAGGTGGCATCCATTGTGAGATCTGTAAATTGGGCATTTGCCGTGTCGCCCTTGACGGAAATGAACACGTTGGGCGGGTTCTTTTGTCGAAGTCCGGACACCTCAATGTTACTGCCCCCAGTGATATAAAGTAGGGTAGGACGCTTGTAGCTACTGTCTTCGGCAAATTTATCCCATCTATGCAAGCGAGTTAGTCAATATGTAGCTGGCTGACAAGTGAGAGGCAACGTACGACTCTTGTCCATTCCCATCAATAACCCCGGAGCCCGTTACGGAGCGAAGCTTCAACCCGTCAATGTCTGAGACACTGATCATGGCCGTCTTTCCATTCCAGTAATCCGTGGAGCTGGTGAACTGGAGCAAACCTTCCACCTGGAAGTCACAGTTCGAGCAGCCCTTGAAATCGAGTACACTATTCAAGTAATACGTCGTATCCGCCGGGATTACGATCGTACCTCCGTCACCGCATGACGTGATCGCTTCTTGGATTGCTGGGACGTCGTCGGTCGAGGAGCTTCCGCCAGCAGTGGGCGTGCAAGCAGCACGAGGCTTGATAGTCCTGTCAGGAGGTGTTTCGCTTCTCGATGGGGCAGCTCTGCTGAGGCCAAATAGTGAGAGCAGGAAAATGCTATTGAGGCCGATCATTTTCGCACTGATTTACCCAAGGTTCACAGATGCTTATTTCCAGTTTGTACCATTGAAAAATCACGCCGAGCAAGCCCAGATATATACCTTAAGGACTGAAATCCATCGGTTCCAACCACAATAACGTCCCACCATCGTGCCGGTCCTGTCGATCACAGGCGCGAATCCGAACACGAGGGCTGCCCCGGACTCCAGGTAGGGCAAGCTGTTTTGACGGAGAAACTACATCTTCATCAGGATTGTCCGTGAGCTCCGGGCGCTGCCTAAAGCTTGTTTTATTTAAATTGCACTTGATTCTGCAACCGAGATTAGGGGAAGTGATCGTCGTCCGGGGGAACTCACATTGGGCGGGAATACTCCGGCTAAATGAGCACCCGCTTTTATCCTGTGGGACTCCGCGAATTCCGGGCCTTGTACTTTGCCGATTGATGGAAGAATTCTGGAATACCTGAGCATGTCTAAATACGATTTAGAGCTCGTCAAAGGCATGTGAGACAATGTCATGTCATGGGTCCCAGACACGCCGACGTGCAGGGTTTATAATCATGCCTATGAACATCATCACTAGTCGGGTACAGCATTGCTTATATCCGATCTACCTATCACCTGTGTACACTGACCCAGCATGCACAGTCCCCTCCTGAAAATTGCTCTGTTGAGCTTCAGTCTCTGTAGCTCTGCATATGTGCTACCTAGGGACTCAGGTCGAACCAGCGCACCATCCGGGTGTTCTACGGTGGGCAAGTCTGGCGATTATTTAACCATCAGCGATGCTCTCAGCGATCTAGGCTCATCAACGGCGGACGCATGTATTTACATTGCAGCTGGCACGTACGAGGAGCAGCTGACTATTAACTATGCGGGCCACTTGACATTATATGGGGAGACAAATGATACAGAGACCTATAAACAGAATACCGTCACTATCACCCATACCATATCGTCTCCAGAGTCAGGCTCCCTCGATAGCAGTGCCACTGTCAATATCAAATCGGACTTAGTTTCGATGTACAATATCAACATAGCGAATGGATATGGAAAAGGCGCCCAGGCCGTTGCGTAAGCATTTACTCTGTTTCACTTGTCTGTAAGAGCAACCATAGAGAGTTCTAACCCGCAGCTTTTTGCCGATATTAGCCTTGTCGCCCAGGCCGACCGACTTGGATTTTACGCATGTCAATTCACAGGGTATCAGGATACGCTGTATGCGAAATCCGGCCATCAGTACTACATCAATTCTCGAATTGAAGGTGCGTTTCTTCGTGGTCCTTTTTCCGCTTCGAGGTTTACAACTACATCTAGATCGGAATTAATCTATTCACAGGTGCGGTCGATTATATCTTTGGCGACGCCTCTGCGTGGTTTGAAAATTGCGACATAGTCTCAAATGGTGCTGGCTACATCACTGCTATGTCGCGTCAGACCACTTCTGATACTGCATGGTATGCCATTGACCACTGCAACATCAAGGCAGCGTCAGGAGTAGATCTGACTGGCGATGTCTACCTGGGCCGACCCTGGCGAGTCCTCGCCCGCGTGATCTATCAGTACTCAGTTCTACCCGATATCATCAACGCCGCAGGTTGGCATCCTATGGCGGACGGTGCGACGCCTCTCTACTATGAGTTCAACAATACCGGTGCTGGATCTGACACGTCGGAACGAGAGTATCTGAGCACCATTGATGCGGCTGTGACAAAAGAAACAGTCTTGGGAGATGACTACAAGGACTGGATCGACTCCAGTTACTAGCTGGGCCAAGCATAGTCGGTTCTAGAGATAAATGTGGACGTAGCTCCATCTAGCCGCGATTTGTTTAAGTAGACCTTAGTATTTTTCTCTAGAGTATGTTATCATGTAAGCGTCGTGGGTTGACAAGTTGAAAATATATTTTCAGAGATGTGCCTTACCTGGCAACTTGAAGTATCGATTGCATGGCTTTTCTCGATTAGTTATCGCTTTTACATTGACCAAATTCATGCGGGCAGCTAATTTCCTTGTCTTTACTGTAACATCAAAAATGTCTTTATACTGATGGTTTTGCCTGCAGTCGCTTCTTGGTCTCGGGAAATAAATGAGTCGACGGTTTGCCGCCTGCACACCTCAGGCAGGAAAGCATGACTGGGCCTTATAACGAGCGCCCATTGGCTGTACTGTTGCACAAGTGGAGTCTTGTGCGTCTTGGCTGCCGAGAGAGGGATAGTGAGATTCCTGGATGACTTTTGGCGGCCCTAAATCTTCACTCCTACAACCACTAACGGCACACACCCCTTGGCATGAACCACCTCGGGCGATGGACGGGTCATCCTCGACATACGCTGCAGAATCATGCTGGACATGTCGCCGTCGTCGCAGAAGATGTGATCGCTTGCTGCCAGCATGTCACAAGTGTGAGATAATGCAAGATGAATGCCTGGGGTACGCCAAGGAACGGCCCCTTAGGTGGACGAATAGCGTCGCCAGTCGCGGCAAATGGATGGGAAAGACGGTGCCAAGCGTGGGATCGCCAATATCAATCGGTCGGTTACTAATTGACCCCGGTCTCCAAGACCTGACAAGGCCAATGCGAGAGTATATCGCATATTGTATGTAGATTAACCTGACATGACAAGGCGACGTACTGATCGCGGCGCGTAGTCGAGCGAAATTGCAGCCCAGAGTGTGTGATATATGACCTAGGACCGAATAACCCATTCAAAGAATTCATGACCCTGATCCCATCCAGTAGGGGTCTTTGTCATATTATGGTTTCCATTGCAGCGCTGCACCAGGCGCAACGGGAGTTAAGTAATAGCCGATTAATCGGCAACGAGCAGTTTCCTGGAGAGCTGGACACCGTCGAAGGGGCAAGAGAATCATCCCGGTTCCACGAATATCTCTATCACAAACAACAAGCTCTTTATCTGCTGAGAACTAGGTACCTCGAGGCACCGTATCAAGACTCCTACGGCGTTATTGCTTCAGTATTCCTGTTCATTTGGCTGGCATGTCTGGAAAGCGGAAGAAACACCTGGGCATATCATCTCAAGGGCCTGAAGGAGCTTATGCAAGCCCAACTCCTATCCATGAACCTGGCGCAGTCGACAAGCTTAACTGCGGCATTTTCCCGATTCTATGAATATTTCGAAACGAGCTATGCCATGTTAGTATAAACTATCATCCTCTCTTGAACCTATGTTTGTCTAATATCTCAGCTTCGAAATTCTCGGCTCGACATTGGTGAAATCCAAACAGCAATATAAACCCCTCTTCACATCAATCCCGATGATTGACATCTTGAAGCGCTCCGAGTCCCTCACATGGACGGGTTGTCCGGCAGACCTCCTTTACATACTCTCCTTAGTCAACTCGGCCTGTTCAGGTCCGGTCGCTCCGGACCCTAACGTTATCGCTCACCTTTTATCCCAGATCGAGACCTTCTCGCCTCAACGATGGGCTTTTGCAACCCCCAATGGGTCTCAACCAACCGTCCGGTATCATGTAGCATGCATATACAAAGCAGCCGCTTTGATTTACATCTCCCAGGTCTTTCCTCATATTTCGCACCAGCATTACTCAGTTGAATCGCAGCTACTCGGCTCACTTGATTCGATCATCGCTCATTTCACAGCGGTAGGTCCGGGAGATAGTCATTTCAAAGGCCTCTTATGGCCGGCGTTCATGATCGGCGCTGAGGCACGAACTGAACACCAGAGATTGGCGATTATGGAGGTGCTGGACCTTTTGTGGAAGTTTTGGCGCGCCCAGAATGTAAGGTACGCGCTGGAGGTCCTCCAGAAGATTTGGGAGCGACAGACCACTCCTGAGGGAGTGTCACAGCCTTGGATTGAGTATTTATACGAACAAGGGGAAAATTGGATATTTGTATAGTACTCGACTAGGTACTTGATATGGCAACTGCCCGGTTACCTGAGGCTATGGACATTTAATGACCTATAGCAGCAGCTTATTATTTCCTGTATATCACTTAGGTTAGTCAGTTTCTGAACATATACTAGTACACATACCTGGGAAGTGGCCTTTTCATCTATAAACGGAGTTGAAAAACACCTGAAACACGACGTGGAAATGTGACGACCAGCGAAAATGGGGTGGATACGGAAATAGTGATAGTTCCTTCGCTGTCCCTCACGTTAGTCCACTACTGTCAGGCCCGCCAGACACCACCGTCAATGTCCACAGAGATGTCAATAGTCATAAGGAATCTGATATGATACTCCGACGTGAGCCTCTGCGCAAACGATTGGAATTTGACGAGTCATTTGGTGGTCGCACAGAATTGCAGTGGATCACCGATCCCTTCGTCAGATTGGTGTTTCGCGGAACCAACCGACCTCTTGAGGATGAAGATCATCTAGCCCAAAGGATTCTGTGGTGCAATGTTGCGTCAATTCCATATCAATGATGTGACCCGATGCAACCGTTGTTTTTCGCGATGCCAGTGAGGAGATTGAGAAAGGCACGGAACATAGACCTGCAAATATGAGCGACTGTATGTGATATGATGCGATGTTGAATGTAGAAACTTTCGTGGTTACGGGTAATCCTTTCTATCAGCTTTGCTGAGATTTCTACTGATCCATTGTCCCCATGTTTGGGGGAATGTATGGTTTATATGGTCGTATATGGAGTATCGGGTAGCTGATCCGAGAAGCCGAGGCGAGCCGATAAGCTGACAGTCTCGGGCAGTGGAATACTATAGCAGACCCCGAAGCAATTTATTCCGTGGAAAAGATTCTGATCGTTATATTTGAATATTTACCGTGAGACTGTGGAATTAGAGTGCCCAAGAACCAGTGTAGTGTTCCCAGCATGGGAATATGCGACTGGGACATGGTTACTAGTACCTGGCGACACTTCACCGGCTCCAGGCTTAGCTTGGAAGTCTGTCGCATGTCTCGAACTATATCTACCTGTCAGTAGTAGCTTACTCCAGATTGCCATTCGTAGATTCTGAGCCTGCTTGCCTTGCAGGGTATGTGGGTGCAGGAGCAAGCTTTAAGAGATAGGGCGATAGCGGTGATGCAATCCTACTTCCTAGCCTAGAGATAATCAGCGTATAGTAGTCCGTCAACTACGGATCAGCACTGCCACTAGGGATAATTATTCAGACCAATAGGTTATTTCGGGAAGGTACCACATGCTGCTTGTATATAGACATGAAGCGCGCTTGGAATGACGGCGCAATAACAACTTAATTTTCTAAATGATTCCATGACTTACAACTGCAGAGACTAGCATAAACACACTATTAAAAGGTAAATGCACGCTCCATCAAGGGTCTGTGTGCATAAACCGAACCAATGGACTACTATTGTACTGCTCTTTCCCAGATGCCATCCACATCCTCGTCCGGGCTCATGTTATCTACTATGCCCAGTGCCGTGGTCGGCTTCTTGTAACCCAGTAGTTCCAGCATTTTGGGACTCATTTCACGGACTTTACTTCGTGGGATAGCGAGAAATTGATTCTCCTCGGTTCGGAGATGGCCACGGATAAAGAATAAGCTGTGCATCGTTCGGATAGAATCGGGTACAGAATTATGCCCACCGCCATGGAAGGCTGAAGCAAGGAAGATCAAAGCCGAGCCGGGCGACATTTCTGTCCTGTTAACATGCGTCCCTTATTGTATCATGCATGACTCGTGTAAATGGCAATTACATACCTGCAAAGCAAACCTCATCGGCGCGAGCCCACCGGTCATCATCCCATTTATGGCTTCCCGGAACGAACATTGTTCCCCCGTTTTCCCTCGTCACCTCACACCCGGCAATTAAACACCCAAACTGGCTCGCCTGCTTGAAGCTCCATGGCACAAATGGATTCCGCGTGTGGTGGATATTGTGAACATTATCGTCACGGTGCAGAAGTTGCCTCGGGGCTCCATAGCCGATGTTCATCGATACGCTCAGACTAAGCAATGGATCCAGCGTATTGGGCTCGGCGTTGCCCTCGCGATATAAAACAAAGTCATCGCGAAGGATTCGCTGTCGCAGTTCCTCAAGTACTGGGTGTTCACAGATTTGCGCGACCGTTTTAGATTTCCCCACTAGCCCTGGGATAAGTGTTGTCTGCGGAGGAATCGTGGTAAATGCATCGCCGTCGACGGTCGGGTCGAGATGCCGACGGTGCTTTTGGTTCCAGGGTTTAAGGTCCTCTTCGATCGCAGATAGCTCGTCCTTCGAAACAAGATCTGTGAGGATTACTCCGCCATCACGCTCTAGGATTGCGAGAATATATTCAATCGGTGTAGTGGAAGGGACTTTCTCTATGGATGCTGTGGGTTGGTATGAGGGATCAATTGGGGCTGGTACTGGGAGTGGAAGACGAGTCATGGTTATTTCGTGATTTCGACGCGACTATCAGTAGTAATTGGTTTTCGTCTTTCTTGCTCGCCTTGATAGCTGGTCAAGGATAGGCAAATACCGTTCTTTAAACAAATCCTATCCCCGCATCAAGGAGATCAACTGCGGGGACACGATCAGTGGTGCTCTCATTTTTTATCCCGCATTGGGAACTTCCGAGGCTTTGTCATTCTGGGCGCATCAGTGGATAAGATGTATGAGTACAATGCTACATAGTTCTTCTCATTCTTCTCCTTTTTCATAGCTATAGATCTACTCAAAAAACGTGGTATCTCATAATATTTCATTATAGGGAGTAGTGTATACGGTATATCAGAGATATTAACGTTAGTCATCATTACATGTGTCAATAGTAGATAACATTATTTTCTCTTATTTATTTATCTTACTTATCTTAATCATTCAGCCCTTTTCTGTATCTTAGCATGAACTAGTACATTACGAAAGTTATTGCACAGCGAAGCAGGGAAGCAAATTGTAAGGCCATTCATTCCGCTGATGCGTTCTGATTGGTTAATGGAGATGGGTTTTTGCTCTGGCGAGAAATCAAGGATGACGTCACTTGTCACATTATCTTACATAAACAAACCAGGTAATGCTGCTAGAGGTCATGTGATTCCGCTGCGCACGTCCTGCCAGTACTTGAGCTGCCCTAGTAGAGACGTCAGGTATCTCTCAAGTACCCGACTCAATTAGCTTAGTTCGGTTTAAGTCCACCTTTTTAGAAATGCCCTCTTGCTTATATATAGGTCGGGTCTGGGCCGGATATGCCCATGTCCAGGTACCGGCAGTGTGGGTCGCAAAGGCAGAGGTAGTGTCAGCCTAGTTAGTTAGTATCCTGCAAGCTTCGTACTAACATCGCGTCTTGGGCCCCAAATAAGGGATAGTACCATGTAGGCTGCAACTAACGACTGAGGGAGCCACGTTACTGCGGCTGAACCTCGCCTCTATATTTACCCTCGGGTCTTGGCAGCTTTATAAGGTCGAAAGATTGAAGAATTCATATCGTAGAGACTTTATAAGCCAGAAGCTTGACCAGTCAGCCATGGTGGGTATACCAGGTCGATCTAAGGGATGTAAGACATGCAGACGCCGGAAGATTGGGGTATGTTAGATTAATGCCTTGGGACCAGAAGTCGACATAGGATATGATATGCTAAGCTTCGTATAGTGCGACCTGCAGGAACCGCAATGCGGCCAATGCAGCAAAAGTGGCCACCACTGCGAAGGCTTCAGGAAGGAAATTGCCTTCATCCACCGCACGCCTCAGGGGCTCCTTCGCAAAGGCCAAGAGATGTCCCCGGGGCCTGCTCCCTGGGAAGATCGGGCTCAATGCGGGGCGAGCTCGACGTTCATGACGCAAATGCCCCCACAGCTCAATAACGCTGCGATCTATCTCGATGGCATGTTCCATACATTCCTAGTCGCTTTTCTGCCCTCTTCATCTATTCTACCACCCACCCATCACTCCAACATCACCGCTCCCGCTGCACCATGGATGCGGATCGCCGTTACTCTCCCCAGGCGCGGCCCCCTCCTCTCCCTCGCCCTCCAGGCTCTTTGCATGACTAAAATCGCGCGAGTCCACGGCGACCAAGCATTACTGATGCAAGGCATGGCCGTACATGCGCAGGCTCTGCGAGCGTTGCAAAATGTGATCTACAACAAAACTACAGCGTTTGCGGACGAAACGCTGGCCGCGATACGGGTGTTAGGGACGTATGAGCTGCATGAAGGCACGATGGGTAGTGTGGTCGGCTGGACGAGTCATGAGAGAGGCGTGGACCAGTTGGTGCAGCTGAGAGGATTCAGCAGCAGCCAGTATGAGAGCGAGTTGGGCCAGGCCCTCTTTGCGGAAGCCAGGAGGAGCGCGGTGAGTGGGTTCATTTCTCTTTCTGTTCTCTCACTGTGTTGCCAAATATTGTACCGGCAGTTAATGCTGACGAGGGCTGTAGATGATCCGTGGCCTTCAATTCTATAAGGCCACTTTCTTTGGCGAAAAGCGCTGGTGCATCGAGCCCTGGGGGGCCAGACCAAAAGACTATATCCAGCAACTCTACGATATTGGACTGCTTCTGCCACCCATCCTGGAAGAGCTCCACACAATACAAGGCCTGCCCAAAGACCCACGCCGGGCGCAGATCTGGCAACGGTGCCAGCACCTTGACGACCGCTTCAACGCCTGGCATGCCCGCCTCCTAACCCTTTTCGGTACCATCCCATACTGGGAGGAGCCGGCCGAGCTGGGGGCCCGCTCCGCCGACATACTTCCAGGTCCCTTCATGACCTCGTTTGACTTCCTCCACATACACGTCGCCGACGGTCTGGGTTTTTTCTGGGCCCTGCGCCTCCTCTTGCACAACGTCATGCGAGGCCTCTCGGAGGCCCAGGGCGCTGCGACTGAAGAGCACGGTGCGGTCATTGCGGATTGTGCTTGCAATATCGCCAGGTCGGTCCTGTATTTCACGCAGCCGGAGATCGGGTATTTGGGCGTGCAGTGGTTGATTTTTCCGTTGAAGACGGCCTTGACGGCGTTTCGCCAGATGGGATGGGAGACTGAATGGCAGTGGAGTAGGGGGGTGCTAGTAGCCATGAAGAATAGGGGAATCAGTTATGGAGGAGATATTGTGGAGGCTCAGTGGGGGGAGCGGATTCAATGATGCGGATTGCACATCTACCATTGTATAGAAGTTGATATCGATTAACGTACGCTATATTTGTGAGGAGTTCTGACTTTCATGTATATTAATCTACTTTGATTAGATCGTGAGATGATTTCCTTGTCGACGGTAAGCTCAATAGTCTTACAATATCAAGAACATATTTTCCTAACAGCTTACGCACATCAGCATCACGGAATACCAAGTTAACTAACCCAGACCCAAAGTATCATTGGTCGCCTTAGCTCATCTGCTCGCCCCTACTCATTGTGTATCTTCTGTTCAATTAATATGCGAATCAAATACTTCATTTTGGAGGTAATAGTAATCATAATCATGTCGATTGCATCGTTCCTTTACTGATGCTGCTATCCTCTAAACTGTCATAGATGAGGATAAAAACATATAATTTACCTCTAATTATCCTGCCTTCAACAAGCTATTGCCTTCTTTTCCTTCATCATTGGCAGATATGAGGATGGACATCTTTCTTTTATATTTGCCATAATACATCTCTCGAAGACAGACGGTTTACACAGCCATTGTCATTCGGCACTCGGACCAGGTCCGTTTCTCTTCCCTCAACACAGACTTAACCCAGTAAGTAGTGATGACCGCCCAGACACCGGCCCAAATCCATGGAATCGTCCACCCTACCCAACGGAAGCAGAAAATGTCAGTTCACTCTCTCTTGATATTGAAATAGGAGATGAGCCTTGAACAGGGGCGGGAAAAACAATGTGAAAATGAAACCCCGGAAGAGGGGTTCATCATAAAACTCACCCAATCCAAAAGCAAAGGTCTGGACGCGAACCGAAGAAATCACAACGATCAATACAATGCCCATAATACATCCCCCCAATCCCCAGAACCAATTCAAAGCCTCAATTAGGCGTTGAAACCGCACGCTGGCCGCATATCGTTTCATCAGGGCTGCGCGATAAGGCATGTCTCTGCCCCCATCTACCGCAACGACATCCTCGATGATCACTAAGATGCCGGGACGAAAGGCTTCACCTGCGGGAAGGGAGGAGACCGGGAATGGTTGTCGTACGCCAAGCTTTGCCAGAATTCCGGTAATGACTAGGGTGAAGCCAACTTGGACGAGGAGAATAGACGGAGGCAAAGAATTCATCCGTACACTCGGAGGTTCTTCTGTCAGACCAATCACGATAATTATTGTGACGAGTACAAAGCCCAGAAGATAGTTCCAGTGGAAGAAGTCAAACTGTACATCATGTAACAAGCAATTGAATATTTGTGTTAGCAGATCTTTCGTCTAGTAAAAAGAAATTCAAAAATTGAAGAAAAGAAAGAGAAAGCATACGTTCCAACGACTTTCTGATTTAAGCGGTCGGCAATTCGATGTCGATTTAAACAGTCGCCATGTTCGCATACCCAGTGAAAATAAGGTCGACGCTCCTAGAATGGCGCTGGCTACACTGAGGGCTGATTTTTAGACACCTAATTGTCAGCGCATTTGATATAGGCAAGGAAAAGTTTGGAGACACAAACAGATCTTGATAGATAAATTCGCCCCCCAGTGTAAACTTGGATAGAGCACCAACGGTACGATACTGGACGTGAGCAATATGAAACCCCAGTTCAAGAATATTTGGAGTTTGTGTTCATGGAGATCAAGAGGCAAGGGAGGCGGGCCATCGATCCCTACTGGGTGATTCTTGTCCTGCGCAGTCATGTTGTATTCTTCACTCTGGTCCGAGTTCAACTCACTGTAAAGCATACTGAAAAGAAAAGGAGGTTGAAGTTCAGGAATGAGTGGGCATATGGGCTTGTTTTTATATGTGACTGATGCTGTACCTCCAACAGTCGGTATAGACTTTTACGTTAGTTTTAGCCATTGTGCTAATCTTGTAACTTCCAACACATGCTTCTTGCTGCTCTGTCATTACTCAGGGGCCACAAATTAAGCTCAAGCAACAACCTGTGCTCAGCCGCATTTGAACGCCAGCTGGGGTGGACCAGACATGGTCGAGATAGGGCAGATCTAGAGGGATGTGGGGATGTGCACGTCTGTGCAGCACTATGATTGGTGGGTGGTGCAGGCTGTGCTGACATAAACCATCCCAAAAAGGGCATCCAAGATGCGAGCGGCTTTTGGTCTCGAGCCGCAATGCTTGGTCTCCAACTATATCTATTAGACGAATTTCCTCCACACGCTTCAGCTGAGCATCAATCTGGCCCCATCGCTAGACGGAATCCAGGTCATCGGGCACATCTCTGCGACTAAATAGTAATAATAGCATCTCGCAACTTGGGTCCCGCATGGGGGGAACACGACTAGAGCTTTTCTCTCCTCTAATACATATCAAAGCATATTTCGGAATCTTCAATGGCCCCCACATAATAGGTCCCGCTAGTTACGATGGGGTAGACCATCCAAATATGTATCAGTTCCAGCTGGAGATGACTTGCTACAATTAGGGCTGTATCGGTCCACGAAGAATGTACACAGATCCAAGTTCATGAGAGCAGAAATCGCCCCTTGATGTCCCATGCATGTCTGATCTGGATTTTAAAACCTTGTTGATTCATCAAGTTGAATAATCACCGAGTAATGTGCAGATATTCCCGGGTGCTGTAGGGCTGACGGTTTATCGAACGGCCCCCACCGCTAAGGCTTCTAAGAAAGACATCCTTAGGTTCCTACATCTCAATTACTTAACTAGGTTAGTAGAACAATTATCTGCATAGTTAGTTATCTCTTATATTTTACGTAACTATTTTTCTACTCTAAACGACATTTTTCCTAAACTAGTCTATATAAATATTAGCACTGAATTAATTATATACCATACACTAGGCCATACGAGGCAAGGTTTAACATAATTAAGCAGGTAAGGCTTTACTCCGTACGCACGGAATGGTAGGCTGACAGCCAGGCTGTACGCAGATCGCTATCCATTGATCCATTACTGTGCTCTTTGGCCTATTCACTTTACACTGTTTACTCCCTTTCATGAAAAACTGACTTGTGGGGATTGAGCATTAGCACATCAAAGTATGCGGATTCATAACTTGGATAGGCAAAATAGTACGAGGGGTTGATGCATATGAAGGTCCTCTAATTCCGACAACGTACACGCTCCGACCATACAAGTCAAAAGTCAGCTTATTAGAAGACAATCCTACCACAGGCCTCAATTAATTGAGATATTCCTTCATAACTGGTGGACTGTCCACCCGAGAAAGGTAGAGACAGCGAAAAATGCCATTGTATTGGCCCAAAAAAAAAAAAAAAAAGAAAAAGAAAAAGAGAGATAGAGGTAGAAAACAGGGGCCCGGCGTTTTTATGACGAAAACTACACAAATAGATGCTCATATCAAGTTCGTTGTAGGCTTTAGAGGAGGGGAAACTGAGGCGCGTCTCAGGGCACATTGTATCCGGGGCCTCATGACTGCCTGGGATTGCTTGGAAGCGCAGGGAAAACGTGGTCCATCACAGAATGGGTTCTACCGGGAGCAACAAGGCAGCTTGGGATGACTTGGGGCGGGAAGACGTGGTCGTTCGCTTGATTTCAGACTTGACAACCTCAGCGTAGTCAATTCGCTAGCGATGCATGGGCTATTTTATTTAAATGGACTATTTGCATTGGTTACAGTGATTATCGAAATTGCCTTGACCAGTACACAGTGAAACTCCCTTTCCTGACCCTACTGTCCAAGAACTTAATGCAGATCATTAATTAGGTTGGTCAAACTAAGTTGAGGGCTCCTACGCAAGCCCTACGCATGTAACGTTATATACTATAGTATCACTCCTTCAGAAGGAATACGTTGAACGCTTTGAATGTGAGGTAGACGTTAATGGTCGTAGTACTAGCTAAGGGGTACATTATAGCGGACTGCGGCCTTATGATGCAGAGCCAATGAATAGTTTGCGCTAGGATCTGGACAATGGGGCCGAGAAAGAGAGTCTCAGTGCATACTTGTCAAGGCAATTTCGAGAATCACTGTATCTGAGCATGGATGCTTCTGAGCTCGGTGAAGCTAGATCCTAGCCCTGTCGTGTCTCCTTCACGTATGCCGCAATATTGGGACGCTGCTCGAAAGCTTCTCTGAACTTGAGCAGAGACTCTGGGAGAGATGGCTGGAAGGACAATATTAGCTTGGGATCATCTATAGCCGAATAGAGACATACTGGAAGTGTTCCTGTTCTCTCGTCGTTATCAATGGATTGGTAGACGGCAAAGTCGGCATAGGTAACTGAGTTGCCCAGCAGGTAAGGGCCAGAATGGTCCCTGTAGTACTGATCAAGAAGATTATAGTAATCGGGGGCGACCTCATTCTTGTACTTTTCTGACTTTTCCGTCAGATTCGCCACCCATTGAGACTGTCTAGTGGTTAGCTAGGAATAGGGATCTCCAATGGGTAAGTCCTGACCCTCCAGTCAATATAAATGTCCGACACCGCATCAACCAAGAATTTCTCTGCATTAGTTTCGCCATCGTAGCGACCCAAGTCCCGGGCAAAGAAACGCAAGATGGGAATGTGCTGGCTCAGAATCAAGTCCTGGTACTCCAATGACGGCAATTTGCGTGTCCTGGTGAGTCCCTGCTGCTGAAGCTTCTTACTGTTCTCAGACCAGGTCTCGTCGTATGGATAGCGAATCTCTTTGATGTCGATTCCCGCGTCCATGAGGAACAGCTTAACTACTTCTCCGCGGCCCAGGCGGCCAAGGTCGAAGTAGTGGTAGATGGGCACGGTTCTCGGGGCAGCCATTGCGATTAGCGAAATTATGAATGAGATTGAAAATGGAAATTGATTCCACGATCAAATTGGGGACCAAGGTGGTCTACTTATTGTTCTTGTCCATAATGCAAAAGCAGGATGACATCATCAAAGTGGGGATGTCGAGGCGAGTCAATCGATGCAAGCGATGCAAGCGATGCAAGCGAGGGACGCGAGCGAGACGAGCAGCGCGATCTAACCGCCCGAACCTTCTATCATTTTGCAAATCACGACATCGTACAAAAGTGGGTCGGAAGTTGTACTGGTGACTCTATACAAATATGTGATTGCTTCAGATAAAGACTGGCGACATCTGCCGCTCACAATCTACACCTATCGACTGCCGCCATGGCGACCACAGCGCTACACGGATGGCATCCAGGTGAGATCTCCATGCAGCAGAAGCTGGGATATGCCGACGCCGTGAAAGATGCCTGGCCGATGATCCGCAACCTCATGCCTGAGCAACACCGTATCTTCCATACCTCCAAGGTGCCCTTCATCCCCATAACAACTGTGGATGGAGACGGGCGTCCGTGGGCAGCGATTGTCGCGGGGTCAACAGGAGAGCCTGGCTTTATTCACAGCCCAGACTCGCAGAATCTCTCAATTCATGCTCGTCTATGGGATGGAGACCCACTGCTTGACATAGTCAAGGTGTGGGTTGATCCCAGCCCTGCCCTGTCCACAGTTTCCCAGCAATCCTTGACTGCTGGTCTGGGAATCGAGTTCTCCACCCGACGGCGCAACAAGTTCGCTGGGACTATTCAAAGCGTGGAGCGCCTATCTAACCTGGACTACAAGCTACATTTGAGGGTTAACCAAACAACAGGGTATGCACTGGAAGGACTCAGCCCTGGAAACTAAGGAGCGAACGCTAACAATGTTCAGGAACTGTCCCAAGTACATCAACGTTCGAAAGCTCATCCCTCAGCCACATACGTTTCCCAGGGTTTACTATCGACGCCAGCATCTGGGACCGCAGGGCCGACTTCCAGAAGAAGTAGTGGCGTTTATCCTCCAGGCTGATACGGTCTTTGTCGGGTCCATCTACAAATCATCGCCCTCGGATCTGCACATATTCCCTCCGCACACGGGGATGAATGCTCGCAGCGGCTTACCGGGGTTTATCCGAGTCAGTCCGACCGATGGCCGCACAGTCGTGGTGCCAGACTACTCAGGAAATCGATTTATGTCCACTTTGGGCAACATCGAGACTAGTGGGATGGTGGGATTGACGATCGTGTCCTTCACGACGGGCGACATTCTTTATTTGACGGGTACTGCTAAAAACCTAGTAGGCCCACTTGCACTTGAGGTCATGACAAGACATGCCGCCCTCACATCTGTGCATGTTACCGGGTTCGTCTTCGTCCGAGATGCTCTCCCAGTTCGACAGCAAGATGGTACCTCCGTTGAACGCAGTCCATATAGTCCAAAGATCAAATACCTAGAGGAAGAGACGGGTGCCCAGGGCAGGGAGAACAAAGAGCACAAAGCGAAGCTTCGAGAGGCAGTACACGTCTCTTCTGACCTTGCGGTGTTCAAGTTTCAAGTCATTTCCAAACCTGGCGCTGGAGAGCTGAGAGTTCGCCCCGGTCAAGCCATTGTGCTGGATTTTATGGACTGGATAGGACCGCCGCAGTACAAACACATGGATAGCTCTGCGCCGAGCTCAATCAATGATGATCGCGTCCGGACATGGACGGTTTCTAGTGCCCATGAAGAGCGGAATGCGACATGTTTCGAATTAACCATGCGAGAAATGAAAGGAGGCGCGGTGACCGGTGCTCTTTTCGATCATCTGAGGAGATACCGGTCCGCTCAGCTAGGTCAGCGTATTGTTTTTGACACTGCCGTTGTCGCCGACATCGTTGGCATCACGGGTGACTTTTTCATGGTCCGCGACAAACTCGATACGCTGTGGGTCGCCGGTGGCATCGGAATCACGCCATTCCTCGCTATACTGAGAGCACTGGCAGAGCGTGGATCTGCGGCTGAAGGCGACGTCATGCTGGTCCTTGCAACAAGAGAACCGAACATCATGCTCCATATGATGCGACCCTCTCTTGAGAGGATAGCATCAACCGTTCGGATCAACATTGCCATATTTACCCATGATTCAGAGTTTGATCCCGGTCATCTCAAGCCAAATCAGAAGATTTGCGTTCATAGAGGCCGTGTCGTCCCAGACTTTTGGAAGGATATTCCGCGCGGCAAAGACGTATTTATCTGCGGGCCTAGTGCTTTCGGGGACTCGGTGGTTGACGGGTTGCGAGCTGTCGGTGTCTCGCCAAGTCAAATTCATCGAGAAGGCTTTTATTGATGAACAATTTTTATGATGCCAATCATAATGTAAATTTAGCGTAGCGCATCTTCAGCAATCTTAAATCCATGGTTACCACTTACTACCAGCCACCCTATCACGGTCGACTAAAAGGCGACTTCCATTGATGTGATCATAGAGCGTCTGGGTAAGGTCAAACTCGGAGAATGTCAACCATTGTGCCCACTCCTTCACTAGAGGCTGATCCATGACCCATTCACTGAAGGGGACACCCGTCCCATCACACGTAGTTATGGCAGGTCTACCACTGTTGGCAGAGCTTGACCAACTGGCGATACACAAGGGGATATGAGATTCCTGTGAATCTATTTCGTCGCCAGGCCGCACTTGAGCGTAGTATGTGACGTAGCCCCGCCCATTCAAATTAGGGAAAATGACAGAAATGACACGCTGATGTGGTGCGGTGAAGTATTCCACATCAGGCTGTCTCGGCTCCCGGCCCACGCGTTTTTCGAGAGTAGACAGGACCTCGAGGCTTGAAGCAAAGGCCTTACTGTTACAGACCCCTTCTCGGCCGCTGCGGTCCAATTCAAATAATATCCATCGAAGCCAGGTTGGCCGCGGACAGGACTGCCCAGCTAGAAAGAGTATTGGTGAAAGCGCTACTCTCAGGGCCTCGCATCCGAATGGGAGATCATCGGAAGAGGATTGTGGTCTATCCAGGGCTGTCGTGACAAATCGCAACAGTTGATAAGTGAAATAATAGGCATCAAGCTCGAGATCGCTCTCGCCCCCATTGTAAATGCTTAGTGCCCATGAGAGCCTTGTTCGGTAAAAGACATAGAGGGCAAGGACGAGACAGAAATCCCTAGGTAGGTTGGCATGTGGCGGCGGGGGAATTGGAATGCTTGCCAAAGTTGCAAGGTCAAAGTTGACGGGCCCCGAGAGCGCCTCATCAACACCAAGCTTGTGGAATAGGATTCCATTAGTATTCTTCCACTCCTTGAGTTGCTTAATGAAGCCAACTATTTTCTCTTCTGGCATCAGCTTTCGATGAGCTGCTACGGGACACCAAATCAATGGCTTGATGTCGCCGTCCATGGAGCCGATATCGAGAAGTTGTTGTAGCAGATGTTTTGGTGAACAGTCTAGACTTTCGTGCAATGATGCCGAGGCAGCGCTAGGATTTATGCTTGGTCTATATAACGGTGATATCATTCGTATCACGTTGAGATCTGGTAAGGTCATCCGGCGGACGATATCCAGGTCGTGGAGACATAACTCAATGGGCGTCTTAAACTGCTCTGTTTCTCGAGTGCTTCTCGAGCACATAGCTTGAAAGTAGTGGTTGGCCATGTGAATGTGACGTATTGTCGCCGGGACGTTTCCATCAAAGCTCTAGCATTTCATTAGCTGCTGTTATTAATCATCTATGATGGGCCTCACCTCGGTATATGCAAAGAGGATCAGCACCGCTAAGAGAAGAGCCATCGAGATTTGTGTACTGGCCAAACTATCCGATACGCCTTTTAATGCATTTGAATACATCTGGATGGCAATGACTTTGGTGCCGAAGCCATGATCGTTGTCACTCTTGGTTTGTTGAGATAGTAGTAAAGTGGCTCTGTGCATGCATCCGAGTGCAACGACAGCATCGAAGACATACTCGACCCCCCACGCCTCCTGGCAAACGTAGTCTCGCCAGAAGGAGAGGCTCTCGGGTGGAAATAATATTGGCATAGTCCTGAACAGAAACTGGTGGAAAGCTAATACATCACGCGCTCGAGGATGCGGCAGCTGTGTTGAAGTGGGGTTATTTGGCAAAGCTATCAGCGGCAGACCGTCCAGTCGTACCTGGGGGCGTATCGTGGCATCCCCTGGAGAACCCGGGTCTGACGGCGAGGAAGTTGAAGTGGTGGAGGTCGAACTTTGCGTTGATCGCCGAACAGCCAAGCTCCGTTTCCCAGCATATCCCGCACATTCTACATTAGCGAATTCGCAGCGCTCGCACGTCGGTTTTCTCTCGTCGCATTTGACCCGCCGTGTCCGACATGTCAGGCAGCCTGTGCGGGATCGGCGTTTGATGTCATTCATGGCGAGTGTTAGGGAGAAGCAAAACACATTGCCGTCTTTATCTATAGTGTACGCGACGTGTAGATCTCTCGAAAGAGTTTTGAGCGTCGAGCAACTCCAGTTGGAGCCATACAGAAGCTGCAGGAAAACGATGTCCGTGATTAAATCGCGGGATTACTCAGCCTCGAATCGGGTCGATCACGGGTTTTGGCCGCGGCCCAGAATTCAACCATCAAACATGCTTCCAAAAGGGCGTCAAAATCCAAAACATTCAGCTGAGCAGGACGGGAGAATCATATTTGCTATTTCTGCTTTAAAAAAGCAAGAAATTACTAATATCAGGAAACAGCACAGATTTTTACTGTCTCTTGCTCATCACTGCAGCTCCGACTGGAAGATACCGTCTTCTAGTTCCTGACGGCCATCTCGAATCCTCTGTCATTTCATCTGCAATGGACGGACTGTAAGTGGATTCAACCGAGAACACCTATGTATCGTCTTAGCTAGCACCCCATTTTTAGTCGTGGGTAACTAAACATTAGCCACCGTGAGTCGAATCACCTGAGGGATATCTAAGACTATCGGCTCACTCGGTACTGGCGTATTCTAGTCGTCGTTGAATCGCAACCCCTGTCCCGCAGATAACTAAAGCTTCGCGGAGCTGTGCGGGATACACTTCACGGCTGTGGGGGAAAGGAACACATAGTAAAGATACCATAGGAACACAACACTTTCCCGGGAACCCTTGCCTTTTCTGCAATGGATTTGGTCAGGAGGAGGTTCTTTACCGTATCCGCGGAACGTAGACTCTTCCCCGTTCCCCATCCAACCCGAGGAATCCGATGAGAGCTCTAGCCCCAACCCCAATTTTCAGAATTGAAGATCCGCTTTCTGTCAGCACAACAGGAATAGAAGCATTCTAGCCATGTGGCACTATCCCGAAATTGCCGTACATCCAGTTCAAAGGTTTGGGAGAGAGTGGGGGCTTAACATATCGTTCTGGATATCGGGTGAGGAATCCGAGATAGGCTCGGGGAACGGCTGCCGGCTATCAACTAGCGCGGCATCTTGACATCTACTCTTGTCCAGTTCAAACAAGATGCCTGGTACTTCATTGAGCGACTTCGGAATACCCTTGCGAGTTATGTAGTATAAGAGACAAACAGCGCGACGAGGATTCGTGCTTTAATCCCCAAGCATTCTTAAGATTACTTGTTATTGCATGCGCCTGCGGTCTTCGAAGATCTTTAATATCTATACCTCTAATCCATTACGTTGTTCACTTGCTATTCAGCCTATACCCTCTGAGAACTTTGAAACGGAACCATGCAAGCGAGTGAACTACGCGAAGTCTCCCTTGCCTTGCGCACTGCGCGCAGCAATCAAACCCCAATCGACACCCCTACGAAAACATGGCCCGCACTTGACGCTGAGGGTGGTTTCGAAGTTCAGCGAATCACCGCGGAGGAATCGATCAAGAACGGCGACCGATTGGTCGGATATAAACTAGGAAACATCGCCAAGGTAATGCAGGATGCGTTCGGGCTTGATCATCCAGACTACGGGTTCCTTCTGGCCAGTACATTTGTCTATGAAGGGACAACACTCAACCTGAAACAGTACATCAAACCATTCGTGGAGTTGGAACCAGCCTTCGTTCTCAGTGGCCCTCTCCGTGGGCCAAACTGCACTGTTGCCGATGTTATAAATGCAATTGATTATGCTATCCCCGCTATTGAAATTATTGATTCCCGTGTGAAGAACTGGGCAATCGACCTCCCCGATACCCTGGCTGATAACGGTTCAACGGGCTCTGTGATTCTGGGTGGTACTCCACGGAAACTTACTGAGTTGACCCTGCGCGACACCCGAGGCACATTGCGTTTTAATGATAAGGAAGTTATGTCGGGCAACACCGCGAACATTCTTGGAAACCCACTTTCTGCTACCGCATGGTTGGTCAATCGACTGGCTGCCTATGATATCGAGTTCAAACCAGGCCAAGTGATTCTGCCTGGCAGTTGCTTACAAGCCGTCCCTATGGAGGAAGCTGGTCACTGGACATGCACGTTTGAGGGCTGGGGCACAGTCGAATTTGATGTTGTATGATTTATAGAAATGCCTGTTTTTCTATTGACAATTGAGATGGCCAGTCAGACCAGGTTCACGATATATTGGATAGACTACAGACACAATGAAATTACTTCCAGTACCAGCAGAACCATGCCTTGATACCAAACACGTACTAGGACGTAGAAAGGATAGCTAGGATATACATAATACATGGCCCTATTCTTGCCATTTAACTTTTTCGGTATTACATGAGCTCCATGAGGTAGTCTCTGCTGTATGGAAGTTAATAGAACAATTTTAGTCCGAAAATACAATAGATTCATACACAAAGACTGATAGAAGAGCTCGCCAAGCTGAAAGGCCTTTAAGCAGAACAGTAGTGCCTCGCAGTACCTACTATGGCAAGGCAACCATAAGTTGTACACACACCTACTCCATTCATCCTTATGAATTGCTGATCGCGGGAACAACCTTGAGTTTAGATGGGAAACTTCACTTATGGGGCTACCGCAGCAGCTGTGCGCTAGGAGATCGTCAATGACCTTTAACTACGGTAGCGTTCCCTTGACGCTGCTTGGTATGCAGTTGACTATATTTAGCGCGACAGTGAATGACATCCACGGTCCATCTTATTCGCCGGACGAACGATACGATTCATGGAACGTCCAAAGGTACCGAATACTCAACATGGTTGTCCAATACTGGGGCTTCTCGATTATCCTTCCTTGTAAATGCCGAAAGTAACATTTATTATGGAACAAGGGAATATTACATCGTCAGGAAGGTTTGGGAGACATGCTTCTCAGTTGATGTAAGAAAGGGGTTCTGAGAGACGAAAATGTTACCCCCGCGTGAAACTGCTTATCTACCTTATACTAGAAGTGGCTACATTAATATATGTTGGACGGTATCTACGGGCATATATAGAGAAAGCAGTGATGGTTTGAACTGCCGTTCTCCATAATTGTACTGTACGACCCTCTAAATAAGTGGTGCATATTAATGTCTTCTAGAACGTGCTGTAATGTGCCTAATCTAATAGTCACTTGGTCCAAGGATTTAACGAAAAAGACGAGTATTACTTGCGAGCCCTAAAACCTACTAAGTAACGCACTGGCAATCATAGCTCCTCGCCTCACTACTTGATTGCCTTACACAATTAATATACTAGTGATTCTTTAACTTTTATCTAGTATTATATTAATGACTGGTGAGGACGTCATAAGCAAAAAAAAAAAAAATAAATAAATAAATAAATAAATAAATAAATAAAACTAACATGTCTTTAGGATATGTGTTCCAGGCACCACCTTGGCACCATGTGGTGTTTCGGTCAAGTGGGATTAACGGAATATATATTTATGATCTTGATAATTCCTATGCTTCCTTTCATATATTCTAAGAGCTTAGATGGTATAACACTATGTAACTTGCAATTAGGAGAGATTAGGTTGACTTGTGTAGGATGTCCGACTGAGCCGAAACCTACAATTTTCATGCGAAATATTTACTCGAGTACGCATGACCAGGCTCAATCTGCATGAATTATGGGTGGCCACCTAACGATAGGGTAAAGAGACACGAGAGGCATCCAGTCGTCTCCACATATGCGGAATTTAGAACCTAATAAGGCATAGAGCAACAAGACGGCGATTATCCGAGTTTATATTCCACTTACTTTTCTGGGTATGTGGATCCCCGTCGGGAATCCTCTCGCTTGTCTCGTTTCTCAACTCCCCGCATCTGACTTTTTGCTCAAGCTCCACGTCATATGCCGACCCAAGGAACCGATGTTAATATCATTGGCTCACAAACTGCTATGACCAGGGCCCAGCAAAGGGGAGGCAAAATATGGGGAATGGGAAAGTCAAAAGGAAATGAAAAGAGGGGGGACAAGGGATTCTAGATATAAGCAAATAATAAGCAAAATTAAGAATAACCATATAATGCTACCTCAAAATGTAGCATCCTTAATATGGCAAGTGTAATCTCCTAGTCCATAAGATCTGCAGCCGTTCTTTCTGTGTATAGCAAGAATAACCCCAACAGGAACGTTCTGTGGAAGAACTCACTTGTTTCCATTAGGGTTAGGGCTGAAGATAGTCAATCCTCCATGCTCATCCTAATGAGTCTCCACAAGAAGAGACTCTGGGCGGTTCCAGCCGTTTGAAGTAGCCAATGAGGAAAGAGATGAAACTTGGCTCTAAGTATGCGGGGGGCATTGCATACGAGGTCAATGCGAACGCGCCTCCCCTCTCTGTTATCAACTCGTATCCGATCCCTGTGGCGATCTCCGACCTCAAACCTCACTGATAGGCATCACTTTTCTCGGTCGGATATGGCGACGCAGGTCCCAATCGAACCCCGCAAGCTAAGGCGAACAGCGAACGCGTAAATAACCTTCATGTGCTTCATCTTATCTTTAATCTAACGTGCTTGGCATCTGCAGATGTATTGCTTGCCGTCAGAGCAAAATTAAGTGCTCCGGCAAAGAACCGTGCGCCAACTGCCAACGTCGGGCTGTGAAATGCCGATTTGTGGAAGGAAGCAACAAGATTACAGTGACGGAAAGGTTCGTCGATAACAACTTCGAAGTTATGTCGCGCATCAGCAAAATAACCACAGTCATGTTGGTTCCAGTTACCTCCAACAACTGCGACGCCAGGCGAAAGAGCATCAGAGTCCAACGGGGACCAAACGGTCCGCTGATACAGCTTTTGAGCCCGTAGTTGACGCCGATAATGTGTCTCAAGGTGGGCTTCGCTACTGTTTTTTGCGTTGAGTTTCTGGGGCTAAAGGGGCATAGAGCCGGTTTACCCTCAACCGGAGGAACCATCTTTACCTCCGAAAACGATTGACCATGCACGTAGCATCTGGACAAGCCCGTTCACATTACCCTCGAGAACCATTAAGAATACGTATAAGAACAAACGGAACTGGAGTAGGTTTCTTGTTCTCCGTGGGAGCTATGTCGATACCGAGATATAATCACTAACATACATACGTACAGTTTGGCTAGCTCCTACATCAGTGTGGTCGTTCACCGCACGGCTTAGTGTGATGTTGTCCGAGAAACTACAGCTTGCCTCTCCCTATACGACCCCGAGCCAGCTTGACAAAGACATATATCCACTACAGTGGAAGCAGGCGACAGCTGAAGGCCCTCCTGATATTAGTGGTTTGCCTTCAATCGATCATGCGCTTTATCTATTTAACACGGTTAAGTTCCACCTTGGCGTGAAATATCGCTTCTTTGATGAAGATAATTTCTTGGCACATATACACGAATTTTATGAAGGGAATGCCGCTGAGAAGGCTAATGAATCTCGCCTTTGGTTCGTCCAGTTCTTACTTGTTCTGGCATTTGGGAACGCTTTTCTCTTGCAGTCCAGGAATGTCAAAGACCCGCCCGGCTCCAAGTTTTTCGTACGAGCAATGGCACTTATGCCAGACCACGCATCTCTCTGGAAGGACAGTTTGTTGGCAAGTGAGACGCTGGCGTTAGCTGGACTCTACTTATATTGCATTGATCATCGAGAATCGGCGCATGTATATGTGAGTAGCGCCCTCTAGTACACTCATACGGCCCCGCTCCAACTGTGTCATTGACAACCGATTTCTGCACAGGTCGGCCAAGCGATACGGATAGCTCAGTTAGAAGGCTTGCATACCGAACTTCCCGAAGAAGAACTAGGTGCAGCGACGGTCACTCGGTGTCGCAACCTCTGGTGGACCTTGTATATCATGGATCGCCATCTCTCCTCATCCTTAGGGCTACCAATGACGACGCAGGATAGCGATATAACTACATTGATCGACCCACCCAGCACATGTTCGCAACGAGATGTTACTCTAAGTCTACAAGTCAGATTGTCACATCTATTATCTTCAATATTGACCTGTAAGACTATCTGGACATTCGTCAAATTTCCTTCGAGGCAGGGTACTGATTGAAATGGACAATAGCCATATACAAGAACGAGAAAACACAACTGGGAACGTTCTTGGAATCGACCAGATCTATTTTGCACACGATGGCCGGCCACGCGCAAGAGATTGAGAGCATCATTCACATGCAGGTTCAAAGTTCGGTAGATACAATGCCCAAAGGCACACGGCATATCACCTTGCTATATCACCAGGTCAGTGCATAATAACCATCCAACCGTATTACCCAGTATTCATTCTTCGCGTTGTTTTCTTGGCTGACTGGACTATCCTGCAAAGTGTGTTATTGTTGCAACACGACCTCTCCTCCTCTCGGTGCTCAAGGAAAGACTAGACAAGCTCGATCATGGAGAGGAAGATTGGCAAAACTTTCTAGCTCCTACAAAGAGTTTAATTTCAACAGGGATCAAATCAGCTGCAAAGACACTCCAAATACTTACAGATGAAGACAGCCTCCTCGGTACAGTGTCTCGATTCGCTTTCGGAAACAAATCATGGAGTCAACTAATCATGACATAGAGGTCTTCCTTCCTTTCGATCTGGAATTCACCTACGCGGCCGCAATCCATCTAGCGATGGCAAACACACTGTTTCCGCACGTAGCTGAAGGTCAAACATACAGTGAGGAGGTACATGCGATTCTTGACGAGATGATCTACAAAGGAAACAAGTTGGCCGCTGTTCGGAAGGGCGAGCTCGCACATCTAGAAACACTGTTCAAAGAGCTGGCGACACGGATCGAGCGGCGTGGGCTGCAGACTTTAACATTATCCAGTCCAACGGAGAATGGGCAGCCCATGTCCTGCAGCGGAGAATACCAAGTAGGAGGGTCAACGGTACAGACTGAGTCAATCGACCTTCCTCTGGTTGAAGACCCAAGCGTTTCGCCTGATGTTCTTCATCACACGGCGAGCGACATAGAGTTCCTTGACAACATTGGGATCTCATCGTATGAGTTTCTCACCATCGTCAACCAAATTGGCAATTCGGAAAACTATAGCCTATTGGACCCTGCACAAGCGTGGTGACCTCGGTGAAGCAGAAAGCATATCTTTAGTGCAAAAGAAATGGCTCCGTTCTACCTTTCCCTCACGAAGACATGATGACACATGGTGTTAGTATTTCCTCAGTGTGCCCTTCAATTCCCATACAGCTGCAAATATTGTTTTCCTGTTAGCTAAAGTAGAGAGAACACTAAATCCATATCTAATAAACTGAGGACCTAGACTCTCAAGACAAAAAAAATTTTTTGAATCTATTAGCTGATTATATACTTCTAATAATACTAATCCAAAGTACTAGTCTATAAACGGAGGGCCATAAAAATATGAAACAATCACGGATTTGTAATATAATATTGGTGGTTGGTACAGAGTGAGATATTGCAATGCTAAGAAAACTTAATATCTAAGTCTTTGTATACACTAGCACATCCCCTGAATTCATTGGCCTACAGGCGCTGTTATACGCAAAAGCTAGGCGCTCATTCCCCCTTTAGTATGTTGTCGGTCTCACTTGTAGCCTGCGGTGATGCGAGATTGGGATTCGATTGGCTGGTGGTTTATCTATTAAGGAGGTTACGGAGTCGGGGCGACTGGGATGATGATTGGATAAACTTATAGCCCTCGTTGTCCAAGTGTCAACTATCCGAATAGCCAATATAAATGGCTTATCCGGAAGTGTGCTGCATTCTTGAGGATCTGTATACGAAGTTATTACAGAATTTGCTCTTTGTTTCTCACAATACGTCGCAAATTTTATAAAACAGTACTAAAGAACGTTAGGGTCGCGATCAATCATGCCGCTATCCCAGAAGTGTAACTTCCCGCAGTAAGCCCGGTATCTAAATCCCTCGTAACAACTGTAGTGGGTGTAGTGACCGAGATACTGATCAAGACGGTCAACCTAGCAAGAATCAGAAGGTTTCTCTTATGCCATCTATCAACTAGCAATAGTGTCAGAATACCTTCATCGCAGAAACCGAGTCGAGATAGCTACTTCTGATTGGGCCCTCTCCGTTACCCTATCTTAGTTTGACCCTCGATACAACTAGTAATCCAAATCAAGAAGGAGCAAGGCCAAAGCATACATGTAGCTTTGATGCTGTCATGTCATTTTTTAAGTGGATCGCCTAGGTAGTTGGTAAGCCAAAAAGATGGGACAGGTCAACATTCGGGTATATAAATATGAAGATTAGCCCTTTTATTGATGTCCTACCACCCATCGATTTCCTACAACATCTTGGTTGAAGTAATATAGCAGTTTTATCTTGCGTCCTCTTATTGTTTAACAATATCTTCATCAGCCCAGCAGCGTATCGCAATGTCTTCCAGCCTAGAATTGCAACATGCCCTCTCATGGACGATCTGATTACCACCGCACAGCTAAGGGGGGCCTACGCACGAGCTAGCAGACCAGAACTTCGAGAGACAGCAACCAGACCTCTGTTTGAAGAGCTTTTTATTGAGCACTTCAGATGCCCTTCACTCTCGATTTTCAGTGAACAACAACTGGATGACAGCCGACAGGCTGTTGACATAACAGTTGGATACTATGATGATCTACCTCAACCGAATCTGGTATTTGTCCTTTTGGCTGAGACGAAGCGCCACAAGGTGGGAATCTCGGGGGGAGCTTGAGTCGCAGCTATAAGAATACGGCGACAGATACCTCAGCCAGGACTTTGGAGGTCTAGCTATTTCTCAAACGGTATATGGAGCAACCGCGTATGGGACCAAGATTCGATTTTTCCAGTTCTCTAGGGAAAGTGGTGTCTTCGAGGACAGGACCTTTTCGGGTGGCTTACATGTTCCCAAGGAGGAGGCCTATTGGGACCTGAAAACAGATGGCAAGAAGATCATTCCCGTTATGAAAGAGATCTGGGAATTCCGGAAACGACTTGGTCCGGTCAACACTGCTGCTTGAAAGTAGGCAAGCACTTGGAAGGTATACCTCTGAACATTCAACATGGTCATGTGGTTGATATACTAGTCCTTTTCAAGACAAGATGGACGACAAGGAACGCCTGTGTTCGGGAAATATGAACAACCATAAATAGGGTGTGATGTTTTTGGGATTGGTTAGTATCTATTCAACATAGTTGATTTCTAAATTTGATTTAATTATCAATACAACTTTCCTTAACGCATTTCTGTTTGATGCCATAGTATTTCTTTCAGAAATTAGCCTGTAATATATATTGGTCGTGTACGGATGAATCAGGGCTCTGTGGTTTCTAAACTAGACCTAGATATGCAAAACATGGAAGGACATTTCAATTGCGTCTGTACAATATCTTGGCAAAGACATCCTTGGCATGGCGATCGTGTAACGTCAGAGTAGGGATAAATAATGCTCTCGCCCCAACAAACCCATCAACCCCGAGCCAATACACCCTGTTGGAATTTTTTGACCTTTGCGATCTCTAATGGAATCTTCGCGTCAATGTATGATTTGTTCAGGTGGGATATGCCGGGCGAGCTGGACAAGTGATTTCAATACAGGTATATTTTCCTACCTGGTACGCTTAGCGTTATCTAAAATGTAAAAGTCCTAGTAAGTGGCAACTGTGTCGACGTTGGCTTTCTTCATTTCAATAAAAATGCTTCCCTACAAGAATTGAGAAGCCTCACAATGCAGGGCCAGCGAACACAACTCCGACTTAACCCATCTCCTCATTTCACCTCTGCGGAAGCCTTCCTCCTCCATGAATCATGTTATCACCTTTTGCGTGAGTTTTCTGGGGCTGCGATTTCGCCCTATCAAGCATTCAAGCTCTGCCAGGCAGTTCAGCCTGACCGAGAAAGGAACTTTGGATATGATTTGAAGATAAACTCTTCTAGTAAGCTCTCCTGGTTAGTGGCGACCAGATATAACTAAAAGCATTTCTAGTTTGTCCAGATCCATGTGTATATATAAGGCCTCAGAAATACCTTCTCCAATCAGAAGAAACAGAACTGCTCTTGCAACCAGGCATAGCCAGATGTCGCGGACCATCCCTACTGAGGTTGCCGTCAGAGATCCTGACAATCGTTTTGGAATATCTGTCCCCTTCAGATCTGGTTCGGTTTTTTCGTACCAGCAAAGAGGCTTTGTCCCAAGCTAACTTATTTTGTCGCACAAATCCGTTTCATTTCTACCGTTGTAGCACGAACACCACCGGTACTGAAGAAGACAAGAGGATCTTAATGATCGCCTTCTCGACTTGGGATCGACTCTGTGAATTGGATAGAAGGTGGGAAATTGTAAAAAGGGTAGCTGGAAGCGCAAAATTGATACCCCTGCTGGATGGAAAACGCTTACCTGTACCGACATTCGATCCACGGGCGCCTCTCCAGGCAGTAAGCCATCGGTTCGGTCTATGTCAAGATTTCTTGGATATTCCGGATCACGCTGAGGTTATTGAAGTAAGTAGTATCGCACTGGAAGGCAAACGTTACGTTTGTGGTATCGGTTTCGTTTCTGGGGATTCAAGAGTCTTCTGTGGGAACAGGACTGAGCACATTCGTATGATCGATGTTTCTAGTCCGACAATTGACACAATTGAGCTTGCCGTGGACGCTCTGGGAGTTAGGAGTATAAAATATGGCAGTTTACCGTGGTTATTTGGTGATCCCTCTTTAATATGCTGTTGGCGAGGGCTCAGCCTACGACAGAATCATCAGAAGATTCGGGTTGTTCGTGATGTGAGTACAATATCTTTCATCTATGGAGATTGCTCACAGATATTAGGCACTCAAACTCCGAGACCTTAGCTGGTATCAGGAGACTACTCCTTCGTTCCAAGAGACTATTTTGATGAAAAATAGACCTTTTTCCCTCCCTAGCCACGGGCTCATTGCTGAGGAGCATTACGTGCAACGACGCCCTGAACGAGAAAGAGGATTAGTGAGGAGATTTGGTAAATTCCCTGTCGAAGCAATGTGGTTCGAGCGAGATCTCCGAGCTATCCAAATATACGGTACCGGCGGCCTTAACGGCATAATCGGAATATCCGTACAGGTATTGTCCGATACTTATCGCGCCGGTGCTTGCCATCTTGTTCCAGCATCCATTACATTAAATGCACCCCATGAAATACTAGCTGAAATCGATGTGCGGACATCTGAACCTTACCCTCTCGCAGTAACAGTAAGTATTAAGTCATTGTTAGCCGTTGGGATCTTACTCTTACTCTTGTAAAGTTTAGGACCAACCATAACCGCGAACTATCCTCCGAAGCGAATGGGCTTCTAGGGCTTGGAGTTAGTCACAGTATAAAAACCCTCCGACCACCTCCAGGGTATCGGATCACGGGGTTATACTTCCGATTAGAAGGATTGACCCTCGATTCACTTGGGTTAATTTTGGGTTCGGCATAAGATGCAATTAGCGCGTTGTGTTTACGTGATACTATGAGCCGGTCTTCGAACAAACTGATCAAGATTGGTGAAAATCCCCTTCTGAATTACTGCAAAGAACTGTATTATGCCGTTGAATTAACTGCGACGGGAAATGATATAATTTTACTTTGTTTCGACTGCTTCCATGGGCTTTCTCTTTAGGATATCTTAGCCATGTCAAGTAATTAGCTAAAAATGTTGATAAAATTCATAAAGGGACTTATGTTCTGCAGTCTTTCAAAAATATACACACTCATGTAGAAATAATCCTCAATATCCACGTGAAAGCATAAGATGCAGTGATTTCGCCGTTTGCTTAGCTTTCCTGTCTATAAAGACAAAACTCTGTGGAATGGATATCTGATGATCGCGTATAACCCGGTATGATTTTATCCCACTCTGATATTTGGCAATTTCTTAAAAGAATTTGAATATTGCCTAGCACCATAAGAGTTGCATGTAGCGCTATTATACCCATTGAAAGTATATCAATACGGCGTCGTGGCAAACATTTAACTAGCTGGATAACAAAAACACAGTCTTAACTATTGAAAAATGGGGTAGAAGAACACAATTGTGGATATATGTTGGGGAGGGAAAGAAAAATGTCCTTGAAGTAGCTGAAGGTGGGAGTTTAGGTGGGCTGTATATATACATAGGAGCCAATTAAAGGAAGGAGCCAATCAAAGGATCGCATAGAAACTACTTTATACCCTGCTTCTGAATATTCATAATAAATCAACCGCTACCTTTGAGAGTTGTTGAATTATATGCAGAGCCCCAAACCCATCCAGTACTTTACCGCAAACTTTTGGAGAAATTAGAAATAAGACTAGGCAACAGTTTTCGGTGGATTAACTAATTATAAGCCTTGATTTGTATACTTTAAATATTACAAACAGTCTTAACTTTTGGTGACATTTGAGGTAATCACCAGCCTCTTTGAAGTTCCGCGGCCAATAAACTTTACACTAGTGACTGCACCACGGGCTTAACCCTACGGTGCTTAACTACCCTGTGTATATAAAGGACATAGCGACTCTTATCTTTAATAGGAAGTTGGTAACTCTCTATCTCTTATAGTATACCGCTACTTGTAATCTTATCTGATAATATATCTAAACTCGGAGACAGAGTTTTCTCTGTCCAGTATAGCTCCACGATACTCGGTTAGATTCTGTAGATTATAGTAAGATATAATAGATCTCAAGAAGTTAAGTAGTCTCGCTAGTTGAGCTATCTATAAAGTATAGTATATAACTAAGAAAGAGAGACCCTGTCGATTAAACAATTTAATAAAAATAATAGAATTTACTATATCTAAGAGTCCTAAAAAAATAGCTGAATAATAATAATAACTTCTGTAACAGCTAGATCTTTTACAGCTACTCGAGTAAATAAAAAGAGCTATTAGTAATAAAATAGTCTAAGTAATTTTTAAAATATTATAGATATTAGTAGAAGAGTAAATAAAATTTATAGAATAATAAGTATAAAACCTGTAATATAGTAGACAGTAATATTTACTACTTAATAGACAGTAGAAAAAAAAGCTTAATAGATTATAAATAAACTTATATAATATATAGTAATATAGGCTATACTATCTATAGCTTTATAAACTTCTCTATTAATAAATATCTCTAGTAGTACCACTTTAGCTATAACAATAGACGAGACTATATTAATAGATAAAGTAGTAGCAGGGAGATAGATAGGATCTCTAGAGACGACCTAAGAGATCTTGGGCTAGTGGAGGAGCCAGAGAGTAGAGAAGGATAATAGGAGGGATATCTAACAGACAGTGAATACCGAGGAGGGTACAGCCCAAATACTCTGGCGCAGATAGGCGGATCAGGCGAGGATAAGGACCAGAACGAATATACAAAGGACAGTAGGAGCTTATAGAGCTCCTAGGAATAAATTAGGGGTAGTGGTCTAGACCACTGCCCAGACACATGTGTCTGTCATGGCCAACTGGCTCCATATGGACGTTAAACTTGATTAAATAATAATAATAATAATATAATAAGTCTCTGCTCTACTTCTAAAATAATTACTGTAGTTAAGCATAGTGAGCGACTACGCAGAGTTATTTAAAGTAATCATAAATAGGTTACAATTATTGAAACAGTCAATTCAAAAGGTATATAGATACTGCCAGTTATTATACTTAAAGCAAGCTATCAATAAACTGCCTGGTTCCAAGAACCTAAGCTTACTAAAGACTGGTAGATTACAACCAGTAAGAATAGCTGGATAACAGATTAAATAGGTCTTCACTAGTTAAGAGATATATTTAAACCCTACTCTAAGCACTATATAACCGGTACTAAACAACTACTTATTCTTGATAGCTATAGCAGCCATTTAACTGCTAATTTCAATAACTTCTGCAAGCAGAATACTATTATCTGTCTCTGTATACCTACGAATGCTTCACAGCTTCTTCAACCGCTTGATATTGGTTTTTTTAGCCCACTTAAACTTGTATATGGAAAGCTCCTTGAACATATAGTTACCGGCAATAATTATATTGATAAAGAAGATTTTCTATCTCTATATCTAGATATACGCGCTAAAGTATTTACTTCAGAAAAGATCTACAGTAGTTTTACAGGAGCAGAACTTAAGCTATTTAATCAAGAGCGTGTTCTTTACAAGCTGAACTTTTAACTATATACACCAATACCACCACTAGCTGAAGGCTTAATTTTCTTTGCTTTTCAAACTTCTCAGAATACCCGTCAGCTAGACCGGAAGATCCGCAGTCTATAGAATAGTCTTAATACAAAGCAGAAGCTTTCTAGCAGTCCAATTACTTATATTTAACATCTTGAAAAAGCTGCGCAAATAACTATACGTACCAATCTTCTCTTACAATAAGAAATCAAGGCTGTACAAGCTGAAAATAAGTGTAAATATAAGAAAAAAGCTAGGAAATATACTATAATAGGGAATAATAGCCTTTTAATAGTACAGGAAGGAGAAAATTGTATTCAGTAGCTTAATACGCAGTTTATTAAGCAGCCTGAGCAACCTACACCTGTACCTCGACGACGGGCTTCTCAACACTGCAGCGGCTGTGGGGTCATTAGACATACTATTCGAAATTGCCCTAATTAATAGCTATTTTTTTATATTTTTAATAATTCAAATTTAATGGCGTTTGTTGTTGAAAAGCTTCAAATACTGGTAGATAGTTTGACAACCTGCCGGCTCGGCCGTGGATTACGTTATATATCGAGGTTTACATAATTCTAAGCTAAGCCTAACATAATAGAAGACCCAATCATATATCAAGCGGTGAATTGACTGTGGAGCCCTTCCTACAGTGAAAAATGCGAGAGCATCTCGTCACAAGTGAGGGACATCCTCCACGTTATTAGTGCGCTAGCGGGTCTTCAAGATTGGAACATTTGGCGATCCTACAGTATAGAAACACATGATTGATAGAGCGTAGACGGTTTCGATTAGATGTGTAGGACTTGTGAAGAATATTGCTTGGTGGTCTGCAAAACAAAGGATGTACTGTTTAAAGCTGAGAAAAAGAGGGGAAGAAGAGAGTCCGAAGATGTTGCTGAGCATCGGCACCCCTCTTCTCAAATCCGCAAGATCTACGCTCGGATATGGTATCCAATTAGGGCAGAGTTCGGATCCCCATAAAGGGCTAGCTCGGCCCCAACAAGATCGGACTGACCACAAATAAATCTCAGCTGCCATACACATTTCTGCGCAAATGGAACAGCCACCTGTTCTGATTTTATTTCATAGATTTCATATCAAAAATAAGTATGACATCCATCTGTTCAGCCCTCACGGGCGAACAGGTTGACGCCTACTTGGAGCGCATCCAATTACCAAAAGCATACCGTCGCGACAAGTGTCCTGCATTGGATGTCTCTTTCCTGTCCAGGCTTCAAGGCTATCACGTTTCAGCAATCCCCTACGAAAACCTGGCCCTTCATTATGCGAAGGATACGAATATTTCACTAGATGTGGCAGAGCTACACAAAAAGCTTGTCCAGAGACATCGCGGTGGTTATTGTATGGAAAATAATATATTATTCCACCATGTCCTTCTATTTTTAGGATTTAATGTCTACCTCGCCGGAGCACGGCTCTTTCGAGCTGGGACTGGGAGATCAGCGGGCTGGTCTGGCTGGTAAGTTCTTGTAATTTACCTATATCTGGATATATATTAATAGTTTCTAAGGGAGCACTCTGTGAATATCGTTACCCTTAAGCAGCAAAGATACCTGGTCGACGTGGGATATGGAGGAAATGGCCCCAGATCTCCTTTACCATTAGTCGAGGGTTCTATCTATGAGAATATTGGAACCCAGACAATGCGGTTGGTATACGAAACTCTACCTGGCTCCCGCCAACGCCAGTGGATATATCAGGTCCGCAATGCAGAAGACCAGCCGTGGATACAAAATTACGCTTTCACAGAGATAGAATTCTTCCAGCGTGATTTTGATGTAATCAATTTCTTCACCAGCTGCCATTCAGATTGCTTTCTCACGTCCCATTTACTTGTGGTTAAGTATCTCCGTGAAGGAGATAAGGTGTATGGGAAGATTGTCTTGGATGATGACAAGGTTAAGAAAAATGAAGGTGGGCAAAACGTTCTGGTCCAAATATGCATGACCGAAAGGGAACGCGTCGAGGCTTTGAGGGACCAGTTTGGGATTGAGCTGACCGACGAGGAACAGAAAGGGATCCAAGGAAGAATGTCGGCACTGCGATAGTTAAGAATATCTGATTAATAGAGTAAATATAGATATAGATACAGCACGAAGATAGATATGGAATATTCAGTAGAGAATAGATCCTTAACATATACCGATTCATACTTCTGTATCAATTACTAAACCGAAAGACCTAGAGTTTCCACAGGCGTAATCGATATGTGATAGTGGATCAATCATATCTGGCGTTGAGCCTCCGGCGAGCACGCTGGGTAGAGTTTACCGTCAAGCAGTTTGGACGATGGAGTTTCTACATTCTCGTGGTGTCCGGTGTCAGTACCCTCTCGTTGTGTAAGAGGGGAAGCGGAAAAAAACCAGAAAGTGCGGGTAGGGCGGAACCGCATAGTTTTCTGTAGTTACTGAGTCCGCCCAATCTACACAAAATCAGAGGAAAACATGTTATGGAAACTATCTAATAATTATTTACGTAACTTATACTCAAGGCTAAGGCTGTGCTTATATTCCTAATAGGTATAGTATTATCTAGATAGGAGACAGGATATCTCTGGGCTTGAATACTCTCTGATATTGCAGGTCGGCTAAGAGAAACTTAAAATATAATCAGACTCGGTCACTCGCGGTAAGGGAGAATATAAATGATGCAGCAGTAGATAGCACGAGTCTGGGGGAGATATACCAGGTATTCATTTATAAGTCCTCTATTAAGGCCCGGCCACCGGCAGCCTTGACCAAATACGCTAATATCTATTCTACCAGGGGCATGCGATCCAGTAATAAACTCGATAAATTTATTTGACAAATTCTCATGGGGGTTGAAATCGTTGATCATTTTACATATCAGGTCCTAACTACGTGATTATCTGACAAAGGCGCGCGTAAGCTCTAGGCCGAATCGAGAAACCACATTCGACATTTATTATAGCGTAGCTACAGATATTTGTAAGGCCTACGAAGTTGAGGACACAAGTCTGATTACTAAGAATAGTTGCAGTCTTCTACAGAGTATCTGGGAATACTACAGCAGCCTTTACAAGAGACAGTGAGCCGGTAAAGAGAGATCTACGCTGGTAATATAAAGCGGGGAAATCTTTTCCTATAGGGTATGGGCCATGGCATATAATAGTAGTAACAGACAAGTTGTACAGGCTCGACGAGACTGTCTATATAGTCCGAGAGGACGGGCACATGTGTCAGTATATAAAGAGATAGAGGTGGCCTACCTCCCTTATACGAAGGACGTGAAGATAACCAGCTAAGGTAGTGTTATCCTAGTGAAAAATAAAATATTTCCCTGTTATCTTACTCGCACTGAGAACCTAAGGCTGGGAAACAGAAGCAATATTATTTAGCTGGATATTAGTAATGTACACTTAAGAAGCAAACCTAGAGATATCTAGGGTAAAAAATTTTAGATAGTATCTTAATACCTGGATATTACTTATTCAAAGTTAAATAACCAAAAACTGGGGCAGTGGCCTGGACAAGTAGACCTACCAAAACTGCTTTACACCGGTTGTAAGAACTTGTTCAGACCTGGCCACAGGCAGTCTTAATTGGGTAGTTATATTTCTTAGATACTACTATAAACTTGTTCCCCAACACTATAATAGGCGAAATGAGCGGGAAAAATTATTTACATAGGTACATTGTATGATCCCTAAAATAGTCTAGTCATAGAGGAATTGGTAAGGTTGACAAACATATATTTACATGCGCAATGTAGGATATGTGATATACCAGATCTTACCTTTGTGTACCACAACTTAATCCTGGGTTAAATAAGCAGAGCAATTTCAGTGAGAATAAGTTCCAAGGAGCTCAGGATACTATTTCTATAGATCCGGCGCTTTCTACAGCTAGATCTCGTGTACGGGCGCCACCGCGGTGCTCTAATTGTCATATTCGGAAACATACTAGAGTTAGATGTCCTAATTCACTAAGTAGTTAGATTTAAAGTACAAATGCAGTGGTTTTGTTGATAAGAGCCCTAAAATCTGACTGAAAAGTGGTAATCGGAGCGGGCCCGGTCGCTCACCACGGTACGTAACTAGACTGCGCGGGAAACCGCGCAAGCCGATATCTGCAGTGGATTGCGACGTCACCCTATTTACAGGCTATGGCCTGATTTCTTGTAGATCTCCGTCCTCGCCATCCAATATCCCGCGGTAAATAGCCCGATTTTCCTTTTATCCGCCGCCAATAAATCACGACATATCCTCAAACAGGTCGTCTCCCTCTCGATAATCCCCTCTAGCGCCTTCTTTGTTACTTCGGACAGCAATCCTGGACACTCTAGCACAGCTTTCTGCAAATCCAGAAAGGTCAATAGCATACCTAAGAGGATCTCGCCATTCCTCACAGGATATTTCGACGCGCTTAATATTTTCGATGAAAATTCACACGGAAATTGTATAAGAATATCCGATAGTGATTCTGGTAAAGGCGTAATACCCTTGCAAGACATGATCTCGAGTCCAATATCGACTAGATCGGGAGCAGGGGTGACGCTACCGGTGTGGTGGAGCTCATCCATGCCTAGTATCCCATCTACCTCAGGGCTGAGGCCATACTGAGCCCTAAGGGTGCGAGTAACGGCTGCACCCAATTCGGTGGCTACACGAGAAGGAACCGTGGCAAACGATTCTAGGAGAGAGATGTGGGCAAACCACGTAGAGATAAACTTGGGCCAGTCCTTGTCGAAATTGATTAAGAGAGGGTCATAGGCGAGATCCTTGTCAAGCGGAAGAGCACGGTATGCAGAATAATCGAGATTTAGGAACGGGTCCGATGATAGCGTCAGAGTTGGGTATTCAAGAGATTTCCTTCGCCCAGTAAACCTCCAGTAATCAGACTGTGCATCATTGCCAGTTGCCCGGGGATCCAGAGAGCTTATCCAATGTTCTATCAGATTCACCTCCTTTAGTGTGAAAGCTCCAAACATTTTCCCTCCACGACGCATTTCCCAGATCAACCTACTCTTATCTGGATTGCCCCTGACCACCCATGGGGCAGCGTTGCTCAATTCTCGAATAAAATCCAGTTTGCTGCTATCGGATGCTAAATTACTGGTATTTAGCCAGTCAGACAATGGCTTCCCATTGATCCTGGAAGGGCACGCAGTATGAATCTTCTGTGCCACTGCTGCTTTCGCAATCAGAAGGTTTACAACTTCCTCATCATATGGTCCGGGGATGTCATTGTCCTCTGCATGGTAGTCAATGTCCCCCTCATCTTCTGTTACCGCCGACTCAATGCCATCCCCAAGATGTTTAGATAACAAATATCCTGCCTGAACACGTCTCCAAGCAATCTTTGCAGCCTCAAGCCCTTCATCACGCATAACAAGTGCTAGATATTGGGCTACAGTACATGCTGCTATCATAGCATGCCCGGAGTGTGCATTATCAATAGAAACGTGAAGTAGGAAATATTGTGCATCAATCTTGAGCTCCTGCAGCTCACGGGCCAAAGTCATTGTCTCAAAACTAAGCCCTTCGAAGTGAAGATTAAACCCAATAATCTCAGGTAAAAATTCCTGCGGGAACAATGAAATGAGTAGTTGTACTACTGCCGCTTTAAAAACCCGTATGTCGTTTGTGTTGCGTATTTCAGCACCAAAATCCCGCTCATACGGTTCCGGTAATTTCACGTCCAGATCCTTCAGCAATTCATTATAGACGTAGGTATGATGAAGGCTTAATACTCCATCCCCGAGCTCCTCAGAGAGAATCTGCCATAAATACTTCGTGACGTGTCTGTGTGCGAAAGGCGTATTGATATCATGTATATGACCTAGCCAGGCTCCATCCACCAATTTAAGTGGTGCGAGCCGCCTCAGAACCTCAGCGGCGTGCTCTCGACTTGGCACCAGTACCCGTGGACTCCCAGTCCTCCTTTTTTGGATGTATCTCTGATAGGAGTCTTCTACTCCTTGGTGACTTGTCCGGACAAACGAGAAAAGCTTTTCATCAGTGTATGATCGTATTCCGAGCATCCCTTGGCCTTGATCTTTGTCGTACACCATTGATTTAATTGCGTCCGCAAGCAAGGAAATCAGTAGGTCCCGAGCTCCTGGGAGTATATCTTGGTGCTCTTCGATATTCTGGAGCTTATAGTAAAGAGATCGATAGTCGATAGTATTCCCGCCCGTTCGATAGGTAGGTCGTTGTGATATACCCTTGACATGTTTTCTGTTATTTACTGTATATGTTGTAATATCAAGTTTCCATCCTCTCCAATGTCTTGTAAGCAGCAAACCAGAACAAAAGAAGAGGAATAATGCGATTTTAGGGAGCCAAATCCGCAATAGCGGAACATCGAAAAGTTGTAAGTTCATAGCAAGCGCTCGTACGGTTTGGCATTCATCTGAAGGCGTCCCAATTCGAACGGCAATGCTCCCTAGGCTGCCAGAGCAGGTGCCATGAGAACCCCAGTACGACAGTAGCCCCATCTCCTCAGCCGGTAGCTATAGACGTAATTTCCCAATCTTGTGGCTAATATCTCAATGTGGTGTTATTATTCAAAAATGCAACAAAGACAATTCATAATATCAAAGCCAAGGTCAGGGCTCGGGTCTAGGACTCTTTTCAAAAAGAAGGAAAAAAAAAAAAAAAAAAAAAAAAAAAAAGAAAGAAAGGATCAGCGACTCGCACGGGTGATATCCTCGGGAAGCAGCCTCAAACTACTGGAGTGGCCCTTTTAGATTATTCATGCAGAGCTAGTGAGTGCTCTATACTTTCAGAAACTCCACCTTTTCCACGAGAGCCCGTCGATGTTGGGATCACAACGGAAGTCTAAAAGTCTTGTTGGAACCACTCTCAAGAGTAGGTGAGCTGAATGTTTTTGAAAGGCTCAAGCTACTATATTCGAAGGACCACTCAAATGGTATATGGGCATTTGCAGGGACAACACATATCAGAGTGTCCTAGGTAATTCTGCTCCTCCACCCGTACTCACAAACCGGCTCGAAACATGCATTATGGAGCCTTTCAGCTTAGCCACAGTTCCTGCATCTGTGGGCCATGGCTCACGACCAACATAGCTGAGACTTGAGGATTCCCAATTGAAACGGTATTGGACCCAAGTAACAAAACGGGATAGGTGATGCGCAAGCGGTCCAACCATGCCCCTCCACTACCACTGTATCTAGAAGTGGATAGTAGTAGCCTGATTCTAGGTAGCGTAAGTAGTACATACGGTCGATACCATTACCAACGCAAAAGACCGGCAGCCTGTATGTGGCATTGAGTATAGTAAAACACAGTTATAAACAACCCCCCTTTAGGGGATTCATGCATTATGGCCAATCCAATCGGGTGTCTTGAATAAAATACCATATGTAACTCTCCGAAGCCCCGATACAGGGAAATTTCATCAATCTGTCTAATCCTTCATATAAAATTCCTTAGAACCGAGTAAAATAGAGTCTAATAACTAGTTATATATCGTTTAAGAAATAGATAGTCACTGAATTATTTTTCAGTTCTACTTTCTACCTATGCAATACATTAACAACGAATATATGTATAACTCTTCACTACAGTATAAATTACTACTGGATACCCTTTCCTACGAGAAAGCTCAATAAATTATATAGGGCCCTTAAATGACCGATTGTATGTAGTACAAATTTCAGCACAAGAGATGTCTCGTTATGTACAATATGGATCGCTTGCTAGATTGATTGCTTATAATAGTGTTTTTCTGTATCACTATCGCCAGGTAGGCGCTGAGAGTTGCTCACCGCCAAGTCGTCGTTTGCCAACCACCTCGTCAAGTACAATCTTCAACCTCCAACCGAGTTTTGTTTGTGCCCCACAAGATGCAGGAGATTGGCACCACTGCGGTGTTTGTCTAGAAATTAAGGGGCAGTGGAGACCCCGAGCTAGGAATTAGTGAGCGAGTAATATCCGCCTTTCATCTACCAGAAGTTTTCAAGAGAGAACTTTTAAGTGGACAAGACCATATCGATCGACAACCTAGTTAAACCCTTTTGACGGTAAATCATGCAGATCAGTGTTACACTGCTATCGGCTCGGGTTTTCAGCTGAAGTTACTTCGTATTCTGGGGTGCCCACTTCTGCACTTCTTCGGTACTGTGTAGCCCCACTAAATTACTAGCGCATCGACGGATCTTGTCGATCCCTGCGAACCAACACAGACTTCTTGGGCAGTTCCGAACTGACTGAGGGAGTCCCCACCGGCCGCAGAGCCACGTGCCAGTGATTCTGTGCTACGGCACTCGTTAACTTCTCTATTCAGGAATCCGGACATAGGTGAGATCCACTCATAGTTTCTAGTATAAGCCACTAGGTCAATCTAGCCTATTGATTTATACGGCAATTTGGTTAAATTCTGAGTTTTGACCTCGCGTATCGTAAATACTTTCTGGGTGGTCCACGGTGGCTGAGCTGAAAGCCCGAAAAGTTTTACCAAGACTCCAAGCCCGTCGGGATGTGGTAGAAGGTTGGATATAAGTGTCAGAAATTTGAACTACTAGTAAGCTCACTACGGCAAATGGCAGATATAGTCATCCGGAAACAGCTTAACAGTACTTCAATAATTATGTAAAGCTTTTCATTATAGAGGGTCCTGAAGCAAAGCATCCTTCACTAGAGTTCTGCTTTTGGCGCGTCTAACCAATCTTCAGGATACCCTAACCGATCAGCCTCCTGCCATTCCTTATTGCTTTCGTATTCCCGGCGAATTGCTCCGAGTAAGGCATTCAATCCCTCAGCAACAGCCAGCTTCAGGGCGTTAGGATAAACTTTCTTCGCCACATAATCCTCCTCCAGTTCTTTGTATGACTTGTAGTGTCTGTATGTCTCTTGATTTCCATCCGTATTGAATGTAATACGGACACTGAGCAAGGTCCCTTGTGGGCAACCTGGAGCACAAAATGATATTGGCTTGTCCACAGCGGTGCGATTAGCTGAGTCGCAACCAAATACCGCAGGAAGCTTGAGCTGGCGAATTTCGCTCACAGGGAAGAGAATATGCTCTAAGATCCCTAAGATGCCATTGCCTTCAGCAACCCCCTCAATACACACTGCGGACTCTAGTTTTGAATTCACCGTTTCTGGATCATCCAAAAACATGATCTTCGTATGTTGTGCATGTGATGATGACATTTTTGCCCCAGTAAGCCCAGGAAGTACATCATTTAGTAAATGGATACGCTTCCGGTAGCCAAGTTGTGGCATTACTCGTTCATTGAGATTAAACAAACCTCGCTATCAATTATATATAATTAGTATCCTTTATAATTTAATAAAGCCAAGAGGGGATATATACCTGGTCCTTGCCACCAAACTGGACGTCAATATCATAGTATTCCTCCGACAATGCCTGCAGCAAGGGAGTGAGCAAGGGACTCAACATAGTTGTGCCTCCGAGTTCGTCTCCAGTCTCTCGAACATCATTCAGGGTACTCAGAGCTAAGATTCTCCAGAGGTCATGGGAGAAACTTTCGGAATTCTGGTAAGTAGAACTCTGGGGGAGTTTCACCCGGGACAAAGGAATTCCCATTGCCTTCAAAGCAGCAGTTACTAGGCATCTATAATACGTCGTGCGATGCAGGACCTCTTCCCAAGAGTGTATGTAATTGACTAGATAGGCATAGATGTCGACAATATCAACTATTACCTAGTCGATTGAAAAATTGTCAGTGTGAGTTTTCATATAATACTAGAGATATACATACCTCCCCTCCAGCACGTATAAAGTCTGCAAACTTGACCCATGGTATAAAATAACCAATATGTGCTGCCATTACTATGTCAGAAGCCTTGCTGAATTTGGACTGGTGTTAAAGGGAGGCACACGTTTTCCAGTTGGGGCAGTCGCTTGGTAATTTTGTCAGTTAAATGGAACAACTCAAGTACCCAGTTGAGACGTTATACGTACGCCATTGAAATCTGAGATTTTTCTTCTCTAGCAGTAGAGTTCGCAATTCCTGCCCAGAAAAGCCGGATTGAAGCTCCAACCGGCGAGTAATCAATGCGTACTTTTCTTGGACTCCTTCAACAGCAGCCATTATGTCAATATACTCGAGAATATCTAGCAATCTGAGAAATTTGTCCTGTAGATTGAGCACCTGGTTGATAGAGAAGTACGAACCACGGGATCGCACCCTCCTTCTTAAGTTATTGGTAAATTGCTATATCACTTAGCGGACAGTACTAGTATTAATTGAGAATAATTGGTCCATAACACACTTAGCTACAATAAGGTTAGAATTCTGGTGGGCCATTTCCAGCATTGGACCCCGACATACAGCTAGCAGTGTTTTGGTCAGAAACTGGAGACCATTCCGATACAGGGGAAGAAGCGTGCGTTGGGCTATTGATAGGTTTTCAACCAGCCCATGTAATGCTAGTTACCAATGGGGCGTATCGCTCTTACAGTGCTGAAAAAGCGGGATTGTAAAGTCTGATTCGATCGAGATATACTTCGTATGGTGAAATCGCGCGTCTATGTCGACCATCTCTCCTTGCGGGTCCTAGGAGTGGGACTCTGGCGATGTTCAGCTGGAAGCTTGGAACTATTTTGTGTGTATTCATTTCCGACTCCAAAAAGGGTAGGCAGCGCTACGAACTCAGTACTCTCCACATGAGACCCTCAAAAGCTCACCTGGTTGTATGCACTGTATCCACCTGTGGATGGCACTGATACTACTAAACCTAAACCCACTGGCCCCGCTCAGGCTACCTAGTTCGGCACCAAATACAAAAACTCCTTCAGCTGAAGTGCTTTGGCGAGATTCCGCATATTCCTGCTCGGCTAATGTAAAATTATAGTACGCAACATATGCACTTTTTCTTTTCTTCCCCACTGCTCTGCTTGTTTTTTTTTTTTTTTTTTTTTCAGCTCTTCATTCACATTTCTCTTTGTAATTGTGATTGTATAATACTTGGGGTAATTGCGGTGTGAGTCAGCCGCTATGCCCCTATCCTTTGCACGAATACATACTAGCAATACTCAAGCACACTTCCTGCATAAAAGCTCTTGATTCCTAAATTACAAGTTTGCTCCTGCCACCGCTCTACAACCCGGACATCCTGTTTGAACTTGCTTCTCCCAGATCCCATCAGTTCCACCATGACTTCTATCCACATTCCAACCGTTGACGTTGCCAAGCTGGACCAGCGGCGTGCTGGGGAAGGTTATGGAGACGAAGTCGGTAAGTTGCTTAACGCAGCTTGCTCGCCGGGGTTCTTTTACGTGGACTTCAAACATGCGTTTGGAACCGAGCTTGTGCTACGGGAGGTTTATGAGGCCTATGCTGCCTCTGAAAGATATTTCGACCAGTCACTGGAAACAAAGATGAAAGACTTCCGCGAGGGACAGCCATCTTCTAGCGATCGAGGGTAAAAGAGTCTCTCTCTGCTTTTTAGCCACCTATCTAACTGATTTATGTCTCCTAAAGGTATAAATACTGTGAGACTGATGAGTCTTTTGAGGTCAGTATGGCACTATTCAGCGGATTATGACAAGTAGTAGAGACTGATGGCTGGAATAAATAAATAGATATCGTATGATGAGATGAGTGATGGCTCGCTTTCTCTTCCAGAAGCCCTCGTGGTCAATAAATCTTCGCTGAACTCGCTACACCAACATTGCCACATTGCAGCCAATATTCTGCTCGATTGCCTTTCAAATGCTCTTAATATCCCGTTTAATGAATATCATCGCGGTATCCTTCCTAGTGAGACTGGGTTAAAACTGGTCTCAGAGCCAAGCATAGACAATACATCCGAGGTGATTGAAAACAAGCACACCGACAGCGGAACATTTACCTTTCTGTTCTACGAGAAGCCCAGTCTGCAAATCAATATTCCCGGCACGGATGAATGGGTCTTTCCTGAACCCCCTGCCCCTGGATGTGCTATTGTCCATGGAGGTAATTTTCTCAAACTTCTATCGAATGAGGTTCTGCAGTCGCCTTTGCACCGGGTTACGCAGCTTGAAGATGGGGCGGGCAAGAGGTTTTTCCTCTCCTATTTTCTTCGGCCGGAGGAGGGAGCCAAAAAACGAGTGGAGAGCTATCAATGATCGACAGCGTTGTGTTCAAGCAGCTACTTTACGGAAAGGTATATGTTCAAAAACTATGCAGTGCACATGCCAATACTATTTTTACGACCGTGAAACAGACATTTACATAGCCACAGAATTTTTAAATTCCTGGAAATTACAAAGAGATTCAAGTAAATAGAATGGCCTCAGCCTACATCCTATGGTTCCTATGCCTGGCTCTATGACAAGCCCTCTCACTACTCGTCCATGTACGAAGCTGAATACAGGGACCAAATACCATGTCCTAGCCGGATCTACGAGTACGTGTGTGGTCCTGCGAACCTTGTAGACAATTAGAATTACCCATTACATACGCTATATTAGGTTCATATATAACTAGGTGTCTAGGGCCAATAGAAATTTCTTAATACCAAAGTTAGTATATGGCTATCATAAGTAGGTCGCACTCGCCCTAAGCATGGCTTGTATCTCCGGAAATCGGAAATAATATAATACTTACCTAATTTGGGAGTTCCGATTGTTCAAGGCTATAGAGTTCGGCTAAAGCACGATTCACGGGTAGTCGATATTTGGGTTCAAAGACTAGTATTATTGGTAGATAATTCAGTGGAAGCTGATAGATAGTTATAATTGGATGATTTTTAGTGCGTTGGTGTTGGTAAAATTGGTAATATTTCACATTGTCAAGTAGCTCGATTGTCCTCCGTACCCACTCGCCCGTTGGTCTGCCTCACCTATCGCCTTTTCGCCGGTAGGTGGTCCACAGTTCAGCTCTCAGAGTCGATCTACTCAACAAAGCTAGATAGGAGTCTATGTTAGCCACTGCCCCAGCTGGTCTACTGCTTGAATCAGGTCGGCAGCTGGGATTGTGTTAGTTAATGGCGTAAGAGTAGTAATTGATGCCCTGTTCGGTGAGACGATAAGGCGTTCAACAAAGTACATCTACTCAGTATCTTTCTGCCCAACACAAGTCTTCTGGAAGAGAGACTACCGATCGAGATTTTTCGATACTTATCGACAAGATTTATGAATAGTGGGTACGAATCAGAGATCAAATTGAGATCGGCGGTGAGATCCCACCCCTTATTTGCCGAACATAGTAGTCGTCATAGTCTAGTAGTATTAGAAACTAAGTTTTGTAGATCATGAAGGTTGGATCCGTCTGCAGAAAAAAGAAATAGAAGCAGGATTTCTCCCAGGGTCAGGTTACAAACTCTGAGTCATAAAGAGCGCCGGTTGCCGAGAGGCTGTAGAAGTTTCACTTTCCCTGATCACTTGAGGTAATTATGTATTGAAGTCTGCTTTGTTAGTACAGACATACCTTTATCATATCTAAAAATGGGCAACGAAGTACCGGCGTCTTACCCTCACTATCTCCCCGTCCTTCAGATCGAGAAGTGAGTATGACATAGCATGCTTCAATCCCATGATCTCGATATACTTTCTGACATGTATAACTATCAGATCAGGGCCACTGGAACCATTCGACTACTACGAACACGGAAAAGATGCCGACCCATCCTTCCCCGACCTCCTGACCGAAGATGCCCAAGTTGAAGACCTGACCCCGAAATTTGGCTCCGAAGTCCGCGGGATTCAGCTGAGCAAATTGACAAACGAAGGAAAAGATCAGTTAGCGTTGTTCGTCGCACAACGAAAAGTTGTAGGTAGGTAGAACAACATGCCACGACCACGATAACAGTCTATCAACCCGCTGATCCATACGCATCCGACACTGCAGCTTTCCGCAACCAAGACTTTGCTCAGATGCGCATTGACGAAGCGCTCAATTACGGTGGCTATTTCGGGAGACATCTCGTACATCCAACTTCTGCGGCACCTCCAGGCTACCCTGAAATCCACATCGTGCATCGCGGGCCAGAAGAGAAGACCTGTGCAAACGCCCTGTCCCAACGGACAAGCGCTGTATACTGGCATTCTGATCTGAGTTTTGAAGAGCAACCCCCCGGCACCACCTTTCTTTATGTTCTCGATGGGCCGCCCAGTGGAGGTGATACGATATTTGCCGATATGGTACAGGCCTACAATCGGCTTTCCCCAGAGTTTCGCAAGAGACTGCATGGGTTGAACGCAGAGCACACCAGTATCGAACATATTAAGAATGAAGGTGGGAATTCTCGCAGACCATCCATCACAGTCAAGCATCCGATTGTCCGGACTCATCCAGTATGTCATTCTCCAATAAAAGCGTATCTCTGGGGGTCTTTGCTAATCATTTGCTGAAATAGGCGACCGGTGAAAAGGCGCTTTTTGTGAATAATATCAGTAAGTATTGGCCTTGTCTCGGATCCACTTATCCTAGGATCAGGTTCCGTGTGATTAATCCGTTTTCTCCTGTTCAGTGACGAAACGTATCTGTGGTTATAAGAAGGAGGAATCGGATTTCCTGTTGAGATTCCTCTTTGACCAGGCAGCTCTATCACACGACCTGCAGATTCGTCTCAGATGGAAGCCCGGTACTGTTGTTGTATACGATGTATGTCAATATTGCACTGCTTCTTTCACAGAAGAGTCCTTCAACTGACTAGGACCTTCGCAGAATCGGGTTACTGCTCATGCCGCTCTCTTTGACTTTGAGGATGGGTATAGGCGTCATTTGGCACGACTCACACCACAGGCAGAACGGCCGTACGAGACTCCTTTCGAGGGGTGATCCGGAATATATAAGGGAAGATGGTTAACTGTAGTTCCGACTGTGTATGTAGATTTACAATAGACTACTGTTTAGATTTATCAACCACGACAACCATTATGGTTTTTCTTCTTCACCTTCACTAAAGCCGATCATATCTCCATGGTTCACTTTATGAGGCGTATTCTTTGCTTCAGAGGCAAACTAATTAGACTTGCCCACGGGTCTGTTCCTGATATTAGACCAAAAATTAAAACGTATAAACCTGGTAGTATATAATATAATATGTATATTCTAATTATATACAGTATCTAGATCCTTAAGTGATTTATTCTATTCTAGTTTATATATAGCCCCCTATAGTATTCTGAATATAGTAGATCCTCTTATACTCCATATCCTTCTACCTGGATCTTTGCCTACTGTATCTGAGCTTTAAGTATTCTACTTTTTTTTCTTATAAACAGAACTGCTTCGGTCTTTCCAGTTTAACTATGGATTAGTATAGTAAGATTAAATAGATATCTCTACTAAATAATATAGTACAGTATGTCCGGATACCGCTGTCACGACTTATACTCTTGAATTGTTTCAGAAACCCTAAGCTGAAACTGGGCTAAACTAAATTTGGAATGGAATGGAACAACGATACTCCTGAGGAAACTATGATATTGTAATTACGGGTAATATCATTACTAATAAAAAGAATATGTAATCTAATATTTATTCCTTGATATGGAAACAACTGGATAGGGAATGAGTGGCAAGCTAGCAGTATTTATTATTATTATTATTTAATCAAGTTTAACGTCCATATGGAGCCAGTTGACTATGACAGACACATGCGTCTAGGCAGTGGTCTAGACCACTGACCTAGTTTATCCCTAGGAGCTCTAAGCTCCTACTGTCCTTTGTATATTCGTTCTGGTCCTTATCCTCGCCTGATCCGCCTATCTGCGCCAGAGTATTTGGGCTGTACCCTCCTCGGTATTCACTGTCTGTTAGATATCCCTCCTATTATCCTTCTCTACTCTCTGGCTCCTCTACTAGCCCAAGATGTCTTAGATTGTCTCTAGAGATCCTATCTATCTCCCTGACTACCTCTCCTGGGAAGCACCCAGTCTCTGTCATTGTAAGGAACACTATTAGGACCTTTATAGCCCTCTAGTCCTTAAAGAGGCGGCTTTCTGGAGCTATCTCTTCTTGTCCAGGTGGTTGTACTTCTGCCTTTATTAAGACACTATACAGTGTCTGCTGTTGGTGGTACCATTACCTGTATTCAACTAGTAGATAACCTGCTATCTCCTGAGAAGCTTGACAGTTCTGATATCTAGGGGAGTCCTGAGCTCCTATCCAACTAAGATAGGTTACTACTGCTGTATACCCAATTTTTAGCTGGTAGTATCGACGTGTAAGCTGTTTAGAGACTGCTCCCGCTACCAGATCTAGTTTCAAATCCTTTTAAGACTGATATTGCTGCTAAGATCTGCTAAATCACTCCTGTAGGGCCTGTATAAGCTATTATTATCTTTGGGCCTGGTTTACCTCTGTATATATTCTGCGTAGATAGGCTAGACTCAGACTTCTGTCTATATCTCTTGGAGGGGGCTTTTTAGTAGCTAGCTTAGCTGCTTAATCAGTCTTCTTGTTTCCTAGTATACCCTGATAACCTGGGACCTATTGAATAGTAGTGAGATACCCTTAATTTATTAGTCTCTGAACTATATTCTGGGTCTAAATTACTAATCTCTATTCTGTATCAGTTCTGTTATCTTATAGTCTAGCTATCGCTGTCTGGGAATCTAATAGAACCCTGATAGGGTTCTTATAGTTTAGCTACTTAGCTATCTCAAGTACTTTATATACCTCTGCTAGTTCTATATTAAAGATCTCATTTCCCTATCCCAGAGATATCTACTTGGTTGTCCAGGTATCTAACGACTATTACTATACAATATCTACCCCTGTTTATCTATTATCCAGGTGTAATCTATCTGACTATATAGTTAGATTTTTATATAGAGTATTTACTTGCTGAATAGTCTCTGACTTTATAGATACTAGTATAGTGAGATTGGAAGTAGCGGTATGCTATGAGAGGTAGAGAGTTGCCGACCTTCTGTAGGTCTGGGGAGTAGCTACGGTCTTTATATACACGTTGGGTCAGGCAGCCCCTCTTAGTGGATCTGTAGCGTTCTCCTACACCCGGTAGCTCTCGTACGTAGCAGTACATCGTAGCCACGATCACAATTTTACTTCTAGAAGCTTTAGAAAATAGGATTTCCCTAACCAGAGCTTTCTTTATATTTAGGGTAGTTACTTACTGTCTTTAGGACCTTTTGAGTACTGGTAAAGTTCCGGTAGTCAGAGATTTATAGTATCTTAGTACCTACCAGTATCGGGTTAAGTCCTTAGGATCTAGTCTTTCTTTAGACTCTGTCTCTGCCTTGCTTAACTACTCTGTTAGAAAGATCTTCTAGTATTTATACTTTATCTTTCTAATAGATTAATAGTAGCTATTCCGGGCTCTCTTTATAGCCTGATCAGTGCCTAGAGTGGCTTAACCTAACCGTCATAACCTAGCCATAACCTAACCTAACCGACCTCGGTTAGGTTAAGAGATCTCTTAACCGCGGTTAACTATAGGCTAGGATAGATTAGATTATAGAATTTAAGAATTAATAGTTAAGAATAAATAATCTGAATTCTATTTAGATAAATACTATAGAAATCTATTCTTTATATTACTCTAAATATTGATTATAATATTGTGAACTATAGGATACATAAGTATCTATTTTCTATTAAATATATATAAAATTTAAAATAAAGAGTAAGAATTCTATAGTTTATTTAATTAATATAGTATTATGTGATCGCAGCTACGCTGAGGTAACGGTACTACAGAGCTACGTGAGGGAGCCTTTCCCTTTAGCTCCCTAGGAATATACACGTCCAACCCGCGTATACCGAGCTATCCATCCAGGCCTTGGTGGACGAGTTCGGCTTCAACATCAAACGAAATCGTATAACACCTCTATGGTTGGAAGCAGCAGTGCAGATGCGCATTAGATCACCACTGCTCTGTGCCGCTCTTGAAGCAGCATCTTTCGTACTTGTGGGCAGATTGCAGGCGAATTCAAAATACACATACGCGGGTCTTGTTCGATACACCTGTGCATTACGTTTGCAACAGGCAGCGTTGCGTGATGTTAGTGGGTCCCAACGGGATGAGGTGCTGGTGACGGCAGTTCTTTTTGAGATAACTGAAGTGAGTTGAGCCTTTACCAAAATGGACCCCTGAAAGTTTGCTAAAAAAGATTTGAGATGTTGGAGGAGACATCTAGAAATGCATTCTTAAAGCACCAACTCGGGGGCCTGGACTTGTTACATCTGGGAGGTCCATCGAGGCATTGTAGAGAAGTCGGCCATTCTATCTACGCGGATGCTAGACTATTCTGGGTACAGCTGAATACCTACCACAGTAGCCTAGAACAATTGAGGTACTAATGTGGTTGCAGGTCATTTCTTCAATATTGCACAGACGAACGTTTTTGGCCAATGAGGACTGGAGGACAGTACCATGGGCTGAGGTCAGTCCACAGAACAAGACTCTACATCATCTGCTTGATATAGCAGTGGACATTCCCACGTTTTGCAGGCAACTGGACTGCATCTCAGTGGGCCCACGGCTTGACTTGCCCTACGATCCACAAGAGGATCTTTTGTATAGTGTTCAACAACAAGCGGAAGACCTTTTTCAGCGTCTACAAGAGTGGGAAGAGTCACAAACTAACAATACTCTTCCGAGGCCCATCGAAGCGTTCTTTGCCCAGAGGGATGACTTCCCGATTTTCGAGTGCAAAGATTCTACCTCGGGAGCAAACCAATCACTCGACCTACTCTACAGTGATGTCTCAACCTGTACGACAATGATTTCATACTGGGTGTTCTGTCTAACAGTTGCGAGAGTATCCTCGCCAACCTGGCGGTACTAGTATGCTTGTAATATCTGCCGCAGCATGAAATTCTGTGTCCAAAATTTTCCGTTCTCCTTAGTCTACTTGGTCCGATTTTCCCTCTCAATTGTTCGTGACGTTTTCCCCATCGGCTCTATTGAGAGTGAATACCTTACCAAATTGTCCGCATATCTCCAAGATAAATATCGACTTTCAATACTATGATTTAGGCATCTTTTACGTGATGCACTGATCATCTTATGCAATAAATACACTTTAGATGGAAGCTAAAGTTGCTATACGGTAGCAGCATTGAGATTTAATCTTGTCATATGGGGAAGGACCAACAGGGACAGAGGCCGTCGATGCTGGATAGGCACAAGGTATCTTGTAATTTCTTTGCCTTATAGTGCAGTGGCGCTCCTGCTCTGACCTCAGTATGATACGGGTTTGTTGAATGAGTATGGCCATCGTGTGGGCCTTTCATGATAGTCACAGAGCAGTCTCTTAAACGTCACTAATGTCACCAAAGCTGATGATACGTGGATTTAGAATCAGGGCTATTGCTACCTTTAAATTAACGAGACGTAAATTGTGATGTATGACTGCTGGGCTTCATCAAGTTGGCACAAGAGTGAATGGCAGTATGCACGTAGTAGTCTGTGCTAGTATCTCCGACGTTGGATAGCCACATACAACCTATAGCCTAATGATAAGAACAAGAAAATACTTCCCAACTCAACTAGTTAACACTAATCAAGCCTTCGTAGTCCACGGTACCAACCATGGCCCTGGTGACAATTTTAATCCAACAATGTTTCTTTGAAGCGAGGAGAAGACTTCTTCCCATTGTATAAAGGGAAGGAGAGTGCCGGAATGGACTTAGACCGCCTTTCAAACACTCTCCATTTATATTCAAATGTATAGTCTTTCTTTCTTTTTTTTTTTTTTTTTTTTTTCTTCCCCCTCTCTTTCTTTCGGCCCCGTTTCTCTGGGGTATAAAGACAACCACAGAAGCAGGCTATCCGGTATTGTCTCTGCATTCTGGTTGCGAGGTTCCCAATAATTGTAAAAGAGACGCGAAGGAAGGAGCTCGGACAGTATTCAGATCTTTAGCGTCGGGAATGTGGCTAATTGTAATATGCAACACAAATATTGCACTGAAAGAGACGAATCTCTGCAATCACCATATCTCTGTGTTTGTACTTTCCACTACAAATTTTTTATCAAAGGCTTCCAAGGCCGGTAGGCTTTTCTCAAAGCGCGTTAATGCTCCCGGCCAAACGCGCGCATAATCCAAGAAATTAACGGTTCGAAGGGTTGGAAAAAGGGCCTAAACAATAACGTCACCACATCCCCATTAGCGAGATTACACTGATTGCTAGGAGAGTAACACTCAACGCACAGAAATCCGATCTAACACTTTATCCCACTGTTCTTGGCTCAGTCCATATTGGTTTCTACCAAATTCACTATCAAAATACGGATCAATCTCCAGTATATTTAGGGATGGACACTGTAGCTGTGGAACATAATCAACATTTGCTGGGCAGTACAAGCACAACCGCTTGAGGTTCGGAAAAATAACTCCTTGAATTAGACGATCGTGGGCGTCTGCATTGTCTTCGTCGATCGTGACTAGGTCAGCTTGCTTGACCAAGTTTGCGTAAAACTGTTTGCGATAAGGATCAAGAAATCCCGCAAAGCAGCCCGGGAGATCGGTGTCCCAGTGGCCACCAGATAGGCGTTCCCAGATAAACCGGATAGCCTCGCTCCACCAAAGTGAATTGACCAGACTGCATCGAAACAAGACGCCACGCTTGCCGTAATAATGAGCCTCTGGGCAATTGCTCCAGTCAATCTCACTAAGAGAACCGACCTTGCTCCAGTCGATGCTTTCATAGAAAACGTCCTCCGCCTCATTGTCTATCGTACAACTAAAAGTGTCATCTTTGTTAATCCAAGAGAAGATTTGGCAAAGGAGCTCTGGCGAGGAAAGCACACGATCAGTCGCTGTCGTCGATAAGTATGGCCTGTATGGGTAATAGATTGGGGTCCCCATGCTTAGAAAAAATAGCGCTGAAGTATTCATCCACGATAGCTTCAATTGCCGGTTCAAGTCTTGGGCCGGGTTACTCCCGAAATTTTGCCAGCGCAGCGGCTGAAAACCTGCGATGCTGACACTACCTCAAAAGCCAGGTTCTTCCGTACCGACGCTAAGCCACTGGCAGAAGAGACAACAACAATGAAGAGCAAACGATCCGTTTGTCAGAACGGAGTCTAGGTGTAGAAATAAAGGAAATTAGACAATTTAAGCAATTTAATAAGGCAGAGGATCAGGTGTATAGATCAAGGAAATCGGGCGATTTAAGCGATTTAATCCAGACAAATTTATATATTCAGCAAGTACCTGTCCTGCAGGACAGAAGATTTACTCAAACGAGTACCAAATAGGGCCGATGACGTGTAAATTTAAGCTTCAACCATAGTAGAGGGAACTGATATTAGCAATCCTAAAATGCAATCCTTCCATCCTGTCGGGATAAGAGGGTTACATCGTCTCAAGGTTGGCTCAGGGCTGACAGTTCGGGTTACCGCATCGGGTGTAGTTCCTTGTCTATCCTCCATACACAGTAGACCTAATCGTACATACGACTCACCAACTGACGAATCAATAACAATAGTAACCCCCGAGTAAGATTGACCCCTGTCGCCGGATCATGTGCAATTAGCGCACCTAAAGGACTTAAAAGACTGTTCAACTCCGATTCTGATTCTAATTTGACTCTCACCCGCGCAGCCGGCTCAATATACTGGTCTCTTCTCTTCTCTTCTCTTCTCTTCTCTTCTCTTCACCCCCACACGCCTTTGTGGTCGTTTTTTTGCTGGCATAATTTGACAAAAATTGCCATTAGCTCACCAGCAAATTTATTAACCAAAAAGATGGCGGGTCCCATACCCGACGTGAACGGCTCTGCGGAAATCGCCGCAGAGCCAAACTCCCAATCACGGTTGGTGATGACTCCTCCTGGACGTGATGCGGGCGATGATACTGATCCCGGTGCCTTGATTTCTTCGTTGAATATAGAGAAGAATTCAGAAGTGTTTCCTGAGAAAGATGTCCCCACCGTTGTGGATGCCACTGGCTCCCTAGCCGACTCGGATGAAGACGGTCGCGTGGCTACCGAAGACGAAGTGCGCGATCTTCTCCATGTCGTCGACAGGATTCCCGTCCGACTCTGGGTAGCATGCATCGCGGGCATCTTGGAACGCTTTGTATGGTATGGGGCGACGGCCCCTCTGCGTGCGTGAAATCGTTTCCCCGTAACTCCTGTGATTAGTAGGACCCGTGGGCTAACCGTCTCTATAGAGAATTACCTGCAAAATGCCACGGGTGGCGAGGTACCTGGTGCCCTGGGGCTGCACCAGGCAACTGCATCCAATATCGTGAACGCGCTGATTATTGGGTCTTATATTATGCCGGTCCCAGCTGCTGTGATTGCTGATAGTTTCTTGGGCCGATACAAGACCATGCTATACTCTGCCATGTACCTTCCTGTTCCATCTTTATCCTGTTCTCTCCGCTCCTATTGTGGTCGTACCTTTATGTCGAAGCTAATAAGATGACAGCCTTGAGGCTATTGGCGCATCAATTCTGTTTGCAACGTCATTGCCCGTTGCCATTCACGAGGGAGCTGCTCTTGGAGGGGTGATTGCTTCCTGTGTGCTACTGGCTATTGGATCAGGAGCGTTCAAAACCACTGTGGTCCCGTTCATAGGTGAGTTGAAAGTCAATTGGGCCCGAAGGATGTTACGCTGATCTCCTCTAGCCGACCAATATGATGAAACCGAATTTCGAATCCAGATCGGGAAGAAGGGAGAGAGGGTTGTCACCAGTCGAGAGCTAACCATTACATATATTTACAATGTGTTTTACTGGTCTGTGGATCTTATCTTCTTATTGACACTAACAGGTCTGACGGTGAATATAGGGCTATCAACGTGGTGGGCTTCGTGGCCGATGCTACACCACTATTGGAAAGATATGTTGGGTTCTGGCTCGCCTACTTGATTCCGTGCTGTCTCATGTGGTTGGCCCTTATTCCAGTCCTCCTTGGGCGCAATTACTTTGGTCAGTTCATTCACTCCATAATACCTCTAAGGGCCAAACGATTAATGTATGGATGGTTTAGTACGAGCATCACCAACCAGCAACATCATGCCGCAGGTTGTGGCTGCCCTGCGCTGTGGAGTTTCTGGGGGTTTTCGAATGGATGCTGCCAAGCCAGAGGCCCAATTTGCTCACGGTCGCGTGGTTCCCTGGACGGACTCGTTTATTGAGGATATCAAACGAAGTCTTCTGACGTGTCGAGTATTGTACGTGCATGGCTTTAGATTGTCCCACCTTACATATACCAGTTCTAACATGAACATATCAGGCTGCTCTTTCCCATTCACTGGCTCTGCTATAACCAGACCTTCAACAATCTGATTTCCCAGGCTGGGCAGATGGTCACCTATGGCATTCCCAATGACATGATGAAGATTGCCGGCGCAATCTCCGGAATCATTGTGGCACCAATTATTCAAAAGGGACTGTACTCTTATCTGACAAAGCGAAAGGTGGAATTCAGACCAATTGCGCGAATGACAGTCGGGTTCATTATCCTGACGCTCTCCATGGTCTATACTGCCGTGGTTCAAAAACTCATCTACCAGGCAGGACCATGCTACGAAGCACCGCTCGCGTGCTCGGATTCGCATGGCAGCACGGTGCCGAACCAGATATCCGTATTTCTTCAGATACCTATCTATTTTGGAGGCGCGTTGGCGGAAGTGTTCTGTCTTACCACGGGAACCGAGTACGCCTATAACCACGCCCCTAAGAGTATGAAGACTTTGGTGCAAGCGATGTGGCTTGCGATGGCAGGGATCGGGACGTGTCTCGCCCTGGCATTCACCCCGCTGACCAAGGACCCACATTTGGTTGTCATGTATGCTATTCTTGCAGGCCTCCTTGGCGGTGCGACTGTCCTGTTATGGGTGCTCTTCAGGCATTTAGACAAAGCCAAGCATGACGCCGAGTGAGGGACTGCCGGCAAACCTTGGATAGGTTAGGGGACTAGCTGCCTGGTGAAATTGAGCGGGGAGTATTGATTTGTCGGGTGTCTTTCATCCTTGGAGTGAGCGGGACAGCTGGAATTACTGGGGAGACTACGTTGACGACGAGAGTTACCATAACGGCCGTGGAGAAGTTCTATCAGCATTGTGGTGTTGATAGAGATAGTGCATGTATTGTCATCGTCCATCCTGATAGTTATACAATTCTGATCTGTGAACTGGGGCAGACACATCAGATTTAACACTTCATTGATAACCTTGGATTGGTGGATTCAAAAGTCGTCGCCCTTAGGGCCGGACTATGAAATTCAAAAAGGTTATTTTTTGCACCAGAAGAACAGATGTACCACGGGACAGTATGTAAACCCTCTAGAGCACGGTTTTCTGGATATATGTGGACAGGACTCCTCAAGCAACTGGTAGAGAACCGTTAGCTACAAAACGTGTCAGAGCTGCTTTATCAAATGTCCAAACCAGGTTTCACTTTCATTCACCTACACAGGCAGAAATTCTGCGAATGTAAATATATGTGAGGATGAGAATATGTGCGTAAAAGAGCATTAAAAGCCCCCATTCCCATCAGAATAGAATGTACTTTGCAAATACGGTATCATCTATTGGTAAGAGCTAGCCAGGTTTGACACACCGCGCGAGTTTGATTAGCTATGCTTCCCAGTCCTGTGCCACGGTGTGAGCATCAGAACCCTGTTGCCCAAAAGTCTACGCAGCCTGAGATGCAATGTCTCGAATCAGCTGTTCCACTTCTTTGTCATCGAGACACTTCACACCAAGCAGCTTGTTGTCTTCCTTTATCCACGGAAAGCCGTAATCAGCTCGTGAATTACCGTAGCGGATGAGGTCGCCACCAACCTGAAAAGAGACATGTCCAGCGCTGAAGTCCTTTAATGTTTTTTTAAAAGTCTCCTCCATATTAGCACTGGTTATTTCTCAACTATCCTTCCCCAAGGCTTTTTGCGCTAACTCGGCGACCTCTCTCTGGCTCTTCTGGATGCTGTAGATATAAAGCTCCTTGTTCTCTGTCTCATTAGGGTTAACCAGAGCGTTGGCGGTCGCTTTGCCCACAGAGTCCAGTGTAGTCCATGCGATAACCACATTGCCGTCACTCAGCAAGGCGACAGTTCTCTTGTTCAAGTCGATGTTCATAAACCTGGTTTCCAGGTTCCAGTCGAGGAAGGCGCCGTTGCAGATTGTTGTATATGTAATCTTGCGCTGTTCGGCTAATTGGCAAATATGTTCACAACGCTTTACACTTTCCAGTGAAGACTGGAATGGAGCACCTGTTTTTGTTTGTCGGATCAAAGCTAAATTCAGACGGAATGAAGCGATGGACATCAGCAGCGACGGCAGCGTCCATAAGGCGGATATGAGAATCGCCGTCCATGCTCACGGTGCAATCTATTACCGCATCCTGTCCCTTGACGGCCTCGGATAGAGACTCCATCGAGTTGTATTTGACGACATTTCGAAACTCTCCACTCTTCCGTGTCTTCCAGTCTGAAGGGGACGCTAAGAACTGGACAACGTTCAATAAGTTCTTTTACCGAAAGCTTGATAACTCTCGAAAGATCACGGGCCCCGATGATGATCACATCGTGACCTTCCCTGCTGATTCTACCTTTGCTGGGGCATATGCCATCAGCGAGGGTTCCGAGGTAGTCCTGAAGAAGAAAGAGTGGAGGATTGTGAAAGAGGAGGTGCTTTTGAAAAACGTTCCGTGGAGAGTGAAGGACCTTCTCGGTTAATATGGCGACAAGCAGCTTCCCGGTGACAGCTCTTAAACATATGACGATGTCCTCAAAGACAGACCCTAGACTCATGTTTTCTTGAACTCCTTCGACTATCACCGACAGCATGCCGCTGTGTCTGGGACTGTGGAAATCATCGAAGTTATCGAAGGCGCGGCCTACCTCGAAGTTCTAGTGCAGACAGACGAGCAGGTCGGTCACAACTATCTAGAACTCTGCCGCCAGATCTCCGGAAAACAAAGGACCCCTTCGGGAATACGTACCCTTGACGCGCCAGACACTCCAGGCTATCAGTTCCTCCAGACACAAGGAGTAGTGATCATCAACAATGAATACTTGGGTCGGGTTGCAGTACTTCCCATTGGTATGGCTATGGTTTCTTCTGTTAACGTGAGAAAGGAGCTTCAAGGCCAAAAGATCAAAAAGGGTGAGGAGATTTCACACCTTGCGTTCGGTGGCTCGGACTGCATTATTATGTTTGAGCCCAAGGCGAGAGTTTCAGGGTTTCCTGATTTTGACCCAGCTTCCCATGAGCATTTCTTCTATGGTGAAAAGTTATGCAGGGCTTACTACAAGCACAAAGAGCCTAAATCCTTAGGGTCCCGTTTTGGGTTGCCGTCTAGATAAGGCTTTTCAAGGTGAGGAATTCCAGAGGAGTACGTGATTGATGGCTTAATTATAATGTCAATGAATGCTTGGTGTGTCTATGTTTCTAGTATTCGTATGTTTCTAAGTTATAATTTGAGATTCTTAGTTGTACCTCTCCGTCACCCGCTTGGCCTGAAAGAGATTCCGCGTTCGACCTCGTCGTCGTAGGGAATTCCGTTATGAATAAATGTATATTTCGCTGAACCCGGTGTCTCATTCATATTTTCAGTGACGGGGGGAATGCTACGAGCTTCACGCTGTATAAGCGCTGGCTTTCCGGACCTTTGTCCCGAACCGATAAAAGATCCAAGGCAGAGGGGCAAAGGCGAGGGCGATGAAACCGAGCAGGCTGGATGCCCAGGTGTAACCAAGATTATTGTACACTACATCAATCAGTCAGTGTCCGGCGTCAGGTCAGTAGCTATGATCATGACAACGAACGTACTTGGAATGGTAAATAAGGGAAAAGAGCCGCCCACAGAGTATCGTAGCAGGCCGTTCGCCGCCAGAGCTGAGGCCCCAAATTTGGCTCCGTACACATTGGTAAGGTATAACATCGTTGAGACCTAGATTTTACTCGGTGTTAGCAGCGGATTAACAGAACTAGGCGGAAGACGTACGAAGATCATAATGTTCGAACAACCAAAGAGCGCCATGGCGATGATACTACTCATCCAATGAATCCCCGGCTGCGAGGTCCAGGCAAACCAGAATAATGCCGCAGGCATCAGGGGACTTCCTGCCATCGCAGCCACAAGCATGCGTTCCGGAGGTGCTGGCTCCCCCGGGTGTCGCGAACGGTGTTTGGATAACGTGTATCCGTCGATGATGATCAATACCGCCGCACCAATGATGCAACCCACCGCGATGCCAATGAAGGCCAGTCCGGACTGGCCCGGCGAAAAGCCATAGTTATTGCTGTATATCAGCGGCACCGAGGCCAGGAAGCAAAAGAGTACGGAAAAGTTCAGGGATGAGTAGAGGGAGCAGAGGGTGACGATCGGCTCGGTGATCAGCATGTAGAGAGGTCGCGCCAGCGTGACTGTCATGAGCACTTTGATTCCCGCTAGACCATCGGGAATCGGCTTTGGAGGAGGAGGTATTCCCATCTTCTTGGCTAGGCGGCGGCGGATAGGGATCGCGTACGTCTCCTGGGCACCCATTGAATACACCCATAGGGCCGCTCCGAGGAACAAAGTTGTCCATTGAGACCATCGGAAATCCTTGTATTCGGCGATCCATCCACCCACGAGGGATCCCAGAGCGGGCCCCAGGAAAGCGACTCCCATCAACACAACCACCCCGCGATTGGTATTCGGGCCCGACCAGACATCCATCATGGTTCCAGCGCCTACGGCAAGAGGTGCGGAGCAGAGGATGCCACCCAACAAGCGGCATATAGCAAGGGTAGCGAGGTTGTGGGCAAAGCCGGCACCTAGAATAAACAACATTGCGAGTGGAGTCATGATGATGTAGACGAAGCGGCGCCCAAAGGTCTCACTCAAAGGAGCGGCGATCATAGGGCCAAACGCCAGGCCGTAGACATATAATGTGAATGGGAGGAGCGAAAGGGTGTTATTGATGTGAAAGTCCTCCTGAACACGGGCGTGGGATGGTGAATAGATGGCCAGGCCAAAGGATCTAAGTGCATGCGAAGGTTAGCTTCCATATCGCATTCTCCTGTCCTGAAAGGAGCACTAACATAAGCAGACAAAGGAGGGATGGGACTGATGTGTTGTATAGCTTTTTGGCCAAACTCCAGTTTTGGGCGTTGGATGGATGGGTGGCCCAATCGGACAACTCTGTCTCCTGCTTTTCCGGAGAGGAAGCCATGCTGTTGGCTTCTGTATCAGGGGTGCTTGACTCCATGGTGCCACGGCTGTTCTTGGTGAAGTGTTGTAGATATGTCTCTTATCTATATAGAGATATATATGCGCATGTGACTGCAGCACTAATCGGTTATGGCGGATGGTACACCAGATAAACCCTTGGCATGAGAAAGCCTACTAAGGAATAGCCCAGGCTTAGGTACATATACCGGCTATACGGAACGTACGTTGATAATCTAAGTTTTGCCCTGTCTCTCGAATCATCTCTATCCTCAGTTGCGCTTGTAGCCAATTATTTTCAACCATTATAGCCCGGTGGATATTCCTTCGACCCACTAATTCGGCGAGAGGAATTGCCCAACCCCAAAGACACGCTGCGGCTAGATCCCGGTACCCGGGCCAAGAAGGTAACTTGACGATTGCAGACTGTCATACTAAGTCCATCGGATGATTTTGAGAGCTATTCGGCAGGTAGAAGAACTTCGGCGGTATAATGCATGCTTGGTTTAAAACTAGAATTATATACTCTCACTTCTATGGCTTGCCCATGAAACGAAGGATATAAGGTAGGAATGTCTCCTACTCCTTCAGGTTTTATTTATTTAATCTTGCTTTAATTTAATATAGGGAATAAAATATGACAATAGACAAGTCGCTTATGGGAAATCTTTTAAGGGCTGCTTTACCGCATTCGGAAATGGGCGACGCCGACCGGATTTCGCACGACGCCAATGATGGGAATGTATAGTGTTATGCTATTTTGTCCGAGCACACATTGTGTATCTACCTGCAGCAATGATGAGGATAAATTTATTTATTATAATGTAGCCTAATGCTGGCTCCTGCAACATCACCACCTGCAACTAACTTCGTTTGCTACGCTCAACCGGCCTTTGCAAAGCTATTCGATTCCAAAATCCCAGTGGTAAAAAACATGTTCACGACACAAGCTCTCTGTAGCATAACCAGTCCGTATACATCTCCCGCGGCCTTATATGAAATGGGAATAGGACACATGAGTATCGTCAATAAATAACAAAAGCCAAGGTGGTAGTCCCAGTTGTTCTAAGGTCAGTCCACAGCAATAAGGTAAGACAAGCTATAGAAGGCAGAAGTAGTCTTGCATTCAAGGAAGGCTCTCGACATATTCAACCGTTTCGGCTTCTTTTTCACCCCTCCCTTCGTCAGGTAACCTGCATACATACGACGCAAAGCCCCGAGTGGGCAATTTCTCATTGAACATCTCGTCAATCTGTTCCAGGCTTCGTTGACGCAGCTCGGGGACGAAGAAAAACACAAACACGAATGCGACGACTGACAATGACCCGTAGATGAAGGCGACGCTACCGCCAATGGCATCTTGGGTGTAGGGATTCACAAATACAATAATCAAACCGACACCGTAGGCTGAAAAACCAGATAGCGTAACCATTTTCTCTCGGACGGCCGTTGGCGGAACTTCGGAGGTAATAACCCAGGCGAGAGGGCCCCAGGTGGTCTGGAAGCAGAAGAACCAGAGCATCAGCATGACAACAGCTGCTACTTGCATAGAGTACGACATATGCGACGTGCCCCGCGTTGTCAGCCCGCCGATGACCAGCATACACGCACCGAGCATTGCTGCACCACCGAGCATGACACTTCGACGTCCCGATCGGTCAGCGGTTAACATGCTCAGCAGATTCGCTACGACACCAATGACATATACAACGACAGACATCAGTAGCACTTCGCGAAACCCAATCTGGGATAGAAAAACCGCTTGGTAGTTCGCGACAAAGGATATTCCTTGGGCCTGTTGGAAGATCTGAGCCCCGACACATATAATTGTCCTGCGGAGATTAACCGCATCAGAAAAGCAATCCTTCCAGCTGGAGGCCTCTCGCAATTCCCGCTCTTCTTCCAAGGTTTGTTGGAGTAATACGACCTCCTCTTCAGCAGGGAATTCGGGGCCACGGAGACGGCGAAGCGCCTTGGTTGCCTCATCCAATCGGCCTCGTCTGATCAGCCAGTGTGGTGACTCTGGCAGGAAAGGTAAGCTGACCCAACCCACGGCAGGAATACCAATTTGCGCCACAACAACGGCTCTCCAGGCCCAGTCACTGGGAATATAGCGACACAAGTAGACGATGAGTGCGGCGGCGAAGCCACCAATCATAAGGAAGGCGTTGTATGTGCCGGCCATCAGGCCTCGCAACGACGGCGGGGCACACTCCCCCTGATATGTGGGGATGGCGTTGGTGGCAATGCCGCCGCCAAAGTACACAATTGCTTTACCCACAACGAATTGTGCATAACTAGTGGTGCAAGTTGACTCAATAATGACACCCACTGCCACCACAAAGGACTGGATATAGAGGGTCATCTTGCGTCCGAATCGCTCATTCAAAGGTGTGCCACATATCACGCCCAGAATGACACCAACGTAACCCATACCAGTGCCAATAGACTGATTTCTAGAGGAGAGAATCCATTTGTCTTGGCTCTGATCATAGGATCCAAATGTCTGCAAGAATTGATCCAAGCTCATGATAGCTGACCACCAGGCCTGGTCAAACCCAAATCCAGCAGAGGATAAGGAGCCAAATATCATGACCATGAAAATGGTCCAGGTGAGGTTGGACTTTGCCGAAGGCATCGGGGTATCTGTGCGATGTGCCATATCATAGATAATAGCTGCAGGAGGAGGTAAATTTCAAATTAATATGATTAGTGGATTGAAACTACGGATTATGCGCAACTCTGCTCGCCTTTTATCACATTTCCTGCCCCAGGAAATTCTCAACAGCCTTTGTGCAGTGTTTGCCTCCGCCTATGGCAGGCAAATACGGGGTTGGTTTATGGGGAAGAAATATCTAGCCCGACTTTCATTCCTTGTCCCCGCTTCGTTCGTATCTTAGTTCGGCCATGTAGAATAGCGTTTTGTTGGAACCACATGGTGGTCTATAGCCAAGAGGGAATATGGTTCAATCCTGGGCTTTTAGTGTTTGGATAAGCCGTCCCTTAGAATATCGTACGTTATGAGGCTAGTGGCACATCCACGGTAATTTAGATTCAATTGCAAGGTAATTTTCTCGACAGTATCGTGGAAGTTCCATTACCGTGCCAGTTGAAAAGTCTACATACACATATATATCCGTGTGAGTGTGAGTGTGAGTGAGTGTCGAAAGATAGAATTAGTAATCCCGGTATTGAAGCAAACAGTTAAGTACACCAAGCAACGGAAATATGCGAATGACCTTCCCAACTCGTACATTTACTCTAAATAGTTCAGTTCCTAGTCTTGGCTCCAGACCCTAGATTATCCCGCCGGGAGTTTAAATCATCTTTTCACGGAGCCTCTGAGATTGACCCACTATTTCGGCGACCGGTGGGGCAAAGTCCCATTTATTCCACGATACCAAAATGAGTGTCGCCGAGTGGGTCGTGTCGGCTCCACCAAGGCTGCGTGGCGAAGATGCTCCAGATACGAGCAGCATACTATGGCGCCGACTTTGGGGTTGTCTCTCAAACTCCGCAGTATAAAAGTTGTGGGGGAAAATTGAACTGAAGAATACGTCCAGGTTGACTCGTTGTACACTCTACCTTTCTTTGTCTTCTTCTTCTTCTTCTTCTTCTTGTAACTATCATTCCTTCCATTCTGTTTATCTCCCTCGAAGGGAGTCCCGAAACCGCAGAAAATGGTTCACGATGAGAAACCCGTAGTGGAAGAATTACTTCGGGCCTTGACCTTAGAGGAAAAGGTCTCCCTGCTGGCCGGGAAAAACATGTGGGAAACAGCAAACGTCGACAGGCTGGGAATTCCTAGTTTGAAGATGACGGATGGGCCAGCTGGAGCGAGAGGGTCAAAATGGACATACGGTTCACTGACAACTTTCATTCCTTGTGGCATCTCGTTGGCGGCCACATTTGATCCGGAGTTGGTCCAGAAAGTGGGCAGCGTCCTAGGAGAGGAAACACGACGCAAGCACTGCCAGGTCCTCCTAGCTCCAACAATGAATTTGTCACGATCGCCCCTAGGTGGTCGTAACTTCGAGGGCTACGGCGAGGACCCGTTTTTAATTGGAAAAGTGTCAACTGCGATTATTCGGGGTATTCAAAGCGAAGGTGCCGCGGCATGCATGAAGCACTTCATCGCGAATGATACCGAAACACGACGGTTTAATGTGGACCAAACAATTGACGAGCGTACTCTTCGCGAAGTATATATGAAACCGTTTGTGATGGCTCTTGATGCGAACCCATTGACTGCCATGGTGAGCTATCCAAAAATAAACGGATATCACGCCGACCTAAGCCCTTCCATCCTGAAGCCGCTTTTGCGTGAAGAATTGCAATTTGATCGGATAGTCATGAGTGACTGGGGTGGATTGAACAGCACCGTTGAGAGCCTGATCGCCACTACTGACTTGGAAATGCCGGGACCACCGGTGCGACGTGGGGACAAGCTCCTCGCTGCCATAGCACAAGGCCAGGTAGACGTCGCCAAACACGTTGATCCCAGTGTGAGACGAATCTTGGAGCTACTGGAACGGGTCGGTCTACTGTCCCAGTCATCCCCCGGTGGCGCTCTGAAGGGCGATGAGACTGAATCTGAGAAAGCTCCGGACGACCCGACCTTTCATCGGATCGCTCGGGAGGCCGCACAGGATGGCCTCGTGCTTCTTAAGAATGAAGGTATATTACCACTCAAACCCTCCGCTCTACAAAAGATTGCTATTTTGGGCCCCAATGCCCGCCGTCCAACCGCGGGAGGTGCGGGGAGTGCCGCTGTCAATCCATTCTACATCACCACCCCCGAAGAATGCATTACAACGGCCATCCGACAAGCCAATCCACAGACGGAAATTGTTTATGAACCTGGTATTCCGTTCAGTCTTCGCCCACCGCTACTAGGTGCCACGCTCACCACACCGGACGGCTCACGGCAGGGTCTTGAGGTGACTTTCTACGCCGGACATGAATTCCAGGGACCCGCAGTAGCAACCAGCTACTGGGATGACTCCCTGGTATATCTCTTCAGTGATGGTGATGTGCCGGAGTCGCTCAAGGGTACCGCCTACTGCTACCAGACATCTGGCATTGTGACACCCCAGGTATCGGGTTGGTATACCTGGAGTGTGGCTAATACGGGCAAGGCCAAGCTGTTCATCAACGATGAAATGATTATTGATAACTCGGAGTGGTCACGGATAACCGGAGGCTTCCTAGGATGCTCCAGTGAAGATCGAACTATTCGGATGCCCTTAGAAGCAGGGAAAACATATCGTCTGCGGGTGGATAATGTAGTGACACTACCACCGATCGAATCGTTTGATAATACTCTCTTTCCGAATGTCTCAGGCCTGCGGGTTGGTCTTGCACTAGAACAAGATGAGCGAGCAATGCTGGACCGCGCTGTGGATTGCGCCAGGTCATCCGATGTAGCTGTCCTTGTCGTCGGTCACAATAAGGACTCGGAAGGTGAAGGCGGCGATCGCATCAACATGGAATTGCCAAGCCAGACAGATGCCCTTGTGCAGGCAGTATGTAACGCCAATCCTAATACGATTGTTGTCGTTCAGGCAGCCAGCGCAGTAACAATGCCGTGGGTAAATCAAGCACGCGCTATTGTCATGGCCTGGTACCAGGGTCAGGAGAACGGGAATGCCTTGGCAGATGCCCTTCTAGGTCATTGCAACTTCTCCGGTAAAACTCCTATCACCTTTCCTCGCCAGTTGGAGGACCACGGGTCTCATGCATGGTTTCCCGGGCAGGCAGCCAACGACTCCTGCGAGTTTGGGGAGCAGGTGTTGGTTGGGTATCGTCACTTTGATAAGCACGGTATCAAGCCTCTTTGGCCGTTTGGATATGGATTGTCCTACACGCGCTTTGAGGTCAGTGATATTCGCCTTGAGGGGAACATGACCACTACGACATCCTCCACCATTTCGGTCCATGCTCGCATCTCCAACGTTGGTGATCAAGGTGGGTCCGAGGTAGTCCAGGTGTACGTCAGTCCGTCTGAGCAGATCGAAAAGACAGGGCTGGTCACTTATGAAAAGACGCTTGCTGGATTTTCCAAGGTATTTGTACCTGTCGGAGAAACAAAAGATGTTACTATTCAGATTGGCAAGGAAGAACTGCGTTGGTATGATGAGAAGTCTCATTCATGGCAGATAGACCCAGGCAGGTACCGCTGTTTCATTGGTACCAGTGCGGTGGATATTCACAGCGAACTGGAATTCCATGTGGTGTAAATGATATAAAACTATAGATAAATAGATGTAATTTATTTTGTTCTTTTCGACATTTAGGGCTCAATCGGCCCAGTGGCGTGGCTTGGCTAGTGGGTCAGCTGATTGCCGTGTATTTGAATACAAGTATTCAATTCGACCGCATCCCATCGTTCCATCGTTTTAAATTTCACGATAATCCACCCAGCCTTACAACATGGACCCTTCGTCGAGTCCCTCCTCCACTCTACCTCCTTCTGTCCCCGTTGCCTGTTTGAACTGTCGCGAAAAACATCTCAAGTGCGATGGTAATCTCACAGGATGTACCCGGTGCAAGGACCTGAGTCTCTATTGCCACTTTGTCCCGAGTCGCCGAGGGAGACGAGGACGGCCTTGGCCCTATTCAAGTGCAATGGGAGACTACCCTCCACTACCCGTTGAGCCCACTGGCAATGCAATGATGACCCCTTTCGATTCTTTAGCATGTGCTGCTTCACAAGGGGAGGCCATCTGTTCTTCGCTTCCCCCGCCGATCGACAACCAACTGGTTACGTTGTTTTTCCTCCATTTTCATCAAGCGCACCCATTCCTTCCACCTCGCGACGCATTCCTGCATTCTTCTCCCCCCGGCTACCTGCTGGATGTGGTACAGTTCATCAGCTTGCATTACCTCCCTGCCAGTAATGTTCCGGACCATACCCATCAGCTTGGGGCGGCCGTTCAGGAGGCAGACGCCAGCCTTGAGAAGGTCCAAGCCCTTTTGCTCCTATCGATTATCATGCATGCACGAACACAGCCGCGAGAGGCAAAGGAATGCCTGGGACAGGCGATTGCCTTGAGTGTGGATCTTGGGCTTCACTGCCGGGAATTTTCTGAAGCTTTGGAGATCCAAAATCCTATGAGGGCGGAGAGTGCTCGGCGTACGTGGTGGGAGATCTTCATTATTGACACCCTTCTCGCGGCTGTACAAGTCGATGGTGCTTTACAGTTAACAATAGAGACACCCGATCTTCCCTTGCCTTGTGAAATGGACGAATATCAGGATGGGCGCTTGGGTATCGTTCCAACCTCACTTCGTGATATGGATCGTCAAACCCTTTTTCACAATGATAGCGATTTCTCATCCGCGGCGTACAGAGTCGAGGCAGCAACGATACTTCGAAAGTGCCTGATCGCGAGCGGGAATCATGTGTCCCATGAAACTATCAATATTCTCGATGTCACCATCTCGGCCTGGTTTCACCGATTGCCCAGCCGCAAGCAAGCTATGTTGCATCATAATGGTGACGTGGATCAAATGATCTTCCAATCTTTCGTGATAATGCACTGCGCCTCAATATACTTACACTTTCCGAAATCGTATCTCCTCGCCTTTCTACCAGTGACCAGTCACATCTTTTGTTCTCGACCCCCCACCTTCGCGTCGAGCTCAACTAACCCCCAAATACACACCGCCAAAGTATATGGTGCGGCGGTCAACCTATCCAAACTTGCCTCCTTAACGACAGCTGTGACTAGCCATAGCCCCTTCTTCGTCTGCACGCTAGTCCTAAGCTCCATCGTCCAACTCGCTATCTTTACCGCTGATCCACAGCAGTCGACTCGCACAGGCCGCAACTTTCTAGCGCTAAATATCGGCGTCCTCAAATCCATGGGGCATGTGTGGGCGATTGCGGCGGCTTCGATGTCACGGATCCGCGATGTAGCTGTCGAGGTTGAGTCGGCGCTTGCTAGAGAGAGCAGAGAACTGTTACATGATCAGTTAACCCAGTCCGTTTTAGTCGACTCACAGGATCTGGATCTAACACTTTTATAACGCGTACTCCATCTTCGTATCCCGCCCCATGGAAACAAATAGGTGTAATTCCGGCCTATTTTAATGTCTCGGTGCAAATGCCATGTCTGCAAGCAAGCTAGAAACTTTGAAGTATCACCGTCACAGGCCTTATGTACTGTACGCTACGATCATAGGCATGTATAGCTGCCATGTATATACGCCTGCGTCATCATATTCCATCCTGGACGAGCCAGATATCGTTTTAAGTAGCACCAAAATGTGCATGTCATCATGGAAGGTTTAAAGTTAAGCCAGCTCTCATTGAGATAGATCGTTCGCCATGGGGCTAAGGAGATGTGTGTAGCCCATGACATTCTTGGATGGCCAGCGATGGTTGTAGTGATTTACAATGCTCTGTAAGTGTACTACACGATAACTAATCTATTTTCATATATATCTTCTGTAGAACAGTCAAGTCCATTCGTCATATTTGTTTCCCAGAAACCCAGCCTGTCATGACCTGCGACCCACCGTTGAGCTTCATACCCACGCATCCAGACTGTATCCATTTCTATACGGCAGTGCTTGTTGAGGGCCCTCTGCATCAATGATATATGCATACTCACATCGGTCGAATGACACCTTGGACTGAGAATGGTAGAAAGCATCGTACTTCTCATTCAGGGCATCGCGGAGGTTATGCACGGATCCATCGGGATGCAACACATTCCATGGTTCGATGCAAGAAGCCCCTTTACAGGACTTCAATACCAAAAGGAGGGCATCAAGCCTTTGAACTACTTTCGAAAGGCTGTATCCCATGATTTGGGTTTCAGGCGATCTATCTGCCCGCACGTTCGCATACAGGTTGTTAATTTGATGCAGATCACTCTATTCGTTCGTTAGCCCTCTGGAATTCTTTAGATTCAGAGACACAAATGACATACCGTAAGATCATAAAGCTCGTGTTCGTTGTTGCACCATATCGAATAATAGAGGTTGTACTCTTCACTCAATATACGGACAGCCTTGTACGTGTTGTTCGGCACCGTTGGTTTACCTTGTTCAAATGTGAGTACTCTAAAGAGGACAAATACGGAAAGAGTTATAGCAAGATCTTACCAAGGTTGGATAATCCTCCCTCAAGCATCGCCTGTCCCCAGTATTCAACGGTGACATGCTCATGCAGAGTTCCCATGCTATCTCCTAGAATGCGCATAGGAGCACCATCGAAATCATCCCTCAGGGGAATGCCAGCCAATTCATAGAAGGTCGGAGCCAGGTCGATATGGGTGCTGACAGCGTCTTCCACTGCTCCCTCTGGGATCCCAGGGCCTCGCATGAAAAATGGGACTCGGATGTCCTCATCGAACCCGCATGTCTTTCCCGGGGGAAGACGATGCTGTCCAATATGAAAGCCATTATCCGATGTATAAATAATGTAAGTATTGTCAAGCTTGTCACTCTGCTCCAATCGAGTAACAAGACTATCAACGAGTTCATCCACACCCTGTAGCGCACGGAGCCGTTGGCGATAGTAATGGTCATTATAGTCGACCTCGGTTTCGTTTCTAAATGGAAGGTCATGGATCCAACTAACACCAGTAGGCTGTTTTCCAGTCAGTCTCTAGAAGAGCCCCTTAAAGGAGAGAGACAACTTACCTCCTTTGGGTTGAAGTTAGCCGTCCGAGGCACCTTAGCCTCAGGGAAAAGGTGTTTGTGGCGGTCCTCCGGGATAGGCTCATCCATCCACAAAGGTCCACTTCCGGCACCGTATGTTCCATTCATGTTGGAATGGGGTGCGATTGGCGACACGGCCAGGAAAAATGGACGTTCTCCAGCAAGAGCATCTTCTAAGAATCCCATGGCCTTCTCCGTCAGTACCTCGGTTGTATGTCTTCCTAAATAACTGACTGGAGCGTCGTGGTTCCGCTGGTAAGTGGCATTCATATAGTCATACGTGTAGGGATCCAAGAGGAAGTCAGATCCGTTGAAGCCAGAGACGTGTGGACTGGCATAGCTCTCGATGGAGTGTGCATTCATCAGCTTCCCTGTGTAGTAAGTGTCGTAACCCGCTTCTTGCAACCACACGGGGAGAAAGCTCTTATCGAACCCCCCCTCAACGAACTTGGGGTATCCGCCTGCTCAATGAGTCAGTAACAGTGAAGGATTTCTCATGATATGGCACTTACCCCATGGTGGGTGGACATCTGTAACATTCGTGTTGTGTGCCAGACGTCCTGTCCACAAACTAACCCTTGACGGACAGCAGAGGGCAGTGGTCACAAAATGGTTATTGAAGGTGGTTCCCTTGTCCCTCATATGCTTCATAGTCAACGGTGAATAGGATAGCGAGTCCAATAGGAGATCTTGGTCATCAGACATAATAAAGAGGAAGTTTGGAGGTCTCTTCGCGACTGAATCCTGTTGGGTAACATGCTTCGCGGCATTGACTGGGCCCAGGCTGGCTTCAGTCACTCCAAGCAGGCCCAATGTAACCAGAATCTCGTTTCTAAACCTCATCTCGAATGCTAAGCGTGAGTTGAACTCTCTGTTGATTCAGACGAACTGGTGACAGGCCGATGCTATATAAACAGCACGAAATTTATGGCTTCAAGCGTCCCATGGACCACTTCCCCATTGGTCTCCGAGAGTACCATAGTAATCAGTTTCTACGACGATCTTAAGCTCGTAAATAGAGTTTGCACTCTGAAGGATTCGGCGAAGATAGTGGGATTCTGCTCCCCACAAACTCGGCGATAGATTAACTTTAATCAATTTTTATTGTCTCTATCTAGCGCCTTTTTTTAATGTGTTGTTTAACTTTTTATTTTCATCTCTTTGTCTTGCCAAGTTCTTTGTTCGGGATACCGACGAGGTTGTGATATGGATATTATACATGGCAATCCATGCATAGTGGATCATCCCAACAAGAAATGTAACGTCAAAGAAAATGCCATAAACCATAGATCAAGTCCTCGCTCCCACTAATGTCATGTATTCTTTGAGGTGTCCTTAGGTCGGTGGCTCCCATAACTGTTCCAATGGTATGAGACACTCGTAATCACACCTATGGACTATCTCCTAGTCATGCAGGCCACTGATAATATTTGCACAACTTTTGGTAGTAGCTCATATTAGCTGATTCTCAAACTACTCGGATATTCGCCCTTGGTGGATACTAGTATTCTCCCATATACACTCTCTGAGACTTGTCAGGTTCTCCCACCGGGATGGCACGCTCAATTACTGCCCAGGGAGAGAGGTCGACACACTCCGTTGCAGTAACCCGGTGCAACTTCCTCATCAGGATATACTTACGATCTAGTGATTTCAAAGCATTAGTTATGCGGTTCTGTATTTCATCAAACAGTGACTCCACGTGGAGTTGACATTGACGCTAAAGATTCCGCCCCAGTGGATAACCATTCAGTGCCATCCCTGGAGAGGCTAGTAATCCATCGGTTGAAGAGAGGCCCACATTGTCTCATCGCGGGGTAATTCTAAATATTTCGGAATAAAGAAGTGCTTCTTGGGACGGGATGAAAGGCATGGCTCGGCCGAGGGTCTGTAGAGGTCATCTTTCTGCCTAGATAGACCTGGGATGAGTATCTGATTGAAGGTCTGCTATATTTATCAAACGTAAAACATAACCTTTGTTATTACTCGTTGTACAACTTCCTTTAACATGAACCAAATCAAAGGCCGTCCTCTTGATATCCTTCAGAACACATAGTAATAGAGTATAGAGATAAGCAGAAAAAAGTCGTATTTCTACTCAATACAAGACATACATGATAAGACACGCCTAAGAGCTAATCTCCTCGGCAGAGACAACAGTTCCAAATGCATCGGCCAACTCGTTGAGAGCCACCGCCACCAGCTGGTCGGCCGCAACACCAGGGATATGACGATCGCCCACCGCATCCTTCACAATAACCACATCGTAGCCCAATTCATTGCCAGCTCTAGCGGTAGTGGAAATACACACGTGTGCCATATACCCGACCAGGACAATCTTCTTGCCCAGATCTCCCAAGCTGCCCAGGTACTGGTGGAGATCGGTCTGAGCGAAAGAACTCGGGAAGTTCTTAGTGACGATTTTCTCACCGGCCTTTGGTGTCAGCTCCTCGAACTCTTGTGCTAACGCAGTTCCCGGAGTAAACACGGGGGCACCAGCCGGCACTTCGTGGACCACATGGACGATATTGGAGCCGTTACCACCGTTGCGATACCGAGACAGTAGGTCGGCGATGACTTTGCGGCTCTGGGCAACATGTTCGACCTTCAGGTGGCCCGAGGCATATTCATTTTGCGCGTCGATGATAATCAAAGTGGAGTCTTTGACAGAGGCTGCCGAACGAGGAATACCAATGGTTTGGCGGAAGGATTGAGGATTGGAAGCCATGGCTGAACTAGTAATTTTCTTTTGAGGAATGAGGGTTTTGATTGTGTGATGGTTGGAATGAATTTGGTCCGCTGGACTGATTCACGCCCGATTTAAGTAGGGGATTGTCTGATTTGTGATCCATTGGTCAAGTCTACTCGGTGGCCCATGCCATTGATTGATTACATTGACCAAGAAATGGATCAAGTAATCGACGGTGGGGTTGTCGGGATCCCGCTTTTGGTGGGATGCCGGTGGGCTTCCGGTGGGTTCCGCTCCGGTGGGATATCCGGAGAAAGTGCCACTGCCCCCAGTCTTGACTTCTATCCGAACATACTAATCGTTTAGTGTCGTACGTTTGCCGTGTCTATGATGCCTGTGAACGGAGTAGGTCGCTTCCACTGTCGCTACCAGGGCTGTAGCGCTAGTTACCGGCGTCAGGAACATCGAACTCGACATGAGAGTCAACACTCACGCGCTCGAACAGCTAACTGTCCCTTCTGTGATCGCAGTTTCTCCCGCAGGTAGTGTTACTCTGCAAGACTTTTGTCGTAAGGTACCGACTGACTACCACAGCGACACTCTCCGCCGGCACATACGGCGAGACCACGAAGAGGAACAAATACAAACCTCCCGTGCGACTCGTGCATGCCGTTCCTGCCGCCTAGGCAAAGTTCGGTGTCGAGGGGGAAACCCATGCAGGCAATGTCGAGAAAAGGGACATCGTTGTATCTTTGAGGATCGAGTTCCTCAGCCAGATGCCCCAGATGCCCCAGATGCCCACGCATCTCTCGGTGAAGCCATAGATCCGGAACCTTCAGGGCTTAATCAAAATGATCCTCAGTCCCAAATTGACCAGTACATCCAGCTATACTTTGCTCGCTTCCATCCCCAGTGGCCGTTTCTTCATCGCGCCACCTTCAGTGCTTCACATGAGCCATCTCTCCTTCTGTATGCTGTGGTGATGATTGGTATGTGGGTATCCGGGAAGGATTCTAGCCGGCGGTCAGCACTAGATTTACACAGGAGACTGGGCGCTTGTATTCGTCAACAACAGGTTAGTTTTTTTTTTTTTTTAGTGCTTCTTCTTTTCCGTACTGCGATTAAAGAAGACTAACGGCCAACAAAACACATGCAGGCAACCTGGCAAGATTTAAGTAATCAGCAACCGAGACCAGCGTCGACTTGGCCCATTGCCACCTATCAGGGCGTCCTCCTTTATCTGATATTCTCTCTCCTGTCGGCTCCACACTACTCTCACTCACTTAACTTGACCATCCACCTTCCCGTATCAGACCAGAGGATATTAACAGCTCTGGTCCAGACGTGTCTTAGACACAATGTGTTTTTTTACCCAGCGATGCTCGGGCGTTATCAAGATATTGACGATGTTACCTGTATATGGGTCGGAGTAGAAGAGATAAAGCGCTTAGGTTTAGCTTTGTATAAGGTATGTAACAGGTGCCGGAGCGCCCGCCAAGGTGAACCAGAGGGCGATAGTAACTCTCGGGTACTATGCCTTTCTGACCTGCGGTTCCCAGCACCAGATAGCAATCATTTATGGGAGGCTAAGTCCAATATGGAACTTTCCAATCTGCTGGCACAAACCTCTAGGAGCATGAATCCTGAGGGAGGCCGTGAATTTAAATTGATATCTGAAAGTGGGGAGTGGCTGGATGATGTTGATCCTGGGTTCAACTGGGTTTGATTAATATCACATGTGTATATATATAATGTAAGAGCTGTACGTATGATAATTTCCAATCAAAGAAATGAAAAGAAGAATAACGAAGGACGGAAGGAAACTGACAAGAGCCTTTATGATATAGCGCTCACCCCCAACATGATCAGAGTCGCTTAATGAAGATGAAGTTGACGACTGCCAATATTCCTGTGATGTGCCATGAGATTTATGAACATGGTACAAGGTATAAAATAAAGTACAAAGCAATATTTACACACTACTGAGGCCATAACAACGGTCGTCCACCGACCCATGATCCGGCTCCATGCGACTTCAGCAGCCATATAGACGTACTGACAGCGCATTTATCGCCAACAACCATGCCCTGAAGTCAAACCGAGCCGTTACGAATTTCATAAATTGATTTCTCATTGGTCACTCTTGCGTACGAATAAATGAAAGCAAACTGCATTTATGCCATCTTAAGCAACAAGATCTAGAAGAAGCTAACTTTTCTCTATATATGTATGTACAATGTCAAACAGTACATAAAATGTCACACACCACTGACATGGCCACAATTGCTGTAACGAATACAAATGCCGTGAGACTAGATAATGCGAGCCTCCACCCCTGGAGTAAGCCAGCGGACAAGGTCGGCCACCCCTTCCTTCTCAAACACGCGGAGGAGGTCGTCCCGGTGCTCGGTGAAATGCTCCCAGGACTCGAAATGGATCGGCACCATGATCTCGGCGCCAGTGACCCGCATGAAATGAGCTGCCTGCTTTCCATCAAACGTAATTTGGATGATGCCGTTCGGGTGGGAGAAAAGGGCATTTCCAAGGTTCAGAACTGCAACGGAGATGTTCCACTTTTCCTTGATCTTCTCGAATTCGTCGATATACACGGTGTCTCCGGAGAAGTACACCACGTTGGGGAGGCCGGCGGCGTTGAAACCGAAGGATTCCGACTCTAAGATGAAGCCAGTCACCTCGCCTCCTGGGAAATGCTTGCACGGGGTTCCAGTAATGCGGAACTCTTTACCTCCGATTGTAGCGGAGACGGTTTCCCACGGGCGAAGACCAACGACTCCTGGTCGGGGCTGCAGATTATGCGCTCCGTCGGGAGTAGTGAAGACCTTGCGACCGTCCAAGAGTTGGCGGCCCAAGGGATCCAAGTTATCAACGTGATCCTCGTGGCTTAGCAGTACCGCATCGATCGGAGGGAGGTCGTGAAGTTGCAATGCCGGGCCCTCGGTGCTTCGTAGGACGCCACTGGGGGGGCGGCCTTCGAATCCATAGTCCTTGGGGTTGGGCGCCTTTGCCCAACCGTCGTAGATATATTGTGATCCAGCAGGACAGAAGACCGGATCAGTGAGGAAGTTGATGCCATCAATAGTTATGATAGCGGTTGCGGTGGTGACGTGCGTGATGCTAACAACGCTCTTGAATGGAGATGCCATTGTGAATGGTCTGCAACAGTAGATTGAACCTTGTGTCAAAAAATGAATGTAGACGAGACCAGAAGCATAGCATTTGGGGTTCTTAAATATCCAAAACCTCGTAGTGTGAAACCTCCATCCTTGTCGATATTGTTCTCTCCTAGTCATCACTCCCACCGGAGTATTAGTAACTTGCGAAGAATTTATAACGATTATGAGACATAATTAATCTATCATCATACCCACCGGCGAGTGTTTATTCTTACGAATGTTTTGTTCCTGATTACTCAGTTTGAACTGACAGATATTCTCTACTGCTACATTTCTCCTCAGATTTCTCATCAGAAGGCTATTGCGTATTAGTTCCATTTTCTCGTGATTTCTTTGCCTCAACATGATTTGCAATTCCCCTTAACAAGGGAGAAAATCAGAAAATGCTTGGTAATACATTGTGGCTATATTTGTAGGCCTTTTTTTTCTTTATTAATTTATTTCGGTTTTTCTTATTTGTCCTTTCTTGTTCTTTTTTTCCTTCCCATTGCTCATCTACGAACTACCAACCAAGCCCCTTAGTTCGTTAATGAAAGTGTGTCTATCTACGATTCCCAACCATTCTCTCCAGTAAGCCTGAGCAACATCAGGTTGCAACATGAGCCACTCAAAAGCGGTTGATGGAGGGTACGGCTGGATTGTTGTCCTAGCTGTATTCTGGAACAATGCCCACCATTGGGGAATCTTATCAGTATGATGGCGTGTCCTTTACATTAAACATCTGCAAACTAACCATCACAGAGCTATGGTGTCTTCTTAGAAGATTTCATCTCAAATTCTAGGATATCTGGTGGTACCAGTCTTGATTTCGCGCTAATTGGCGGACTGTCCGCATCGCAGGCGCTCGTTATATCGCCCTTGATTACCATGATCCATCGTCGTTTCGGCCTTAAAGCGACTATGGCTCTCGGTGTGCTCTTTGAGACTGCGGCCCTTCTGGGAGCATCCTGGAGCACCAAGGTTTGGCAACTCTACCTGAGCCAGGGAGTCTGCTTCGGATGGGGTCTCGGCTTGCAGTATCTCTCGACAACTTTCATTATTCCCCAATGGTTCAGTAAGAAACGAAGCTTGGCAGCAGGGATTACAACGGCAGGAACCGGTACTGGAGGGTTGATATACTCGTTAGCGACTCACGCCATGCTGGACCGGTTCGGCAGTGGTTGGTCGTATCGGATTCTGGCCATTATCCAATTCGTGGTCAATACCATCTGTGTGCTCCTCTTACGGGATCGCATTGAGAACCCTCGAGCAGAAAGAAGAAAGGTGGATTTTCGCCTCAGCCTCTGCAAGAGATACGAAACCTGGCTGTTCATTGGCTGGAGCTTTTTCAGTGTCATGGGATTCATGGTCATCTGGTACTCGCTTGCTACCTATTCTCGATCAATTGGTTTGTCCGCCAGTCAAGGGTCGATCGTAACCGCCGTGATGAATGTGGGCCAAATTCTTGGTCGACCTGCGGTGGGATATTTCAGTGACGTTGTTGGACGGATCAACATGACCACGTTTGCCACGTTTACCAGCGGCTTGCTCTGTTTACTGCTCTGGGTGTTCGCAAAAACATACACAGCACTCATTTGCTTTGCTTTATTCGCAGGAATCCTCTTCGGGACCTTCTGGACTGTAAGTCGCTCTGGACCTCACTGCTGCACAGCTTGCTGATGTTGATGGCTTATGAAACTCTAGGCTGTTGGGCCACTCGGGGCGGAGGTTGTTGGATTAGATGACCTTCAGTCCTTCTTAACTATTATGTGGCTTATCTGCTCGGTTCCTGCGACCTGTATGTTCCCCGGTCTATCCTTTACACTATTCATCATAGTTCCTGCATGCCTTTCCCGGTTTCTGACTCTAATGATTTTGACAGTTGGGGAGGCGATCGGCCTTGAACTTCGCACGTCTGGAAGGGATGAATTTCTACACACGCAACTGTTTACCGGCTTCATGTATATCGGTGCATCTCTATGCACATTACTTTTGCGAGGCTGGAAGATATCCCAGAAGGAATCGCCAGAGAGAGGAGTATCCCCATCAGCACCAGCGGGAGACTGTCCAGGTTATGAGCTAACCCGTGACGACTGTAGTATCTCCAGCCGGTTATCTCTGGTTGTGGCTTGGGAGAAAGTTTAAGGCAGAATATGGAGTAATTCACGGTGGTACTCCATAGTATACAGTTGAAGCTCTATATTTATCACTCTTGCTCTGGCAATCTTTTTATCTTTTGTTCCTGGCGCTTGCCCATGGTTCCAGTCGGCTGAGCCACCAATCGGAAATGGCACAACAGCCGCGAGGATTACGCGGGCAGATCACGTAATTTATTTCTCGGTCGTGACTAAAAATTGATCCACATCCACACTGTCAACAAAAGTACTTGCCTCTCTGAAGGAAACAAGAAGACAAGCTTCTTGTCCTCGGCTCTCATGCACCAGTCGTTCTCATTCTCTGCTCCACAAGTCTTCCAACCGAACGTTAAACCACTGGCCCAGATTCTTTCCCCCCCCCCCCCAGACTGAGTAAAAACTCCGCAATGGCTGAAACTCTTCGTACGTCGCCCGAATGAGCCGACGTCACCTCCACGATGGTTTATTTCTCAAATTTCCTATTCCTCTTACGGACACTTTTTCCCTTCCTCCCCCTAAATCCTTCAAATACCTTCCTGTGAGAAGAATGTGGAAGGCCTCGTGACAGTGAATTTTCCTTCCCCCCCTCCCCCCTCCCCCCCAGCTCCGACTTAACTTTGACGCTTCGGCCCGGTTTTAACCCTCAGATCATGGTGGCAGCCGCTGTACAGAATGTCGCAGGAACCCTACGAGTCGATCGATCGTTATCATGCAACCGCTGCTGGTGCTGCCGCTAGTTATCATCATGCATCTCACTCCAGTAGTGACCTGGGTGACGACGAGAACATGCCCGGGCCCCCCCGTTCCTCTGCGCCGTCCTTCCTGACCTCCTTATCCAATCCTTTCCGTGCGCTTCGCGAATCCGGAGCACGACTCGCCACCCGCCTCGGTCGTCCAACAGATGGAGGGGATGCTCTTGATGCGGCGGGTCATCCTGAAGGGGTGACGGAGGATGTACGCCTGCTCGATATGATGCCGGACGGGCAAGTCCCCAGGGACTCGTACCAGTCGAAGTTGCAGAATACTTTGGTCTCCGAAGCTCGCTTTCTAGTCCGGAAATTGGGCGTCGGGGGGAAACTTCCCGAGGATGCCGACGTATCAGACCACCGTGATGTCAATCGGGGCGTGTTTTCCTACCTTTTGCAGCATCAAATGGACCAGGGCCATCGTCGAAATGTTAGCCAAACCAGCATATCCACGGTCGCTTCCCAAGACGAATCTTCTCCATCGGGGTCCAATAATAAGAAGCGTCGGAAGCAAAAGTGGTATGAGGACGAAGGTGATCGGTCGAAGGGCAAACGACCCATGAAACAAATTCGATTGACCAAACATATCGCGGCGATTTTGACTCGCCAACGGTACATCATGCTACTATGCCGTGCAATGATGAAATACGGCGCCCCAACCCATCGATTGGAAGAGTACATGCGGATGACAGCCAATGTGCTCGAGATCCAGGGCCAGTTCATGTACTTGCCGGGGTGTATGATCGTCTCCTTCGACGATCCGCTGACCAGGACCGCGGAAGTCCACATGATTTCGGTAGTGCCAGGGTTAGAATTGGGACGTCTAGCACGCACACACAACATCTATAAGAACGTGGTCCATGACCGAATCAGCGTTGAACAGGCCATCAGCGAACTCAACCAGCTCATGGAGCGGAAAAGTCGCTACCATAGCGCATGGAGCTTGATCTTCCTGTCGGGGTTAGCCAGTGTCGCCGTCGGGCCGTGGGCCTTTGACGCGCGGCCGATCGATATGCCAATTATCTTTGTCCTCGGCTGCCTGCTCGGCTTCATGCAGAATGTGCTCGCCCCGGCATCACCTGTCTATTCCAACGTCTTCGAGGTCAGCGTCGCTATCCTGATGTCATTTTTGGCCCGTGCGTTTGGCAGCATTCGGGTCGGGGGAGAACCTGTGTTCTGCTTTTCCGCTCTGACCCAGTCCTCGATCGCGCTGATCCTGCCTGGATTCTCCGTTTTGTGCAGCAGTCTCGAGTTGCAGTCCCATCAGATCGTGGCTGGCTCGATCCGATTGGTTTATACGATCATTTATTCCCTCTTTTTGGGATATGGAATCACGGTGGGCATCACGATCTACGGTCTCATCGACAGTAATGCCACCACGGAGTCCTCTTGCCCGTCGGAGAGTCTCTCGATCTATGGTAACGAATACATTCAGCACTTTGTCTTTGTCGCGATCTATTGTGCGGTCGCCGCGGTGCTCAACCAGGCGAGGTGGAAGCAACTCCCGGTCACGGTCTTCCTGGGTGTGAGCGGGTACGTAGCGAACTATTTCAGTCAGGCGTTGGATAGTCGTCTGGCCAGTACAATATCTGCGTTTGCCATTGGGCTGCTGGCCAACTTGTATTCGCGCCTGTGGCATGGGCATGCGGCGGCGGCCATTGTTCCGGGCATGTTCACCTTGGTCTCGTCGGGTCTGGCGACGAGCGGGTCGATCATGTCGGGATTGGCCTATGCCGAGTCGGTCAAAAATAATACGGTCGCTAAAGCGTCCAGCTCCAACACGGCCGTGCAACAGTCATTGTACGGTCTAGGCCTCAGTATGGTTCAAACCGCCCTGGGAATCACGGTGGGTTTGTTCTTTTCGGCTTTGGTCGTGTATCCGCGCGGAAAGCAGAGAAGCGGACTGTTTAATCTTTGAAATTGCGTGTACTATATTGACGATAAATTTTCGGTATTTAGTATCATATTTGACGTATAATAGACATTTTGTATTTTTACCCGTTGGCGAACTATGCCCATCATTCGGTATTGCGGTCGTAGATCACTCATTTTCTTTTATTATGATGATAATCTATTTTTCTTTCTATTCTTCCTATTTTTCTCTGCCTTCCCTATTCCTTGGGTAAACACATATATTAGTATGCCATTATCTTTCTATATGTCATTGAAATCAGGTAAACATGTTAGATTTTTGAAATTATACTGACCCAGGGTGGGGGAGGTTCGAGTTGGCAGCTTAAGATTGTTGTATGGATATAGGCCGTTCTCGATATATATATTTGTGAGGTTGGGCAATTGCAGGCAAGTTACGAGCAAGGTCTCTAAAGAAGTTATACTCTTAGGGGGTCGCAAGCTCCTTGTTATAGACCTTTACTCTGATATCATATTGTACTAGTTATCTAATTTAATGCAATAAAAAGATCTCTATCTAAGTTGGGGTAATCTTTCCCAAAAGCTCTTTGAGTGGTCCGGGGGTCAGGTTCGGGCTCCAAATTTCAAACCCGCGCCCGAAAATCAGCGGGGTCGGGGAAGGCTCGGGTCGGGTCGGGGTCAGGTACCCTATCCCAAACGGGCCTAGTCAGGATGGTTGCCATCTCCGATGATGCTGACAAATTGCTTCAAAAGTGCATTAGGTAGGGAATTCATAAACTTAGCTGTTAAAAGTAGGAGCATCTGGTACCGGACGGCTTGGGATAATTTGTTCTGCCACTTATAAGAAAATATGAGAAGATCCAAGAAGAATACCGCATTGGCAGGTGGCCCATCCACAAGCGATAATCCCAACAGGCCTACCAACGGATCCGCCGTTTCTGAGGTATACTTAATATTCTTTGGATATCACATATACGTCGCTGTTGGGATGCTAAAAGAATGATAGCACCGAAGAAGGCAACTGCGGAGAGCACAGCAAGCATATCACCAGCGCAAGGAATCAACAACGCTATCCCTGAGAAATCAGGTTGAACTCCTACAGACAACAATTGAGGAACTAGATCGAACGTTCCAAACGTACCATAATAAGGTGGAAACATCCGACCTATCATGTTCTGATACGACCCTACGAAGAACTCTACAACACATTCGTGAAGAATTTCTTGCCATTTCTGGAGCTTCAAGAATGAATGGGGATCTTCGAAGCCCCTTCCGAACAAATGGAAGCACGTCAAACGTAATGCAACGCAGGCATCGTGCAGGAGGCTCCCAGCAGGAAGAATTTGAATCTGAAATAGCCATCACGGCTAGGTGTGTCAGTCGAAGCCCAGGGTTAGCCCGCCGAGGCTCGTCTTTCTACATGGCAAACTCCGAAGAAATCAATCGACCGTATGGATTATCCTCTGGACGTAATTCATCCACTTCGACACCAACGACCGACTTTTTAAACACACCAACATGCAATGTAGGCCACGGCATTTTTCCTGATATTATCATTCCTGCGCATCTGTTTTCTTCACCTATGCCCTACTTTCGGGAGACTTCTTTTGAACGCCGGCTGCATCGAGCCTGTTTGAAAAACGGGTACGACTTGCTGGTAGATCCAACTACTGATCCGGACAATGCGAGGAGAGTATTCAGGCTCCCATTGACATTCTCTGATCGAGGCTCAATTGTCCAACGGGTGCAAGGGCTTCTTGAAGACGGGTTAGAGGAAGCTCCAGAGATGTGGGATATGCCCTTCTTCCTGCTAGGAGGAGCGGGAACTCATTATCCCCGAAGAGATCAAGGAGGGAGACCTATTCTCCCCCCTAATTCCGTGCCTATGAATAAATTAATTGGTGCTTTGACACATCAGGCAGCACAGCCAGAATCGGTCAACAGTATTGACGAGTTTCTGGCTGGCCTTGGTCTTGATGGGGAGTGGTATGATTCGTATGACGTAGAAGGCTATCTCATGGAGAAAGGTATCCTCCTGGATGGAGATACTACATTTTGCAAAGTGCCTAAACATATATGGCCAACGGAGTATCCACCTCCCGGCGCTATATCTAGCAATCCCTCAGATGACGTGCAACTCGAACGTTCATTTCAAGAATACACCCATTCCGGGAATGCAGATCTCAGTGGAATATACTCGTCTGCCCATCTCCAGCCCATGACACAGGTGTCATATGCGCAGGTATTCTGACCTTCAACGCTGTCCAACGCCATGCAAAAATCTAACCAATGTCAGTCTTTCTCGTTACAGGGCGTTGGAGCAAGTTGGAGTGATCCTAATATGAACGGCTCTTGGATCTTTGATGTGAACTTGTTTATTACTCGTAAGCACTGATTGGAGCGAAGACATGACTGCTTTACTAATTTGAACAGATCTCATTCAGTCTGGCCTTTGCTTCGGGCGTTGTCCCGCGTTTCGTCGAGAAGATGTGGAAAACACATTTCGCCTTGCAATCTGTAGAAGCTTTTTAGACCCTGTAGTCTAATTAAATAATATGTAAGGTTACATCTATACATACGGGAGGTGCGTAAGCGCTACATCCAGGTGTATATCGTTGTCCTTGCGGCTTACTCTTACGACTATCTCCGACCATGCATGTGTGTCAATAAAAATACCTATTTAATTCTCAAGTATTACTGCATAGCAACAGCAATCAACTAGCTACAAGAACAGTTACTACTACAAGATTGAATCCCGATGATTGGGATGTACATGAGTTTTTGTAGTCGCTCTACCATCACGGTAGTCATCCAACAAGCTGTTGACCTTCACAACGTCAAGCCCTTCGATTACGCTAAAACCCAGAGGCTTGAGCTCGCCTTTCTCGATCCAACCTGGTATCATCTCCCAAAACATAATAGCTAGCTCTTGGTGTAGATCACTGACACCAAGAACTTGGTTCTTTCTGAAGCCAGCTTTTTTGGAAGCTGCAATTACAGGATCAGATTCGGCACGAACCAAAGTTGCCAGAGACCCCTTCTTCGTGGTAGAAAGAAGCGAAAGCGCTAGCTGATGGCTAACACCGCCAGAGTAAGAACCATTAACCGTGTCGAAAGCATAGAGTAATTCATCCCCAACGATCGCACGGATCTGCTCTTCCACATCTGCTGCCTCTCGATCTATAACATGAGTAGCACCCAAGTCACGGAGTGATTGTCTCCCATTGTCACGGATTTTTGCAGTTGTGATAATCTTCCCGAAGCCCGCGAGACGAGAAAATTGAAGGGCAAATTTGCCGCTGTTGGAAGATCCTCCGATGATGACAATTGCTTTGTTCGCGTAGTCTGAACCACGACCCAGAAACTTTGGCGCTAAATCTAACCCCGATGAATCAAATAGAGCGATAAAGCTCGCAATAGCATTGACAGGGAATGTCGCTGCCTGGTCAAAGCTAAGGTGACATGGTATGGGAGCAGCAAAATCCGCGTCTAGGATACAGAACTGCTGCAGTCCAGCTTGGTCAGGACCTCCAGAGAGAATATTGGACTGCCCGAAGATTCTATCTCCAACAGAAAACCTTTTGACCTCTGGTCCAATTTTCTCGACAATACCGCTGATATCATTCGCTAGAATTGCTTGAGGTAGGTACTTATCCACAAGTAACCCTCGATCACGACCCTGCACGAAGTTAGTGGTTTAGGATAGAGGTCCAGGGATAAAACAACCCGTTTTGGCATATTCGCGCTAAACGTACCTTTTGGTCATGCGGGTTAACTAGGGATTGTTAGCTTCCTCTTTCATGAGATAGAATTGAGTCAGGTAGCGTACTTCCGGCAGCAATGATTCTAACCAGAACTTGGTTTCCTTTAGGCTGGGGTATTGGTCGCCTGTCCAGCACAAGTGGCCTCTGGACCTCTTTGAGGATTAAAGCTTGCTGAGTATCCATTGGGTGGGTAATACGGTTTCGATAGATTGTGCCGTACGAGTAGATTCTAAGTATTAAGAAAGACAGGCTGAGGATAAGCGATATACACCTGAACTCCATGCCAAACAACGATATGAAACTGGACATGTATATATACTCAATGTTAGTCTGCACAAACCATAGCGCCCCTTGACATTACAAATCAAAGAAAGCTTCGAACCTCGGCGAAGAAAAGGTTTGATCGCTAATCTTCGTAAAAGAACTTTATCTCGGCGTGAACCACGGTTCGACTAGTATAGATCTAGTTTGAGATTTCTAAGGCCCTTACACTCGGAGCGATGGTCAGACCTTGGAATTTACTGCCTCGGATGATCAGCTCATCGACGATCTACCTGACACAGACCCACCCGCTGTTCGCAGCTCAGCCAGTCCACCAAGTCCTATCTAGCAAAGCTTCAAGGAAAGCAATTTGATCCTTCTTGTTACCTGCGGATAGTACTACTTTGCTGTATCTCTGTCATGCATGACAAATGTAGGCTCTGAGACGGTGATTATTCTAAGCGACAATTTGTAATCATCATTTATCAGCGGCTCATCGAGGCAAGAAAGCCTGGTATCTTCACGCTGATCGGCGACTAATAAATACATATAGGCCGCTACAGTCTACCTCATAGGGATAGAGAATAAGCATAAATTATCCTTTACTTATTGGATCCGTTAAAAATGTTTGGGTTTTGGTTTCAATTGTTGGCCATCGGTTGTCTCCATGGCGTTGTGCATGGTGTGCCTCTCAAGAACAACATATTTGATTTACACCCTTTTCACATTAACTTAGCATCCGGGGTGCCTCGAATGCTCGATCAGATTCGAAATACTGAACTTCCTGAACAATTTCGTTACTCCGGAGTGGGTACTTCTCTCGGGATTGGGCTCGATGATCTGAAAGCGTTGCAAACAGAATGGATGACTGGCTTCAACTGGGAAAGAGAGCAGGATTCCATAAATGAGTGCGTATTATCCGCTAGTTAATGATCCTGTTGTTGAGATAAAATATGTAGGCTCAAGCACTTCACAGCTATAGTCGAAAGTTTAACAATCCACTTCGTTCATGAGAAGGCAAATGCGTCGAACGCCATTCCACTGCTTTTGATTCACGGCTGGCCAGGTTCATTCTTGGAATTTGCTCCCATCATCAATAAATTGACAGAAGAAGCAGAGACGTCTACTGGGAAGCGAGTTTCGTTCAATGTTATTGTACCTTCTCTGCCCGGCTTCGCTTTCTCGTCCCCTCCCCCAGTAAACTGGACAATCCAAGAAACTGCTCGCGTCTTCAACATATTGATGACAGATGTCCTGGGATATGGCACCTATGCTATACATGGAACAGACTGGGGCAGTGCTATAGCCTACACACTATACGACCAATACAACAAGACCATCGGTGCAGCACACTTCGCATTTTTGCCATTTTATCCAGAACATCCGGACCAGCTGACTGCTGAGAATATCACACTCTCGGAGTTGGAGAAGGCTGAAGAGCAAAATGCGATGAATTGGGCTGGTACGGGTGACGGATATTTTGTTGAGCAAAGCACAAAGGTGTGGATAGACTGATTCCGTTTCGAGGTGAAGGGACACTGACACTCACAATTATTGCAGCCCAATACGATCGGCCTAGCACTTCAGGATAATCCGGTAGGGCAGCTTGCATGGATTGCAGAAAAGTTCATGAACTGTGAGTTCAAAGCATAATTGGATCGCTTGGCTAGCCGCCAATCTAACTTATCGTCAAGGGTCTGATCCCAATGCCGGAACAAGCCCCTCCCTGCTCAACCGCAATGAGATCCTCCGCAGTGTTTCTCTGTATTACCTTACGGGGAGTTTCGCCTCGTCTGTTCTCATATACTCGCAGAATCCCAACACATGGAGAACGGAATACAGCAAGGCACATACCGACTCGCCGATGTTATTCAGTGCATTCAAATATAATGTTGCTTTTTGGCCTACTAGGTTAGTTGCAAAAGTTGGAAATTTAGTGCTGTATCGAAGTAAGTATAGATCACCGCCTGCACTGAGACTTTGTACCTGACGCGATGTGCTAGACCACGATTTTGGCGGCCACTTCCCCGGCTTGGATAACCCCCCTGCTTTGCTAGGTGACCTTCGAGAGATTGGCACATATTGGAGGGAGTGAATCCCGGGACAAGAAAAATCAATACTAGATCCCCGATTGGTATGGCATATCATAAAATGAATGTATTGCTTTCACGATCAACTGAAAGCTTTGATTCCACTGGAATAATAGTGGGACTATATCTATACTAGCAGTATATCGGCACGACGGCAATTTAGTTGCCCCCTCACCTTATAACAATTCTAATTAGTGTATTAGTGTGCCTAGCTAGTAATACCACTGCTATGGACATATAGAAGTTGCCATACTACTTCAGAGGCCCAGAATAACCGAGCATATTCTTACATATACTCTGGGAGAGGGGTATCCCTGCGCCTCTGACCTTTTCTATGTTCGCTCTCTCGACAGTTTGAAATTCCTACAGTGATTGGCTCAACAATAGCCCACAAACTGGGCCCCTTCCCCAAAGCCAAATGGTCGATCTATGTACGCATATGAGAGACAGGGAAAGCAACTCAGCTAGAACGCTAGAGCCTCTCGTGATGTTTGCATATTCTGCAGACAGTATCACACACATTTCGGCGGCAAGTTCACGCTACCGAAGGGCGGGCTCGAGCCCTTGGGTTACATCGCTCGGTTCCATTTTAGAATGCAGCAAGGGGGAGGAGAAGGGAGGTTCACTGGATCCCCCTACCAAGTGGCCTTTTGGAGTTAATATGTAAATATTTTACGAGGGTATTCTTCGCTATCATTGAGGATATGGAATCTGTGTTGCAACCGAGGCGCCCCATGGTAGTCGAGGGAAGTGATCGGAGTCTTTTCTGGATAGAGTAGTTAGATAGAAGATCTCTAGTATTCAAGTAGGGTGGAGTATGTCGGGAATTTGTTGCAATGCTTGTGATTCGTAGGTCGAGTGAATCCCAAGTGCTGAGTGTTGGACGCAGGTTCCATTGCGTATGGTGGGCTTTTGCTGTACACCTAGCTTTTCTCTGCGGCTCATTGTCCCATTAACCTCCCTGATGAAGAAACTCTATGTTATACTAGAGTGATTGCTCTCACATTAGACACGCACCGAATACGATAAATTCCCTAGTCACTAGGGAGCACCTATTGCCAAGTACACTAATATAACGACGGAGGTTCCTTGGAGGGACGACGCGATTTGAGAGGCGGATGAATATCGTATTGCCCCTTTCTCCTAGACATTAATACGAGGTTCTGCAGCGCACTCCTCAAAGTAATTTGAGGAGGAAGATCAGGCTCATCCCGGATCTGCAAAGATCTACATAACTCGCCAATCATGTGTCCTGACAGGAATAAATTCTCGGCGCACAGAAATCAAGAAGATTCATATTCGCCAAGGCTGTAATGGAAAAATACGAATAACTCTCATGGTCTAGCATTGGAAAGCATTGGCGGATATACGAGCAGAATAGATGCATCCTCTTCTTCTATCTCGTATAGATCCTTGCTGCTTGATCACACGCTTCCTGATGGCATACATTTGCCGAACTTGAGTTATGGTTCAATATGGAGTAGCCATGGGCATGACAACTGTACCATATAAAGCCACCTAAAGCCCTCCCATCAAGTTTATTTTCAGCAGCCACAATCTCAAGTTTCACGGACCCTTATCTAGCCATTACTTCCTCATCTTATCAAAATGAAGTTCTCCATTATTGCACTTGCTACCCTCTTGCCCGCGACGGCCCTTGGCGCAGCAATGCCTGAAGATGCTGCGGATGCCGCCCCTACTTATTATACCGGATCAGATATTTCTGCCCTCAACATCGAAGAACGAGACCTGGAGAAGAGAGCTGTCAGTGGGTATGTCAAGACCGACGGACTCCGCTACCGCACTTGTCCCCGGACCACCTGCACTGCTGTTGGTCAATACGCGAAGGGAACTAAGCTCAGCTTGGTCTGCTACACTCGGTCTAACACTACACCAGTCAATGGTGACAAGTATGTTTATCTCAGCACGGAGACGTAGCGGGCAGAGCTAATCAAACTGCTTTTAGGGGTTGGGCCAAGTTGACGAATGGTTACTGGGTTGCAATGGCGAATGCTGCTTATATCGGATGGAGCGGTGAGTGAACTTCAATGGAAACGGTGGGGAATATAGACTAATATCACTCCACAAGGCCCACTTAACGCCTGTTAAGGTGGTAAATTGTAATATTGGGATGGATTGTAGGTTCTTCTATGGAATGATACATCGGAAGGGGCAGCTGGAAAAGACAACTGCTTCATTTCATACAATCTACTTATGTATATACATGGTTCAACTTGAGTGTTGATGACCCCGGCATATGTTGTTTTATCTTCTATCTGTTCTCTAATTGATGTGGAAAGCTAGTCCACAAATGACCCACCTTTACCCAGAAAGCCAAAAGGCTTTAAAGCTCGCAAGGCTGCTAGGGTATTTATATGTGTGATTCATCTTCTCGTCTTTGTAGTTTCATGCAATGTTCAATGGGGTGGGAGAAGCTGTAATGTGGAGCAGGTGTCTACTAATATTGCCAGTCATAGAATTACTAGTTTATAGGTATCGATCTGTTGATAGTGCGCTGTAGGTGAGAATAATTCGTGCTTTTATTAACCAGGCAACATAAGTTACCCCCAAAAAGGACGTACGAAGGGCGCTCGAATAGCTGTGAGCATTTGTCAACGTGCTTGAAATTGATATCATTCTGATAGAATACTTAGCTCCGATGAGACTGTAAGTTGCTCTCTTGGAAAAAGCTACCAATATATACTCCAGACTACGTTAGTAATAACAGTATTGCCTCGGCACAGATTGTAAACTTGAAGCAGTCGCTCCCTGCGGTCAAACATGGGATTTCGTTACCTGAAGGAAGTGGGACCACCGCCGGTAGAGCCAGGCACGGGAATTACAATACGACAATGAATAAACGAAAGCCTATTCCAAAAACTGATATAGGAACAGGATTCAACCTGCCTGTATATTAATAGTTGGACGCCGCATTAACCCTAACTTTCCCAACCTGAGCAGATGAGCCGATGGGTTATGATGGAGCGAGACATAACGTTACTACATTGTTCTAGAAAGGCACTAAATGCGGATTAACAGTATTAATGAGGCTGATACTATACCAATGCCGGGAGTTGAGCACCCTGTTTCCGCAACAAGTGAGCGACCTGAAAATTCCTCTTCGACAAAGCCGCCTTCAAAGGAGAGTCATATCTCCCACCCCCAACGTTGACATCCGCACCATGATCAAGTAGTAGCTGAACCAGTTGCATATCTAGAGATATCCCACAAGAGGCCGCCTGCAGGGCAGTGCCAAACTGTCCTACGGAACAATTCACACCGGCTCCATTTTCCAATAGCAATCTGGCAATCTGGACATTGCCTCTATAGCATGCAGCTTGCAAGGCTGTTCCAAAGTATCCCCCTTCAGCATTAACATTTACTTCGTTGTCAAGCAAGAGCTGCACTATCGCCGTCGTCGAAGAGACTCCATATGATGCTGCCTGTAGCGCATTGCCATAATGTCCTCCTTGCTCATTGACACGAGCGCCTTTATGGAGTAACAATCTTACGGCTGAAATCTGTCCATATGCTGCAGCGCCCTGTAGTGCTGTACCAAAGTATCCACCTTGAGCCTCGATATCAGCTCCGTGGTCCAGGAGGAGCTGAATGATCCGCGTGTGGCCCATGGAAGAAGCAATATGTAATGCAGTTCCTTCTGTCATTTGGATATTGACATTAGCCTTACGATCAAGCAGAAGCTGTACCAGTTGACTATCACCACGGCTAGAGGCTATATGCAGTGCCATACCATGATCTTCTTCCTCGCAGTTGATATCGGCACCGTTGTCAAGTAGCAGCTCAACAATTCGAGTATAGCCATGGGCTGCAGCTGTATGGAGAGAACTGCCGTACATCTCGTCCCGGAAATGGACGCTGGGTCCATTACCTTTTAACAGCTCAAGAACATGGGTATTACCGTGATCTAAAGCAGCCTGCAGAGCACGGTTGTAGGATGCACTGAATGGATCAATGTCACATTGATCCAGTAGTAACTGAAGGATCTGAAAGCGGCCAAAGGTTGACGTGGTGTGGAGAATATCAGCATAACGGGATCCTGGTGCTGTTATATCAGCCCCTCTTTCAAGAAGCATCCGAGCGATCAGAGGGTGGTCGCCATAGACAGCTGCCTGCAGCACATTGCCAAACGGCTCCGCATGACTATTGACGTCTGCGCCTTTATCAAGAAGTAGCTGACAAACTTCCACATGGCCCTCATATGCTGCTGTGTGCAATACACTCCCATATATGCCCGGAGTGCCAACATCCATTCCATATCCTAGGAAAAGCCGAACCACATGAACGTGGCCTGCGCTGGCTGCGGCATGAAGTGCATTGCCATAGTATCCTTCTTTGACTCTGAGGTCCACTTCATTATCGAGAATAACTCTTACTATCATGTGCAAACCTGTCAACGAAGCAACGTATAATTGTGAGGGTATTGAATCGTTATGAGAGTTATCCAATGGTCCATCCCGAGGCCTCCATGGTTCGTCATGGTTATAGATCTTCATCCAATTGAAATAGGCACTAGTGCTGAAGATGAACATATCTTCCATCAAGGTATGCAATTTGGAATCCATACTTTCTCCGGATAAGAGAGCATGTACGGTCCAATATTCCGCAGCGTATCGGGCCAGTGGGAGTACTATACAAGTACTCGATGAGACAGAGTTCGCTCCATCTAACCGCAACAGATATGCGAGACAGATCTCAGCAATTGACTCATTGGCTTGTTGCTGGTGCACCGCGTATTCAGCCATTGGGCCCTTTCGGATATCCGGCGAGACAAGATATTCTCTGAGGGACGAATGCACTAATTTGACGTGCATTCTAGGAGTTCGGTCACCGATATGCGCCGTTCCCTCCGTTGTTAAGGTAACTAATCCGGGGCATATGCGCAAGATATCATTCGAATTACGAAGTCGTCTTTCAAGGTCGACTCTAGCAGGCCAGGTATCAAAATCAAAAGCAAATATTTCGGCGGCTTCTTCGATGAGGAGTGGTCTAACGGAACACACAAGCCATTGCAAAAGTCTCCGGGCGCTCTGGCGATGTGAAGAAGAGATCTGAAATAACATCCGCTCGTATGTGTTATTTAGAGATTCAGGGAGCCTCGCCAATGTTGCCTTCAGATCGCGAGGGCTGTAGCACCGTTCTATCTCGCGTAGTTGGCTCTGGGCCAACTGAAACCTTGTTTATGATCAGCCAGATTTTAGAGTAAATGAGCCATGGCTTTGCTTACATTCCCTTAGACTTAGCTAAAATAGTGTCCTGGATTTGCTTCTTTTGTTGATCTGACCATCTTGACCTGAGCGATTCCCCACATTCCAACCTTTGCGCCACAGCTGTTCTTATATCCCTATCGACTCCTGTTATCCCAAAACCTACAAAAAGCGCTGAAACTTGCAACATTTTCCGTTCAATATCGGTGTCTATCCGACTAGTAGCGAGAATGCGCAGGCAGGGTAGCTTCCAAGCCCTAATTATCGCCAGCTTGGCCATCAAAATTTCGACATCTTCACACTCGTCGAGCGCATCAAGGATTAAAAAGGCCCGCTGTAGTGGTAGTAAAACCTCCTTCAGTGCGTACATGACGGATTCTAGACTTGGTCGTGCATCTAAGCTTGCAGCTTGAGTGTAAAGGGTCTTTACAACGCTGGGGAGTCGTTGAGCTGATAGTTGTCGCAGGAGATGCCGCAGACATCCGTCGACCGTTCGTTTTTGCTTGTCGCCGAAGTCAAAATAGAAATAAGCAATACTAGTGTTCTCATCGTGAGAGTAGCTCTTTTGTAAATTGTCGATGATGGTGGAGCTGATGATGGTCTTCCCACATCCAGCTGTGTATAACCATGATGCTGTCAGCCCTATTGACCATAGGTAGCTACGGACTACTTACGAATCCCATGCAACCATACCATAGGACTATTCCCGTCAATCCATTTCCCATAGCTTTCACCTTTCAACAACCAATCCCCAGTCGTTGGCGTATGGTTACTACGAGCCCTATGGTGGTTCGACGACTGGTCAACATCCGACAGCCAATGTAGAACGACTCGATGTTCTGTGTCTTCAGCGGAACCTGTCTCATCTGTAAGAACTTGAAATCCATTAAGTGGCAGTATCATAGGAATGAATACCTTTTACTCTGGCAACGTTAACCTCTATTTCTTCGACGTGCTGGAGGATCCCTGATAAGAGGTATTTCATTAGTAGGGAATGCCTTGGTCGGGGCAAAGCCTTCACAAGACCTTCTAGGGTGCTGTACAAGTGGACAAATGCAGAACTCTAAGTTGAGAGAGAGTGCGTATAATTCAATCAAATCGCCAACAAAAAACACCGAATATCTACCGGGAGAACTTACTTGCCACAGCAGGCAACTCAGACACCTCCTGCGCAGGCACAACCAAAAGAAGTTCCTTCGCCATAGCTGCTGCCACAGCGGCTGCGTGCTCCTGCCACGCTTTATTCTTATGCGAATCCGCATAATCACAGATGCCCCTGACAACAATACATGGGAAATCATTCATTAACCCTGCAGCCTCCATCTCGAAACACAACACCTTCCCACCGAGCCGTTTGTTGATTTCGTCCCGGAATGAGGCATCTTTGATAACCTGATTTCCGGATGCAATCAGTCCATAGTGGACTCGCATATTGCGAGGCTTCCTTCGGATGGTTCTAGTTCGATCGCAATGGATGCATCCTGTTTCTTCTTCATCCTCATCTTCCTCGTCTTCGTCGGACGTTTCAACTTCAACATGGTTGTAATCCGCTTTAAATAGGATATCCTCTAGCTCACTGGACTGCACATACTTGTGCTTCAACTTAGGCCACTTCTTGGCCATATCTTCCAAAAGATTGGGAATCCTCGGCCCTTCCATTTCATGCATGGCCTTGAGCTGCGCCAGTGCCGTCCTTAAAACACTTGGCGGACTATTCAAGGCTCCCGTTCGTTTAAACACGCGCCCTTGTTCAGTCTTCCCAAAATCCCATTGTACCACACCTCCGAACCCCTCTGCTGGGGTACTGACCACCACATCGCCTAGTCGGACGCCCTTCGGGACACCACCTCCGATGCCAACCATGAGCCCAAATTTAATGAATGGGAAGGTAGATGTCATCCTAGTGGCGACGATTGCCGAGGAGCTATTTCCGATCTCGCCCATTGGGAGGCATGCGATTACCACGTTGTGATTGCCAACGCGGCCGAATGTGTAGGTGTTTGAATCATTGGCTGGTTTCGGAAGTGGGAGATGCTCTTCATCGAGCATGGCTCTTGCTGCGACCATTTCTTTTGGCAATGCACATACCCAGCCGACAGTATACTGTTCGTAGGTCAATTGCTTAATTGGAGGTGCCATGATGATCGGCTGTGTCTGCTTTCATGCGGTGTGATATCTTTACGTTGGGCTTTTGAGAGGATAAGAAGGACTTAGAGTTGAGCTGAATCCGATGGTACGGTGGATGTGTAAGCAGAGAGTAGATGATGATTGAAGTTACCTGTACCGTTTCTTAAATTAATCCAAGGTGTTTGTGATCGACTTGGGCCCCAACAATCCTGACTGCCCACGACGCAACGCCTGCTACGATGTCATGCTCAACCTGGCGGTGACTCATTGGCCGGACAAAGTCCATACATACATAGAATTTGGTGAGTCAGCCTCAGTTCGTCTCATTTCTGTAAAGACTAAGGGTACGACGCCGTAATACAACGGATGTGGTGATCCTAACTCTAGACATGTGGATGTAACTCTATCGAAATGCGCAGTGACCGAGCAACATTCCCCACGAGCCTCTCTGAGGCATTTTCAGTTCAGATGATCAGCAACTTAATGGGCTTGTATGTTAGTTGTAAGCTAGGACGCAACAGTATTGATAACGAAAAATTTCATGTGGAGGAGATTATGCGTGTCGGCCCAATACGAACTACTGTTCAGCCCCGCGTGGGGCTGCCAAACACAGGAACCCTATTCGGGCTACATTGAGATATCGCTGATGATGATTCGACTAACCATCTATAACACGTCCTATCAATCGCTATTTCGATTATGTTGTTCGTGAAGTCAGACCCTAGTCCGCCTAGGCATCTGGTGTCACAGGCCGAAACAGTGCAAGGCTCCCAAAACTCCTACATTATATGCTTTTCCTACCTATAGTGGTTGCCTTTCTCACTTGCCAGGTCACATAGACTAAGGGTCCTATGAGACCTTAATACGCAGTCTATCTAGTTTCACTACTATCTCTGCCCAATCTCTCCAATAACCTCTCTGCCTAGTTAGGTGGGTTCAATAACCTATCATTTTGAGACGTGCTAACCATTCAGTGCCTCCTTTGCCATCTCCATGGCTGTCTGTACAGCCTCATCTGCCCGGTTCGCCACCATACGAATTTGTCATTAAGCATCGATGCCTAACAATTGCTTATGTACGTCATTGCGGTTTGCGGATCACAGGAAGTAGGAGAGGAGACGGTGTACTGAACTTTTGTTGCCTTCTTTTGACAGTCAAAGTAAGCGACGCCCGAAAAGAGTATTCGTGCTGATGGTGGGTGGAATGGAGAAGAGCCAAATGGTGATATATATATCACCTTCGCCTGTTCGACATTTCCCCATACATCTACTGAGTCTGTCTATTCTCTGTTTATCCTGCATCTCCGCAAAGCTCGCTGAACAGCTTTCGCCGTGCTCTGAGCAGTTATCATGCCTTCTTTCGCCCATCCATCACCTCTCGTGTCACTGCCCAAGCCACCTCCCATCAATTGCAATGGGAGTATGCCCGCGACAAAGCCTCAGGGAGAGCCACACGTCGTGACAGGCACCACTAAATCTAGCGTCGAGCCGCAGGCATCAGACATCTTTATTGCCGTCATGGGTGTAACGGGGGCAGGGAAGAGCACATTCATATCACTAGTCGCCGATAAGCCCGTGCGAATAGGCAATGACTTGAAGTCATGTACGATTTGCGTTTTCAATTGCGATTCACTTCGGTGCACTGACGAGGCCTAGGTACTCAGGAAGTCAGTGTCTACCGGTGTCGATATAGCCAAGGGGTCAATATCTGGTTGGTAGACACTCCCGGCTTTGATGATACCGATCGAAGTGACACTGATGTCCTCCGTGAAATCGCGACCTGGCTCACGAAATCATTCTCCAATGCTGTCAAGCTGAATGGGATGATTTACCTCCATCGTATAACTGATCATCGCATGACGGGATCTGCAAAGAAAAATCTGTTCATGTTCAAGAAGCTGTGCGGTAAAGATGCCCTCAAGCATGTCATCCTGGCCACGACGATGTGGGAGCGAGTTGCACCAGATGAGGGCGAACAACGAGAAAGGCAGCTGCTCAATACTTCTGAATTTTGGGGGGAGATGAGAACTCTCGGTGCACAGGTCGAGCGTCATCATAACAATGCGGCGTCAGCGAAGCGCTTGATCAACATTCATGTATCAAAGGCCCCGGGAGAACAGAAGACTATTCTCACGATCCAGAACGAGATGGTGACATTACAGAAGACTCTGGATGAGACCGACGCCGGTAGAGAAGTCGAGAGCGCATTGGTGAAAGAACGGGAAAAATGGCAAAAGGAACTCGCTGAAACTCATCAAATGATGAAAGAAGCAATCGCAGAAAAGGATGAGGAGTCTGCCAGGCAGCTCCAAGAGGCTCAAGATAGGATGAAGGAGCAGCTAGCCGCAGCCAAGCGTGCGCAAGATGAACTCAAGGTTGACATGGAGAAAATGTACAATGACAAAGTTTCTGCTGTCCAGAAGAAACTCGACGAGCAAGAGAAAGAAAAGAACGATTTTAACCAGAAAGTATCGGATCTCCAGAAGAAACTCGAACAGCAGGAGAAAGAAAAGAACAATTATAATCAGAAAGTGTCGGATCTCCAAAAGAAGATCGATCAGCAAGAGACAGTATCGGCTGTGCAAAGAAAGCTTGAGCAGCAAGAGACAGAAAAGAACGATTACAGTCAAATGGTATCGGCTCTCCAGAAGAAGCTTGAGCAGCAAGAGAAAGAAAAGAACGATGCCAAAGCCAGAATATCGGCACTTGAAAAAGATCAAAACCTCAGATGCCACTCTAAGGTCCTTCCTGACATTGCCAAATTTACGACGCTGACCCTTTCATTCTCAGGAAGCTATTATTACTTCTGTGGACCAAAACGAGACCATTAGTGAGTGTCATGTAACATTTTGCCCATATCTTACTGAACATTTTTCCAGTGACGTACCTTCGTCTTACTGTAAAGCTGAGGCTTTCTTAGAAGGATCCGATGAATATGTCCGTATTGGATCCAACGGGTCCTGTTTCCGTCACTATCACAAGAATGGGGAGTGTTGGACTTGTAAGCTCCCCCCATCAGGATTCCGTGTTTTCAGGCAGACGTAAAATTAATGGGACAGGGAGGAGCGATAACTTCAAAAGCGAATATCCCGATCTTGAGAGATACTTGAAACAATATCGGCAATACGGCTGTCCCAAGAAAGTCTCCCTAGGAACTGGTGGTCACTACTTTGCCCATACTGAATGGGGTCGTTCCTGGAGTGTTCCCAGTGATATTGAGACGTCTGCAGGGGACATGAGCAAGGTTGTTCAGGTATGGTTTGGTAAGGATGATGCCTATATCATCTCTATGGGTAACGGCCGGTACATTTGGGATCTGCGAGGACACTACTCGAAGCTGCATGATAAGCTCAAGAGCACTAAGGGGCTTGATATCCGGGTAGGATCATTGGGAGCGTTCTATGCTTGGTTAGATAAGATGCTAACAATTAATTGCAGGCTGCAGCTCTGAACTTAGAAGTCCCAGAATCCTGGGCGCTCGTTTTGCGAAATGGTACCGTGATGTGGTGCACTGGGGGTTCATCTGATCCAGGGAATTTTGACAACTTCCTGCTAGAGAACTCTGTGTAAATTTCAGTGTCGAGTTGAATGATCGAGATCAGAACTAGCTATGATGACAATTGTATTTGCGCAACAATGTTTATGAGAATCCGGGATCCGATATGGAGACTTTGAATAAAATATATAACTGTGGGTCCCTGAGAAGGGTATACTGACCATAATGGGTCAAACCCAGCAATGTCTTATGGGCTCTTCTAGGGACAGTATACATCACAGAATACCCGTGGCAACAGATCGACGTCAGTACGACACCTTTATAAGCTCTCTAAGCTAAAATAAGATAGTTTTATAGAGTTTTCAATCTTATATTACTTTATAATACTGTGTCCAGTACATACGACCACAGGGTGTGGAGAACAGGGCTTCCCGTCCGCTCAGCCGTACTTAAGCCACACGCCGGGAGGTTAGTAGTTGGGTGGGTGACCACCAGCGAATCCCTCCTGTTGTATGTTTTTACTCTTTTTGTATTATTTATTGGTTAGTAGCCAATAAGAAACTCCCGCTAAGTGGCCTACTATCAGCTCAGCTGACACCTGCATAGCCTGCACCAACAACCCACGGAGGCCATGGTTATGCCATTGGTCGGGTTACCGCGCCCTAGCATATACACATTTGTCAGCAGGATTAAAAGTGGACGAGCATGTTAATCACCAACAAAACCGGTCACCAACGATGTATAAATAAGCCCCAAGGTGTCTGTTTATCTATCTTACCGATTGGTTCAAGATTTTTGATGCCAAAGCTGATTACCACGGAAAATGATCAAAGCAGTTTTCTTTGACTTCATGGGCACGTGCCTAGATTGGCACAGCGGAACCATCAAAGCATTGCCACAATCCATTTCAGAAAGTGAAAGATCCGATATCGCTCTGAAATGGCGTCACGACTACTTCGACGCTAATGCCGCACGTATCGCTGCAGACGAGCCTGTTGAGGATATTGAACTCACCCTTGCAAGGACTCTCGATGCTTTATTAGAGAAGGGTGCAGCCCACAAACATCTTTTCGATCGAGAGACCAAGGAGCGATGTATAGCTGCATGGCACTCGATGCCGGCATGGCCGGATGTCGCCCCTGCCATTGAGCAGCTAAAAGCAGAAGGCTATGAAGTATTTGTCCATGCGAATGGAACCACAAGATTGCAACTCGATCTCTGCCAATCATCAGGTCTATCCTTCCACATGCTGTTCTCTAGTCAGTTGCTTGGTGTGTACAAGCCTGCTCCAGAGAGCTACCGTGAGGTACTGCGATTGGTAAATGTGAAAGCTGAGGAAACAGTGCTTGTTGCTGCTCATGCTTATGATGTTCGTGGTGCGAAGGAAGCGGGGATGAAAACGGTATATATCCACAGGTGGACTGACGATATCAATGAAGATATGGAGATTATCAAAGGAGAAAATGACTTCTTTTTGGAGGATATGACAGACCTTGCAGGGGTTATTAAGCAGCTTTGAGTCCCGCATTTATTAAGACTAGACTATCAATGAATATCAGACAACTGCTATTTCAACGCTCGAATCTTGAGCTATGGGCCGGTTCAGGGATTATTTCAGTGTTGGGTTAATAGGTGGGAAATAGGCACAACGCGTGATAAATATCAAGTCACTTGATATGATTACATGTACCATGTTTTTTACTTTCGACAGAATAAAGGTATGAAGGGGTTGCTTTGAAAATATATCAATGTTTAAGAAAGTGAAGGTTATCTGTAGCTTATTATCATAATTTAATACACTGCGTGGCAGTGGAAGGGACCTAGATTTCCGTTTTAAAGTACCGCTAGGATCTCCTTTTACACCAATAGAACCCCCTAAGAAAGAGATGCTCAAGTCATAATATGTCTTCTGATGGTAGTTCGGGTACGGGATATCCTCCCCCGACTATACCTGTAGCTATGCTTCACCCGATTCAGCTGAGCTCATGCCCGCATATCTTCAGCTGAGATATAAGCGAAGCCTACCCTTATATATCCACCTACTCTCCCGATCGCGAATCATTTTCTCGGATCCATAGATGACGCCATTTTATGCATGAACATGAAGAGTCTTTAAAGTGTGAACCTTAAGCCAGCCGACTAGCATAATAAGCGAGCCATATTTCCAGATTTCCGAGAAGTGCTCGTCAACCAGTATTTCTTTTTCTACTACACTACAGATCCCGGTACCGATATCTCACTCCCATCAAATCTTCTTCTAAAACTATCAATCGAACACTACAATCTGCAGCCATGCCACAAGGAAACGTGAAGTGGTTCAATGAGACGAAAGGGTTTGGATTTATCACCCCATCCGACGGCTCGAAGGATATTTTTGTCCATTTCTCTGCCATTCAAATAGTATGTGCAGAATAATCCAGCAAGGATAACATTTGAATGATAGCGTGCTGAAATATAATTCTTATTGCATTAGGAAGGGTTTAAAGTTTTGGCGGAAGGGCAAAAGGTTGAGTTCGAAGTGATGGATGGAGCAAAGGGACCTTCAGCTGTCAATGTCAAACCTATGGATTAAGCGGTGTCTTAACTCGATGAGGATTCATGTGTATATACAGATCCTTTCGTTGATTATTCAAGTTTGGGGACAATATGCACCTTAACCCGTCTATGTTAGTCTGTTCACTGCTGCGCGCGCGGGGTAATTGGTGTGGATACTGAATACCCCGCGGAACCCTAGGTCGAGATTATAAAAATGTTGACCCAGTCAACGGGCATAAATAGAAAGATAATCTCCAGCTCCATCATATAGATCTACGGGAAGTAACAAAATCAAATACCTCAATAGATTTGCACCCGACCATCGCCATCCCTGGACTCTAGTCCTAGATCAACCTACTTCTCCATCCCTAAGCCGGGTGCAGGATATTTAGCGAGTGCTTCCTAAAGCCAAGCATACCTTGGAGAGTCCCACAAGCACCCCATATAGCCTAGGGCTGTCTCTTAGAGAGATGGCCCTTCCTATCCAATCAACATCCAATTGATACGGTGACAATATTAACCAATAGACCCCGTGCCGCAAGAGCTGACTTGGCATTTTAAGTTTGTATACTATTAGGTATATGTAGTTAATTAAGATTTATTTATCAATTACTTGATACTGCTCAGCACAATGAAATAGCGGGTATCATCTCAAAGCTTAAGATGTAATCCAGTCCTGGAGGAAACGAGGAGACCCAACTATTCTCCGCATTACCCCAGTAGTAGTTTAATAGTCCAGATTTCGTATCCCCAAATACTGGCTGGGTTGGGCGGGCCGATTTCCTTATCCGGATACTTCCCGCCACGGCCCCCATGTACAGTAGAATGAACTAGTTGGTCTAGGGAAGACCCTTGATGTTAATCTGCTTGATTTATTGAATGGAAGTGAATACTTTTACCGCAGCCTGCTTCACTGGGCTCACCGGATGCTTCCTACCGTCGGCGTATTGCCAAATACGGCCAAGAGCCAATTTGCTGTGCTAGAGTATATAAATATGGACAGAAGAAGCACAATTCCGTCCAAATTAATTCAAGCGAGAAACCAAATCTCATCATGAACAGAGCTGTCTCATCCAAGTGTTTCCAGTGCCCTACCTTTCGAGCTGGAAGGTGCTCGGGCACAGCCAAACGGCTCTTAGCAACTGACGCGGCACCGCTCACTCGAAAGGACAAGAAGGAGGGCGATATTTCCTCAGTCTTCTCAACATTCTCTGGTCGAAAGATCCCGCCTCTACCTGAACGTTTCCGAGAGCTGAAGCGTAACCTGACTACCGGGTTCGAAGAGCAGATTCAAAAGTCGTGGGATGAACTTGTTGAGGTTCTGAAAGTGCGCACCGAAGAAGTTGCCTCCAAAAGAGAGTCTGTATGTTTAAGGCACCCTACTACTGCCTGGCAGCTAGCCACATGCTAAAAGTATCAGATTATTCCCCAGCTGAACTATTCCGATATTCGCGCAGGCAGCGTATCTCCGGAGACTGTTGCAGCAATCCGACGGACCGGTGTCGCTGTTGTTAGGGGGGTTGTGCCAAAAGATGAAGCCGAAGGACTTCTGTCTGATATCCGCCGATACTTTGCTGCACACCATTTCACGGGCTTCCCTTCTGATGCAGACAAGAAGGTATACATACGCTCTTATATAGCTAGTACTGGAGCTTCGACTAACTTGGACCAGATCATTTACGAATCGTATTGGAGTCCTTCCCAAGTAAAGGCAAGGTCGCACCCTAATATGTTGTCCACACAATCATGGATGAATCAACTCTACTCCGCCGATGACGATCAAAAGAGTAATACTCACCCCCAATCAGCAAATATATTACAGCCAGCTGACGGAGGATAGTTGATCTCTCCGTGCCGCTTACGTACTGTGACCGTGTGCAGATCCGCCCACCTGGGGATAAGAAATTTGCGCTTCCCCCTCACGTCGACGGTGGAGGGGTTGAAAGATGGGAGGATCGTGCCTACAACTATGTGTATCGCAAGATTTTCCAAGGAAAGGTAGGACACATTGTGCAATTCCACTACTGAGCACAAAACTAAGAGCTCGACAGTGGCATGAGTACGATCCATGGGATCTAACAGGCCGCCTTGATGCAAATATGAACATGTACGAGGCACCAGGGGGGTGCTCGGTCTTCAGAGCCTTCCAGAGCTGGCTGGGGCTATCTTGTCATGGTCCCCAAGAAGGTTTGATGCCCATCAATAGAACATCGGTCCACTCTGACACTTAATCACAACAGGCACTCTGGTTGTTCATCCCATCTTGCAGCCTTCCACTGCGTATTGGATGCTTCGACCGTTTTTCAAGCCCACTCGAAAGGGCTCTTTAGATGGTTGGAAGTTCTCGCTGGATGATGACGAAGGGAATGTCTATCTACATGGAGCAAATCCAGGAACTGCCCAAGAGCATACACCAGACCACCATCCCCACCTAATGCTCCACGAAACCATGATACCGTATCCGACCGTTGATCCTGGTGATACTGGTACGTCTCCCATGACCGGGCCTATTCCACGAAGCTAATTGTCATAGTGTTCTGGAGTGCCGACACAATACACAGCACGGAGAATGAAAACACAGGAGACACAGATGCCTGTGTGTTTTACATTCCATCCGTTCCACTGACCCCTAACAACGCGGTGAGATGATTCGCTACGCCGACAGCTACACAGAAGCATTTACTGACATACCTCAGCAATACGTCGCACAGCAACGTGAGGCCTTTCTGAAGGGAATCCCTCCACCAGACTTCCCAGGTGGGGTTGGCGAGTCCCAATTCTCTGATAGAGCAAAAGTCGGCGACGTCCAGTCGCAGGCTGGTAGGGAGGCAATGGGGCTCAGTCCTATCAAACCTGGTATTAAAAACGAGCAGTCTGCAAAGCTGGCGCAGGAAGTAAACAAAATCTTGGGCTACTGATGGCGGTTCTATTACATTGTCTATTAGCTATGACAAATTATTATTGGTCCAGAGCATGACAATATCAAATCTACGGTTTCCATTTTCTCCTCGTAATCCACTGCAAAACACCAGGAACACCACCTACCAGCAATACATCGCTATACTCGCTGTGATTTGGTTTGTGTTCTAGGAAATATTGTCTCCACTAAGTGCCTTTTGCATACGGAAACGAAATTGAGTCAGATAAATGATATCTTATGAACCCTTAAGGAGGGCAGCATGCTCCCTGGTGGTGTGGATTTAGAATGTCTACTCTAGCGTCGGATTATTGAAGCGTTAATCCTCAATAAACGCTTGTGTTGAGGCCATGTTGTGTCAGTATACATATCGGAGATATCAAGCTCGGTGGAATCAAAATCTGTCCTTCAATGCACAACACTGCTTCCAGTAATATCTTGTGACTGATACGGTTGTCTAATTAACGTCGTTTAGATTATTTCTACCGTTATGTAATCAGAACATCAGGAATTTTCAGGCGTGCCTCCAACAACCGCGACATCCGTATCAAGCTGGTCCAAAATGTCCAAATGCGACACTGGATTGGAGAAATGTGTATCAAGAGAGTAAAAGGAAGGCTGGGAAGGCATAAGACAATGTATACTCTGCAGAGTGGGCTCTATTTCCTAGGAGTAAGCAAAGTCCTCAATTCTCTGATTTGACGAGGGAACTTACCCGGCGCCCATCCCCAAGAAGTGTCGCTTCGCAGATATGATGCTTCTTGATTTTGTTTACCATTTTCGCCACTTTCCTCCTTACTATCCTGTTCGTAGACAAGACGTTCTGCCAAGTCCGCCATAAGAGATGCAGAGGAATACACTCCTCCCAGCGACCGTAGTATAGCACAGTTCTCAAGTACCTGTTTCCGGGCCCGTGTTTTAAACAGTAATGTCTTGCTTCTTAGCATGATATTCCATGACACACGCAGTGATAGGCCTACCGCATATGGAATAACTGGGAGTAATGTTAACTGGCCGTCAAACTCTTCGCCCACGATGTACGTAATTCTGGATGCCGCGAGGGCTTGTCGTGGATCAGCCTCCCATGAGGAGCTGTGGGCGCTAGTTGAAGTACTTGAAGGATAGGCTACAATGGCGACGGCATGATATAAGACCTCAATTGTTGCTGTTGCTTTCTTTAGACCCCAAAGCTGTTATAGATCTTAGCCAAGGGCGGCATACCTATCAGGGGCACTGAGATGATAGATGTATTAACCTCCCCCAATAAATCCTCAAATGACGGAAACGAGCCTACCCAGCCACCATATCCCGCCGTCCGGGAAATGTCTACCGCACGCTCCAGAAGTACGATGGTGCGCAGGAAAAGCTGAAAACAGGGTTCTTGCTCAACTATCCAGGAGGTGAGGCAACTGCCAAAACCACATCGACGGAATTGTGCTGGGTGTCGTGAACATGCCGAGTGGATGGTATCGATGGCAAAGAGACAGAGAAGCGATCTAGTAGAAGCCTGCTTCGGTTGTGGAGTTGTGTGGCCGTCATAATGGAGGCCCGCGGCCTGCGCATGAGAGATGGCGTGATATAGAAGGTCTGTTGATTCCTGTCGGTTTCCGGAGAACAGTTTAAAGAGTGAAAGGAGTGACAAGGATTGAATTGAAATTAATTTATCCTGCACGAGGACCAGCATGTTCGAGGACTTGATTGCGTCTGAAATCGTTAAAGAGAAGTCAGCTGGGCAGGCGGCGACGTGTCGAAAATATTGTCCGGAACTGGGAATCACACTAGCCGCAATACAGATTGACAGGGACAGTAGTATTTTGCCTGCGGATCTGGCTGGCATAGATTGATAGTTGTCGTAGTCAAGCGCTGGGAAAATAGGGTGGATAGTCTCCATATATATGCGGAGAATGGCGTCCATATCATTGGGACATGGCAGTAAATCCAAACTTTGGCCGTAAGGGCAAGAAGGGGAGGCTGACGGTGTCAGATAGTTTGTGTAAGAGAAATTGTTTGATCCCAGGGTTGTGGCTGCAGGATAGGAGTAGCAGCTCGCCGTCGGCAGCCATGCTCTAAGAGTGTATTGCTTGATTACTTCTGAGCTGGAGGCCGGACTTACCATAGTCGTAAACGACCCTTTGCTGTCCCAGTCTCTGACGGGATAAAACGCATCAATGAAGGAAGGCTCCGGAAATTGTACCTGTATATCTGGTAGCGTCGCGTTCTCAAAGCCCATGCATATCGATCGCTCCTGTCCCGTTTTTAAACACAGTCTATGAGCTGCCTCACTATCTTGGGCAGTTCGCAGCCCAGGCAGCTGTGGAGGGTTTCTAGATTCATGGATGCAGCACTGCTTGCTCTGGCGACTGGATTGACGACCCCTCACACCATTACCAACCAAAGTAAAGTGCTTGCTTCTACCTTCCATACTCAAAGTATAATTCCCGATGGTAGTCCACCGGCTGGTTGAAGAAAAGTGTGGGGTGCAAGGGTTATTGACTTGAACATTTGGCTGCGAGGACCTGTGCCCTTCGCGGACTTTCCTAAGCGGGAAATCGGCCCGCCGTAGCCCTAGGTTCGTTTGACCTGAGACGCACTCTACGTCACCCCGTGGATAAGGACCGATCTGCCCGCCCAGTGTAGCATATCGTGCAACCTGACGGATACTTGGCCCTAGCTTCTATAAGAGGAATCATGTGGTAGAATAGTTTGGATATTAAATGTTTATTTATATAATTTCATGATTGTCATACTATATATACACACATGCAAACCATATTACTGCCAAGCAGAAAGTTTCGAAAACATCTACCGTTCAGGCCTTCCCTCAACAACTACTTCCATGTGGGTAGCGTCGGCCTTATCCTGCGCGTTCATGATATCTAGCTCACACTCGATATATCGGGTTGGACGGTTCGCGGACGTAGCGTCGGGGTTATTGTTGATAAACATTCCTTTGTCCTCAATAAAGAAACGGTCGATGTCGTCTAACGAGCGATTTGCGGTCTCGGGATAGAAGCAGTAAATAAGCGGGATGAAAGAAAAGTTGAAAACCGTCCAAATAATGTAGAACTTCTAGTCCAATGCCTTGATGCCAATGGGCGTGATCTCAACTAACATAAGGTTGAACGCCCAGTTTGTGGCAGTCGCAATCGAGACTCCCTTTGTCCGCATAGTCAGCGAGTTCAACTCTACAGGGAGTAACCATGGGATTCCCTGGAAGCCACAACCAAAGAAAAGATAGTAACAAAAGAAGAACGCAACAGAAGCGGAGGCCACCTTTTGCTTGGAGCCGTATTCCTCCATCTCGTTGAAGCAAATCAACACAGTGATAAGGAGATAACATATACCGTGACCCAGGGAGCATATCATCAATATCTGGCGGCGACCAAATCGCTCAATATTGGGGATAGCAAAGATACCAAACAGAAGATAAGAAATCGAATTACACGCGGTGAGAAGACGTGCAAGACGATTAGACAGGCCAACGGACTCTATTAAGAGAGTAGTCAAAATAGTAGGAGGTGACATTGATCCCCGCCAACTGTTGCATGGCCTGAGAACCGGCTCCTAAAAGAAGTCGGCGGATAGCGTACGTGCCTCTCTGGTGTCCCGTTTGGCCACGCAGGAGTTGACTCCAGGGAATATTGTTCTCTTGTCCATATTGGACGGCAGCAGTAATTGTGGTGTGCTGAGCGATGACGTAAGGGTCGTTGATATCGAGATCCTCAATATCGGCAAGAATCACCCTAGCTTTATCGGGGAATTGGTGAGCAATCAGCCAGCGAGGGGACTCAGGAAGTCAGGAATCTGTCCCAATAATGATGAAAATAAAAACAAACTGGAAGGCAAGGGGGAATCGCCAGGTAACTGGTCCACTAAGGAAGGAGAAGGCAAAGGTCATCCAAGTGGACAGAGAGTAACCGGCGATGCACATGACCAGCTCGAGTACCACCAGCTTCCCCCTCCATTTTGCTTGAGATGTTTCACCCTGCCACATAGGTGCCGTAGCTGTATTAATACCGTTGCCTATCCCAGCAACAATACGGCCAACGATCATTTGTGGGACACCGTAGGCGGCAATCTGGAGTATGGCGCCAATGGACATGATGATGGTTCCCCATAGAATAGATTTCTTTCGACCAAGTCTCTCCCCTAATACCATCAAGGCAATGGCGCCGAAAAAGCAACCAACATCGTACACCGCAGTCACAGTTGAGATTATCTAAGTCTTCCCGTCGAGATGTAAGACATCAAGGAAGTCATCCATAACAATGACACCGCTTAACATAAATCAGTATAATGTGTTGTTGGAAGTACGTTTATCAGTCCGCACCAAAGACACCCTGGTCATATCCAAAGAAGGTCATGTCTGTGGCACATGCAATGGCCATCCAAAAAGTCAGCCAGCCTCCTTTGAGGCCGAAATATGGCTTTCTGGTCGAGCTTGGGTCGGGCATCGTGAAAACTAGATTCGCTTACTCCTGTGAAAAAGACAGAAAAATCACTGATAGGGATTGCCGAGAGTAGGCAGTGGAGGAAGAATGCTGGCGGAAATAACAGTGGCATTAGTAGCAGGAGAAGTCAAAGAGCGTTTCTATATATTACCAACATCGGCTCCCCGACCCCTTCACATGGGGCAGGATTGTTAGAGTTTCAGGACCCTCCACAAGTACCCTATTCCCCTCGATCACCCTATTGACCCTTGTTTATATGAGGTATTCTCTGGACAGCTTCTTACATTGACCCTGGTCAATAGGATCGGGCGGATACGTTTCCGTATCGGGTTAGTTTGAAGGCGGGAAGCCTAATTCGGTATCTGCATATCGGATGGGGTGGTGAGTTGACGTAAAATGGAAACACTGGGTAACATAGACTGAACTCATTCCATTAGGACCATTTAACGCCTGTGAAAATAGTATATTATAGTACTTAGAGAGGCAAAGCGGCTTGATGATAGAAAAAGTTTGGAGCAGTGCATTCAAGTGTGTGTAATGGCCTACGGGATATCCGTGGTTCACTGTCCTGAAAGACAGCATCACAAAAGAATCTAGGTACGCTCATTCATCATGCATCTAACTGTATCTGTGGATATCATAACGTATAATTACTGTTCTATGATAACAACTGGTCTTCAATCTTCAGTTCTCCTATATTGAAACAATAGTCATCGGAACGGGAGGGAGGCAGGGAGGCCGAGGAAGTTCTAAGGGTTCATTCTGTAAAGAAAGGTACACGTAGGCAATTGCAAACAATGTGACGCAGAGCGAGACCTTGGTATGAGGTACTGCTTACCGAGCGGGATAGCCATGATACTATGCACCACTTTCTGAACTCTTCCATCAATATCGCGTCATTCATTTGAGCCATAATGATATAGGACCTACACTTCCATCGCTTCCTTTTCTTCTTAACAGCAATTCCTAAAATGTTTACCAATAAGGACCCACGTGTCTGTTGTATACTGCGTGGGATAGAGTGTGCCTTATACATAGGAGGAGAATCGAAGAAAGCGCATAAGGACGGGGGGGCATGGGCAGCATGAAAGTTCAACAAGAGGAAATGCCTCATTGTGCCAGCAGCCGAGCTTGGGCACTTGGGTCTGGGAACGGACCCTCCGATGTGGTCCTTTTATTTAATCGCGCAAAGTAAGTGATCTACACTGTTTTCCACCCTCTGCTGAGCACACCTCACATAACAGAAATTTTAGTCCTTGGCGATCCAAAGACAGGCCGCCTATCGTTATCCGGAATATCTCCACATATCATGTTGGAGACAGGAGGGAAGTGCCGCCCTGCTCCTATAATGATTGATTCAGATAAGGCGCTTGTCTTTCCTGGGCCTTAAATGGCGCGTCAGAGATGGAACATCGATTCTCATATAGCCAATCTCTTTGAGGTCGACTACAATAGAGCGAACAGTGCGCTTATTGGATATGTCATGCATCCACACTGCTGACTACTGGTTGACCAGTTCCTGGGACACGGTGTTGCGAAGCAGGACCTACGTGCATTCATACAAGCTATCGAGATATATTAGAGAGCGGACCGTACACTTTGGATGCTGGACCTAGTCCATGACACTTGTGACTATCCATACTATGACAATACGGCACCTTGGATCAAGCAGAACAGTCCCAGTTGTACGGCAGGAATTTCTAATCGAACACACATATCCTCGAGTCGACTTATGACTCATGATATCCAAATACTGGTCACAATGGCTACTCAAGGGCACGAGAAACCTATTGGCCACCCGGTGGAGTTGCGTTCTATTGTTGCTGATATTTCTATCGAAATCTTAATGGTCATCATCGATACGATCTACCACAGCTGTCCACCTGGTCACGAGAGAACTTTCGATATTCGCAACGTGTTAGATGCCTCTCAATCGAAACTACCTGATTCATACTAACAGAGGTGCTGTAAACTTATTCTTGTATTCGAGGTGCAAGATGTGATTCAAGCAGGAACACAAATCAACTGGGCATATCTTTGCCTTGGGTTACATGAGCTATTCTTGCAAGAGGACTGGTACTGCAATGGTGGATTGTATTTTCGAGGTCGGATCCTATATCTAATTGAATGCATACGAGGGAGCCTTTCGAACACTACCTAAGCCTTGAGAATGTTATCCAAACAAATCCCATAGGCTGATACTCTTATAAGTATTAGTGACCATCTATCTACTGATAAGCTCGCTGGGAGTATATCTAATCTCGCAATTTTCAGAGAGGGCAGTCAGACAATAGTAAATACCAAGGAAATCGTATCTCACGCATATCCTAATGTATGAGGATAAATTTACCGCTCTTTGAATACACCAATAACTGAACAAAAAAATAATATTTAAAAAGAAAAAAAAATATAAACAGAGGAAAGAAAATTCGAAAGTAAAAAGAAAAATGGAATTAAAAACAAGAAGAAAAAGAAAAAAATTTAAACGAAAAGCAGGAACGTGACCAACATGAAAACAAGGATACTTTGGATGTACGTGCAACACCGAAGGGAATAAGCAGAAAAGCAAGAGAACCAACGTACTTCTGGGGTCAAGTTGCGGTCTGACAGAATCTGCACATTTCTGTTTACTTGTAACATGATTGGTATTCTTACTAACATAACATTGGACATCACGACTCAGGCCTTGCATTAGCCTCGTCAACCGCCATAATGGTTTCGACCAATAGACAGGCACCGCATGTCGACTACCCGTTGGACTTTGCGGCGTCGATCTTTCGAATGCGCAATTCTGGCAAGGGACCACGATAGCACACACTTTCAGGCTTAGCCCCATCAACCTGGCAACAGTCTGATGCACCGATTCTGGCGACATCCAATAATATTTCAAAATGTTTCTTTCTCATACTCCTGTCGGTTTGCTCGGGTAGACATTCGAGGATATAAGAACACCAAGGAGTTGCTCAACATGGACAGGGAGACTTTCTTCATCCTTACACACCGAACAGTCGATTTTCTTAGACTTAAATACAGCACGTTGCGATACATTCTGACATGGCTCGTAGCAAGGAGGAAGAAGCGGAGTGGGCAAGTCATCGCGATGAGCTCCAATACCTGTGGCTAGATCAACGATGGTCTGTCCAGCAGATACGAGCACATATGACCGGGAGATACAATTTTTGCAAAAGGTCAGTGGTGAATCGGAACGGTTTCGTGCAATATAATTGACAATCATTGCAGTCAGGACCAATATTCCCGACAGTTCAGGAACTGGAATCTCAAGAAAAACGCTAAAGAAGAGGAATGGCGTTTTATTGCCCACAGTCGCCACAAACGTAAAAGAGAGGGAAAAGACCCAGGAGAGGTATCAATTCGCGGTACTCTCATCCCCGAGCCCAAGGTGAGAAAGGAAACAGCTCGTTATGTTTCGTTATCATCTCAGTACCTGGAACTGGGCGATTCTGGTATGAAATCACCCATCAGAATGCTTCAGCTTCCCGTGGATAGGCTAACTCATCCCGTCACATACAGACCCCAAGACTCCCGAGGGGATCATTGTCAGCACTCCCCGTGCGTCGATAGAGGATGTACTCCCGGAAATTCCCATGGACCTACTCGAGATAGACTGGTCGCATGACCTAATAGAAGCTGGTGTGTTTTCATAACCTTTGCTTTCTCTGGCCAGTGAAATTGACAAGATATTCCACAGCTACTAGTAGCTCGCCTGCTGCATCCGGGCTTCGGTCAAATGCTGATGGGATGCCTCTTGCGTCTCCCATCGAGATCCCGCCACTTAGCCCGTCGGGCTTCCATGTTCTAGCGGACGGACAACCAACTGCAACTTTGCCAAATGAAAATATTGCAGATTTGGATCATAATTTGCAGTCAATGCTCTCTACGGCACAAACATCAATGTACTGGGGCGAACCGATCCAATGCGACTCCAACTCCCTAATTGATGAGATAATCGGCCAGGCACGACTGGCTCTCTCATGTCGTTATCATCCAAAAACCGATGACAAAGCCTTGAGTGAATGTCTTTCTTTCCTTGAGCCCATCACAATAGGCGATGTCAGAACTGATCTGACAAGAAAGGCCGAGAGTATATTTCAGTCACGCAGTTCAGATATTCTCTCACACTATCTCAGCCTCTGTGTTTACTTATCCTCGAACAACATGCTGTCGACATTGTCAACCGATAAATTGATTTCGCTTATTGTGAAAAGCAGGTCACAGCTCAGACTCAAAACACTACTGCATTCGAAAACCACGACAATGGAGATATTTATGAGCAATTTATTGGCTAGTGCAGCAGCGATGGGCGAAATAGAGATCTGTGAAATTCTCATCAATGCTGGAGCGGATATAGATGCCCCTAGTGGGCTGGGTTCGCGTAGGACGTCTCTTCACCGAGCGCTTTGTGGGAGACAACTGGATTGTGTGAGGATGCTACTGGATGCTGGTGCAGACCCCAATTTAGCAGTGGATGGGATGACACCACTGCACCTTGCAACTGAATTGTACGGCTCGTATGATTCCGTGAAAGTCTTGCTTGACTCGGGGGCCCATGCACATCCCCCACAAGACTCTGCTCGCCTCACACCTTTGCAATTGGCCGTGAAAGGGTTGCAAACTGAGGTGATTCGATTGCTTCTCGAGGCGAAGGCTAATCCAAACTCTTTCACCACGGCTAAAAGGGGAACTGCATTGCAGATTGCATGCGGGAGATCGGAGGAAGCTGGGGTTGTAGAGCTTCTAATTGAGGCTGGAGCGGACATTGACTCTCGCTCTGGTTATCGATACGATGATGAGATATCTGAAGACGAGTGCTCCGAGAGCAGCGACGACGAATCCGATATTTCTTCTAGGGACAGTCTCTATGATCTCTTCGTCTCGAATTGTTTCCGCTTCAAATCCCCTATTCTCATAGCTGCAGAGAACGAAAACTGGGAGGCCGTTCAGCTCTTGCTAGAGGAAGGAGCTGCCGTTAATCCTAGCATGAGGGGTTGTCCTATTCGAGCGATGAGAGACGAACTTCTGGAGCAAGATTGGGACTATCCGGCTGTATTTACCCCACTGCAAGCCGCCATTAGAGCGCAAAATATCACAATGACCCGCATGCTATTGAGCGCTGGTGCACATGTCGATGCACGGCCCAGAAATAAATACGGACACACCGCACTTCAGACAGCTGTCTTAATGGGAAATGAGAGACTGGCCCAAATCCTACTACGGAAGGGGGCGAATGTTAATGCTGCTGCTGGTGTCTGTTTTGGGCGGACAGCACTGCAAGCCGCTTCTGCGCACTCAGACACTGCCCTTCTGAGTATCCTACTTGAGGCAGGGGCAGATGTAAATGCTCTACCTGCCAGAGAGGGTGGCAGAACTGCACTACAGGTAGCAGTACGTGCAGGCAATATCGAAGGGGTCAGACTCCTTCTTGATGCAGGCGCAGCCGTTAACACTGATGCAAGTCGGATGGAAGGGACGAATGCCCTCCAAGAGGTGACCAAAATCCAGGATCAGTTAATACGGGAGGAAATGCTACATTTGCTTTTGCGGGCTGGCGCGTATATCCAACCCCCAAAGGGCCAGGAGAAATATGCATCTCTTCATACGGCAGTAAGTGAGGGAAATCTAGATGTGACAAAAAACTTGCTACGAAAGGGCGCCAGCCCGAATATGGGTTACTGTGCACACACAAACTGCACCCCCTTGCAAAAGGCGTCAGAACTTGGGAATGAAAGTCTATTCCAGGTACTGGTAGACTATGGAGCGAATATAAGTGCCCGTCCTTATTGGGATGGAGGTCGTACCGCGTTGCAATCTGCAGCTGAACAAAACCACCTGACGATAGTGAAGATGCTACTGCAGCTTGGCGCAAGTGTAAAAGAGGAAAGGGCAGTTGGGGGGATTTCAGTGATGGAGGCTGCTGTGAAGAATTGTAACCTGGAACTCATACGACTTCTGCTCGATATGGATCCCAGCATCATATCTTCGGATCCCAACACCAAGGAAGTTATTATCGGGGTAGCTTTGCACCATTGGAAGTGTGATATGTCTTTATTGGAACTTCTGCTTAATGGTGGGGCAGATGTCAACAATGTTGACACAGTTTCATCACTGCCGTTTCTTCAGCTAGCAGCAAGACAGAGCAATTTGGGGTTTGTGCAGTGCCTGCTTACTAGAGGCGCCATTGTGAATCGCCGCTGGCAACCCACCTTTGCGGGAGCCGTCACAGCCCTTCAAGAAGCCGTCCAGCTACGTCATATCGACATGGTCCACTTGTTACTTGAATGGGGAGCCGATATCAATGCACCAGCAAACGAGAAAGGTGGAAAGACTGCGCTCCAGACTGCAGTGTCACAAAACAATTTCGAAATGGTGGACCTATTGGTGAAAAACGGCGCCAATGTTAATGGCCTACCCAGCCCACGAAGAGGTCGAACGGCCCTTCAAGAGGCCGCAAGCTCTGGCTATGTGCAGATGACCCAATACCTTCTGAATCTCAATGCCGATATCAACGCCAGAGCTGCACACTTTGGCGGAATCACGGCGTTGCAAGGGGCCGCGAGCAGCGGCAACATTCGCATAGTGATGATGCTGCTTTGCGCTGGGGTCGACATCAATGGAGCACCAGCCATAGAACATGGACGAAATGCTATTGAGAGCGCTGCAGAGAATGGCAGGTTGGATACTCTACACCTTCTGTTGAACTATCACCCGAACACTGAAGAATTTGACATAAAGAGGAAACGGGCGGCGAAACTAGCACTTGCAAATGGTCATTTGGCTATTGGGCGATTTTTGCTGGCGTATCGGAAAGACGCATGGATGGGGACGAGGGAGGTGCCTTGTTAGTGCTTGCAGCGTGTGGACTGTGAAGCAGTAGAATATATAGGAATACTAGGACCGGTATCCAGAAATGACTCAATGTCTTCTTTTCTCCTAATCAAGCATATACAGGTAGATTATTTACTCATTGGGTCAATATTCTAAACCATATCGTGGAAGGGATTACAAATACGAGTTGAAAGCCCCTAAATGATTTTTATTGGTATAAATACCCCGCCGCTAGGTAACCACCGAGGCTAACACCAGGCAGCCATTGGCCCTCGGATCTCCTGACGTGCGAAGCTGGCCAGGCAGGGTATAAAAGGACTGCCATCCGTCAACAACTCTTCGTCCGTTCAACACCTCCAGACCGAGTGAAAATTCAGTAACCATGGCATCCGCCAAGAGTGAATTCTCCCAAACGCTGCAAGACATTACGCATGCCAAGCTGCGGGAGCTTTCCAGCAAACAAGAGATCTTCCTCGGCCACAAAGCGACGACACTCCAGACCGCACAGGCATTAGACTCCCCGATCGAAAGACTTTCGGCATTATCTGATGGCCTCAAGACGTGCTTCGGAATTCCAGTGGTAAATGGTCGCATGATCCGTGGGCATACCAGCAACCATCAACGCCTGGAGATCTTGCTTGCAAATCTCGATCGGTTTCTCAAGCAGGCTCAGTATGACCCCTCGATCTCACCGCCCAGCATGGAACGATGGCAGCAAACTCTCCTCAGCAATCTTGAAATGCAAACGCTCAAGTATGAGTTTGCCACACTTTTTGGCCAGATGACCATTGAATGGCTGTCGACTAAGAAGGAGCCCCTGCCGGAAGACGATATCTCCATGACTGAGGAGCCGGAGCCGATTCCAGGTCCTGATAAGTTGGAATCCCGGAAACAATGGGAAGATGCCGTCTTCACGCCGCTTGAACTCGACACAGACGAAATTGAACTTTTACTTAGCGATCTCTTACAAAACCCATCAAAAGATGCTAAAGATGTTCGGATAGCCTTCAAAGAGCTTCGACGAAAAGTACGAGAGTTTGAGGAGTCATTGACATACTCTCATTTATTTTCTGCGAGCACACTACGATGGATCATCTCGGGCCTGATCGTATCCGATCTTCTGACGGAAGAAAAGCGGACGGTCTTGAAAGACTTCTTGAACAACACGACCATCCTGGACGAGCTGTCCGACGTGCTGAACATGCGCATGACGGCCCTGCACGCTTGGTCCTGGGGCACAGAAGTTCCCATAGAACAGCGACGCCAACTGAACGGAACATATAACATCTACATGCACGAGGATCTGATCCAGGCGATCTTCCTGCAGTATATCGGCGTTAAATGGTCTGTTTTCTTCAAGAACGCCTTTACAGAGTTCCGAAAGGCTAGCGGGGTGTGGAAATCGCCCAGGGGTAACATTCCAGAAATTGACAAGAGCCGTCGCGAGTTCTTTCTAGGCTATCGATCATCCCAGCATAGTGTGCAAACTACACGAGAGAAAATATATCACAAAGGGTATTTTGTGTCTCAGCTTCTGGACTATGAAGGGCAAGACCGAAGCCTAGACCAAGGGGAGGAAGAGGCGGACTTTGCGCAGTTTGCTGTTGCACAGGCCCCCATGCAAACCGCAGCTTCACAGCCACATCTGCCCCCTGCCAGGAAACGCACCAAACAGTCAGCCCAGAGAAGCAGTGCAGTATGGCACAACAAGAAACGCTGTAGGCCGATGGGAAGAACAAACTTCTACGAGGAGGAAGCGGGAATTGACGAAGACGATGACAGCGGTGATGAGGATGATAATGACGGCAGGAGTGAGATCTTCAACCCTAAAAATTTAATGGACGCGAAACAAAACCTTTTGCATCTCCTAACCACCGACATTTTGATCAAGACTCGACTTGAAGGAGGGTTGACCTGCTTTCGATCCAAATATGAATCTCTAAACCCAAACCTATCCCATACAACCATTCATGCAGTGCTTCAATTCTTTGGAATTTCCGAGACATGGCTAGAATTTTTCCAGCGCTTCTTGAAAGCACCACTAAAGTTCATTGACGAGCCTCACGCCGAGCCTCGTCAGCGCCGGCGAGGTACGCCTGGGGCCCATGTACTCAGCGACGTGTTTGGAGAGGCAATTCTCTTCTGTCTTGACTTTATGATCAATCAAAAGACCGATGGTGAGCTCCTCTGGCGAGTTCACGATGACTTCTGGTTCTGGTCATCAAGCCATCAGACCTGCGTGACCGCGTGGAAGGCGATTCAAAGATTCAACAAAACCATGGGAATTTCTGTAGATCCGTCCAAAACCGGTACAGCCCATATCGTGCACAAAGCTACAGGAAGCCCGACCGGCCTCGACCCAGCCTTACCTACTGGGCAAATCCGGTGGGGCATGCTATATCTCAATCCTGCGTCGGGACGTTTTGAAATCGACCAGCAGATGGTAGACAGCCACGTTGAGGAGTTGAACCGCCAGTTAAAAGACCAACTCAAATGCGTCTTTGGTTGGATTCAGGCGTGGAACTCGTATGCCACCACTTTCTTCACGTCCAACTTCGGCAAGCCTGCCAACTGCTTCGGTCGCCAGCATGTGGATATGATGCTCGCCACTCATGAACGAATCCAGCGCATAGTGTTTTCCCTTGCTCCTGAAGGCGGCAAAAGTGACACAAGTGTAATCCAGTTCCTTCGGGATATGATCGGCTCGCGTTTCAACATCACGTCTGTGCCGGACGGTTACTTTTTTCTACCGATAGAGCTTGGCGGTCTCGAACTCTCTAGCCCCTTCATCCACTTAGTAGGCCTACGCGATTCCCTTATTGAGGATCCAACTATTCTTCTGGATAAATTCTTGGATGATGAACGGGATGCATACGCCTCTGCTAAGCTGCGCTACGAGCACCGTCTCAACAGCAACCAACAGTCAACCATCCGTAATCAAGGTTTCCAGCCACCAGACGCGCACACATTTATGTCATTCGAGGAGTACATCCGCTACCGTGAGCTCCTCGGTTATGGTTTCACAGGTGAGCTAAAAGAGGTATATGAAAAGCTTCTGCAACGCCCAGAGCAACAGCATATTGAATGCGATCCAAACGGTGCCATCTTCCGGGAACTGAATCAGCTTTCCGGACACCAGAACCTGAGAGGAATTCGAAGCAACTGGGAAGACATGGATGCCTATTGGAAATGGGTGGCAGAGTTATATGGGCAGGAGATTATCGACCGATTTGGTGGGTTTACCATTGTGGATCCTGGGCTGTTGCCTATCGGGATGATGAGTTTGTTCCGCAGCGGGCGGATCCAGTGGCAAGAATGAGGTTTCCACCTATTCTATAGTCAGATTGGGTATGCCTGATACCATTGGTGCGGGGCGTACCTCTTCTCTTATTTCATTCTTGTGCTACTATTTTGTAGCGCTATGCAGGGGGGTTTCTCTCCCATGTGCACTTCATGCTATACCCATGCCACCCACCTTCGAATGCTGTAGAGTACTCCATGGATGGCTCGGACGTGACTAACAAAAAGGGTCTAACTGCCTAGTTATGTATCATATACGAGCTCGTGGTAAGGGCTTGTAATACATGTTTCATGACCCAAGTATCTGTAATGTAAATTTGGGCTACTGGACCTGTTACTCCCCCCCAGCCACTCGAGTCATTATTAGGAAAGTGTATACGGAGTGGAGGGAGTAAACTTCCACCCAGACTTCTCGATACAGTGCTGTTTTGTTTGTTATTTTTTCTTCTTTTTTTTTTTTTTTTTTTTTCCGTCGATATCCGTCGATATCCGTCGTATACATACATACTCCTCAAATTCCTAGTTTTACTGGGACCAGTCTCTCTCTGGATATCGATTCGCTCCAGCCCCTATCATGGAAGATTTTTCAAGTATTATAAGCCAGCCCCTTTCTCTTTAGACCCAATCCCAACAAATTATTACCCAGGTCATGCCTTATTCTGTAGGCATGCCATCAGGACCACCACTGTTGTTTTTTTCCTCTACCACTCCACCATGCCCAACCCCATAATGTTCCTGTTGAAAGCCCTAAGCCTTTTGCTCGCCGTTGAAGCAGCGGCAGCAACATCACCGCCCCCGTGCACAGGATCCGTGCTCAAGGACACAATCTCCTTCTGGTCTGTTTTATAGGAGTTAAACAAGTAATATAATATTTTAACCAAGATCCAGCATAGTACAGTCTAACCCTAGGGGAATTCTAGAAATGGGTTTGTGGTGACATCCATATTCATCAATTCTCTTGTTGCCACTGGCAGTGGTAATCTTATCCCTTTTTTGACGTTTCTGATTTATCAGTTAGTCTGCTTACGTTAACAACATGGAACGACTCTTTTGGAATGAATGTTACCACCTTTGCATGGCCCAAGGATGGGTTTCAGACATTCTCTGTACAAATGACTAATGCCCAGTACGGACAGGACAATACCAAGCGTTGATTCGGAAACTCTGATGGTCATTATGGGCAACAGCCAGGTACCTGAAGCTATGGAAAGAAATCAGAATGAAGAAGTGTCTCTGGCAGAAGTGGATAAACCGTTGCTCCTCGAGCTGCTCGGCCTCGAACCCCTCGGCAAGAATGAATGAGGGATATTGATGCAGGTGTCCGATGGAATGGTTATTGCCTGATTGTCTGATTGAGATATATTAACTCGCAGGACCTCAAAGACACTTGTATTCCTCGATACTGTTACATCATTGCCTACGGCACGTGTTGAGATATTGGACCCAGCTATCCTTACTCCGAGTGGTTACAGTAATAGTATCTCCATATTTTGTACGCTCACATGCCCGGAGCTTGCTATGGGTCTGCAGTAGCAGATACAGCCAGACAACCACGCTTCTTGGAGTCCAATTTCACACAATAACGATCGACCTGTTACTGACGTCTTTGATATATAATGTCAGCCAGACAGACCTTTCTGCAGACATAGTTCTTGTATATATGGGCCAATCGCGTTTCATAGTCTCGTTTCGATCGAAATGACAGGGACCACGAACAATATACTGTTGGTTAGGTATGTACATTTCCAAACGAGACGGTCGCAGCAAGAGCTATGCTCGATGAAGAACATCTCCCACTTCCGAAACCAGCCAATGATTCAAACATCTACAGAGTCGGCCACGTGGGTGATCATAACGGCGTAGTCGCCTGCCTTTCGATGCGCGGGCCTTCACCATACCACGATTTAGACAAGGCAGGATAAAAACATGTCGACAACTTCCTCTTCAATAGCTGGGGTTTCGTGACACATGATAGACCCTTCATATAGTATCGATCACATTCACATGCTTATGCATGACTATATCGTTGGGGCCGGAGATAACGTGAAGCCCGCCCTTAAAAAACAAGTATCTCGTGTTTAAGCATTGTGCTTGCCACCACCCTTACGACGCCAAGCCTCCTTGTCTGCCTTATTATCAGCACTGACCCTAAACGCCATGGCATTAGCACGTATAATCGGATGGAGTAGGTATAGGAGATTCAGTGTTAAGCTGCTGGATAAGAGGCGGCAGCTCTTTCTAATCATAGCAGGTTAGATCATAATATCTATGCATGGTCATATTTCAATTCCTTACTGGGCGCTGGGCGCCGAGCCCGTTCCTTCGGGAAGAGAAACTGCAATAGCTCTGTCCAGCCCCATCTCTGCGTCTTGACATGCTGTATATCCACGTGCTTCGAAGTGGGGAGACGATGATGCCGTAGCCAAAGTCGTAAGAGAAGCAATAGGTATGACCTTAGCGAGATACATATTGGGGTGATCAATCGGGCTTCTAGGAAAAGCGTGACGGTTCTCGGGACTTAGCATTGTAAGTCTATGATCAAGTGTAGTACGTTGATGAGCAAACCTCCGATTGTTTTACGTCGTTCTGATACCACCTAGTGTCGTCGGAGAATGAACTGCCCGACAAAAAATTTGTCAATTGTAATCAAAGGTGTGAAGTTACAGCGAGAGGGCAATTCTCTGCAGCAGTGCCGAATCAAGCATTGGGGCTAATTCTCAAGTCACTTATGTTATCCGTTGCCCGGCTCAGAAATCTCGGACTGGGCGCCTCGGACATGATGTGGCTAGTAGATCTACATATCAGGTCTATCAAGCAGCACAACACTGCGTGGTAAACGTAGAACGCTAGAATCAAGGTGTGGCGCTGGGCAAACGGCGACTGTACCTAAGAACGCCCTGAGCTGAGCCGAACCTAATGGGTATACGCGAAGCGAAGGGTATACAGCAACCAGACGAATATAAAGTTAATGGCTTCACCCTAGCGTTAGGGGAAGCTTTATTCCGGGCACAGTGACCTTAGAGATTGCCCGATTGACTAAAGCCCAAAGTCAAATTCGCGCATATGAGCCATATTTTCCGACTCTATCGCCGCAACGAATGACAGCGCAAGAATTATTTATACCAGCTAGGGCGCCGATCACTCATATTGTGGTATCGACTACCAAGTCTCTTGGACAAAGGTATAACATGTTGCTCAATAGTCTATGGAAGTGAATATGACGATGACGACTAGAAATGGGGACTAAGCGTTGAGGCTCGAGGGTCATGTTAACGTTAACTGGAAAGGAGAATCTAAAGGGAAAGATTTCCTCTGATCGAAAGCACACAGAATTTCCTTCAGCTCATACCACCAGCATACACCACATAAGGCCAATGTCGTAATAGGCGCAGATTGCCCGCCACAAAATATAAGATTTTCACAATTGTCCTTGATGAGTGGCATATCCTAGAAATCTACCACCGCACGGAAGCAGAGACATTAAACGGAACATCTCTGGAAGATATTGTTCCACCTGTCGTAACCCAAGATAGGCCAACGCTCGCATGCTTGTTTGCTTCGCTAGACGGCCTCAGAGTGCGGTAACAGACATACCAGTCAACGTTTCCATTGTATCAACCCAGATCGACGCGTCTCTCCATAAAGCTGTCATGCGCTTCTGCCTCCATGAGATCCGCTGGGCAATTGTATTTGAATACCCAGCTCTTTAAAGTACTCCTGACGCCACTGCCATCTGTAAGTACCTGAAACTACCAATGCTTAGATGATTTTACTCACGCGCTGTGTGGCCACAAATCCGGTAATAATGCGTTCTTGAGGAAGATCATCAAGGTAGCAAGGAGTTGGTAAAACCCCATGTGGGCTGCTGGTGCCGTCATATGGATTGCCGGGCTTGAACTCCATTTCTCGGTTCTGGTTTGTGGTGACCTGGGCAAGGTTAGCAATAGAGGTCTAGGCCTGGGGAGAGGCGAGAGACACACCGTTAGACCATAAATACAGCTAGCGTCACTATTACCTGCTGTACTCCCTACAATGTCGGTTATGCGTTCCCCACCTGGCCCATCGACTGAAAAGGTCAATTTCTTGTCGGAGGTACATTTGCCAAACTGCAAGGTCTTGTCGGTGTAGTTGAATGTCATTCCAAGGATAGGAGAGAACTCAGTTGAGACATGCACCTCCATGCTGACGAGTGAATCAAGCCACTCGCCATTGGGCCCTCCAAAGTCGATATTCATCAAGGGCCGATAGGGCGTCCCTACGTTGTCAGGTTGGAATTGATAGATCCGTAGATTGTCGTAGCTGGGTCGTTCAGACTGCCATAGATATGAATCGGGGAGGGTGAGATCCAGAGGATGATCCAGCCAAAAGGGGGTGTTAGACTTCTCTTCCCGTGACTCGTTATGAATGGTTCCAATGGCGGTTAATTTATAAGCCTTGCATTTGTTAGTTATTGGGTCATTAGTGGTAGAAGAAGAGCTTACATCAGTACCAGCGAGAATATGATATGTCCCGCGGGCCGAATGAGGGATCTTCAGAACACCATAACTCATCTCCTTATCACTTGTATCCCCAATCCAGTCAGATAAAGTGTTTTCCCCAAAATGAAATCGGATCCCCCGAAGGCCTTCTGGGGAAAATGCAACTTCAATTTTATTGAATATGGACCCGGGGGGCACGTTGATCGTTCTCTGGCCGGTCATGTCCGCGTATCCGATAGCCTGTTCATTTATCCCTGTAGAATGATGGCTTATACCGGCAATGAACACCCGTGCCCCTAGCTGCACGGTGGATATTTTGATTTCGCCGCCATGCAACATGGTATGTGGGAACGCGCCAATCCGGTAGCGAGGTACGTAGCATCCATGTGGAAGATAGTCCATTTCCGAGGTTAGGTGTGCCGTATACATGTTTTCAGCGCGCCATTGGGTTAGCCCCTCCGACACGAACCAATGTCCAGGCCTTAACTCCAGACAGTTAGCCCGGCGCCCGCGAGGTTCTTTCGATCGTCCGCTGTCTATTTCTACGACCGATGCTATTGGTTCCAGGAGCGCACGGATTCTTTTGCGGTTGAGCAGCGAGAGCTTTTCAGGAGATTCATCTTTGGCCTGAAGGATGGAGACTGTACCGCGATATAATCGGAACCAATCCCGTGTTTGTTCGAGATCAGGAAAGAGGAAGTCCATATCGGAGCCTCGAGCAAACTGGTTCTTCCAAAAGGACTGTGGCAGGCTGGACAATACCAAGCGCTGGGAAAGATCTCGACTTGTACATTTTAGGTCCAGGAGCTGAGGAACAGATAAGTACGATACAACCTCATGGAGCAGTTCTAAAGACAGTTGGCCGAATGAGTTACGGTATCCAGTATTGATGTCAGTAGACGTCGTAGTACACACAGAGTGATATTCTCGTCCGCCATCCACATCAGGTGCGTTCTCCTCTAGCCTTTCTAAGAGTGGAATGGCATATGGATCCGCCTGCAAGAGCAGTGGCATGTCCTCCGGCAGGGAGATGTCGCCATACGCCCTTTGCCAACGCTTAGCACCCCCATAGTCATGTCCAAAAGAGAGACTAGATCGATGTGGCGATGGGGTGCAGTAAAACACGTCATACAGAGATTGGGCAATTTTTTCTGAGTCAATTGTATGCCACAGACGGTCCTGCAGCAGCATCCAGCAGGAATCATGGAGACCAAAGCCGTGCAGCTCTGATTCCGTTCGCAGTAAATCCACGTCGTGCAGCTCGAATGCGTTGAGATAATCCAACTCTTCGTCTAACGGAGCACAGAGAACATCGCGGGAGTCAAGAAAACCTACCCCTGTCATGAAATTGGTGCAGTGCTCTTCCTTGGCCACAGCACGTACTTCGGCGTACCATGGCCGTCGGGTCTCGGGGGTCTCTTCCAGCTCTTCGCACAGGAGAACCACCCCACATATGGGGCAGTACTTATTGGCTGGGAACAGATCGTCGTCGAGCCCCAAATCCATAATTGGCCTGTCTATGACTTGACTCTATGCACGGATTTGAGAAAATAATTTAAAATGGCGGTGAACGTTCGTTTCAGATTTTTCTCGGGATTGATGATTAACCGCACTCGCCAGTTGACTCGCTCTTGCTGCCAAGAACAAAAAAAAACAACTTAAAAACGGGTCCCTCTCTCGCCTCCTACTTTTGGAATTGTACATATTCTGCACTTTTTTCGGGCTAGGTCAGCATAGTTTATAATGTTTCTTTTCATACCGCTTGCATCTTCGTCATCACCGCTCAGCTGCGCAGCGCCCAAATCATCCGTTTAGGGTGCAAAGCTTTCGACGAGACGGAGAACGAAATAGCAATACATGATAGGAGAATACGTGCTAAATATCTCATCACAGTCGATGGTCTTCAATCTTGAAGCGGATATCTATATGCACGTGGATTCCTTGCACGTTTACATGGTCTGTGATGGTATGTCCGAGAGGCAGTAAGACCGGAGTTTACGGAGTACAGTAAGGGAATAGTGTTATATGAAGCCAAGGGGGTCCAGGTTCATCCCCTTTGTATGATTTGTTGGCATCGCGCGGAACCTTTCTAAAGTACTCCGATCAGATTAACTAAATATGCTCCAAGGAACCCCTTGGTTTGCCACATGCAGTATAGCACTAAAGCTTCCGACCCGCGCCCAGGAATTTCCGAAGCAATCTTTTCGCCTTTCTCCTTGTAGCCCCTGAATTATTGGCCAATGTGGGGTACGACCGTGGGCATCGATTAACATAATACTCAATTAGAATAGGTGTGGTGTAGATCTCAATGCAGGCCTTTTCGACAAAGTTCCTCCAGCCAGGGAACAACGCCCGAGGAATGATAGAGATGCTATCACCAGGTTCAAGATTTTGAACCCACCGCAGGTTCTGATCTCGGCGATAGGTAATCTCATGGCACATTGTTTTCTTGCTTGCATGCACATTGGTCGCCAGCCGCAAGTTAGCGTCCTTAGAGATATCTTCTCTCCCCGCTGGTCTGGTGATACCAAGGTCAAACCATGTCCAAGAGTTGTTGAAGGTGCCATGGTCCTGGGGGTAGATACTCCACCCCTGGTCATGACTCCAGATTGTGATTCGGATCTTCTTCACGGGGTACCGCTCGCCTTGAATTGGTGCAGCTGTCAAATATGGTGTTTGCCCATGGCAGTCCCTCTCCTTATACTGCATTTCCTCCGCCCTAGAGATCCGAGATACAAGCCAGTATTCGGCATGCTCTAACACCTCCAGGACAAGTTCGGACGGGAGCCATCGTTTCAGGATATTGAAAACCGAGGTAGCATCACCCGAATTGCGTGGGTAGTATATGTGCTTCTCATCGATGGGGACTGCCATCACTCCGAGTAATTGTATATCGAAAGGAGAACAGGCTAAGCGAGGCTGAGGGTATTTTGCCCAGTTGGAGAGGAGTTAAAAGGGGTCTGGTACCCATTGCCTAGGTAGCTTTCCGTTACACTTACAGTCAGAAGGACAAGTTGTCTGTACAACCATGATCACATGCCCCACCATTACCCATCCTGTCTCGCTGCCTCAGGAACTCTTGTACGCACGAACAACTTTTTATGCGAGGGGAATTAGGTGAAAGAGTAAATTACTGTCAGTAGACAGATGCTTGTTCTCCTAGTCGCGGTGTGAACTCTCGTAAAGTGTATAAAATCCTAGTTTGACAGTCGGATGTTCCGCCGGAAAAGATATATATTAGGTGATATACGTACAAATTGCCAACGTATCTTTAATTTCCCTCTTATTACTCGAGTACAAAGCGAAGCCTGACCACACATACCATACCTGTGACTTGACTTCAGAGTTTCGCGGTTTACGAGGATAGAGGACGGGGCTTTGTAGCAAGCAGAGCGTACATAAAGCAGCCTTTGTCATCAGCTATGCCAGTGAGAATCTCACCAAGGGTGCTCGATTCCATCACGACCGCGCAGTACATTTTACATCACCCACTCACAAAATTCAATATTGATTTGACATTCGAATATAGTAATAGGCATTGACCGGATCTATGAAGCGTGTTAATGGTCGTTGCAAATTCACTATGCAAATCGGATTGACATGCGGGGCCTAAGCACGTCTTATACCCACCTCCTGGCATGATTCTTGGCCTGCATTAGACTGCTGCACCTGCAAATATTTGTCTTAATCGTAGAGATATCTTAATTCTGCAAGTGGCCGGATGGCGCGACGCTGATCGGCGGTCACGTAATGAACCGTAAGTGACACCTTCGGTATTCAATGTATATAATCATCTGCAATGCGATGACTTGCCTCACGAACCAGTGACACAATGAGCAGTCCATCTCGTCCATGGTATCGAATTCGGTGGTTCGCCGACGAGGACACCGCTGAGGAACGACGGCTGATCGTGAAGCTTGACCTGCTCATCGTCCCATATGCCTTCTTAGCTTACTGGGTGAAATATATCGACCAGGCCAACATCAGTGCGTTTGTCGCCCCCTTCGCTCCATTGTTTAAAGATTAATGGCTTTAGATAATGCCTACGTCTCCGGAGTTAAGGAGGACTTGAACCTGCAGGGCAATGACTTGGTTCAGCTCCAAACCATGTACACCGTCGGTGCCGTCGTCGGGCAGATACCCTTCGTCTACCTATTTACCAAATTACCCATTTCCTGGCTGATTCCGATATTGGATATCGCGTGGGGTGTCTTCACGTTATTGCAGTTCCGGGCCAGTTCCTTCGGCGAGCTAGCAGCCTATCGATTTCTGGTCGGATGGTTTGAAGTATGTCGTCCTCGACTTGTCGTGAACTAATGCTGACTAGCAGGCCGCCTTCTTCCCGGGAATGCATTATATATTTGGTAATTCTTCCCATTGACTAAGGTTGGCATTTTGACTGACACGCATAGGTGCCTGGTACCGTGGGGATGAAATCGCCCGTCGGGGTGGCTGCTTCTACGTCGGCCTCACACTAGGAACTCTCACAGCCAGTCTGATCCAATCTGGAGCGTCAGCTCGACTTGACGGCGTGCATGGTCTCGCCGGTTGGCGGTGGATGTACATCGTCTGTGCTATCATCACCATCCCCATCGGAATTCTAGGTTTCTTCATCTTGCCAGGTACCCCCGACAAGCCCAACCGGATGGTATTGCGGCCCAAGGACGTTGATCTCGCAAAGTCGCGGCTTGCCAGAGTCGGCCATGGCTTCCACCCAGGATTCCAATGGCGATCTGTGACTAACATCGCTCGCAATTGGAAATTCTGGGCCATGCTTTGGCTGGACATCTTTTTTTGGAATGCCTGTCTGAATACTACTGCAGGTGGATACTTACTTTGGCTGAAAAGTCTGAATAGGTTCTCAACAGCGCGGCTGAATGAGCTGTCTGCCATCTCGCCTGCTCTGGGTATCTTCTACACGTTGTTTATCTGTTTCGCGTCAGATCTTGTACTGGGACCCGCATGGGCCATCACTGTCTCGCATATCTGGAATATCATCGGTCTGGTGATTTTAGTAGTTTGGAACGTGCCTGAATCTGCAAAATGGTTTGCCTTCCAAACAACCTATGCGGCAGTAGCCATGTCAAGTGTGCTATACGGTTGGATCAACAGTGAGCTGCGGGCATCACCGGCGGAACGGTCGTTGGCGCTGGTTATCACCAACACGATTGCGCAGTCGACGACAGTGTGGACACCGTTGTTGGTTTTCAAGACAGTCGAAGGACCACGGTTCACCAAGGGATATTCATTTACGTTGGCGAGTGCGATCTGTCTGATTGCGACGGCGCATTTGATCCAGTACTTTCTCAAACGTGAACGGTATGTTTCTCATTTCAGTGTCAGGATTGATCAACTACGCTAACAGGCTGTGATAGAAAGGGGCAAAATATTCAAACCGACAGGGAGAGCTCTGTCGGGACTCCAGTGCAGGTGCAAACGAAAGTTAGCTTGTAGACGACAATTGTGGACCGAGATGTTATTCAAACCAAGATTGCTATACTATCGATCACGCAATCCGACCCCGCGAAGATGGCATCGTTCACCCACTATAAATAAGTTCGTATCGGCAGTTCTACATGTTGTATATAGTGGAGACAATGACGACTTATAATCCCTGTCATACGTGAGATATTATGCCCATAGGGACGACACGGGCCGTGACTATAGTGATATTCAAGTACATTCAACGATACAAGTAGAGAGAAACGGTAAACCAAAAGAATGCGGGAGGAATACCTTTAGGTCTCACCCCGTACTCAACCATCACCTGCAAGTTTATTCACATCAGAGATGGATCCTTTTAATCCACAAACTGTATAGCTTCAAGCCACTCCCTCCGCTCCTCTTCACTGCTTGCCTCACGCTGCAGAAACCTCTCCACCCCATCATCCAGCTGTTTCCTCAATAGCTCGTAATCCTGTTCATTAACCCTCCCATCCCAATGCTTAAAGCACACCGTGTCGCTCGTAAATTCCTCCATGAGCCTCACGCCTTGAGCCCACAGCTCCTCATCCCGTTCTTCGTCCTGCACTTCATCCGCTGAGAACTGCAACGGGCAGGGTATTGATGAAGCTCCATCCAACTCTGACCCGACTATACTCGGCCACTCTTTCTGTATGTCTCTAAGAAGATTGTTGAGGCATGGCTCATAGTCCATTATCGTCAATCCCGGGATAACACTGACTTGATGACGGAGTGTCTTTTGGCTCTGAATAGCTTCGAAGACCAGAGGGTTGACTTGTCGTGACCACGCTAGGTAGAGATTATATAGTGTCTGTGCTTGGTGCAGTGCTTTCGCCTTCTGCTGTTCTGCTGGATTCAAGGACTCAAAGTTCTCGGGTAGACGGACCTTGTCTAATGTCTCGGGAAGAGAACCGTCGTTTTCCAAGAAAGCTGGACGGGTGGCCTGGGTAAAGAGCGATTTCTCTTCCAATTCATCCCACGATAAGATGATCTGCATCAGAAGGGGATATGAAACGAAGCTTCCAATTAACAATTAAAGACGATGCATGTTCATCCTGTTGAACGACACTCGGAAAGCTCGTTACAATAGCGAATTCTTACAGGCCTGGATAACCTATGTACAAGAGGTTTGCTTTGTGCTCAGTACCGCATCGACGGCTGTACTCTGTTATCAGCTAGGCCTAGCTAATTAATGAGTAAATGATATCACACTAGGCTATGCGAGCCTTTATTATCACAAGATATTGCAAACGCGACGACTGTTGGTCGTACACGACTCGCATGTCTGACCGTGGTACATTGCCATTCAATCCAACATGGTCTGGATACGCGTCCTACTTCACAAAAGACACTAGGTTTGAATTCCATGACAGAGCCATAACCGATATTCAGAAGTTCACATCCATTCTATTCATGTAGGAATGGCATGGGCGAGAGTTGACTCTGCAAGTTCTTGCAGAGTTACTAATAGGTAACAGCAACAGAATAGGCGAATCGAGACCAATGCCACGACTGCTTGGTTGCTCAGATCTGACTTCATGGCTTTGCCCACCCATGCATAAAGCCCGTAATACCCGCGGGTGTGCCTTATCACTAGCATTTCCGCGGACCATAAGCCAATGACATCTATGCAAGACAATGTTTCATATGACATCAGGATGTGGTATTGCCTGATGGTGGAGGGCATGTCGCAGGATGACACATTGTGGGCTGATCGGTTCTAGATATAAGAACATATATTAAACGGCACGCACACAGCCGTCTAAGGTCGTCATGCAGAGGGACAAGCTGTTCATGCTTTACAATGAGCGCAGGTTGGTAGCATATTAGCTGCACGATTGGGGTTTCGGCTGATACACAATTAGATCCAGTGTATCCCAGGTTCCCTTTCGCTCGCCCCAGTGGGGATGAGCCACCCACAGAGTTTCACCGTCTTCTCAGAGAATGTCCCCTTTCCCGCGTGGAGCTCTGGGACGGAAGCCATCCATGGTTGGTGGTAAAGCATAAGGACGTCTGCGCAGTCCTTACGGACCCCAGACTATCCAAGGTATAACCATGTGGACAGACCTCTGTGCGGCATGCAGGGATCAACTAAAGTTGTCTCAGATTCGTCGGCGAGAGGGCTTTCCGGAAATGTCCCCTGGTGGAAAGGCGGCTGCCAAAAACCGGCCCACGTTCGTTGATATGGATCCTCCTGATCATATGCACCAGAGGTATATCTCTCCAATAACTGGCTCGGACTGAATGGAACTAATCGGTGATACAGGAGCATGGTCGACGCCTTTTTCAATGATGACTATGTGGATTCTCGTCTTCCATTCATTCGAGACACGGTTCAGCATCATCTGAATCAGTTGATTCGGGCAGGTAAAAATGAAAAAGAAGTCGATCTCGTGAAGCATTTCGCTCTGCCAGTTCCCTCCTGTGTGAGTCATCCATGTACTTGGTGTCGTCTCGTGATCGCGTAGATTAATGATCGGACACTATCACAGATTATCTATGACATACTCGGTATACCTCAAGAAGACTTTGAGTATCTAAGCGGTTGTGATGCGACGCGGACTAGTGGAAGTAGTACTGCCGCCGCCGCTCAAGCTGCCAACAAGTAAAGGCGTCCCATGTCAAGTCCATATGAGTAAAATACTGAGCTGATACATCTCTGTAGGGACCTTCTTGAGTACTTAGAGAAGTTGGTCGACAGGAGAACTGCAAATCCCGGCAAAGATGTCATAAGCACCCTGGTCAAGGAGCAATTGAAACCAGGACACCTTGAGAAACTTGACGTCGTCCAAATTGCATTTCTCCTCTTGGTGGCTGGAAACGCTACCGTTGTAAGCATGATTGCCTTGGTATGACCAAATGACCCAAGACGCAGAAACTTTTGGTGGCTTGGACTGACTTCTCTTGACTCGTTAGGGAGTGGTGACCTTGCTCGAGCACCCTGACCAACTGTCGCGGTTGCTGGAAGACCCATCGCTCTCCAAGTTATTCGTGGAGGAACTCTGTCGCTTCCACACAGCATCCGCACTAGCTACACGGCGTGTGGCTACTGTGGACATCGAACTTTGTGGACAAGTCCGAATCTCTTTCTCGATCGAGCACATGGTCAATCGCTAATGATACCAGAAAATAAAAGCGGGCGAGGGCATCATTGCCTCAAATCAAGCAGCGAACCGTGATCCCGAGGTCTTCCCAGACCCAGACACCTTTGACATGTTCCGAAAGCGAGGACCACAGGAGGCTCTGGGTTTCGGATACGGTGATCATCGCTGTATCGCGGAAACGCTTGCGCGTGCGGAGCTAGAAACTGTCTTTTGTAAGTCAGGCTTCCTATAACTTATGCTTTGATTTGGAAACTTACGAGTCGACACTTCTGTAGCCACTTTATTCCAAACTTTGCCCAGCCTTAGGCTCGCGGTCCCCAAGTCGGACATAGAGTGGACACCTCCTACGAGGGACGTGGGTATCGTCGGGCTTCCCGTGACTTGGGATAGGGATTGAATTGGTGGTAGGAACTGTGAGATTGTAAATTGACTTTGGAGGTTTAAGTTTATGTGTACTTCTAAATTGTAGGTTGCCTGCTATCCAAATATCCATTTGATGTGTTCACCCATTCATAGGAATTAGACGAGGAATAGAGTCCTAGATAGATATATTATTAACATACCGAACGAATGTTATCAATTCCCAACTCTTTCTCAGCCAGCTGACATTCATGGTCTTAGCAATTCAAAGAAGCATCAAGGGAGCGCATCTCCTAGATAATCCATCCCTTGCAGCAAGGTTGGGATCAATCTCGGTCAGATTTACACCGCTACATCTCCTTCATTCCATTGCCAAAGCCATACTGCCCATTACCACAGACCAAATCACACTCAGGTCCATTCTATAGATTTTTCTGGAATCTTACATTTGTTTCTCATGGCTCTAGAAGTGCACACTGGTCGCAAGCAAAACCTATTAAATTGGAAGTATAACTAAGCCAGGAACTGAATTTTCATGTCAAATCGAGCCTCACATGTAGGCGTACAGCATATCCACCTTACCCAGCACGAAATTCAACTGACGACAACGGGTGTGGACATTTTCTCACCAATCCACGGTTATCAAGCCCTGTATCTCCGGTGGGAGCTGGTGTTCTTGGCAGCTTCTACTCAATAAGCATAACCTTCTCGACTATCGTTACTAGCATCAGAGAGTAATGTATTTTATCGATCAGAACTCCTCTTCAAGTTGGGTAATTTGCTATACAAAGGAATGGCCGCACCACCACTTTTGTTAGAAAATTGAGGGAAAAAAGGAAAAAAAGAAAAAGGGAAAAACTAGCAATTAAGCATCGTAGAGAATGGTATAATAATTACTGCAAATTAGTATATAGAACAAGGCTCTGGAACTTGAAGCTAGACACTTAGAAAAGAGTTTGAGCCCCAGTCCCAGAGTATATAAAACTGCTGGGTCATCTATAAACATTCAAACATTCACCAGGGTACGGGCCGGGCAAAACCTCGGATGTTCCCCAGTCCTGGGAGCAAGTATTGCTACTTTGCGTACGTATTCCTTTAAGGCCTCCATCAAGATGATGGAGCAGATCCGCGGTGTGGAGAAGTCGGGGAGATGGGGTGGGATGGTGGTGGAGAGTTCGGGGGCGAGGTGGTGGGTGAGTAGGGCACGACATCTCCCTCTAACTCTACGAGAGCCGGGCTGCCCAGTTCGCTTCTTGTCGATTGCCGTTGGCCGGCTACGACTTCCGCAGGCAACTCGCTTCTCATGGAGTCCTGTTGCCCGGCGTATCCTGCAGCGAGCTCACTGCGCCTGGGGTCATCTTGTCCAGCGGCTCCCGGATGTTTCACGTCTTGTGGTGGTTGTTCCTCTTCGGTCGGTACTAGTTCAGCCTTCTTCTTCTTCCGTGACCGCAGGTAAAAGAACAGAATCGCAGCCAGTATCGATACCCCCGCGACGCCGCCGATGACACCACCCACAATCGCCCCAACAGGCTTAGACTTGGAACCACTCGATGAGGTTGGGATCGGGCGAGTGGGTGCGCGGGTTGCGGCGGTATATGTGCGCGTGAAGAAAACCGACAGGTCACGGTTGTCAAAGCCGTCCGCGGGCTCGGTGGTCGTGGCGCCCCCTGTGGCCCTATAGAAATTGTCAGCTTCAAATGTCCGGCTGCGGTGACCCAAGACACATACGATCCTCCAACAGCGGATATAATCTCTGACGGAACCTCGTAGCTCGTGACGTTTGGTCTGAACATTGCCCACACTGCATCTTCGGGATTTTGCTTTCCCAGGTACATATTATGGAGTCCGTATATCGGGTAGGCATCACAGTCCGTGTCGTTTGGCTTGTTGCCGCCCATCACGCTGCTTTTGGTTAGATATACCCAATAGCACTGCTTATGTTGGAATGGCACTTACAGCATCTGGGCGCCATCTACAACAGTGCAGGACATTGCATTCTTGGGATAACCGCTTTCACTACCATCTGTGGGGTACCTAAATCGTGTCAACGAATCACCCGGAACTATGCGACATCCAAGACGTACCATTTAATCCATTTAAAGGACGGTAAGGTCAAAACATAAACATCATCATAGCCAAGACCCTCGGGAGCACCGGCACCACCGTAGAGGTAGATATTATACGACGAGTAATCTTCCGCCCAAGTTGCGCCAGCACAGAATCTTCTCCGTTGTTCGGGGACGTCGCCGGTCGCCTTTTGTGTGTACCACTTACTGCCCGAGATGTCATATAGCAAAATCTCCTGATGGATGTTAGTGAGAGAGACGGAACGCCCGAGGGTAGTTATTCGGTACGCACATCCATCGGCTGGCCGAGGGTAGTGCCATTATTTGCGGACTGCACGCCTCCAATGTACACGAGCATGCCATCACTTGCTGGGATATACACCATGGACCCTTCCGCGCGGCCGATCGTGTCCGGACCCGATGAATTCGTCCACGTATTCTGCAGCATGTCGTATTGAAGCATGGTCGACAAAGCTTTGGGGGATTTCGATCCCCAATTCGAAACCGAGCTATTGGACAACCATCCACCATAGTAGAAAGCAACCGCTCGATCTTGTATCGTTATTCCCGCACCGTAGCTTGCCCTTTGGATATTCGCCTGTGTGGTGTCGGCGCTGACCGTTTGCCACGTGTTGTAGAGCGCATCGTATGACCATAACGAGAAGTTGCCGGGAGTGCCCTGGTCATATTGGCCACCGTAGAGATAGATCATCTTGTTGACGGTGTCGGGCCACAGAATTCCTCCGTTCACATCAGGCGCGTCGGCGGGTTTGGTCAGGTTGTTATATACCGCCGGCATTCCCTGATTGTTGACATCGAAGTCCGCGTAGAGCAAGGCCGTATCTTCAAAAAAAAAAAGGGGGTCAGTAATGGCGGCGAGGAGAACAGGAATTGAGGCGGACATACTTGTGGCATTGTCGGGGTATTCACTCAGAGGGTTATAGTTCACGAAGCCGCCATCGATATAGAGCCTGAGGATATGGTCAGTGGGATAAAACATCAAACCTGAGTCTGTTCAAAAGAGGTCGCACTTGCGATCAATCACAGCTGTCTGGTGTCCGAAGAGTCTGCAAAAGTCCTTCAATATGTCTGGCTCCTGGAGGCTCAACCCAGTGAGCCCCAGGAAGAGAAGTAAATTCCTCGTCGTCATAGGGTTGAAGAGGTACCGTCTCTTCTACAGGCCGCTCTCTTCTTTCTCTCTCTCTGTCTGGGAAGAAATATCGTCCACGATCATTCGTGTTCGGGCGTTGTCCTCAACGATGATGTTCACCAGATGACGGTGTCAGCATTTTTGGAGAGGTCAGATTCTCTTTCTCTCTCAGCCCTGCTAGAAGTTGGCCCCAAAATGACCCATCTCTCTTAGCGCGGCCAATGGATCTGCAAGGCCTCCCATGGACAGACTACCGAGGATATGCATTGGGCGAATCCGGGACTTCCTCGAGCTGGTCGGGGCAGTGGCTTAGCTTTAGATCTCCACTACGGTTAACTCTTTTGAGCATAGATTGGTCAATAAGGCATCCTTTGCCAAGCAATATTTGTTGTCTGATTGTGAGAGTCTGGGAGACTCCCAAGACTTCCCAGCCCATGTTTCCTTGTCTCTCACACACACTCTAGGCCATTTTAGCTTTTTAGCTTCTCTTTTCTCATTCAAATTTAATCTCTTTTTACAGTCCCTAATTTAACTATGATTGCATTCTGTGGGCTAAAAGAAAGTGGAATTGGAGATTAAAACTTTCCAGCCCCCACGCGAAACCAGCCGTGTTGGACTGGAAATGCCGATCCCTCAACGTTTGCTGGTCACAAATCCCGAGCCCTTTGCATTTTATGCATCCGTGCATCTTCGCTCCTACGAATTATCAAGAGGGGTAAATTGGCGTTCTGAATGTTCTCTTCCTTTCTTCATTTCCCGAGGGAAGAACCGGAAATTGAGATAAACGTTTCACTGTTCGTTCTTCTTCTATCTGAGGGTTGTGCCAAGAGACCTACGAACAGTCGGCCAATTCGTGTCAATAAAATAGGTACAGAGGTAAGGACCGGCAACGATACAGGTCCAACAAAACCTAAGCATTTCTAAGCCCATAATCATATGCAGGTAAGCCAGCCTAAGAAAGAAATCTAGACCCCGGACGGTTGTCCCGTTCACACGGTACTATTATTTACATGGATGTTTTGCCCTACCTGCAACGGTGGGTCCAGACCCGAGAGAAAGATTGTCTCCACGTATACAAGAATCTTAGCAGGCATTCTATTCTATATAGCTAAGTATACATTCTCCTTAACTATCTAAAATTTACTATCGTCATTTCCTTAGTTACAAGATATGAACACTTGATAAATTTCAAGACTAGTGGTTTTTCGTAGTAAAACATGACACAACATTCTACCATATATCCAACGTGAATCAATTATATATATCGAGATGTCCAATCAAAGGTACTACTACCTGTGCTTACCGAATTCATTTATTGAACTACTACCTAAGGCTATTTTATCACACTTTTTTTGTCTTGTTCTACGTACAGTTATTTTATTATTTCTATAGTTTTCTTGTTGATCATATATTATATGGGCTCTATGCGTCGGAATTGTAGTGGCTCCCTAAACACAGGTTTGAAGCTACAAAAGTATGCTTTAGGGAGACCGTCCAGAACATGTGGACGAACCTCCACGACAACCGTTCGTGGTGGATTAAATTAAGTTACAGGATCAGGCTGACAGGCTGGATGCATATGAGATATCAGATATACGAAGTCATCCGCCTTACTGCATAGCTGCAGGTGGATGATTGCTCGAGTTTGTGGGGGCGACTGTTCATTTGAAGCAGTGATAAGCCTCGCCCTAGGCAGGTACATTTGATCTACAGGACCAGCTGCTGAAAGTCGGACAAGGTCTGACAGGACCAAGAATTCTAAGTGCAGATTGTATTGCTTAGCTATCATGTTGTGCTATTTTCAGTCTGGGGTATCAACGCTAGCAATGTAATTGTCCGAGGTGTAAAATCATGTATGTCCAGCAATGACTCTGTATGTACCTAGCTTTTTTTTTGTGTCTACGTTAAGCAACAACCTTATGGGAAGCCTGGCCTAAATCAATCGTGTTATCCTAGTAAGTCATTATCTGATTCCGGTTAGTCAGTATTTTTTTCTATTCAGTCTCTAGTCCAATCCGTGGACGAATGTCATACATGCAACGTCATCCCACTGCACCATCACTTTTGCTTTCCACCTTTAACAACATTATCATTCCTGGAGGCCTGTCATATGAATAATGACTCTCCACGAACTATACAGGTAAACTCTTCTTTTATACATTGTCTCTCTCCCCACCAACATCCATCCGAACAGCCGTCTAATTCCGCCTGCAAACTGGACGTATAACTGCTGTCGTTATCGCTAGCGTTACAAAAGCAGTGCATGCTATAATGTGATTTATATTTCATTCCAATTTTTGGACCAAGTTTCATACCTTACGGAATATTTGATGCTGATGTTATACCGCCACGACCTCGGTGCAGACTATCTTTCCAAGCTCAATATGACTTTCCTGTCGTGGTGGGTCGTCGCTCTGCGAGTCGGACGAGAAGCCATCGTCCTCTCCACCAGCGGACGACTTTCGTCGATCCCTCCAGAGTTGAAACTGAATAGCAGCAGTAACAAGAACTGAGACGTAAAGGTGACCAATTAGGAGCTGGTACATTAGAACAGGGGGTACCTAGCAGACTCACTGAGTAGACACTGCAGGACAATATCCCACAAATAACCCTTCTTGGCAGCTGGAAAGTCGGTGGTCTTCCAGACAAAGTTCGGTGCCTAACACAGCTCGTTAGACTGATGTATTGCTAGACGGAAAGGCTTGTCGAAGGTACTTACCACCGCCTGGACGACGTATGCGAGATCGTTCGCCAGACCAACAATTAATGCTCTTTTCTCGGTGTCCGCTGAACAGATTTCGTTGATCCAACTCAAGATGAGGGGACCAGCACCGCTCTGTTGCCATCCAGTGAGCACAATACATCTCATTTATTGAATACCATGGGAGTATGAGTAAGGTGGGATAAACTCACGCCAATGTTACTCAGCCAATACACAGCCATACGGCCGTTGATATTCTCATAGAGCGGCATCTGGCGGAGGAGCACGCAGAACACTGTCTGTCGTAGGAGAATGGAAGTCAGTCTGCTTCTCATAGAAAATACAGCCAGGACCAAGGTTTAAAGGGCTCACCGTGATGATCGCACCCGCATAGATGAAGGGCCACCGTATACCGCGACACCCATCGGAAAGCCAACCCCAGCTCAAAGCTACCACAACAAATATTCCGGTTGTAACCATTGGATCTGTAAATCGACTTAGTGTGATTCTAGCACCTCCTACGAGGACTACTCACAATTATTAATCTGCGGCACCGAAAACGATGTACCCGGCACAGGAGGAGGGGTCGTGTTGAAGCTCTTCAGCCAGTAGCCCATACCGGCTTGCGGGTAACCATTATTCCACACGATGTATAGTAAGGCTGTGTCCAGTTAGTATGGAGGGATGGGATAATACATAAAGGAGGCCACGAACGGAGAAGATATGTATGCCAGCTGAGGAAGATTCTCTTGGCCTTGGCGACCGTCCAGGGCTCCTTTCCCGCACGACCAACAGCCTCCATGCGTTTGACAGAAAGAATATGCTCGTCTTCTGTCGTCCACCACGTTTTCTTGCCGTCTTGTGGGAGGTTAGGGAAGAACAGGAATCCCGCTACGGCAAGCGGCAGCGTGATAATGCCATCGATAATAAACAGCCAGCGCCAGCCTGCGTGGCCATGCACACCGTTCAGGTTGGTGTAGGCTGCTGCTTGTAGGAATCCGCTGAATAGCGTTCCAATTGAGCCGGCAAGCCAGAAAACCATGGCTCTCTTTCCTATCTCACGTGGAGTGTACCACGATCCGAGTAGGTAGTGGATACCAGGGTAGAAGCCGGATCTGGACAAAGAGTGTCAGTATTCTGCGATTGGAAGAATGAGCGATATACTCACTCGAACAGCCCAACCAAGAAGCGGATGGCGTATAATGACCGATACGACTGCACACTGGACGTGCAAATTGTGGCTATTCCCCAACCAACCTCCAGCTGCGGTTAGTGTGTTAGTGATATCACACAAGAGCTGGGGACAGAAGCTAGAAGAGAGGCGCACCGCGGGAATCACCCATCGAGGTGAAATTCTAGTTAGCAGCAAGTTGGATGGTATCTGACCAATTACATATCCCACCGTGTAGATAGACGTGCTAGTAACCAGCTGGTTCCCGTACATATTCAGGTCCTCCTTCATGCCACTGAGAAAGGCATTGTTGATATTGTTAAGATCGAGATTCTTCAAGAAGTACCCGATCTGGTAATGCACATTAGTCTGAAGCGCTCTCCTGCTTCTGTAGAGGGGCCTAGCTTACTGAGGCAAAAGTAAGGACAAAGGCGTCGACTTTGAATAACAGCCAACGCTGATCCGGAGGCAGCTCCCATGTATCCCAGATATAGCCTTTCCACGACTTTATTGGCTGCACAGTGAGCCGGTCACTGGAGTTGATCTGTTCATCCTCTACCTGGGGACTTATAGATTTACGTTTTCCGCGGTCCATGTTCGATGCGTGTCTGACCTGTCAGAGCTCAACTGACAGACCAGCACCGGGCTTTTGGCCCTATTTGAATCTATGTGAACATGACATTCGTACTGGACATGGCCTCATTGATACTCCCCATCACGCCATCTCTTATCTTGAGACTAGTTTGAAGGTGTAGTACCTTTTCTCAGCACAGAATTAAACTCTCGTAAACATTGAAGGTGTTCTATGCACCCATCGTGATAGGCATTCCGCGCGGAATATGCCCTGAACTGGTACATACTGAACCGAAGAATGGCATAGCATGATATCCGGCACATATACCTGTGGTCTTTGGGGTCACCTTTACATGGTCGGCAAATATGATTGCGCCATACCCTAGCGTAATTCGGTATTCCCCACCACATATTAGGAGGCGATGACAGGCCCAGGGCACATACCAACAGAAGTGTATGGAAATCACCAATGAGCTACAGCCTGTCAAACAATGAGCCTAGTCCACACTATGAGGCTTTCGTTTTTCTGTCTTCCTAGCCCTGGCAGAGATGAGTTTATATTCAATTATGGAGCCACCAAAACCCCAAAACCAACCTGCTGGATGTATATGGATAGTATTATGCTTTCCCTTGTCGCAGTCTACTGGATGGGCCGACACATGAGACTATGTATGCCAAATCAATATTGTGCCGTTGATCCACCTAAGCGATATGAATAGATGAATATGCATATATAATGCGGAGAAAGTTTGGTCATAGGGATACATCAGTCTACATATTCACTGGAGTTAAGTGACCCTAATTGGACCTTTAATTCTGACCCTCATGTAAGATATTAATAGAATAAATGTATAGACTCCACATCTGCTTCAGGAGGTAGTGTTGGAATTGCCGACTCCCATGTGGCATTCGAGTTACCCCTTCGTCTAAATCGCGTCTATGGCGTGAACAATCTTCTATACTTTTGTACTACTTATTAAATGACGTTGATCATCTGGTAGTCACGCATTCGCCGGTAGCGAAATACGCAAGCCATGGCATTGCCTTAATTGGTGGATTAAGTGACGATACCCGTGCTGAACCATAGACGCAGCCAAGCCGTGACAGAAGTACATGATTGATAAATATTCCCGATCTGTAAAAATGCAAGGGTTATCAATTACCGAGATATTCACATCATATGCCAGAGGTTGACCGATGTTCATTTCTGCACATTCTCAGATAGTGTGCCCGCTCGAGCGCATTTCGTAGTCTAGTCGATTTAGTGACCACTGGCATCAGGGTCTAGGTCCAAGATTTATGCAAGAAAATGGAAAGGAAAATGCCATTTCGAGGTCTTATCAGCAAATCGACCTCGCCGCTGCGGGGTATCTCGGATTGATACGCTATATGCCTGTGCCCATCGCACCGAGGGGTTCTCCTTGCGCAATCAAGCTTGGCTATTGCAAAACGATAAGCGACCTAACTAGCCAATTATGGTCATTGAAAATTAAGAAGCAGTTTATAAAGCCCCTTGCTATGGCCTTAATCTTCCGTTGAATGTCCCTAGAAACACCTTGACTGCTCGGCTTGGGCTTTCACAATATGACTTTGGGATTCTCCGAAAAGAAAGACACCACAGGAGAAACCTCGACAACAATCAAATCCAGTAACATCTCGATAGACGAATCGTCAGGCCAAGGGAGGCGGAATGTGCACTATGTCAACCGAACTGAACATGACTCGCTTCCCGAGTACGAAGGAGATGTTATCCCAGGTTACGATGCCACTCTTATGCGAGCGCGAGCAAGTCTTAGCAGCGCAGAAGAAAAGAGGTTACTACGGCGAATAGACTGGCACCTGATCCCACTTTTAGCGGTCATGTATATGCTCAAGAGTGTCGATTTTACCAATGTAAGTACAGACTGTGATAGAAGCTACCTTGCCAGTCTACGTCCTAACATTAGCAGGTCTCGTACGCTCGAATTATGGATAAAGGAACGCCTCGCAACATTTTGAATGAACTTAAAATGACATCCAATCAGTATAATCTGGTTACAACTATGTACTACGTGAGTATGGTCTGATGTAACAGCAAGATCCGGACTCACTATTTGAAGATTCCCTATATCATCGCAGAAGCACCCTCCAACCTTCTGCTGAAAGGCGTACGACCGTCCATCTGGCAGGCTCGAATCATGGTTAGTAAATTGGGTTGGTCTTAAGAGAGTTATAAATTCTAATGGTCACAGGTATCCTGGGGAGTAGTACTCTGCTGTCATGCCGCTGTGACCAACCGACAGGGTCTGTATGCGGTTCGCTTTTTCCTTGGTCTCTTCGAGGCCGGCCTGTGGCCGGGCATGCTTGTCCAGTTATGCTACTGGTATAGACCGGATGAGATTGCCCCTCGGATTGTCCTCGTTACACTTCTAGGCAACTTCAGCACGGTCATAAGTGGCGTTCTTGCCTTTGCGTTCAACGGGGTTGCAGCTGGTGGCCTATCGGGTTGGAAGTGGTAAGAGATTTCCATTGTAAAAAAGAAAGGCTTCCATATTCATGTTGTTCTTCAGGCTAGTTTTGACCGAGGGCATCTTCACCGTTATATTGGGGATCATCACGTACTTTTTCTTACCTGATTGTATGTATCACCAGGCGGCCAGTTCAGAGGCTCCACAGCTCGACTAACCCTCATACAGTTCCCTCCACAGCCTCTTGGCTGTCTGAGAGAGAACAGACTTTCATTGAAGCGCGCCTCCCCAGTAACGCCCCGAGAGCAGCTGAAGCGAACTTCAACCTGGCCGAACTCATCACCACATTGAAGAACAAAAGAATCTGGCTTTTCCTCCTTTGTTGGGCCTTCTTCACCGTTGGTACTACAGGACTTACATTTTACCAACCAACCGTTATAGCAAACCTTGGATTTACGTGAGTTGTTCCGACCGTGACAATTTAGGGCAGATTGGCTAACGGACATGATAGCTCTATGGGCGAAACACAATTGCTAAACATTCCTTCGGCAGTTTTCGCAGTGATTCTGACCGTTGTCTTTGGTATCTTAGCCGACACGGGAAGAATTCCCCAGCCCGCTATTCCCCTCGCTTTCATGATTGTCATCGAGGCCTGTTATGGCGTGCTCTATGCCTTTCCAAATACCGGCGGCGTGTACGCGGCAACCATTTTAGCTGGAGGATTCTCAACGGCATGGTAAGCTTCCAATCCCATCCGATCCTTATCGCCCCTCGTATGCTAAAGCCCTGCAGGTACGTGATGATGTGGCCCTGGCGTGTGCAGACTACGGAGGGCGCCACGGGCTCTGCCTTCGCTATCGCCTTTGCGAACAGCTACGGTCAAATTGGAGGGGCCGTCGGCTCTCAACTGTTTAATTCTCGGTACGCGCCGCGATACGCGACTTCTTTTGGCATTGCGATGGGGTTTGTGGGAATGGCCATCATTATGAATCTTATTACTTGGGGTTTTACGTGGAAGGTCGATGTTGATACCAGGAAACTCAAGAGAATCCGGCTTGCGGCTGCGAAACAGAATCAGGCCGTGTTGGACGATGTGGATATTCATGCTGGGGAGAAGCAGCACCAGTAAGGGGTCCAGGAAGAGGAGCTAAAGGAATCTAATGGCGACGGTAGAATGCCTCTTTCACTTGTAATCAATTAAATCAACGTCTATAGACTAAGCTTAGTGACGATGGGGATTTATAGTTGATTGAAAGGCTAAGGCGCCATAGCGGGGACCGATTGTCTTATCAGGTCCCCTCCTCACCGTGTAGATAGATGAACCCTTTTTGACACTCCGATCACAATCTATGAAGACTGAGAATTATGAAGACGACGGATCTTTTTCGTGTTACTGCGCTGGCAGCTGGGGCACTGGTCTCTGAACGTCAGCAGCCCTTGGTTGGTGATTTATCTCAGGATCTCAGCCAAATCATCGACTCATCGCCGCTGCTCTCCTTCCACCGAGCCCTCGTGCAAATCCCATCCACAAGTGAACACGAGAAAAATGTGGGGAAGTATGTCTTGAACTTCCTCGCATCGCATAATCTGACAGTAGAGAAACAAACTGTCACCCCCGCAAGTAAGAGCGAAGAAGAAAGATTCAACATCTACGCGTATGTTGGGCAGAACAGACTCCCGGACGTGTTGGTGACCAGCCACATCGACACAGTCCCGCCCTTCATCCCTTACTCGCTTCATGCCCCAGCCTCAGCCACGGGGTCCTTCAATCGCACGGACCTCGTAATTGGTGGCCGTGGGACGGTGGATGCCAAAGCTAGCGTTGCGGCGATCGTGTTTGCCGCGCTTGAAACACTCGCTGAGAATCCCCACGCCTCCATCGGGTTGTTGTTTGACGTCGGCGAGGAAAATAGTGGCGTGGGGATGAAATATTTCTCCAACTCAGAGCTCAACCCTACGCCCCCGACATATCATACGGTCATATTCGGAGAGCCAACAGAGCTCAACCTGGTTGCGGCACATAAAGGAACCCTCGGGTTCAAGTTGGTCGCTGAAGGCAAAGCCGCCCACTCTGGATACCCGTGGCTAGGTCAAAGTGCCATCTCATCGCTTGTTCCTGTTCTTGCTCATCTCGATACCCTGCAAGATATTCCGCCCGAGAAAGGTGGTTTGCTTCGCAGTGAAACATTGGGAAAGTCAACCTTGAATATTGGTCTAGTGCATGGCGGGATTGCCGCCAATGTCGTCCCAGCGCATGCTGAAGCAGCGATTACTGTTCGCCTTGCAGCCGGAGCCCCAGAGGACACCAGGGTTATTGTCGAGAGAGCGGTGGCGAATGTGACTGAAGGTGATGAAAGTGTTTATCTTGATTTTGGCGATCGCAAATCAGGCGCTCCACCGCAGTACTTCGATGTCGATGTCGGGGGCTTTGGGGTTATCACCGTTAATTACGGAACCGATGCTCCTGCACTGGACATTCATGACCAGGAGGCTCCAAGGGTTAGGAGGTATTTGTATGGACCTGGAAGCATCCTTGTTGCTCATGCTGATGATGAGGCCATCACGGTCGGGGAACTGGAAGAGGCCGTAGGCGGATACAAAAGACTCATCGCTGCTTCTCTATAGACGTTTAAATTATATGATCACATTCACACTGGTGTCTCGATAGACTACCTTGAGGGTTTGAATCTTGGCTACTGATATCCCGAGTTAGGCTTACATTCCCATGGCATGGGTGGGACTTAAGAACATGGTCGTTATCAGTGGTGTCAAATAACAATTGTTAGAGCTTCTCGGTACTTAGACGTTGAGATCTTGGGGTACGAACGGACCCAATGACTCAGGCTAGCATGCCGACCCTATATAATCCTTGATCAACACCTCACTTACAATTTGACTTTTTTTTTTTAGCGAGATGTACAAAGGTTCGACGCGTTGTCCACGGAGTTGCTTTCAAGCTCAGCCGTGAAGCCCACATGTTCTGTCCCGCATCAGACTTCTTCTCTCCCTGTCTCTGTGTGCGTCCCACGTAATAAACTCGTGCAGTCCCGAGCCCGCTGGCACCATTGGTAGAACCGGTACCTTTTTGTCGGTGATAACCTCGAGCAGAGCAGGGCCGTCCGTGTGGATAAGCCACTTCAGAGAGTCAACGACCTCCTCGGGCTTGCTGACACGGCGATGTTGGAAGTGCATTGCCCTTGCCAGGCCCATAAAGTCCGGATTACGCTGGTGTGTGTGGGAGTATCGATCCTCATAGAATAGATTTTGCCACTGGGTCACCATTCCTTGCTCCTCGTTGTTTAGGACGATGACCTTCACCCCGATGTTGAATTGACTAGCCGTAGTCAGCTCCGTTAGGGTCATGCTAAACGATGCGTCACCGTCGATATCAATCACAAGCGCATCTGGACGCGCTACCTTTACACCAATGGCAGCTGGAAGACCAAAACCCATAGTACCAAGACCACCAGAGGTGATCAAACTACGGGGATGGCGCCAACGAAAGTGCTGAGCAGTCCACATCTGATGTTGACCGACGCCTGTAGTAATGATAGTCTCTTGCTTGCGATCTGTTGTGAGGTTACTCAGCTCCTCGATCAAATACTGGGGTTTGATCAAATGTGGTCGTTCGTCCCGGTCATAAGCATTTAACGGCCACTTTGCCTTCCATTCGTTGATTTGCTTGAACCATGCTTGCCTTTCAGCCATACTGGTCCTTTTCACATGAGGTAACAGGTGTGTTAGATTCTCTGCGACGTCCCCGACCACCGCCTCAGTAGATTGGATCACCTTGTTGATATTTTTAGGTAGGACCTCAAACTGCACAATACCTCCAAGTCCCTTTGCAGCTGCCGCTCTGGCCGCGGGCGCGAACTTGGCGATGTTTAATGTAACTCTGTCATCAAACCTTGCCCCCAGTGCAATGATGAGATCGGCTTCCTGCATGGACATGTTCGCATACGCTGAACCATGCATGCCCAGCATGTGCAAAGACTTCTCGTCGAGTTCGTCGAAGGCACCAAGTCCCTGCAAGGTTGTAGTCACCGGTATGGATGCCTTTTCTGCAAGTTCCTTGAGTAACTGAGGTCCGTTCGGGGACTGAATAACGCCCTGTCCAGCATATATGACGGGCTTCTTCGCGGTGTTAATCAATTTTGCGACATGGGCGATCGACTCGGTAAGTAGCTTTTGGTTCGCGTCAGTGTTTGCATAGCTCGCTATGCGAGGTATCGCTGGCCCCGTAGGCGTAACCTTTTTCAATATACCCGCTGTCACGTCCTTGGGTAGATCCACCAGAACCGGGCCAGGTCTCCCACTCGTGGCAATTTCGAAAGCTTCGTTGATCCTCTGAGGCAGCTCAGCAACGTTGCGTACCATCACGTTCCATTTTGTGCACCCTCGCGATATACCAAGAATATCGGCTTCCTGAAAAGCATCACTGCCGATCGCCGTGGTTGCTACCTGGCCGCTGAAGACGATCATCGGCGTTCCATCAGAGAGGGCATCCTGCATTGGGGTAACGACATTGGTCGCTCCGGGTCCAGAGGTGACGAGAACGATTCCTGGCTTTCCTGAAGCCCTTGCGTAGCCTTCGGCCATATGCCCAGCGCCTTGTTCATGCTTGGGAAGGATGAAGTCGAAATACTCGGAGTTGTAGATGGCGTCGAAGACCGGAAGGATCGTTCCACCAGGGTATCCAACTATTAAAGTGGGTGTCAGTAAACTTCAAAAATGGAAGTCCCAGGTCCCATTCGTACATATATGTTTGACACCGTGTCTTCGCATCATCTCATGAAAAATCTGGCCGCCCGTCATGCCACCAAACCTACGTATTGTATCAGTACCGCGACGCTTCCCACAGCATTAACTATTCTCATACGATTCATCTGCTTCCATTGATTTTGAGTCTTCCGGAGAAACATTATATTCCGCGCCTGTAGAGGGAAAGGTTGCATCCGATGGGGTTTCTACTTTTCTGTACGTCCACGGGATTAGTACGTGTTGGTGAGATCACATTGAATTCGACCGCCACATCTAGAAAAGGTGCTATAGGACTCACATTGACTGTGCTGCAACCGTAGTCATCTTTCGTCTAATCACCCCTACCCTCGATGCGCAAATATGCGACCGAGGGAACGAGGTTTGTTGACATCGTGCGGTATGAGTCAGGGCATTGCCAGCCCGACTAATAGAGCGCGTGCGAAACATCTCAGACTAGGTATGCGATAGGGCAAAGGAACGATGCCAAACACGTAATTAATACAGATGCTGGGTGCCGACCACCGGCATGGCTTCTTTATGTGGTAGAAATTGTGTATAGGAGCCGACATGACTCATGTCAGGGGGAGCGATACCGGACGCTTATTCTGGACAAGGGCTTAGAACCAAGCTATTCCGACGTTAAATTCAACCTCACCAATGACTCATCTGGCTGGGGTCAATTGAGCCTTGGCCACATATTCTGGGGGACAAAATAGGATACACAAGAGATCGAGTCGAAAATGTCCAGAATCTCCGTGAACTGGCTCTTCCACTATACTGTGCGAGAGCTAAGTCTCCACCAGCAACATTTCATGCCATCGCCATATAGCAAGTTACTCCAATTCAAATACATGATGCAGGTTGGTCCAACTGTATTAATATTAAGTATTTATATCGAAAGTGATTGAATCTCCGGCAGCTCCCTCTTGTGCACGTACCACGTCAATGCACTCGGTATATAAGGAAACAAGCCAATTCCCGGCCGGCATGGTCGCTGTATTGTTTTTGTCTTTCTAATGAGGTCTATTGTATACCTAAAGTTTATGTAGATGGGGCAAATAAACTTTATAATTCCAATTTTCCCCGAGGCGATTGTACATTGCGCCTGCTAGAGCTCGGCGAAATACGAGCCTACCCCAGACGATTTTCAGAGGATACGATGGTCTTTCGGCAGAGTCCAGTAGTAGATGATTAGGCATTCTGCTACACATGCAGTCTTTGGTGAGGAATTAATACAATTAAGGACGACCACAAGTTCGAAGCTTTGGTCTCCTAAGCAGCAATGCAGTCTTGATATCAAACAACCACCCAACAACATGATTTTAAAAGGTGTTTTCCACAAGTCCTCCCTGGCAGGCTATGCCAAAGCCATACGCGAGGCACCCCGGGAAATCATTTTCAACCGCCACCTGATGCTCTCCTCTTGTCGTCGCATATATCGTTCACTACGCTTGGCTCGGACCGCGGGATTAGCACTCGTAGCTGAGGTATATATGGCCGAGATATTGATCCCCGGCAGCATTCTTTCATTAATGTTCCGCGAAATTGTACAACCATCGACTTATTGCCCCTTTGTCACAGTGTCTACTGCACGCGATTTCAAGCATTAAATCTCCGTGCCGAAATGCTTGGCGAATACCACAGAATTGCCCCGAGTGTTTGGGTTGGCGGATGAACGCAGTCTTATATTCGACCCTCTTTGACTAGACAACTTCGTGAGTTCAATCCACCTGTAGGCTCAGGAGGTTCTACATTATAACCTCAACCCTTCAATTCAACTTTACCTATACTATCCTATGCCAAGCTAAACACCTAACTGTTAGGGGAAGGAAATATTATGCGGGAAGGCGGAAGCAATCCTAATTTACTACGCAAGGGGCTACCGTAATACACATTCTTCCCTAGGAGATCATCAAAGCAAAACGTAAAATAGATGTGAGCCGTAGAGCAGTGACATGTCTCTTCAAACAGACTTGCATAAGTGAGAAACACGATACTACCAAAAGGTTGACCTAGGTATAATGCGGAGGCATCAACTACCCGCCTTCTCATCCAGACAGATTTAAATCCAGTCACAGTATTGCTAAATGATATAAATGGCCCGCACACTTGCATTTAAGTGATGATCTGGTATTTATCCCCTGTCGATCATTGATCTTGCAGGTTAGTCCGTTATATCAACGCATCATAGTGGGTCCAAATAATAGCTCATGCTGAGTGACACTCAATCATTAGACATATGTACCCAATAGTCCCACATGTCAACGCAAGCTTGATGCAAGGCTTAGCTATACTGACTGAAATGTGACGTCTCCCCTTGACAAGTCTGTGCAGTTGCGCAAGTAGCAGTACATGACAGGAATGTACAACATGCGAAACTTTTGCGCTCTAGGTTGACTATATACAGAAGGGTAATCCCGTTAATCCTGAAGAATCAAGCATCACATTTCTGATATACTGCCCTTTCCAAGAACGATTCGGACGTCCTGTGGTTCGCGAGAAATAGCTTCGGGGGTGCCTCTATTCAACGCTTCTATTCGTGCCGTAATTCTATCCCGAGAGGCATGAATCCACAGCCGAAAGGATCGGTAGCAGACAATTCCTTGGCTAGCCAGTATCTATCAGACCACCATCTAGAACTGACGCCAGATGGACAGTATATCCGTTGGCACCGTGACAACCCAGCTCATCCACGGAATTGGTGTATATTGCGGAAATGCTTCGACACAGGGCTCATCTGTCTCCTAGATTTTATTCTGTATGTTCATACTATCTGGCCAGACGATCTGTTAGCTAATGTCTCGATAGGACAGCTTCTAGTACTGCTGGCGTATGTGCTAGATAACCGTCACATCACAACAGACGACTGACAGCTATAGGCATCGGCAGCAGCAGAGGCGAAGCTTGAATATGGGATTGGATCTGAGTTATCCACCTTTTGCTTCATAACAGTGTAAGCTACCATGGCGCCCATGCTAATCGGATACTTTGTGTTGACCAATCTGTATTCGATAGATTCTTGCTTGGCCAGGTAATCGGGACAATTGTCTTACCCCCTTGGTCTGAAACATTTGGGCGCAAAAGACTCTATCTTATAAGCAGTGCTTTAAGTTCAGTTTGCTGTGTGGTAGTAGGCGTTCCACACTCCCTTGCCGCAGTGATTATTGGACGCGTAGGAACTGGGATGCTCGCTGCCATCCCTTACACCGTTGGTGGTGGAAGTGTGGAAGACATGTGGTCTTCTCGACCACGGATATGGGTCATGTTCTTATGGACTATTGCATCCAACCTCGGCTTATGTATTGGGCCTATCATGGGCACATATGTTAGTACTTTGTTGAACTGGTAGGTTCAGACCTGGTTGTATCACAGTGACCCGTTCAACTCACTTTCTATAGGAGGTGGCTCTTCTATATCTATGCGATGACCATAGGGGTCATGAGTGTCCTGTTCATGTTCATCCGGGAATCTCGACCATCTCTTTTGCTTACACGAGAAGTTGATAGACTTTGTCAGCTCACCGGAGCAAGGTTTCAAGCCTTAAATCACGATCACCACCCCGACCTTCGCGCCTTTCTCAAGGTTGCTCTATTCCGACCTGCGATTCTCTTCTTCCGAGAGCCATTAGTATTCATCATATCCGTGATGGTAGCTTTTGCATTTTCTCTTCTCTACATCTTCACGGAAGCGTTACAGCCTATTTATCAAACAATAGGCTTCACTCGAACCCAATCCTCCTTGGCCTTTCTCGCCATAGCATGCGGCATTTGGTTCAGCACGCTCACACGACTCCTCGATAATCGGGTCTTTGATACTCGCCGGCGCAAGAACCTACCCTTCAAGCCCGAAGATAAATTGTTAGGCCTTGCCATCGGTGCTCCAGTGCTGGCGGTTAGTCTATGGTGGTTCGCCTGGACTATTCCACCAAAGGCTTCCAATACACACTGGATAGTGCCATCAATTCCTCTGGCAATGATGGGATATGCGTTGAATGAGTTCGATACTGTACTTTACTGCTACTTAGGGGATTGCTACCTGAGCTACTCAGCCAGCGCTACGGCTGCTGTGGCCTTTCTCCGCGCCTTACTATCCGGGGTATTTCCATTGTTTACCAAACAGATGTTCGAAGGCCTGACAGCAAATGTGGCCGTTTCAGTCCTTGCTGCCCTCGCAACAGTGTTCTGTATCGTCCCGCCGCTATTTATATTCTATGGTGAGCGCATCCGAGATCGAAGTCCGTTTGCTAAGCATAGCGTATTGATAGCGGCGGAGCTTGGAAATAAGGAAGAGGATTATTGATCTATGTATAAAGATATTCAGGGGGATTCATCGTCGGTGGAAGCCTTCTCCAACCGGTTATACTCAATATTTTGCCTAGCCTTCCCTACCTCTCACATGTCGCCGGATCCGGGCGTTGCTGTTCTGCATACCATATTATTAGGACCCTTCCTATTTTAGATAGATGGCTATGAGGCCTTAAGGGCAAGGATGTCCAATCATTATAGCTAGATCGTGAAATGAGTAGCTTTGAATGCATTTCGTAACATACTAAACATTAAACGTTGTAACGGCTAATGGAGAAAATCTATTTAAAAGCGATATGTTGATATCGTCAAGCCTGGATAGAATATTCTTCAGGTATTTGAGGCCACTCGTCCTCACCGTCAAGGATACCTATCGCCATTCCACCACTAAGATGGACCTGAATATGACAATGGAGCAGCCATGCACCGGGGTTCACGACGTGATACCGGATCGCTAACCACGTGTCCTCGGTTGCCGACGGTGGAGTGATGTATGTGTCCCTGATCTGGGGAGTTTTGAGGTTGAAACTCTCCGGGATATGCTGCATGGCTTCAGCAACAGAGGAGTAATTCCATGCTCCGCTCCCCTGTCCGATCACGTAGAATTTGTTGGCATGCTTGTGAATTGGATGAGGGGGCTGTATCTGACCATGGATATCGAAGATCAGATCAATCCAGGTTCCATTGAGCGTCTTTAGAGTAAGGTCTGGCTGAGCGGTGGATGGGTAGAATAGCAGCGGCGATACTTCCTCCTTTTCAAGGGGGAGAGTGGTATTTCCTAAGGTCCAGGTGTAGGAGGCGTCGTAATGACTGATTCGCAAGATATGCGTCTGGGCAACATCCTGGGAGGGTACCTCGACCGGGAATGGAATGATCTTGGTTTCGTCCAGCAGCGTATAGTTTGAAGAGACTACTGCGCCGTGGATGTCAATCGATGCCACCGAAGGGTGCTGTTGCATCTTTTCCAATGTGTTGTATGACAAAACTCCAGTCGTACTTAAAACCTGGTTGACTCCGCTATTCGCTATACGAATAGTATAATCCCCGGCCGGCTTATCCAACTTTACCAGGACGGAATACCGGTTGCCATTCGCAATAGTAACGGCATCTACCAATGCGGGACGAATGTACCGTCCGTCAATGGCATAGACATACATTCGATGCTCGTCAATCGAGAATGTGGCCATTGAGACACCGGCTGCACTGATCAGATCATAGCTCACATATCTGTGGGATGGGTCAGCCAGGACACGCGCAGTGCCACCATCTCCAGCGACACAACCCGAAAACATTGAAGGCGGGATGGCGCTGTAGTTGTGAGGGAAGGTTCCCTGCATGGCCACTACCATGGGGGAGGTACAACCAATGTCGGTCAGACTCAAGTTGCCCAGGACTTGTTTCTGCTCAGCGCTGGCGAGCTGATTCAACTTTTCTTGGCCGGGGCAGCTAATCGATCCCTTCCCATTCAGGAGGATGGCGTTTGCGCAGTAGGCGTCAAGCCCTGTGGTTTCTTCAGCCTGCCATACCTCTTCCGAGGTCAACTGACGCCAGTCCGAAATCATTATAGGTTGCGTCTTCTCTTCGGCCTTGCGCATGGCCTGGAGCTCGTTGCTTTTGTTCGTAATCAAGCCAAAGGGTTTTTCAACGGAGTCATCCGGATGTATGTAGATCGCTCCATAAAGACCGTCATCAATCTGCCCTCTGTTGTGGGCGTGGTAAAAGTAGCTGCCGTATTGTGTCGCGCGCCATTTATACAGAAAGTAGTCACCAGGCGCAACGGGCTCCTGCGAAAGACCAGGCGTGCCATCGGACCAGGGGGTGTCGCGTTGCTCAATTCCTGAGAGCCATCATGTCATTAATAGTTCGAGTCAAATAAAGGAGTGACCTACCGTGGAAGTGAACGGTCGTATTAGTAGGCAGGTTATTGATCACCAAGAACTCGACATCGTCTCCTTGCCGCAACTCTAACAACGGACTGGGGAGTTGGCCGTTTCCGAGGATCATCTTTCGAGGGAGGCCCGCGGGGGCCCATTCTTCCCAGGTAAGCGTGAGATTGAAACGCACCGTGTTTCCGGTGGTGCGTACATGGTGGTTTGACCCATTAGCCCAGGAGAATAGACATAGGGTCAATGTCAGGAATGTCAGTGAAGAATGCATGCCGGACAGATGCCGAATCAAGCGCGTCCAGACGTGACAGTCACCGTAAACAAGCAGCGAGGCTCCCACATGGCTCACATGGTACATATATAACGATTCCACCGAATCAACCCAGGGGGCCTGAAACAGAAGGCTATAAAAAGAAAACAACAAAAAGAACCTCGACTGGGATCCTGCAGCCTCACAGAATGCTTCAATTCCAAGTGATTGGTGGTATTGCAGTGGCTTGGATAGTGCATATACGGGACCACAAACTGACAAATAAAAGAGTAGTCTGGAGCCCCATCACATTCGACAATGCTCAAAATGAACCCGATCGACGGGAGACGAATACCTCGAGTGGATTGCCAATCTTGTGCCATTACCATGTTGGGAAAAGGGGGCCCCACCGATCTATTTCAATGATCGTCCCTGCCCAGAGTGCTGGGGCCCCTTGCCTAAGTTGCCTGGAGTTGGGGACCCAAAATTGGTCGGTCGGATTCCAATCAATTGCTTCACATTCGGTTGGGCTCCGCGGGACGGCTCCACTCTTGTGTGCTGGAGGCTTGCAAACATGCCTATATCAGTTTTCCTTCACGGCCATATCTCGACGCCATGGCAAACAAAATTTTCGATAAAAAAGGAATAGGTTCCGGGAATTTTTGTCACGAGTGGCAGAAGGAAGTCAGAACACTTATCCTCTCTGCTATTCAATGTTCATATGACTACTGCCATCAGGTCGGGTCATGGCTATCTACCGCGAAAGGCAACCCCAACAACGACACCCTAATCGTTTTGTCTGATTAAAAGCCCCATTAGAACTGCGCGAGGTATTCGTGCACTTGACAGTAAAAGGAGCCCTTCGTATCCTGAGTGCACAGACCATGGGTCGCTCAACGTGTCATGTAGTCCACGTGGTGGGCTCCTCTAAGCCTTGTAAGTTGTAACTGACCTGGCAGAGATCAAGCCCTTCATGGTGAGGTCAGTATAATCGCTCGGACCTGGGGCCACGCAACTCGGCCACCTCTTTAACGGCCTCATTGGCTCGCACAGCCCTGCTGGACGCCTAATATCTCCCACGGCAGGAAGGGCAAGGCTGAGTTGGCCAACATAACCGTGTAATTCATCTGATAAGGCTAAATTACTAGCCTCTCCGACGAGCCAATCACTCCGGTTCGTATGTCACATTCTTAGCGTCTCGCTCTCTCGATCATTCTTGGTTTCGAGTTAAGTGGAATAATGTTCGTGTTTGGCAAGACTGATGCTATTGCGCTCGGCGTCTATGGCGATATTCATCGGGCCACGCCCTGTGACAGTTGCTATATATCCAACAATGAAGGCCTCCCTCGGTTTTAGGTCGCCAGACGGTTCTCCAGGCCCGATACGTGGATTCTCAAAACGCACTGAGTGCCTGGGGATGGGGAGGGGCTGTTGTCCAGAGATTGTAGTAATAGGCAGGGTCAGCCGTGTTGTATATAGTACCGTTGAGCCTCCTCGAGCTATTTATTATGCAGCTGTAAGGTACCCAGGGCATCGGAGAATATGATGGCAGGAGAGCCACAGGTTGAGGGTGAGCTGAACTTAACTTCCGGAAAGTAAAGGTCGGACGCTTACGAGTGCAAGAGAGACAGGAGACATACAACGTGCAATCTATACATGTCCCCTGGAGCTGTTGGTATCCAGGGACCTCATATACCATTACCATCAGTGCCCTCATTATCCGAATTACATCGTCTGCCTCAGTCGCTGAAAGTTCTTCAGCAATGTGTATTGGTAATACGTACGTGTGACCGCAATTACGCTTGTTCACTAAAGTATCGTTGTAATACCGTTACATGGTGGAAGACGTCATGACGCTCGCCACTTGAACGTTTCAATCGACATCTCCAGAAGCAAGATGGTTGAAGTCGGTCTCTGAGATGAAGATAGTCTATCTGAACAGTAGGTGCTCTGTGCATCACCAGATCTACTGTGAGATCCTACACAAAATCACTCTTTTCAAGAATATTCAGTACATCACGATGGATCTCTTTTACCCCGACTTCTATACAAAGTAAGAATGGTGGCAAACCATGGTACGCAATGATCTCTACCAATGACTGCTGACAGCCAGCAGAGACGTAATGGGATTGTATCACCCGACATTGGCCTGCCGATTGTCGCTGATGTCAACATACAGCACCATGACCTCATTCGAAATCGTGGCATACTTATACCAACACAAGCCTAGATCCTCATCTTGTTCTCTAACTTATTCCAAGGAAGGAGCACACCTATCTGTACCTCAATCAACAAACATGGAATCAAAGTACAACACCCGAAAGTTCTCTAACCGTGTCCGTCCCAAGGACGATGATATCAGCTCCACCCAACCCCAACAGGAAGACCAGCCAAGCGGCCTCGCCGACTTGGACCCCACCCAGCAGGTAAATGTCGCTTTGAACTGGCCTCCACAGCAGGTGTTTGGAATAGCATACTAAATTCGTTCCTAGTACACTGAATCCTCCCAGGCCACCGATACAAGCTTCAAACCTGCCACACAGGGTTATAGTTCGAAATATCATTTCGGCCATGATCAGCTGAGTCACCCGGATGAGAGGGTTAAACCAGATGAGTAAAAGGGATAGGGATAACATGTCAGGAATGAGTCGTCTTTCTTTAAGCCACGAGTAGTTACCTCTAGTTTTGTTATGAGTGACCTATATTTATTGGATAATATCGCTTTGTACTTTGGGGATCAGAGTATGATAGCTTACCTGCCATGTTCAACATGAAAATAAGAATGATAAAATCTATATGATTGTATCATAGATCTACTGTACCGAATCCCCACTCAACTACTGTATAGCCTATCTGCTGCAAGCAAGAACCAAGCCTGAAAACCAAATAATAATCTCCATGCACAGAGGGCAACATAAAATTTAAGAAAGGCCCTCTTGGAATAGCTTGAACGACTGGCCCCCATAATTGCCCGGGCATACGACTACGCATCTACGAAGCACTTCTACTACAAACAGAAGTATATAACGGCGTTATCCAAGCAATTCAGTTAAGTCTACAAGCATTGATCGTTTCAAGGCTATGATAGCCGCCCACTGACCTGATGGGCGTATTAGCGCGGGGGGGGGTTGATAGTGTATGTGGGGCTCCGAGACAGTGGCTTAGCGCCGATATAACAGTTGGAGCAACGCGTAGGGGTAGCATGAACCATAAGCTACTGTCAGGCAATAATTCCAACAATGGGCGTTCCGTATAATCAGTCGCATTTAGTTGAACTTGATTGGGATGTCGTATTCAGTGCCGCATAACATGCTGCAGGAATGAGATTAGTCTGTAGTGTGTGGTGAAAATGGTATATTGGAGAACCTCCATTTCTCTAGTGACAGGCAATCCATAGTGTAGTTAATACGCCAGCTACTAATGTTTCAATACAGTAAATTGCTCTTGACCATATTTCTCTGTATGTGCAGCATTTCTGTCTCATCGAGGTTGACTCGGCAGTGGCATGTTATTTGGACTCTCTTGTTCTATCTTCCTTCTGTTTGAATTCCTTGACTATGGACATGTTGGCGGGATAGAGGAATTATAAATATAGTCTGAACTATACAATGTCTCCGCCGTGCTAATCTATTCCGTGTCCTACAATGTGGAAATGCTGCTCTCTCCTGGATTATCAATAGTCTTACTGGATACTAAGAAGAAATTAATACCTGGTTCATTGGGCGTAGAACATGGAAAAGGGGGGCTCCAGTCTCACTGTGACTGAGTTCTGGTCAGTATGACAACGAGATCCTAGAACCACAGGTGCAGGACATGGATCATGATTCATGCGTGATACTGTGTACGTATTCGCCATTATTCATGCAGTGCCAAGCTTCCTACCCCGAGTTTTGGGTACATTCTTGTGTGAGCCTTTACCCATTGTATGGCTCTGATGGCGCACTCTACTCCGTAAATGCTAGTTGACCGAGCGCACAGCCAAAAAGCAGAGCTTATGGGGGTGTTCACCGCACACTATACCTAACCAAGTAGCGTTTTACGTTGACCGGGTGCCTTCATCGGTCGTCTTCACGCAGATTTCCTTGTCGAGCGTGGGCTTGGTCCCACACATTGTCGTTTCGTCAACCAAACCCCAAGAATCCGCTAATCTTCTCCTATCTACATTAGAATAAGAGTCCTGGCTAGTGGTTGGAGGACCGGACCAACTAGGCTATGCAAACCTTGAGGATCTAGTGTGACAATACATTGTGCGTATTGAATATTGGGTCATAAGTTAAAAAAGCCCTGCTTTTGTTACAAGTAGGTTTATAATTGCATGAGATTTCCTATTCTGTGCTCAATTTGATATTGTGCACGATGGAGTAGTTATCATTGCGATGATCAATGAAATGCGCACATAATAGCATACATGGCCCGTCTGCTGTGAGTGTAACCCGGTTTGCTATGGTCTAGGATACGCCTCGTTCAAGTTGTATGCACCATAACTTATCGCAGAGGATCCCTTTGTCGAAGTTTGCCACCTTGGATACTAACAAGTCTGTATATATTATTATCAGGGCCTAGTACATACATACAACCAGTATAGTACCATCAGGAAGATCAATACCGCAACGCCATTTCAGCTACGAAACCCGCACCACTAATTTTCAATTGCGCGTATCCAGGGAGGTTGCTAATACCGGACTGTGCTTATAACGGCCAAGTGGATACCCGTGAATGAAAGCGGATCTTTTTCTTTTCTTTTTTTTTTTTTTTTTTTTTTTTCCCTTCAAGGAGATGCACAACGGCGGATACTTCCAGTTTTAGCTTCGGCCGAAAAAGTCGGAGCCGATTAATATGGTTGCCATGCTGGCAGTTGATCATGAGCGCCTGGTCCACTATTCGTAGTACTAGTAGTACTCCCGAGAGATCCATCATTCTTTTACATGCATGCCCCCATTGGCGGCAAAGCGTCCCGGCCAATCACATCAGTTTTTCTACACTGTGGATACCAACTTAAGTGTCCTCATGGATACCGATACTATCAATGCCGCCCTCAACCAACTACTAGTTCTGCACTCCGATCACAGATTATATTGTCCGCATACAGGCTGCGCTATAAAGAAAAAGTCAGTTTTAGACAAGCACGTCGCCGGGTGTGGCGAATGCAGTTATCAAGTCGATAAAAGTTGAGTGTAAAAAGTTTGGATTTATCTTCTAAATGTAAGTCTATCTTGGAGGAGCCCCAGCAGGACAATCCTCGTGACGAGGTTCATATCCCGACATCGAACAAAATCTGGATCAACGGGCATACGACGCTTCTACTCCTATCTTCTCATGCCCTATTTCGGTGGAATTTTAATGATATAGAACATGACACCCTTGAAGGTTTCATAGGGTCTGAGCGTAGTAGCTCGAAAGGGTTGGTGGCCAGAAAAATAACCATAATAATTATTCAGAATTGGTGGTAATTTCTAATTATCACTCCATAGCCTGCAAGAATCTTCCACAATCCTTCGACACTGGGGCCAGTTCCTTCATGTAGCCAATGCCGTTGTCCCACTATGTATTTCACGCCTCCTGATGCTGAATAGTTGCGTGGTGATCTTAGTAGGAATATTCTCTCAGTGCGCTGTTGACACTACCGATGAATGCCCACACTTCGTTCCTCCAGATATAGTATTCCTTGTGTGGACAGAGTCGGAGGATGCTAGACGGCTTTCCGTCGATCGTCTCGAAAAGAAGCGGATTGCACGGATAGGGGGGGCCGTGACTGACAGGATGGTTAAAGGTGGCTAGTACACTGCATCGAGTGTTGATTGTTGTTGGAAAGAGCGGCATATAGCCGGGAAAGCTCTGCTGACAGCATGAGCTGCAGACGGATGATATCATCAATTTCGCTTAGCGGAGGTAAAATAATGTCATCGGCCTTGTCGTATCTGAATGCCGATGATTCCCGAGTCAGCATGATAATATCCTGACTTATCCTCGTGATCTATATAGCTCAGTAACAGGACTGGAACATGGGCTTTTGTGTTCTAGATATACTTTGTCTAGGGAAGGAGCGATGTCAGGAGTCTGATGCGTTGACGTATGGAGCTTCTATTATATGAGAGTGGTAATGTTAACTCCTTCATACTGAACTGGGGGAGGGCTGGTCAAGCAAACCATTGTTTTTTGTACACGGCGAATCTGTTCTTCGGTTTGAATTGAATGCGTCTCCAATATTTTTCACTTTCCCGTGGAAGAACTGTCATGGGGTCATCGGCAACGGAGTGCTGTGCGGGTGGGGTATGGCCCTTTAAACCTCTATGTATGAACAGCTGGAAGCTGGAAGCTGATAGACTTCCATTTCTTCCATTTCCCGATGCATGTCACATGTGGCAGATGATTTTGAGCTCAAATCCGTAAGTAGTCTGAGTTAGAAAAGGGATAATGTACAGGTGAAAGCCTGATAGGTATGATGCAGGACTTGCGTTTATTTTCTCAGAGCAAAGACTATTGAGGAGTATAGGCTGCTAGGCAAACTCGCAGCGATCTGTCACCGTCATGCTTGGTGAAATACTCAGTTAACTTTACAGTTGAATCGTATGGAGAAGGGCAAGATTTACCGACAACAACAGAGGAGTCGCAGGAGTCCAGAAATACCAAAAGCATGCGTCTAACAACAACGAAATATGATATCCCACAATACACGATGCAATCAGACCACGATAATTGATTCGGCTGGAAATCAACACCCCGAGAATATTATATGGAGGGCGATGCTGCTCTAGTAACGCAGTCGATCGTAGAAGATAAACAGAGTAATAACTCAGAATATATATTAGCTAGAAATCAGGACTCTATACTCGTTAATTATTATACTTGGCAAACATCTTCAAACCGATCTACCCGAGACCACGATGTGTTTTTCTTTTTCTTCTTACGGTGTATACTAAATATAAACAGTTGATCCCGGAAATTGAACTTGCTTTTTGTACTTCCTAGAGTTATATTCCCGAGCCATTGCAGCAAAGGACTCAATAATAAACAACCTTTCAAGGAGCCACTTCATGAGGTGATATATATACTGACAGTTCCAAATTCACTAGAATCAACCACGTGTCGCCTTGAATATTGTTACATGAATCTCGATATAATGTAAAGTATATTTCAATCTCTCCGAACCCGAACCTATTTTAGAATGTTCTAATCCATGTAGGTTTATCACCGCTAGCGTTCGGGGGCGCCGTTAGCTCATGAACTAATAGGAGGATCGTGTGGTGGCGCCGTGGCGGATGCCGTGTCTTACACGGTAACTTTTCCGTGGACGAAGCCTTCTCAAGCCAATGAAAACAAAGCCCTGAGATTACCAGCACGGTGAGCACAGTTCGTCCGCAGGGATAAATCAGTTCCTCCACTAGGGTGTTTGCCTACCGGTACCTGGGCTATTCACGAATCAAGGGTTAGGACGGCTACGGGACCGAATAATACAAGGGTATGCTTATAATGGAGGATAAATTAGGACACACTGGGCATACCCACAGCTCCGAATGAATCCGAAACAATACAGAGAGATAGATTGTAATCTTGAGCTCATATGATCATTAACTATTTCCTGATACAAGACTCGTACAAGTAGCCTGACAGTCCCTAGGAATAAGATCGACACATATAACCCAACTCTTTTCATATAGAGAGTAGTTATAGGTTAAACCAGATTATGATTGAGAGATTTAAACTCTATATGACCGACAGCAGAGACAAAAAGCTCCACAATACGTGCTGAGAGACGGTAAGGCTCCATTTCATGAACCATGCGGTTACAAATTCCATGAGCTATGATTGGCACACAGATCGCCGGCTCACTTCCCTAATGGAGGTTACGAGCAGTTGGGATGTATTTTTTTCGAACAAAGAGGATACGGAAATAATTTACACCACTAATCTGAATGACAGACCTAGCCGTTCTCAACCACGCGAGGGAACCTTCGTAGTCCATTTAGCCATCTTGAGCCACCATAGAGCTAGCAGAAAATTATTCCGGAGCATCAAAAAATCCAAGAAGTGGGGGGAAAAAATAAATAAAAAATAAATAGATAGATAAAACCGAAAGAAAAAGGGTTGAACAATAATAGAGGGGGTGCAGAAGAGAGAAAAGTTAGAAACCGAGCTATTAATCCACACTTCTTGTATGCGGATGCTAGAACGAGGATTCAATAAGGGGCTTCAAGATTTCTATTGAAATGGCATCAATATAAGAGTCAGTAATCCATAGACCAGAGGATCCTTCAAAAAAAGGCCCTCGCATCGGACAGACGTTGGGATTCAGTTTGTTTCTGAAGAAGTATTTTTTCATGATATTTAAGGACCTGGAGGAGGTCCATATTTGCATTTACCTGCTGCTCTTCATGCAGGCGAAGCTTATAGAGCCCTTCTAAGGCATCGGACGCTGAAACTAGTGAAAGAGGTTGGTAAACAGTATTCGCACTCTCTTGTAATTCGCTAGTGTTCTCAAAATGGCATAATATAGAGTCGTCGAGATTCATGGTGTTATCATCCACTTTCTCCTCCACGGGGTCTATGAAATCGCTAGTCTCCATAAGCTCGGAGACATAGCCTGAAAGATATAACTGCTGCAGTAGGGTTTCAATGTCCAGGATCGCTTGTCGATTGTTAATGGGTTCAGTGTTTTCTATAGATATGGCCGCTCTAAAGGAGTGCGTAATGATGTCATAGGCCAATTCAATTTCCCATATTGAGATCGCCCAGCGAATTGCGTGTAGGATTGTCATAGTCGATATTGGGTCCCAACCATGGTCATGTTCATGCACCAGGTGAGAGGCCCACTTGCGCTTCCAATATAATTTCCATGTAAAGATGATCCCCCGACTAAGGGGCTGGTATCGGCCTTCTGGCGTTGCTGGCAGCCATATAATGAATGTATTCTGAAGTTGTGGTCCTTCCTCCTCAAAGGCGAATTTATGGGCCGACAGACTATCCATTAGAAGAACAACTTTCCGATCAGTCATTCTTTGGTCGAACCATAACAGCCACTCCTTGAAGATGGCCGAGGTCATCCAGGCTCTCGTATTATACCGCCAGTGACACCCGAGATTCTCGATATTGATGCCGGCTGCGCCGAATGACTGAGGCCGTCTCGCCGTCCCAATAAACCAGACAGGGAGACGTTCTGAAGCGTCTGAATTGCAGCAGAAGCATATTGTTAGGCGGTCATTACCATTTGTATGTATAGGAGATTGGCCTACAGCAGCTAAGCCATTTTCCGGGATGCGCTTCCAGAGTAGGGCTGTCTCGTCGCAAGCAAAGATATCACGCGGTGCATATTGCTTAAGAAGTTGGCGAATGCCAATCATCTCGAGTGTGCCACCTTCAGAAGGGCTGGCGCCCTCTCCTTGTAAGTTGTCTTTGCCGATATCCCAACGAGATTGGAACCCCCGCATCCAACCATTACTGAACTGAGGCATCGCCTGATCGGGATAGAGCTTTTGCCAGAATACTCTAGCCTTCTGTATGATGAGATACTGGGAGAGAGATTCTTGGCCCTGGACTCGCTGTATCCACTCGTAGAGGGCCCGTTCAAGTTCTGGCCAGCTTTCGGGGCGCCGTCGTTTGGCTCTCAATTGGTGGCTTGAAGCTCCGTCAAGTGAATCATATCGGGAGGAGAGAATTCGTGAGACTGAAGACTCCGCGATTGGCTGTTGATACTCTGCTTCAAACCACTGGCAGAGCTGAAGCTGGGTCAGGTGTGGCTTCAACGCGTGTTGAGACCGGAGAGCCACCTTCTGGCTGTTGGAAATAGGTCGACGTTGCATTGGAATTGGATGATGATGCTAAGTCAAGATGTTCCTTGAGACTGGTATAAGCATGTTGACAGAGGGAGTATGGAATAAAGTCATGGTTGCCTCTAGAGGATCTTTGAATTTTTCGAGACACGAAGACGACCCTACCATCATACCGATATGCCTATAGCAGGCATGTTGCCTAAAACCGAACCGGATTACAAACCGAGATTTACAGGTTACCAGACCCGTGGAAAGGGCTTTTCCTTCAACGCAGCCCGAGCCTAGTCAGTGGAGCTGGCCCACCCAACTTTTCTTTTTCCTTCCCTTAATTTTTCAAAACGGCTATCCTAACATTTATATGCGTAAAAGATAGGTCTAAAGCCAGATGATTGGCTTCTTGCGTAGCCCTTGTGTCGAGGGGGTCGTTATTGAAGTCACGCCTAAACTCGCTCAACATTCCATTTGGGGTCCCTGACCAGGTCGTAATGTAGATAGAGATACGACGAAACATCCGGTCAATATACATTAGTAATGTTAGCCCGATAGATATGGTTAGCGCCAGTAGCCATGAATCAGAGATTAGAGGCAGGCTGAAGCTGAGATTATGACGCCAAGGCAAAAGCTGCAGAGATCATCGGACTTCTGTCGTTTATGGTTGGACAACAATGCCACGGTTTAATATCGAGGATCCACAACTGCACTCTTGGGTTCAGGCATGTTCAAATAATACGTACGTATCGCGAAGAATATTTGGGGTAAGGGAGAACAAGTGTTGGAGTATGCCAATCCCGGTGGTACCCACTTCAAGCCAAAATAACACTCTAATTTTTTTTTTCTGCTTTTTCATATTATTAGGACTGGGTACGGAAGTGAGGAATGACAAGTCACCAAAACTAAGTTGGACCAAGTGGACTGTTATTGCCGTTGACTCTTCAGCACTCGGTTTAGTCCGGCTACCAATCCATTAATCGCTGTTCATCTGGGAGGTTGGGTGTATGCTTAATAGATGCCCATCACGGTGAGAAACGAGATCGGCCGCAGAAAGCAATACCTCGATACGTTAGTCCAAACGTCTCATCTGTTCTTCAAAACTCCGATGTTGACCTTCTGTACTTTGTTATTGTCATATTGTATAACTCGAGGATACAGTGATAGGATTAGATCTCCGTACCAATCCACTCACATGACTAAACTCCCAAAATACATTATAGAGGTCTACAATTTCTCCTTCTTCAGCCAGTGAGCTTACACGCATATCGATCAATTATTCCAGTAGGTAAAGCAGCCCAGGATCCTTGTCCAGTAATATTCACTTACCTGAGTCCCTCCGTAGGTTTGGCTGTGCAGTCACGAATGTATTATCACTTACTCCGTACTCTATATACTTGGAAAACTTAGCAAATAGTGACTTCATGGTAGCCCAGTCCATAGAATGGCCATTAAATGAGCGAATGCCTGCTATGTATACAAAGTAAGTCTTGATGGGCGGCAATTAGCAATATCAGACAGCATACCTTTAGCCCCTAAATATGTGTGGCGTGAGAAAGTACTTACTGCTAGCTAAAATATAATAATTATCAAAACAAGCACAAAGGTCGCACGGAGCCAGATCTACTAGATCTTTCACATCATGACTTGGTAGATATCCAGCCCCATAGACTTACTTCGAAACACTGCTGTTTCGTCTATGCTGAACACATCCTTATTCAGTAGGTTTTTGTAGCGCACTATCACCACAATGACAGTGTGGATCATCACGGGCCACCGTTAGTCAGGGATTTACTGATTGATCTGCCGAGATCCATCCATACCTTGCGAATGGGAAGTACTGTGAGAGAGGATGGCAAAGTGGAACGCCCCTCTGTAAGAATAACTGCAATATGACATCTTCTTCAGTACTGACTCTCTATGGCAAATCTTAGTTTACATGGTGACGGTATATAAGCCACCTCGTGAAACAATCATGGCATCGATTACAGGGACAAAACCAAATTCTTCAACTTCATGAAGTCAGGGACGCCCAACCCCGTGACAGGATCCCATCCAGCAGTTGCATTCCAATGAGCATAGGGAATGACGCCACCTCCCGTAACATTCTGACCCGTTTGAGGGTTGACGCCGTCACATCCGATGGATGACCCGGCCGTGATATCGGTGAAGTCCTTCAGAGCCCCACTGTACAACAGAGGGTTCAAGAATCCGAGGGCCGGTTTACCGGCACGCAAGCGGGCATCGTTCAACATACCCACCAAACCGGCGAAGACAGGGCTGGCGGCGGATGTTCCGCCGGATGTGCCACGTTTACCCTTAACGACCACCTCATACCTTCCCATCCCATTAGACAGATTCAGGTATCTGTGGGGGGAGGAGACTTACCTCGGAGTCAAGCTATGGGCAGCTACATCAGGGAATCCACGACCGGAGAAGTTGGTATATTGGGAATAGTAGTCCTTGGTCTCCGCGGTAATATGATGGTCAAGGTACTTGCTGACCGCAGATTCCTGGTACCAGGCACGGCTAAAGTAATTGCTGAACCCACCGGAGGAGGCGTCCCATGCGACTTCAGGGGCATACGCTTGAGTGCCACCCACTGATGTGATGTAGGGGCAAGTTGCAGGGAAGATCGGTGTGAACTCCGGAGTCTCGGTGCCGTCGTTAGACATACATGAGGAGCCAATACCTATTGGAATCAGTACTGAGAAACAGCAACGATTGTGCACCACGGTCGCTTACCGGTGTCACCAGAAGACTCAAGCACGCTGATCCCGCGAAGACCCATCAAGCCAATTAAATTGCACACTCTCTTGGCGTAGTATTCCGGAACAGTCTACAAAACTCTCGTCAGGCCTGTGGAGATACCACAAATTCGGTGGACGGCTTACCTGTTCCTCGTCGCCGTATGAGTTGGAGAGGACCTGGGGGAGCGCAGAGTTAGGCTTCGCCAACAAGTATTCGTAGTACTCCAGGTAGGGCTCGTTCTGGTTGTCCGCTGCCGTTGGTTGGCCGACATTCGGTATAAACGGGCTGGAAACGATAAGCAGTCTTCTCAATCCCAGTTTTAACAAGAACCAAACACCTACGGTGTACCAGCGGTGATAAATTCCACCACGGGCAGAGGGTGGCTAACGCCTACAATCAGCTCCACATCCAAGTTGGCCTCGCCAAGGGAAGCAGTTGTCCAGTTCTGGTCGTTCGTGGCACCATTGATCAACTCAACGGAGAAATTCTGCGATGGGATGTTGAATCGCTTCTCATAAAGGGCCAGGTCGGCATAGTTGGCGGACTCGTTCAAGAAGCTTCCAAAGCCAACTTTACTTCCGGAGGATACGCTGGGCTTGTAGCCTCGGAAGTTGTACATGTCAGCCAAACAGTCGGGAGTGATCAAATCCGCACAGGACACATTGCCGGCTGCTGTCTTGGTCCCTGCCGCGAACTTATGATGGGTAGGAAGAGCGACGCTCTCTTGCTGTTTGCCAAAGAAGACGGTTGGGGCAACAAGATCAATTGCATGGGCAAGGTCATCGGGAATGGAGTACTGGGTCGTGCGCAACTTCTGAGCCGGACCGTTGCGATAATACGAAAAGGTCGTGTCGAAGAGCTTGTTCACAGTTCCGACCGACGTAGCGAAATTCACCAAGCCACCCTGGCGAGAGATATGAGTGACGCCCGCATTTTTGAGCCAACGGAGAACGGCTTCGTCGCTCGCAGTGGGAAACAGCGTCTCGATCCCGGATTGATCCAGCCATTGGCCGTACTCTGCATTGCCCGGCGTCGACAATGCCGTCAATTTGCTCTCGAGCTGGTCTAGGTTCTGGCGTGCCAGGGCAATTGATAAGGTAATCTGGTCGTTTTCCGGCGCATGTTTCGCCAGGGTCCAACCATTCGGAACCGCGGTTATTTTCTCATGCACGATCGCTAGTGCTGGGGCTGCAAGGGAGCCGAACACTCCTGCAAGGAGAAACGACGAGCGCATGATGGAAGACTCTCACAGCCAATACACGGTTCCAGTCGAATGGAAACTAACGAGAGGACCGAGAGACATGGGGGAAACGCGATCCCCACGGGGCATTTATATAGTATTTCCATTTTCTCCTCTGTGTGTCCCCTTTCTACCCCCCGTTCGGACTAGTGCAGGGGGAGAAACGTGAGATGGACGATGACTGGTCACTGGTAGCAGGTCGTTACATGAAAAGATTGGCTGTTGCGTGATTTCCGAGCCGATTTCCGAACCGAAATGAGATTTGATTAAGGAAATTAATCAAAATAAATTGAATTCTGGCGGACTGTCGGCGTGGGGACTCCGTCTTCTGCTATTGTTCTGCAAACTCAAGTGCTTGAGGCAGATAAGCAAGGTCAAGCCTCGCCCAGATGACCAATCAGACCCCACATCTTGGCCGATCAGCTCCAATTCAAGAAGGTGACATTGGGGACTTTCGACGCCGTGTCCTTTTCATCGCCCTAAGTGGGCTCACGGTGTTCCGTCGGAGGTGACCGGAAACCATTCCCTGAGCCAGTCCTTGAAAAAAAAAAGTCAAAAGAAGGGTATGAAGGAGCATCCAGTTACTCAGCATCACACGAGAACTGAATATAAAAGATCTGGTGCGACATACCAGCAATTTTTTTTGTTCCCCCTATTCTCTCAACCGTGGCTGTGGCTGGTCAGGGCGCGTTTTGAAGGGCATGACCTCCACTAAGCCTATTTAGGTTGTACTAGGCCTAGAATAGATTAGAGGATTGGAAACCTGGTTCACTACGGCAACAATATAAGGGCTTGTTACAGCGTGTACTCTATATAGAAATAAGATCTCTATGTTTAACTAGATATTCAAGGTTATGAACTCAGATGCAATGCACCTCAAAAATATTATTGTTGCCTTGAATTGCAATATCCACCAAGTCCTCGATAAACCGACAGTCGATCGGCCAATGCTGCAACATCTTTCGCGTATATATATATACACCACCGGCGGTATCGTGAGGGTAATATAGGTTATCAATGTCCCATCTTCAGCAAAAGCCAGGTGGTCTTTAAGACAGACTAGCCTAAGACATGTTAGCAATGCCAATGCACCACAAATAACATTTCCTCCAGAGTGGTACGGACTATGGGTAAGCGTTCCTGTTGCAGGGCAGCAAAGGTCTGGTGAATTATCTTTGCCTTTTCAGGGCTCAGGACTTGCAGTGTGACAGGGAGTCTCGACGAGGCGTTGCCGGGCATTTCGGAGCGACGCATGTACGTCAACGGATCGACCGGAAGCTTTCTCCCCGGAGCCCACTGGATCTGGAAGGCCCAAAGGATCCTCATAATTGCAATGGCGAGCGATCGCTCGGCGACGTGGTAGCCAGGGCCTAGTATTTCGTCATTATCATGTTAGGTGGAGAACCCAACCCGGGGCTGGGGGTCAACTTAACGTACAGATGCGCCGTCCCGCACCGAATGCAAAGTGGTCGCGTTTGGTCACGTCGGGGGAGTTAATACTCTGCATTGTCTACGAGCTCTTGTTAGCAATTCCAGGCTATATCGAGTCTGGTCTCGACTTGCCCGCGACATACAGTCGTATGGTCATTAGCATATCTCTCAGGCCAGAAACGATCCGGGTCTTCATGCCTCCTTGGATCGTGGGAGATAGCCCTGTGGGGGATCTTCATTAGTAAGTTCTCCGCTTGCAGGGAATACGCTAGAGTCCAATCTCACCATGCATTAAGATGAAGACGGGCGCCCTTGGGAATCCGTTGTTGGTTGTAGGTTATGTCCTTTGTGCTGACATGCGGATGGCCAAGGGAAACAGGGGGTCGCCATCGCCAAACCTCTTTCATAACGCACCGAATATACGGAATACGCTCTAGATCGGCAAATTCGGGGAGGCGATCGCCAACCACTGCCTCTGTAGCGCGAGAGGTTAGCAGGATACCCTGGTGCGCCGTCAGTGGGGAGGTTACTGCAACCGTACCAATTTGCGCTCGCGCCTTCTGCTGGACGTCCGGATATTGTAGCATTGCTTCGAGGAATGACCAAGTCGAGATCTGGCTCTGCAATAGTTCACGGCCATGTCAGAAAATTGAGGTCAGGTGGCAGAAGGGTGACATGCAGCCTACAGTGTCTGCAGCACCAATGATGAGTTGAAGCGACAAATAAGCTGCCTCTTCCTGGGTCGTGAAGCCGGCCTGATCGGGCGCTCGCAGAACAGAGGGAAGGAAGGCGTCAGCCATGAATTTCCCAGCAAATTTGGGGTCTTTCATTCTCTGCATATGCAGTAATTAGAGTTACTAGATATCTTATAATGCTTATATATGGCAATTAGCCTCATAGGTACTAACCTGTAGCCGCGCCATGCACCATTCCAAGTCTCGCTTGAACCGTTTTCGGGCATCTCGCTCCCAAGGCTTGAGCCAGAGAGGTAGATAGTTCATCCAGGCAAATATATCGACCATGTGTCTTCCGGGGATGGTACCTAGGGTGCTTAAGGTTAAAGATTGTCGTCCGTCGCAATAGATCCGTCACTCACCTAGAATCTGTGCTAGGCCTGTCTCTGTTTTCAGAGTGTAAGAAGAGGTTCTATAGCGAATGAGATGACATACCGTGTATGTAGTCAATAACAGGATCATCCGCCCGAGGTATCTGATTGGGAACATGTTAAATTGCCGTCGAGGACACGGTAGGATTTGGCTTCACATACGTCCATGCCAAAGGCCTGCGTTGCGAATGCGCTATACGTGTATCGAGCGAGCAAGTTTAATATCCGACCACTGTCCTGGCCGACCTCTGGTTCGTTTGTGATATCGTGAAGAAACCTGGCTGTTTCGTAATGGAGTATTCTAAAGATTAACATCAGTACATGATTGAGGAGGGATGGGCGGTCTCTATCTGACTTACGGTAATCCAGCATCTGCCCTTGGGATACTTGTTAAATACGAGTTGATAACCCGTCGCTGATGCTATAGGATGGAGTTAGCGTCACCCGGTCTTTCGAAGTCTGGTTTGGATCTTGCCTTCCAACGCGGATCACTCGCGTGAAGCAGGAGCACATTGAGCTCGTTACAAATGAGTTCATTGCTCACAATCCAGCGAGGTCTTTCCGATGAAACGGCTGAAGATCGATCCATGATATCCTGCAGATATATAGATCAGTGTCAAATCAAACCTTTCCCGCTGTGTCATGGTGAGCGGCCACTGTACCTTGACAGCACGATCCGAGTTGAGGAAATACTCCGTCACCGGACCGAGCCGCACGCGAAAGACTTCGCCATGCTCCCGAGACCAATCCTGCATCAGCAGATGCTGGAGGCTTTCCGTACTTGCGTTTATTACTTTTGATAGGTTCCCCAGAATCCAGCTACCCCTGGGCTGCGGAGGGAGAGGCAGTGATTTCGGACCACCGAGCCTGCCATGCCACAGAGCGGCTACGCACAGGGTCCCGAGGAGGCAGATCACGGCTGGGAGCTGCCAGTAGGGAGGTAAATTACTCTCGTTCATTTGTTTCTGACTTCGACTCCAGATGGTTATGGAGGGCGATGGCGATATGCCCCAGCATACCCTGTGTTACCCAGTCTGTATAAGTACCACTGGCTATAGTCCCTGCCCCATAGATCTGCAAGGCTAGGAGCCACGTACGCTAGCCGATGTGGGGGATGTAGCGGGGAAGTTACTTCGCTGACTTCAAGTTGGCTGTGGAATGTCCGACCCGAGTGGTGAATTTCACGTTTCTTCTTTAGTAATGGTTATGAATTACTAGTACTACGCGACCATTGACAAATCTGAGGCTAGTGGGCCTATGGCGTTCATGCCACACTCATGGCCGATCCTCTGCTAATGAGGCCTTCAAGGACATTAGCGAAAAGTTGGTTGATCCCCCACATCTGGTCCGAAAGGAGTACACGATGAGTTTCTACCAAAATCCGGCGCAGGCTACTTACCTCCCCCAGATCTCCCACTCCCGCGAGTCGAAGAGGCGGATGACCCGAGGCTCTGATCCACATCTCATGTGCATCCGAGTCAACTTGGCCATCCCAGTCCACTGTGCACCCCGGGACATCCGAAGGCACATCCGCTGGCCGAGCAAGGGGGTCTAAAGAGAAGAAGGTCCAGATAACAAGGAACGCGAGGAAAAGGTGATGATTCTCACTGTGGCCTGCTAACTTTCTTTTCCGAATGAGGCAGAAGAGCGCGATGGCGTGCATGACCGTCCGCCGGGCATTCTGAACATCTGCCCGTATCCAGGAGCAAAGACTCTCTCGTGCCTCAGCCATACAGGCTTTTGTGCTCATCCACCCAACATAATCGCACAGCGGAGTCAATGGCACATTAACCAGGATCGAGATGTGGCGGTGCAGCTTCAACAGCTGGGAAGATTCACTTTCGCGCCAAGTATCCATGTTCTTGCAGATACATCCAATAGCTTCCGATGCCGCAGACCTCCATTGCGCGCGCTGTAATACAGAAACCAACGGTACAGAGGTAATCGCACGACGACTGGGTATGAGCGAATCGCCCATAAATTCTGCATCTAGGCTGCTGCCTGGCTCATCGCGCTCATCGGGCCCCTGGAGTATGTACCGGTTCACACTGGTTGCAATTTGCCATTGGTAGTACATAGCCATCATTATAATGGATCGAGCGAAGAGTCCAGGATTCTGCAATGCTATAATGGCCGCGAGCTTCGATGTGTCCAAAGCATCCTCTAGTCGCAGTGTTCGCGGGCCGCCTACTTAACCGTCAGTTAAAACCCTACAAGGGTGAGGGGCGGGGCGAGGAAAAAATTAAAGTCACCATCTGGATCCATCAGTTTCTCGGCGAGGCTTGCCATGTCTAAGTCCCATGTTGCTTCTTGACAGGGTAAGCTTGTCTCGAGGTCTTCCAAACTCATCATTGTCTGAACACCGGCGTTTAAGCTAAATTGGCAATCAAGTAACTGCAAACGGGTCAATATTTCAGGGTCCCACGGATAAGTTGGCAGTTGGCACCAGCCCTGGCAAGGTACATACCCAAATACCATACGTAAGTCTCCTGTTGAGCTCCCTATCAACCCACCTCGAAACTACGAGATCGTGCGGACTGTTACCGTTGGGTAGACTGGCATGCATATCTTCACGACGGACCTTTGAGTTTATCCCCCTACAGACCGTTACTAACATGGATCTCTGAAACTGAGCCTTCAGGGTGAGCCGCTTTGAACCGTGGTAGGCAGTTTGAATCTGATTTAGGACTGCAGACTGTGCGAATGGGATCTGAATGGTCTGATCGATGTTGTTGTCTAACTAAAAGTGAATAGGTCTCATCAGCGGGGATTCAATGCCGAATCGGACGAACGTAATTTACGACAAAGGGGCCTGTTGTACCAGATTATCGATTGCTTTTCGCAATATGTCTCCCAGGACAGTTGACAATGAATGCGCCTGTGGGATCTTGGAGAACCGACTCCCGACGGTGGCGGTTGCGAGCAGGAGTAACGGGGGCACTTTCGACCCATTAAATGTCGCTCTGTGAAGAAACGGGAATGTGGGATGGAAATGTTCAAAGTAAAGCTGAACGAAGGCGTTGATAACCTCTGCCTTATTCAATAGCTCTCTGTAATGCGGAGGGCAGGAAAGGGTGCGCCGGTCCTGATTCATCGCCATGAATGAAGCCAACTCGTCCATTTGTTCTTGTCCGACTGTGGCAACATGGCCGTGGTCCTCCATTGCTAGAATATCCTCCAAGCTAAGTAGATTCAGCAAAGACCTTTCAATCTCCTGTGAACCTCTCAAGGTATCCCACACACTATCAGGATTCTCTTGAGGCTGCATCAACCCCCGTGGGCGAGTTTTATTCCAGAGATTTGTCTGAATCATGCCAGAACTTTTATACTTGTTCCAGGAGTCTGAAGTGCTAGGTAAGTCAAGACCCGGTAGGCCCTCCTCAATTCGGAGAGGATAATTCGCAAAGTCATCTCCGTCCACTTGTCCCACAATGCCACTCTTTTCCTCCGAGATACTCTGCAGGCCAATATTGCCTGTATTTGCCGGAAAGGTTGGGAGGTCCAGGAAGTCCATACGAAGCGCTTGGGGTAATGTGCAATTTTGAAAGGCCCAGTCAAATACAGGATTGTATCCATTATGCGTCCCTTGAATTTCAAAGGGTGACTCTTCATTTTCGCGGGTTTCTGGAGCGATCAGTATCCTCCCTTCTTCTATATCCTAATGGATCCTACCTGGTATAGCTGGGAGCTGGGGGGCTGAAAAGCTGAAAAAATCCGGAATGACATCGCGATCATCAGTATATTGCTGCTGCTGCTGCTGCTGCTGCTGCTGCTGATGGCTCGAGGTAGGTTGAGGATACGGAGCGTTTTCCGGCAACGCCTCTGCGGCCTCCGTCAGATTACTCGACCTCTCCAAATTTTTTTTCTCACACGGAATGCCCTTCTTCAGGCACCGGCCGCATGGGACAGAGCTGGAGCAACGGAGCTTTGCTTTTGCGCAACTGTCACAGGCTGAACGACCACGGCTGCGAGGGTGTTTGGCCCTGTCCCTGGTGACTGTCAGGCAGTTCGTCCTCCTATGTCTATTGAGCAGATCGCTAAGAATCTTAGTAAGGAAAGCACACTAGAAGGAGACAGCGGGCAGTTACCATCGGTTGAACGCTTTTCCACAAGAGCCGCATTGGTATGGGCGTTCATTCGCGTGAGAGCGTAAATGGCGAGTCAGATGTTCGCCGCGCGAGAATTGACGCCTGCAGCGAGGGCAGGCCAGCTGCACTTCACCGGTGTTTGGCATTATTTGTTTCTAAGAGACTGTAGATGTAGTTATGAGCAAAAGCAATAACCACAGCTTGGGAGTTAAAACTGGGATACCTTTGCGGGGAAATTTATTTGATCCTGGGGAGATGTGGGGAAATTCTTATGTAATCCTATTAAATTAATTACTAGTTAGTCTAGTCTAAGATACGGCCTAATAAGAGGGAAAATGTGTCATTTAAAGCATAGTTATATCTACGGTTGTCGGAGCGGTGGCGCGAATATACCCTGTGATAGCACCAAAAGTTCAGAACATCAAGCCAATTCGTTCTATTTGTATATAACGAAAATAATCACATTTTGAAGATATTGCAGATAATATAAACTTAAACGTTGGAGAATATGATCTTAAAACAAGAGAGACATACGATAATATTGGGCGATACCATGACTAAAATCACCAGGATTAGCAAGCCCAAGGAGAGAATGTTTATCGCCAAGAAAATTGAAGGTGAAACGATGTGTAAATATCACGAGAATGCGTACCAAAATAGCCCAATCCGTCGCAGGCCGTAGCAGAGTGGTCCAGAAGACAAGTTAGATAGATGCTCTCCAATAAATGTTCGGAAACATCGTGTGGGTTACCGATGTGGGGGGGTCGGGGGCACAAATACATACAAGAACCACCCTTATAATTCTTATCTCTGGCTGCACCGTATACATTCCAGCAAAGGAACGAGACAGGAAGTGAGTCGTGTTCATTCTCTGTGATATCGTCGGCCTTGTTTGCTTCGACAGTCCTGTCTGCTTCAAATCATGACCACTCTTAAACCAACCGATACTCCGCCAAAGGAGGCTGGAAAGGCGTATGCGCTGGGCTCCTTATGTGGAGAAGTATACTATATTCCATTTTCAAAGTCCGCAATGCGTTTGCTTGTCACAGGCGAAGTCAGCGAGGGAGCAATCGCTCTTGTGAGTACTGGTGGTTCCAAGTCGGATCCGATTGGGTTCCATTATCATCGTGAAGCACATGACGTGTTCCTGTGTCTCAAGGGCCATATCAATATATGGGCTGATGATCAAGCACGCACTATGGGCCCAGGCGACTTTGCCAGTGTCCCTCCGGTATGTACAGCGCGATTTGCCTTTCAGGCGCCAGGCTATATCTAGGATAAACCCGCGTGTCGCTAACATCGGCTAAAGGGAATCACCCACCAATATCAGATTGTAGGAGACCATTCTGAGTTCATTGGTATTATTGTACCCGGCGGCTGGGAGGAATTCTTCCGGTTTCTGGGAGAACCGTACGCAGGAGCAATGTGGCCAATGACGGACGACCGCAACCCGATGGAAGTTCTGATTCCGCGGCTAAAGGAGGCCGCCGAGCGCTTTGATATGGTGCCTCAGCCACATCTCAAATCGTTTGAGATACAGCCTTGGGCGGATGAGTGGGAGAACAATGCCCTTCCAGGAGCTGTCCGCCCATACTTTCTGCGAGCGGGCAATGGGCCGGCTTACCAGCTCGGTGGATCTGTGGTTCGCGTTCTGGCTTCATCTAAAGAATCAGGCGGGAGATTTGCTATTGGGAGCCTCGAAGGGTCGTCGTTCCATCGCAATGAAGTTCTCGCTGTCGGGCTAGTGTTCCCGTCCGTGCATCACGCATTCCATGTCGTGGAGGGTACGATCGAGTTTCACGTTGACGGAGTGTCGGTGGGTCTCACCGCAGCGGAGACCCTTTATGTGCCAAAGGGTAAGAAGTGCCAAATTCGCTTTGTAAGTCGATACGCCAAAACCTACGTTTTTGCGAGTGGGGGAGGGTTAGTGGAACTATTTGTCAAGGAGGGGAGCCCTTACTCGTCACCTATCATCCCTGAGACGGAGGCACTTGTGGAATTGGGACACATCCAGCAGGTCAATTAACAAATTCGAATCATAATGTTGGTCAAAATGAGTCAGTGGCCTCCTACTACCAGGCATTTCTGCATTTTATTGCTAATGATAAAATGATGGTTAATATAACCAGTACTCGAGCGACGCGAAAGTTATATTCTAGCAGCATCACCCATTTAAAGAGCTCTTGCGGTTTATATTATACAGTCTGGGGTATTACCCCATTGTGTGGATTTAGTGATATTAAATTACATTCATCTTCATCTACTGCACGCACTGTAATACCAACCCTGCCAACACGAACTGCCATTATAAATGGTTTCAAAGGGTGGACAGCTCAAGAACACATCGGATCACGGGGATGTGCCTTCTTGCGCTCTGCCAGACGATAGTTAGTATGAAAATGAGCACTGAAACGTGGAAAGACGAGACTTACCGGATCTTAAAATTGATAGCAGAAGTCCCATAGTGGAATCCCCGTATTCACCAAAGTGGTGCTCCACGACCTCGTCACAAAAGCATCAAGACTAAAGATAAAGTCCGATTTCAAGCTAACCCCCTCACCGCATGAAGGACCTCCAACGTGTGCATCCTGGGTGATCCCCGTAGCTGTAGCATTTTTAGCATGCTCTGTGTCGAGTTTGGCATCGAGTAAAAACGTGTTAGCGATCCCCGGTTTTGCGGTCAATCCACTGCTGAGATCAACAAGCCCTCCGAGGAAGCTCAGCGCCATCTCGACCGTCACGGTGGCGCTGGCATCGGCCTGGACGTTGGCTTGCGCAGAGATATTGGCGTATGGGTGGTACGTTGGCGTCCACCCAGTGGCCACAGTATTCACGCTGTTCAGAAGGTCGACATGCACGTTTCCATTTGGCATGGAAATAGACAAGCCTGCGGTTACATCCACGGCGGCCGAGGCGCTGAAATCCATCTCTAGACCGAAGGCTACACCGGGACCAAGCTGCACGATACCGGGGATGTTGACAAGCGTGTAAGTGAGATCCGAGGGGTTGTACATGAAGGACTTGTTGTATGCAGCGGCAAGGTGCGCGCTAAGGGCTACATCGGCAGAAAAGCCGGCATCAATGTCGAAGTACAATTGCCGCAACTTGAAGGCCCAAAAGTCGTAGTACAGATAACCAGAGAAGGTGATTTCTGAGGAGAAGGCAGCTTCATCGGCGGTAACAGTGAGGTACGGGGGTTCGCTCAGGAGAACAGTATTGTTGGCCAGGGACTTAGAGAACGGTATGCTGAAGGAAGGGTCAAGTGTGAGGCGCTTCGCGAGTTTCCCCGCTGGCACTGACGAGAAAGCGAGCTCGCAAGTTTCTAGATGTACTAGTCTTAGATCACTGCTCACACATTGTTATATACAGAAACCATGAAGTTCGTACCAGCAATTTCGGTAATTGGCTGCTTAGAGGCATTGCAGGTGATCGACAAGTTGGACTCATCCGACGCTATCTGGTCGACCTTGAAGAAACCTCTTTCGAACTCAGCATCACAGTTGCCTAGATGGTTTGTGATCAAGATAAGGCTCTTTTCAAATGACCAAGATTGGAGGGCTGTTTCGAAGCCGACAGCGTCCTTGAAGGCGACGATCACAGACTCATCAGTGCACTCAACACTGCCGATAGCGTCGATGTACTCCAATACAATGGTGTCATGGTTAAGCTCTAGGTTCATGTTAACAGAGCCGGAGGCGGGCTTATTAGTGGGCTCGGGTTCCAAGGAGCCATAGTAAAGAGAGACTTTGGAAGCTGGTATTAAATGAATTGGGTCAGAGGTATCAAGCTCGGGCGGTGGTACGGGCCCAAGTGTTGCAGTGGCACTTGCGACGGGTACTGACGGGGGATAGTTTGCAGCACAAGATTGAGCGAGTGCCTGGTTCACGAAGCTAAAGGAAAGTATCTGGAGAGCGGCCACTCTAAGAGACGACCATTGTGTTCTCGCCATTGTAGGTATGCTAGAAGGAGTGGGGGCAAACGAGAGAAAGAAGAAAAAGGAAAAAAGGAAAGCGCGAAGGACTACGCGTCAAATGAGTGACTTTAAAAGATTAAACTTAAAGAGTGACTGGGTTTGAGATCTGACATGATGTAGGATACCTGCACGGTTTAAATATACTATCCTGAACCTCTGCAAAAGGGGCATTTCAACACATTGGGCTGCAGAGCCTTATTAGGAACCCTTCTAGCCGCTAGAGAAAACCGTTGGAGCTCTAAACCTTATACTATATTCGAAGGATCATCCTCTGGCATAGCTCAGAGCATAGATTAGAGACTTAGATATATTCGTTCGGTAATGGATACAACCGCCAAGCAACCATGTGGTATTCGAGTGGGCAAGCCAAGCATTTGAAAGCGAAACTATTACGTTAACCGTTGCCAAGGTGTTCGATCTCCCAAAAACAGCATAGGTAAACGAAAATGCAAATCTCCCTAAGCCTAACTGTCCCAGTTTCTTGGCTGTCTAGTCGTCTGATCTCCAGACTTGCATCGGTTGACTCTGTCGTGGCAGAGAGTGGCGGACTTGCGAAATATTCTGGCAGTCAAAC